GCTAGGTTCTAGTCGGTTCAGAAAGTGACGTTTGGCAGTCTGGGATACGGGCCGCGGGCCCAATCCGTCCTTCACTGCCATGGTGTTTTTGCCCTGCGACACGGTCCTTGGACTCCAGCTTGGACCGAAGCGGTGCAGGAACTAAAGCCGGCTCCAGGAGGACACGAGCAGGGTGGCAAGTTGGCAGTGCAGAACGTCGGAAAAGTCAAGGTTTGGAGCTAGTTTCTAGTCGGTTCAGAAAGTGACGTTTGGCAGTCTGGGATACGGGCCGCGGGCCCAAGCCGTCCTTCACTGCCATGGTGTTTTAGCGCTGCGACACGGTCCTTGGACTCCAGCTTGGACCGAAGCGGTGCAGAACGAAAGCCGGCTCCAGGAGGACACGAGCAGGGTGGCAGTTGGCAATGCAGAAACGCAGGAAAAGTCAAGGTTTGGAGCTAGTTTCTAGTCGGTTCAGAAAGTGACGTTTGGCAGTCTAGGATACGGGCCGCGGGCCCAATCCGTCCTTCACTGCCATGGTGTTTTAGCCCTGCGACACGGTCCTTGGACTCGAGCTTGGACCGAAGCGGTGCAGAACGAAGGCCGGCTCCAGGAGGACACGAGCAGGGTGGCAGTTGGCAGTGCAGAAACGCAGGAAAAGTCAAGGTTTGGAGCTAGTTTCTAGTCGGTTCAGAAAGTGACGTTTGGCAGTCTGGGGTCCTTCACTGCCATGGTGTTTTAGCCCTGCGACACGGTCCTTGGACTCCAGCTTGGACCGAAGCGGTGCAGAACGAAAGCCGGCTCCAGGAGGACACGAGCAGGGTGGCAGTTGGCAATGCAGAAACGCAGGAAAAGTCAAGGTTTGGAGCTAGTTTCTAATCGGTTCAGAAAGTAACGTTTGGCGCTCTGGGCTACGGGCCGCAGAACGAAAGCCGGCTCCAGGAGGACACGAGCAGGGTGGCAGTTGGCAGTGCAGAAACGCAGGAAAAGTCAAGGTTTGGAGCTGGTTTCTAGTCGGTTCAGAAAGTGACGTTTGGCAGTCTGGGATACGGGCCGCAGGCCCAATCCGTCCTTCACTGCCATGGTGTTTTAGCCCTGCGACACGGTCCTTGGACTCCAGCTTGGACCGAAGCGGTGCAGAACGAAAGCCGGCTCCAGGAGGACACGAGCAGGGTGGCAGTTGGCAGTGCAGAAACGCAGGAAAAGTCAAGGTTTGGAGCTTATTTCTAGTTGGTTCAGAAAGTGACGTTTGGCAGTCTGGGATACGGGCCGCAGGCCCAATCCGTCCTTCACTGCCATGGTGTTTTAGCCCTGCGACACGGTCCTTGGACTCCAGCTTAGACCGAAGCGGTGCCGAACGAAAGCCGGCTCCAGGACGACACGAGCAGGGTGGCAGTTGGCAGTGCAGAAACGCAGGTAAAGTCAAGGTTTGGAGCCGCAGAACGAAAGCCGGCTCCAGGAGGACACGAGCAGGGTGGCAGTTGGCAGTGCAGAAACGCAGGAAAAGTCAAGGTTTGGAGCTAGTTTCTAGTCGGTTCGGAAAGTGACGTTTGGCAGTCTAGGATACGGGCCGCGGGCCCAATCCGTCCTTCATTGACATGGTGTTTTAGCCCTGCGACACGGTCCTTGGACTCCAGCTTGGACCGAAGCGGTGCAGAACGAAAGCCGGCTCCAGGAGGACACGAGCAGGGTGGCAGTTGGCAGTGCAGAAACGCAGGAAAAGTCAAGGTTTGGGCAGCTAGTTTCTAGTCGGTTTCAGAAAGTGACGTTTGGCAGTCTGGGATACGGGCCGCGGGCCCCAATCCGTCCTTCACTGCCATGGTGTTTTTAGAGCCCTGCGACACGGTCCTTGACTCCAGCTTGGGACCGAAGCGGTGCAAGAACGAAAGCCGCTCCCAGTAGGAGCAGGGTGGAGCCGTTGGCAGTGCAGAAAACGCAGGAAAATTCCTGTTTGGGAGCTATTTCTAGTCGTTCAGAAAGTGACGTTTTGGGTTGGCAGTCGGATATAACGGTCCGCTGGCCAATCCGTCCTTCACTGCCATGGTGTTTTAGCCCTGCGACACGGTCCTTGGACTCCAGCTTGGGCCGAAGCGGTGCAGAACGAAAGCCGGCTCCAGGAGGGTGGCAGTTGGCAGTGCAGAAACGCAGGAAAAGTCAAGGTTTGGAGCTAGTTTCTAGTCGGTTCAGAAAGTGACGTTTGGCAGTCTGGGATACGGGCCGCCGACACAATCCGTCCTTCACTGCCATGGTGTTTTTTAGCCCTGCGACACGGTCCTTGGACTCCAGCTTAGACCGAAGCGGTGCAGAACGAAAGCCGGCTCCAGGACGACACGAGCAGGGTGGCAGTTGGCAGTGCAGAAACGCAGGTAAAGTCAAGGTTTGGAGCCGCAGAACGAAAGCCGGCTCCAGGAGGACACGAGCAGGGTAGCAGTTGGCAGTGCAGAAACGCAGGAAAAGTCAAGGTTTGGAGCTAGTTTCTAGTCGGTTCGGAAAGTGACGTTTGGCAGTCTAGGATACGGGCCGCGGGCCCAATCCGTCCTTCCCTGCCATGGTGTTTTAGCCCTGCGACACGGTCCTTGGACTCCAGCTTGGACCGAAGCGGTGCAGAACGAAGGCCGGCTCCAGGAGGACACGAGCAGGGTGGCAGTTGGCAGTGCAGAAACGCAGGAAAAGTCAAGGTTTGGAGCTAGCTTCTAGTCGGTTCAGAAAGTGACGTTTGGCAGTCTGGGATACGGGCCGCAGGCCCAATCCGTCCTTCACTGCCATGGTGTTTTAGCCCTGCGACACGGTCCTTGGACTCCAGCTTGGACTGGACCGAAGCGGTGCAGAACGAAAGCCGGCTCCAGGAGGACACGAGCAGGGTGGCAGTTGGCAGTGCAGAAACGCAGGAAAAGTCAAGGTTTGGAGATAGTTTCTAGTCGGTTCAGAAAGTGACGTTTGGCAGTCTGGGATACGGGCCGCGGGCCCAATCCGTGCTTCTCTGCCATGGTGTTTTAGCCCTGCGACACGGTCCTTGGACTCCAGCTTGGACGAAGCGGTGCAGAACAAAGGCCGGCTCCAGGAGGACACGAGCAGGGTGGCAGTTGGCAGTGCAGAAACGCAGGAAAAGTCAAGGTTTGGAGCTAGTTCTAGTCGGTTCAGAAAGTGACGTTTGGCAGTCTGGGATACGGGCCGCGGGCCCAATCCGTCCTTCACTGCCATGGTGTTTTAGCCCTGCGACACGGTCCTTGGACTCCAGCTTGGACCAAAGCGGTGCAGAACGAAAGCCGGCGCCAGGAGGACACGAGCAGGTTGGCAGTTGGCAGTGCAGAAACGCAGGTAAAGTCAAGGTTTGGAGCTAGTTTCTAGTCGGTTCAGAAAGTAACGTTTGGCACTCTGGGCTACGGGCCGCAGAACGAAAGCCGGCTCCAGGAGGACACGAGCAGGGTGGCAGTTGGCAATGCAGAAACGCAGGAAAAGTCAAGGTTTGGAGCTAGTTTCTAGTCGGTTCAGAAAGTGACGTTTGGCAGTCTGGGATACGGGCCGCGGGCCCAATCCGTCCTTCACTGCCATGGTGTTTTAGCCCTGCGACACGGTCCTTGGACTCCAGCTTGGACCGAAGCGGTGCAGAACGAAAGCCGGCTCCAGGAGGACACGAGCAGGGTGGCAGTTGGCAGTGCAGAAACGCAGGAAAAGTCAAGGTTTGGAGCTTATTTCTAGTCGGTTCAGAAAATTACGTTTGGCAGTCTGGGGTCCTTCACTGCCATGGTGTTTTAGCCCTGCGACACGGTCCTTGGACTCCAGCTTGGACCGAAGCGGTGCAGAACGAAAGCCGGCTCCAGGAGGACACGAGCAGGGTGGCAGTTGGCAGTGCAGAAACGCAGGAAAAGGCAAGGTTTGGAGCTATAGTTTCTAGTCGGTTCAGAAAGTGACGTTTGGCAGTCTGGGATACGGGCCGCGGGCCTAATCCGTCCTTCACTATACCATGGTGTTTTAGCCCTGCGACACGGTCCTTGGACTCCAGCTTAGACCGAAGCGGTGCAGAACGAAAGCCGGCTCCAGGAGGACACGAGCAGGGTGGCAGTTGGCAGTGCAGAAACGCAGGCAAAGTCAAGGTTTGGAGCCGCAGAACGAAAGCCGGCTCCAGGAGGACACGAGCAGGGTGGCAGTTGGCAGTGCAGAAACGCAGGAAAAGTCAAGGTTTGGAATGGTTTGGAGCTAGTTTCTAGTCGGTTCAGAAAGTGACGTTTGGCAGTCTAGGATACGGGCCGCGGGCCCAATCCGTCCTTCACTGCCATGGTGTTTTAGCCCTGCGACACGGTCCTTGGACTCCAGCTTGGACCGAAGCTGTGCAGAACGAAAGCCGGCCCAAGGAGGACACGAGCAGGGTGGCAGTTGGCAGTGCAGTGTCGTCTCGGGTCTCTTTAGGATGCCATTTCAAGTTTCATACTGCGGTTACGAACGGGGGCTTCGGGTATGGGTCTTAAGTGCTAGAGCAACCCTTTAGGTCCCCAAGACACCTGCCCAATGACGAAAGCTCCTATTTCTTGAGCCATGAAAAAGTGTCAGAGCACATAGTTGTGCGTGTCATCCTGCAGGGGTCCATGCTGCTTGCATGTGCACAGTGCCAAACGCACATACAAATGGTTTGTTTAGGTCAGTTTCTGGTTTCTTTAGGGTTCATTTCATGCTTACGACACAGAGGCAGGCATGACCCTCCAGTGTCCAGGGGTCGGCGGCAGAGGGCGTAGCCCTTTAATTTGAGGCACAAAGCAACCAGCTGTGGTTAGCAAACATAGCAAACCAACCAACGTTTTCAAAACGAACACCCGCACCGCTCACTGCATGTGGTTGCTGAGGTGCTTTTGCAGCCAGCACCGCGGAGAATGATTCCGAAGCGGGACACATGTCAGCAGTTGGAAATGAACTACGAGTCATGTAAGTCATGCAGAAACAGAAACAACAAAACATACAAGTTCCGTTTTTTGCCGCAATATGGACCATACGGTCCATACGTATAATAGTCATCATTAGGAAACGGTTTCTCATGTGACCAGCTCAAGCACTCCTGGTACAGCTCCTCTTCGAGGAAGCGGAAGCACAGGAATGTTTGTTGCAGGTGGATCTGGTATGACCTGTTCACAAGTGGAGAGGCAGCAGTTCAGCACTCTGCCACTTCGAACGCCTGGCGCAATCACATCGAACATGAACATGAGCCATGGGGATTGCGATGTTTGCATTCAAAAAGGCTGCCAGACAGGTTGAACAAACACTTCGCCAGCGCCTGTTTTTTTGTGTGCTATCTGAAGCATCTGGGCCTTGCAGCATGTGCAGTAAGAAAACCTAATTTGTCATGAACACACGTGAACAGCTGTAGGAAAATCCGTATCAGCTATGTCCACGGGTTTTGCAGTGTTTCTCTTTGTCGCAGTCGGGAGGGCCTGAAGTCTCTCATTGAACTCTTCAACGAAACCTCGGAAAGATCTGTTGTCAATCTCAATCTTGTCAAGGCAAATAAAAGATATTGAAGCTACCAGTGTATCATATCATGGAACATCTTCATCATTTTCTGCACGTGAAGCCCATCCTCTTTGCAATTCTTTTATACGGTTGGCTTAGGATTCAGCAAGTCCAGATTTCGACTTCAAGGCAGGAAGACCTGACAAAGATGGACTTCCAGACTCGTTTCACCTCGTTTCCACAGAATCCCTTTGACCTTGCCTGGTCGTGGAGAAGCATCAGGCTTTGGGCCTTGGAACAAAAACATGCTTCTGATCCCTGAACAGAGCTGATCCATGACACCATGACATCTTGTGCTTCCACATGGTGTGAAACTGGGAGACGAGACCTGTGTGCAAGAGCGCTTGAACACTTTCAATGATTCAATGCTTGGCTTGGTGATTAGATGTGATTAGATTTAGCGGATTTGATTTGCATGACTGGCTTTCGCATTGTTGATCATGCTGGGCTCGCTTCTGGATGGTTCTCGAATCACCTGGAACTCTGGCTCCGCAACAAGCCTGTGAGGAAGGGGCACCATGGATGAAAGAGCAAGAACCATCGACCATCAATCTGACTCACCATCATCACTTTCCGGGAAGTTCACGGACTTGCATCATCTCAAACTGTCGCGCGGGCTTCGAAAGGCGATATGGATCTTTGGCATCATTCCACACCATATTCTGGAACCTGGGTCTGCCAAAGTGATCAAACTCAAACGTGACTGAACTCGCAAATCTCAACAGATCTAAGCAGATCTCAACAGGAAGTTGCGCTCCGGTCCGGGGCGGAGTTAGGTCGAAGACTTGTCATCTTGCTGAAGTCTTCCACCAAGGCCCTGGTTTTGGTGAGGCCAAAATATATGCAGCGACCCAGGCGTCAAGTGTTTCATCAAAATTTCATGAAGTGCTGCTGTTGGGATTTGCCAAAATTGCCTTACAATTGTAGCAATGCTGCCTGGTAAGCAGTATTAAGCAATGTTCCATGGACCCAGTATTGACAGTTGTTCAAGTAGAGCAGAAGTTGGCGTGCCTTCTTGAAGAATGCGCGTCTTGCCTGAAGACAGAGGTGTGCAACTTCCACAGCTAAATTCAGAAATTGTTTGGACAGGGGAAACATTCAAAACCACAGTCTATTTGCATACAGTGTGGGAGTTGATGGCCTTGGTCCTTGGTCCTTTACAGAATCTTCTTGACAAATCATCCATAGACTCACGTAGAATGGCTACTCTCGGGCCATCGGCCGTCTCCAGGTCCGGCGTTGATGCGCTCATCGCACTTTTGGGAGGCAAGGGCCTTGGAACATGGACGTGGCATGGCGTGGTGCTTTTCAGACCGGCCCAGTGGCAGTGGTTGTTTGCTAAGACTGTGTTCTCTGGTAAAGCGGAAGAGCTGAAGACGCTGCGTCACATCTCGAAGAACAATCTGCTTTAAACCTCAGGTGAACGATGTGAAGGAATAGAGTGGCTTTGCTGTAGCAAATAAGTGCATACTTAGTGGAAAAATTAGACATCAAATGACATCAAAATGGGCTCACGGAATGTGAACCAATTTTCCCTGCCAAGGAACAGCCACAGCAAAGAATTCCTTGCCCATTGGGAACCACCCGGAAGGCATCTGGATCCGACCTTGGGCAAGTTTCTGCAGCTCTGGCATACAAGATCGTGCACATCCAATAAATGAATATATATATATTATATTATTATATATATATGAATATATACCATAGATTAACATAGTATTGTAACATACAATATTAATATATATTAATATTGTGATATCTTGTAATATATTATATATCAACATTGATATATTGGGTCCATATGACGAATCCTGATAGTATGCATTGCTATGCAATGTATACCATGGGATCCCTAGAGTGCCCGTCTGCAGTGGCAGCTGTGACAACCCAACTCGGAGTGCCAACTCGGCTCCCAGACCCACTTCCAGGGCGCGCTGAGGTTGCATTCAAAGCATCTTGTGTGATCGCAAGTTTCGATTGCACTGCCTGAAGAATCACAGTTCATGCAATTGGCATAGTACGAAGCAATATGATTACATACTTGATATTACATAGAATTACAGTACATTACGGCATAGTACGGCATTTCTAGAGTCTGGTGGCTTCAAGGCAGCAGAAACCCATCGAAAACTGTACAAGTAGCGCCACGCAAACATTGCAAACTCTTGGCACCTTGAGCTGCTTGGCAAGTGATTCCTGGCCGCTCAAAGTCAGAGGATCCAGTGTTGTTCCAGTTTGTTTGTGATGTTACCGTTGTTCAACTGTTCATCTACCCATATCTACCCTAATAATCCCCTGTATGATGAACTATATGAACTGATGAAGGGAAGCACACGTGTGACTCATGCGCAAGGCGCTCCGTCTCACTGTCGTACTTCTCTTGCAGCTCATCTAGCTTGTCCTGCACCTGACCATCGCATCACATCGCCGGGAAACAAAGGCGAAACCAGGGCGAAACCAAGGCGAGCCTCTTTGAGTCTGCGATGCCATTCATCCTGGCCGACGGATGCAAAGAAAAATATATACAGTAGAAAGTTTGCAAAAATGCATCCACAATCATCAATGATCATCAAATATCATCGATGAGCATGCAGATCTTAGCTGAATTTAGTGAAGAGTCCTTATTTTTCTTTGAAGACGCTGTCCTCGTGAGCCTTCTGAGCAGCTTTTCTTCTGGCAATGGACTCTTCATCAAGGCCTGCTTCCTGCAGCTGTCAGCTGGGTGCTGGGACTCTGCAAATTGGGTATACCATGGTATACCCATGGTATACCCTATACGTTGTATACCCCCAAAATGGATTCAAAATGGTGACAATAACAGGGATACTGATGATTGACCACTGGATACCACTAGATTTAGGGGTACCCTGTTTTGCGACAAACCCAAATCTTGTATCGGTTCGGCAAGACTGACAAACCTCCTTGATGTATTCCATCTCCGCCAGAACTCCATCGATCCTGCAAGTGCAAATGACAACTGCTTACAAAACAAAACTCTTGAACTTTTTGTCGGAATCTACTCATTTGTTCATGATCCTTTCACATCTTTATTCAACCAATCACAGACTACCAAACATACCAAATTGATCCAAACAGCGCTTCACGCCTTTGCTCCAGTGCATCTCTCTCTCCAATTGTCTTGTCAAGATCAGCTTGAAGAGCATCACAGCCTTGAAACTATGACAGAAGCAGATCATCGACCAGCTAGGTGCAGCTAGTGCCAAACACATCCATTCTCTGCAGGGATTTTTTGTGACCCAAATATGTCTTCCACATCCTGGGCATGGTACGCAAGTTGGCTTCAACCAAAGCTTCTTCAGTCTCCTGGTGGGCATCGAAATGAATCCGTCTCGTATCATCCTTGTCCTAGTAGGAGTACCCACTTCTCCCTTCTTCGATGGGAATCTCATCCACATTGAGTAAACCCCCAGCAACGCATCGTGGAAAAACGTTTCCAAGCTCTGGTGGATTGAGCTCCTTTAGCTTCTTGCGCGTTCGCTCCAACTCATTCTCCAGGACCAGGCTTGGATGGATTCCGCACCATGCACGTAGAGCCTTGGAGGGATTCCCAGTGCAGGGTTCATGATCATCCCTAGTACATTGGATAGTAGAAGACCCTACAATCATCTACGAGTACAATCATCAATCAACAAGGGTTTCGAACCTCACATGACTTGCTGTGAGATGAAAGGATTCCGGAAAATATACTGGATACCTCTGCAAACATCCTGAGGCTCCAGCATGACTTTGTGCGAAGGGCCATGCTTTGGAGCTAAGCGATCGTTCCTGACATCAGATCTGCAGCTGCAATCGCATTCAAAAATCACTTGACAAGTATGGCATCAAATCTGGTGAAAGGAAGTGCACAGGCTGTGACAGGTGCAGTAAATTGAGCTAATAAAATATGGCCAATATCATGGTAATGTCATGGTAAAATCCGTAGATAGCGGCCTCACCCTGATGCCAGGCTGGGGCGGCTGGGGCCCTGGCAATCATCCGGTGAGCTGCTTGGCGAATCTTTCCACGGAGCTGCTCCACATGAGCCTGTCAGATTGCGACCGAACACTTCCAGAGGGTCTGCATCTGAGAGTTTCTCTGCAAAGTTAGAGAAAAACATTGAAAAACTCCGCTTGCTTTCAGACTTTCTGGCCATCTGCGAAGTGCGGTGGCATGAGAGTTGGCTGACAAAGCGGACCTGAAGTCCACTGATGTGAGTACGATCGGCCAGCAGTTGCTCTTGAAGCTCTCGAACCTTCAAAGTAAAGTGGCGTCAGGATTTGCCATGGAATGTCTAGGACGCCTTGCAACATAGATCGACCTGCGATTAAACCGATGATTACGGTAAACATAATATCCAGCTTTCAATGCAAAGCACCTCCTTCCTCCGTCTGGCATCCAGATCGTCCAGTTGCCTCTGGAATTTTTCCTGCAAAGGTTAGAGTGAGAAGCTCTTGGAACTCATAGCTGCTACATGCTGCCACACAACATGCATCATTTTGAGGCTTTTGTCCGTTGAACTGTGTGTAATGCATGCAGACTTCAATAAAATCCAACAAAGCAAGGTGCCTTCATGATGCGGATTTTCCAGGCATTTAGCACTGTCTTGACCTCATCTTCTTCCTGTCTCCTGCCATGTGACAGTCAGCTACAGCATCTAATTTCAAGCTATGCACACTCACTAGCTTCCAAAGTGTTGTCACATGACAATGTCCAAGAACTAATTGGCCAGCAAGGCTTTTTCAGCTCATTCTGCATCTTGGCGAGCCTGGCTTCAACTGGGGATGTTGGGGAGAGAGGTATTAATATTGGACTGGAATATTACTAGCATATTTTCGATAAGTACAGTACAATGATGATGAATTGTTGTCTTGAGCCAAGTTTTTCATCTATGTCTTCTATCACGAATGGCAGAGGCAAAGGACGTAAAAAGCTAAGGGAAAAGCATGAGTCTTCTCCGCCGCTTCATCACGGCGATCACTTCCCTAAGCTGTCTGGCATCCTCAGTATCAAATGCTCAGAAGTATTGAATAATCCAAATATCTTCACGTTCGCCTCAAAGATTTCATATGTTCACTTGCAAGGAATAGAATAACTATACGTATATGATATAATATCCGCCGACCCCTGCCGTCAGCAGGGGGAGCGCGTCAGAGGAGGCCTTACTAGCAACAAGATGCCAGAAGGGGCGAAGAGTTTGTGCAGAACGAAAGCCGGCTCCAGAAGGACACGAGCAGGGTGGCAGTTGGCAATGTAGAAACGCGGGAAAAGTCAAGGTTTGGAGCTAGTTTCTAGTCGGTTCAGAAAGTGACGTTTGGCAGTCTGGGATACGGGCCGCGGGCCCAATCCGTCCTTCACTGCCATGGTGTTTTAGCCCTGCGACACGGTCCTTGGACTCCAGCTTGGACCGAAGCGGTGCAGAACGAAAGCCGGCTCCAGGAGGACACGAGCAGGGTGCCAGTTGGCAGTGCAGAAACGCAGAAAAAGTCAAGGTTTGGAGCTAGTTTCTAGTCGGTTCAGAAAGTGACGGCAGTCTGGGATACGGGCCGCGGGCCCAATCCATCCTTCACTGCCGTGGTGTTTTAGCCATGCGACACGGTCCTTGGACTCCAGCTTGGACCGAAGCGGTGCAGAACGAAAGCCGCCTCCAGGAGGACACGACAGGGTGGCAGTTGGCAGTGCAGAAACGCAGGAAAAGTCAAGGTTTGGAGCTAGTTTCTAGTCGGTTCAGAAAGTGACGTTTGGCAGTCTGGGATACGGCCCGCGGGCCCAATCCGTCCTTCACTGCCATGGTGTTTTAGCCCTGCGACACGGTCCTTGGACTCCAGCTTGGACCGAAGCGGTGCAGAACGAAAGCCGGCTCCAGGAGGACACGAGCAGGGTGGCAGTTGGCAATGCAGAAATGCAGGAAAAGTCAAGGTTTGGAGCTAGTTTCTAATCGGTTCAGAAAGTGACGTTTGGCAGTCTGGGATACGGGCCGCGGGCCCAATCCGTCCTTCACTGCCATGGTGTTTTAGCCCTGCGACACGGTCCTTGGACTCCAGCTTGGACCGAAGCGGTGCAGAACGGCTCCAGGACGACACGAGCAGGGTGGCAGTTGGCAGTGCAGTGTCGTCTCGGGTCTCTTTAGGATGCCATTTAAAGTTTCATACTGCGGTTACGAACGGGGGCTTCGGGTATGGGTCTTAAGTGCTAGAGCAACCCTTTAGGTCCCCAAGACACCTGGCCAATGACGAAAGCTCCTATTTCTTGAGCCATGAAAAAGTGTCAGAGCACATAGTTGTGCGTGTCATCCTGCAGGGGTCCATGCTGCTTGCATGTGCACAGTGCCAAACGCACATACAAATGGTTTGTTTAGGTCAGTTTCTGGTTTCTTTAGGGTTCATTTCATGCTTACGACACAGAGGCAGGCATGACCCTCCAGTGTCCAGGGGTCGGCGGCAGAGGGCGTAGCCCTTTAATTAAATACATACATATATATTATAATTATTATATAATTTTATAGTAATTGCAGTTTGCTCAGTTAATCTCACTTCCACCATCGTATCTGAGGTCTAGAACTAGCAGCGAAGCAATCAGACCACCTTCTCGGTCTGAGCTGACAAAGCTCGATCGCTCCAGCTCCTGAAATCGCTGAAATGTGGCGCTGCTCAACTCCGTTCTGGACTGCGGCTGCATGGATTTCTGCTCTGCTCCAACTGATCCAACATGGGCAAAAAGACTAAGTCAACATAAGTCAACTAAGTAGTACTAAGTGCGCAATTTCCTGGAGGAGGCGGTCGTTCTCAATCCGAGACTGGCAAAGCAAAGGCTTTCAGATTCAGCAGAATCAAGCTGCAGCAAGAAATATTTGAAAGATTCTCAAAGTCATCAGCCGCCTTTGAAACCTTGTCTCGCCATCTTTGTTCTGCTTCTTCCATGTACTCGATCCTGCAAAGGCCATTTTTCGGCCATTCCCCTGTGTTTCACATCAAAACCTGAAAGCTTGCCAAATCATGTTGGAACATGTCAGGAAATGGCCTGTCAGTAGCATCGTCAAGCTCTTCTTGAAGTCTATCGCGCTCGTCCTAAGCATCACAAGGCACCCTGGAGATCTCTGGAATCCTTTCTAACTGTGCTGCAAAGCCCTTTGAATCTCTTTGAACTCTGCTTCATGTAGCAGTGCTCTTACTGTATCAAATGCATCCACATGTTTCCACATGTAAGCTTCCTGTAGTTTCCTTCTCTCAGGTTTGTACCACTAGTGTCTTGGATTGATTCTCCAAATCCTCCAGCTGCTTCTCCAACCTCAGAATGGCATCAATATTATCAATGAGTCATCAATGAGTCATCAATGTCATCGGCCTAGGAGATCTAGGAGATCTAGGAGATCTAGGAGATTTAGGAGACTTCGTGAGGGTTGCCGTCCGCTGGGTCCGCTGGGTCCGCTGGGGCTGGGTGAGGCTCCCGAGCATCGGGCTGCTGGTTTCGGTCTTCCAACTCCTGGAGCTGATCTGCCATGCGCTCCACGGTGTCTCTGCTATCTGCTTCACTGGCAGCTGGCCTCAGCTGGATCATACGGAATCTCCCTGAGGGTCTCATGCAATATCAGATATCATACGGGTATCATACGGGCTGCAGACCCTTCAGGTTCTCCTTGTCTGAGCAGTTCTTCAGGAATTTCCTGAAGCCCAGTGACTATGCAAATGATGCATGTCGAAAAGCATGTATCTTTTCAGGAAAAAACGTCCTCACCTCTCCGGCATCTATAGCTGCCTGGATGGCTGCACGCCGCTTGGCCTTCCACAAACACAAAAGTTCATATCACAGTTGAATGTGTCCGCTTGTATCTGCTTGTGCATATCGACACATGAATTTAATTGAATTCACATTGAAGGCCATGCGCCTCCTCCTCCTTTTTCGAGCCTCTATCTATGCCGGCCTTGGCCACATGTGCATGTTTGACTGCTGAATGGCACAAGGTGACAAGTGAGATTCAACTCAGAACTGCTGAGCTTGTCGCTCGTGCGAAGGTCTTCTTGGTTGCTACCTACCATCTGCTTCCCACAACTGCTGTGACATGGGGCGTGTCAAAATTCTGTACCCCTGGGCAACATCAAAAATAGCAAAATAGCTGGTAAATCGATGATCCATCCGCATAAGCTGTGTGAACATGTCGTGCCCCACGTGGAATCTGGAAATGCTCCGCACAAATGCTGCTCACCGCAGCGGGAACATGATGGAAAATGTAGACTATGTATGACTAGGTATGGTCTCGTCATGATTGGACGAGATTGGAGGATATGGAATTGATATGGAATTGATATGGAATCAAGATTGGATTGATATTGGATTGATATTGGATTGATATTGGACCTATTGGACGATCATATTGCGGATATAGGATTGATATGGGAGGATACCGCGTGATGCCTTGGACTCCCGAGGATAGACTGGCCAGCCACAGTGATTGCACCTGGCATTTAATCACAGTTGTTGCAAGGCTAGAACTTCACGGTAGAACTTGATTAAACATGATAAAAACCTGATAAAACTATGACTTCATGAATATGAATAGGATCCGCTCTTTCTCTACTCACCTGCGAAACCACCAGTCAAAGTTGAAAACCAAAAAACAAACGCAAGCCAAGTTGCTCCACACATTTGGGGACTGTCAGCGGATCTAAATCTGCTCCGTCAGGAGAATCCTGGAGCCCAAGCGAATCTTGGAAACAGAAATTTCTGGCGGTTCCCGGTGCTTGCCTGCAGCTCGGTAAACTTTGCCCTCAACATCCGCGCATTCTCTACCTCTGCTGACTGTCCAATCTTTCCATGGACACGCAGTGCACACAGTGCAGAGTTGAGTGTTGAGTTGGTATCAAATCAGGACAACATGACTCAAAGAAACGCATCTTGGTTGGCATAGCTTGGAATTCTCTTCTGTAAGCTCCACAATGACTCCTCCAGCTGGGTCTCGCACGCGGGTCACGGGCTTGTTCTTCTTGGCAGCTGCCAATATATGCTGCAGATTCTGCATGGTTTGCGCCTGCAAGAGGTTTGAACCTGCCCCCTTGCACTGGTATCACTGGGAAAGCATTCGTAACCCAATAAACATTATAATATTTATGACATCCTCTAAGAATCCAGCTGGCAAGAGATGGTTGTGCCCAAATGCCAATGACATAATGAACATGGATGAACATGGTTTACAGTAGTTCCACATAGTTCCACACAAGAAAATCATTGATTTTCCTCCCGTGCTGCCTTGGCAGGCAAGTTGCGACCGCTAGAGGCCATTCGTGTCGTCAGCTGCTTGGTGCTGGGAAGCGTGTGATGACCACCTGAAGGACCGAATCATCACCCATTTCAAGGACCAGCCGAGTCAGTCTGATAATCTATCTTGAAACATCTTGAACAGAGCTGCTTGTCATTGCACACAAAGCTTGGCACTCATCTTGACAGTCTCCTGAGTCAACACTGGCCACAATGTCAAAGGATGTCAAAGGATCAGGATTGATGATCAAGCAACAATCCAAGCTCTTGGCAAAAGACACGGCGAGGCGTCAACGTGGATCAGATTTGGGATTGTTGTTGTCTAAGGCAGGTTGCGGTTGGGGTGTCAATCAATACGTTCTTGCGATTGATTCACAAACAGAATATTGAATCGAATGGTATGAATTATAGAGATACCAAAAACTTTTGTTGAACATTTATGTCACTGAACATCTCTACAGATTGATCTTGTTGAGCTGGCCGACTGTAACATGATAAGGCTGGTCGGGCTAAGTTTGTGAAACAGCCGTGGCTGGGAGCCCATCAACAGTCAATGAGCTCTTGCTGAAACGTGAGCCATGGGCATATTCCTGCATATGCCAACATTATCCAACATTTGAAAATGTCAACAATGCTCTTGTCATGGACATATTCCTGTTGATGCCCATGAACTACATAGTCAGAACTGATGTGTCCACTTGTTTCATCTTTTTTCGTTCCTGCAAGCCCTTTTAGGCTTTGGCACGCAACGCCTGGTCACCAGCATATGCCATCACAAGCTCCAACAGCTCTTGTTCTGAGATGCGTAATTTTAAGGCCAGGGTCAATCGATCACCAATAGCATCGGCAGGGGGGTCCTTCTCCAGCTTGTCGAGCTGCTTCTTGTCCTCTTCAAGAGAGAATGGATATTCATTCTCTCGCGTCTTCAAACCTTGCTGCAGCAATTCATACGCAGATGCCTCTAGTTCTGGTTCCTGTCGAGGAATCATCTCTTCTGCGTCTTGTGGCAAGTCATCTTTCTTTGCCAGAATTCTCAAGACTGGCATCAACTTTGGTTCCCACTCTCGGGGCTTTCGCGAGATGCGAAAGATCGCAGTGGCGGGATCCTGATCTTCAAGCAACTGGCTGATGAGTTCGAGCTGTGCATTGGACTTTACAGGTAGATGCTCTCCGACTCTGATGTATACTGCCTCCTGGCTGTTATCAGGATCAACAAATCCATACTGAGACAAAATCTCAGCATTGCTCTTCCCACCATAGCTTACCCAAACCTGCTCGCCAGCTTCATAGTTCTTGTGCGCATAGGCTACAATGCCATTGCCGAAGCGTGTGAGCTGCAAAGCGCCGGCTTTGTGATTTAGAAAATCAACCAGTGGTGCGATACAAAGATGAGTTCCTGATGGGTCGTCCCCATATGCCCTGGAGGCCACATTGGCTGCAGCCCACAAGTAATTTTTGAAGCTGAAGGTCTCAGCTGGAAAGGTATCTGGATGCTTTAGGAAAAGATTCTCATTGAGCCACTCATATTCATCAACAATGGTGTTATACATTGCAAGAGCTGCGCCATATCCATCACTTCCCTGTAGCAAGGAGATCTCCTCCTCTGACCAAAGAAAGCTGGGACCCGAAACATCGCCGTTGAAGTCTGGCAGCCTCTGCATGTAGACGTGCCACTTCGAAGCAGTGCCGTGCAAGAAGCGCTCCTGCACCAGGAGAAGAATCAACGCAAGGCGGTCGGACAAATCTTCCACCAATGCTCCCCAAAGATCAACTGCCTTATCCTTGTTCAATAGCAGTGAAGTGGGTGCCCAAGCAAGGATATCCCCTGCTACCAGTGGTGCTGTGGTTACTAGCCCAAGTTCCCCTTTGGCCAGATCCTCAGTTGCAGCAACTTTGACCTGAATATCTGATGTATCCAGACCAGTGCTTTTCACCCAGTCAAACATCTCTGGCCACAGCTCGGAGTCCAATCGCTTGGAGTCTCTCACAACTCGTTGCAAGCCCTTGCCGGATCGACATGTCCCAGTTGTAGTGTGGTGGGTTGCACCCAGCCACGCCTGCGGCCCCAAAACCAAACATCCGAGAAGCAGCGCATGCAGAAGCAGAAAGCATCGCAGCTTTCTCCGACTTGGCATCATGCGCAATGCATGGCCGCAGAAGACCCTGCGATGCTGTATTCTAACGTGATCTAACGTGTTTTAATTATGGTTTGCTGGCTACATTTGCTGCGACTCTTCCACCAGCACCAAGGGATCCAAAGGGACTGCCTGGGCCTTGACTAAAGCTTGGCTATCTTCTTTGATTCTCAGTGAATCAGTGAATATCATACGTTTGTGGTGCGGGCAATAATATGTTATCCTTACAACAAAATCTGCAATAACACGTGATACATGTGCACTTGCTTGGTGCCTTCGTCCATTAGAGCATGAGAAGCCTCCATTAAGACAGCCTACAGCAGCCGTGTCAGCATCAGAAGTGTATCAATCAGACCACGTCAGACTATCAGACCATATCAGACCTATCTTAATTTTCAGCTCCAAACTGAGAGCAGAGGATTGCGGCATGAAGATCAGAAATTCTGTTCAGTATCCACCTATGATCTGACACGTCTGTTGTCATGTTTGTGTGTGTGTGTGTTTGTACACACCTTTGCGTGTGTGGGTCTATTTGTGCGCAGGAGGCCTTATGTGAGCAGGTGGGCAAACAATTGCAGGGTTTGTGGCCAGTCTCTCTATTTAATGGCCATACAGCCAAGTTGCTCTGATGTCATCAGTCACATGACAATCTGTGTTTGAAAAGGTCATTGCGAGCGACTGTACAGTATTACTCGTCCAGGTTGATTGCAAACATGCCTTTATGTCGCTGCTTCAAGCTACATAAGCTGACGGCTGCAAGTGCTCTGCTTTCCTTTTCTGGTCTTTGGAATAGAAGCTATGGAAACCCCACCTTCGACTGGAACATCAGTGCCTGAGGGCGATTCAAGAAATCAATTCACACTCAGTACAAACAGGTATTGGCACACGCGCAAAAACACAAGCACGGAATGAACAACTGAACGACCCCATGAACAATTACATAAGTCGGAAAGTGATTTACATACTATAGTTGTATCATGCATGGTGCATTGAACTTGGAAAAATGAGACGTTCGAGCACTGCTTCGCTGTTTGCTTTCTTTTTGCTGTATCCTATGCCCGCGTGGTGTCCTTCGCCCTTCGGGGGAATTGCTGCCGGGGTCTCAACTTGCCAGCAACAAGTGTCACTTGTTGGATGGTTAAGGTTGAACGGTTGAACCGTGTTGAACCAAAGCAAGTCATGGCAAGTCAATCTACAACGGTCAAGCGAACACCACCCTGTTGGCACACAGAGTTTGAACAGAGCCATAACTCTGTAAGGATTCCAAGCGAGGCTGTTGAAATATAAAGTCGCTGGAATCCAAAACATCACAAAATTGCTGAGGAAGTGGCGAAATAGTGGCGAAGCAATTGATCAAATGACCAAAAGGGCTTGCACATTTGGCTGCCCGGACGGCCCACAAGGCTTCGCAGTTGATGCAGTTGAATTTCAAAGGTCGCAATAGAGGGAAAATCAGCATCCGTTGGCCCATCCCGTGAGGGTGCTAACTGAAAGCTGATGAGCACTCACTTCTCGAAAAAAATCGAGACTAGCGCGACTTGATCATCGCTTCAAAAAAGCAGACTCCGCTGAACTATGCTGCTGAACACTGAGTCATTGCCATTCTATATATGATTTTGGAGGTGCTACAGGCCAGCTTGGTCACAAGCTCATCAGGCAAATCATTCTTCAACTTCGGACAAAGATGGACAAAGAAGTTAAGGTCCATGAGTGCAAAGATGTGCAAAGGAAGTCTAAGTCTGAGTCTAAACAAAACCATGGCTGTGCCTGCACACCCTGGAAGCTGGCTGACCTGTTCAAGTTTACGGCAAGCTGTTCCAATAATATGTTGAATTTTGATGAATTGTGATTCACTTGCATTGATTCACTTGCCACATGCCACATCTTGCCACTTGAACAAATCGCCGGTTCGAATCCTGAATTCATTCAGGACTTGAAAACACTTGAGCTGCCAGGCTGCGATCTGCACCACTCAAATCTCGACGGCTTAACACGTCGATGTAAACCTTTCGATCAAAGCCCTTCGGAAAATCGCTCGGAGACAAGCGACAATGGCGATGCAAAATGCTCGTGCCAAATTCAGCAATTTCGGCTTTCAGAAGTTTGCCCAAGTTCAAGGGCAAAACCTCAAAACATCTGGAAGGGCGAAGACACATTTCCCTATCATGTCCCTTTCTGTCCCTGCCTATCACGAGTCATCACACTTCGCGTCACGAGTTAATCTCTTGGATCAAAGAGGAGCATCTGAGATAGCTGCTGCAAAATGCTGCAAAAATAAGCGTCGCTGTCCTGAAGATTTCTCAAATAGAGCAAGAAAACTTTCAGAACTTGAAACATTGGTGAACTTCTCTCACAACGCAAAACTCAAAACGTCTCAGAATGTAATGATCCCTTCTCCTTACAGAATCTCGCTGGAGACGATTTCCACACGCGCAAGGCGTGTGCAGCGACACTCAAATAATGCTTCGATTTCCTAGGCCAAGCTCCTGGAAGGATAGACTGGCGAGGGGTGCAAACACACTTTTCACAGACTTTCTGGGACAATGTATGATCAATGTGCTCCTCCATATGATGAGGTCTGTGAGTCCTGTTTCCAGGTTACCAACGAAGATGCCACATGAACAAAGCATTGACGAAACGCTGGTCCACATTACATATTCATATAACTTAATTATCAAGATCGCAATAATGGTGCAGTACCTCAGAACCTGAGGAGGGGGACGAAAGCCAGCCCCTAGCCGGAATCTTTTTGGTTCTGCAAAGAAATGTCGCTGTAGCCTAGGCTATGATCCAAGTTTGCCGTCTGAAAGGTGCATGCATGTTTCTTTTTTTTCACACTTGTCCATCTTGTCCTTGCTTTGCAACCCTTCGCCACTCCTTCCTCGGTATCACTTCTCATCCCCTTGCAAACTGTCTTGCTCCGAACCCCAACGGACGCTGCTCTCCGTTGAGCTTCGGATCCTTAGTTTTTTCAATATGCTCGCCTCTGTTCCTAGTTTTTTCAAAGCTTTGTCTTTCCTCCATTTCATGCCTTTTTTTCAAACCTTTTCCTGCGTTTTCCTACGGCTTTTCAAGAGTTTCCTTCCCGCAATTTCCTCATTTCCCCAACAATTTCCTCAGTTTTCCTTGGTTTTTCCTAGCTTGCCATTATTTTTTTTCCTCCAGTTTAATGTTTTTTTCACAATTTTCCTCCATTTTCCTCCATTTTTTGCAACCCTTCGCCACTCCTTCCTCGGTATCACTCCTCATCCCCTTGCAAACTGTCTTGCTCCGAACCCCAATGGACGCTGCTCTTCGTTGAGCTTCGGATCCTTAGTTTTTTCAATATATTCTTGCCTCTATCTTCCTAGCTTTTTTAAAGCTTTGCCTTGCCTCCATTTCATGTTTTTTTTCAAACCTTTTCCTGCGTTCCCACGGTTTTTCCAGAGTTTCCTCTTCATTTTCCCAACGGTTTCCTCGATTTCCTTGGTTTTTCCAAGCTTGCCATTCATTTTTTCTTCCAGTTTAATGTTTTTTCACAATTTTCCACCATTTTCCTCCATTCTCCCACTGTTTTTTAACGATTTTCCTTCATTTTCCTTGGTTTTTCCTACCTTTTTCCTTCCGTTTTCAGGGGACCTAGGGAGAATCGAACCCCACCGTCACCAAATTGCCTAGTGGTACATGCCCCCTAAAAAATTCAATTGGCCACCCTTATCACCACCCGATATCGAGATTTCGGTGCACCTGGGCAACCTCCCCCCCCACACCCCCTATACTCACTTCGTTCGCGAAAACAACTTTGCCTAGCCTATCGGCTGGCTTTCGTAACATCCAAGAAATATGTATTATAAGGTCTACATTCCCGCTGGAAGTCAAACAAAACAAGTCCTTCTGCATGCAAAGAATGATGTTACAAGATCACATGACCTGTTGCAAATTTGGTGAGTGGCTCGTGGCTCGTCTTCAACGTTTCTTGTGACTGTAGTGAACAGGACGCAGCCTCGAGCTTTCTCCAACCTCTTTCAGATGCCGAAGCATCGACAACCTCATGATAAACCACGTTTTGACTGTCAGTCACCAGTTGAAAAATGTTGAACTATCAAAACACTTGCGACTTGTGACTGCATCAATGAAATTTAATGGAGCGTCAAGGCTTGCCAAGCAGCATGTCAACATCGTTCGCAGGTATTTCTGAGAGTCCATTAGGAATGCTCCTAAGCGCGCGCAAGGATATGGGATTCTTGCACCTGGAGGGTAAAGATGGGTAAAGTGTGTTGCAGAAGAACTGCTGATACGTGATGTCTATTGATGTCTCGCTTTAGCAAAAACAAAGAAAAATAAAGAATTGCTATTTCAAAATTCGCAAAATTCGCAAAATTCGCAACGCTCCTGGGATCTAGCAGGCCCTTGTCTACCAAATTCCTTGCGATCGCGTGCATGTTCCGTTGAGCCTCGCCCATTCAAAATGCCACCATGGAGTGCTGCTATGCTGATGGGTCCCGTGATGCGGGATGAAATTATTGCTTGGCCTAAGGAAGTATCTGGGGCTGCCATGGGCTACCGGTAGAAGTTCTTAGAGTAGTTATGAGCAATTGGTAAGGGCACATTATAGCACAAGAGGATACAAGAGGAGATGCTTCGAAACATGCGAACTCTGTGTCTCCGTGGCTCTCCGTGCCTGTGCGTCACCAGCAATCTGCCCATCTCGGCCGGCCTGTGTCGGGCAAGTCTGATCAAAACATATTCATAACTTAGGAATCACAAAAACCAAACAGTTCTCAAACACTGACTTCTGAAGGATTCCGGCACCTGAGTGTTGGGAGCAGTTGCTAGGATTCCACGAGAGAGTGACCCGTGCGGTGACGATGTCTGCATGGGTGGCCCGTGAGGTGACGATGTTTGCACGGGTGGCCCGTGCGGTGACGATGTTTGCAGAGTTGGCCCTCAGACATAACGCGAAAAATGGGTATGGGCCACAGTATGGGTCAAGACCACAGGGCCTGTGGACCCTCCATTTTGGGGTTGATAAGTTTGACTCTTGCCAAATGAAAGCACGAAAGCTTACTCTGTACAACTGCCAGTCAGCGATCACATAAGGAGGAGGCACTGTCCAGAGCTCTCCTTGGCATCTGCTAGAACACCAGCCACAAACCACATCAACAAATCACTCCGATCATGTTCCAGCATCGTTCTAGCGGGAAAAAATGTGGCTGAATGCTTTGCAGACTCGAGCTGGAAATCGGCCAAGGAGAAAGGTTGGCTTGGAGTCTTTCTCTTGCAGCTCTGACAAGGTGATACGGCATATTTCATCATATTATCATATTGATGTTCGATGTTCTATCACTGTAATTTGTCCCAAATCGGGGCGATGCCCTTGGATTACACCTGGAAGATAGATTTTTCATTATTTTTCTGATGTGTTTAATATGTTTTTTCAATGACAACCAGCCGAGCTTCTGTGACATCTTGCAAACGGGGAGGACCAGGACCACGCATGACCTGGACCCCGGGATCCCAGGTCGAATCTGCTGAATCCCCAGCGATCTGAGCAGCTTGAACCATCCGTGGCCTGGCTACGCTTCTGCATGGCCTGGAATGAAAACGATTTTCTCGGAATGGATAGATATGGATAGATATGGATAGATATGGATAGACTGGAAATGACTGGAAGCATATGGAATCTGGAAACTCAATGAAACTCATGACTATGACTATGACATACTATGACATACTATTCACACCCGACAAAACAATTCGGGAGACTCGAGTGACTCGAGTCTACAATCAAATGGCCTGGTCAGTGCCTGCGCAAAATCCTTGTCTCACCAAAGATCGAAGCATGCCCATAATCTTTTCCGCCTGTCGAGGTAGTCAATCCACGTCATAAAACATTCGTTCATATTAGCGTTCTCCAGGTCATGGTAACTCATGGAACTCAGATCACACTTCGTGACACTTGGTAATGGGTCAAAACCTATCACTCCCATATTGGGTGGGATCAACATCCATTAACCAGTTGTTTTTAATTTACCGTTTGGGTACCAGGGTTTTGACCCACAACCACTTCTCCAGGTGGCGAATTGCCAATCATTGGCCCAGGCCTCCTTCATCGGATGCACGGACTCTTCGAGATGATGCATCCAACGCTCCATGACTGTGGGGTCTCCACAGGTGTCAAGAGAGGCAATTACCTCCTTCGCCTGCCGCAAGAGTTGACCATGTTCCGAGGTCGCCGAGGTCGCACCGACCTGCCATGGCGATGTTGGAGTTGTTGGATTTCTGGTGGCTGTGGGCCATTTTATATGTAGAGATGGATAGACATAGATAATATAATATAATAATATGATATAATATAATATAATATAATATAATAATATAATATATATAGGTATATATATATAATTATATATATATATAATATAGTATTTATAATAGTAGCTAATTATAGGTGCAGAATGATGCAGATCTGTTTCTAGTCTATAGCCGAATCGCTCCCTCCGTTCACCATTGAATAAATAATCAAGCACAGGCAGGATCCACCATGGCTGGCGTTGGCAAAGTACCACCTGCTGGTGCAGTGCTTGCAAGTGTAGCCACCGGCACAGTGCCTGGCGATGAATCTGGTTGTCAAGTCATTGGGGTACCAATAGACCCACAAAAAGCGAGTCATGTTCAGTATTATACCTATTAAACAGCATTAAACTTTATCATACTTTATCCAACCATCCATTTTTTGGAGCTTGATAGGGCTTGATCACTTTGACCCATACCCAAATCTGAACAATGGTGACTGATTGCCTTGATCACCCCAGAATTAGTTGCTGAATACGGGAAGCTGAGTACGCCGCCTTCACTGTGTAATGCTGCATGAGCACGGAGAGCACCCTGCACTCTCTGACTGATTCGTCCTGTCCACCAGGTTCAAGACAACAAGCTGATTGATCTTTCAACATCCATCTTGAAGTGCATGAAAAAGAACAAATATGAACAAAACATATGCTCAAGCAATCCAATGCAAGAAGTTTCGTGCTGAAGCTGTGTGTTTCGTGCATTTTTTCTTTGCCTCGTTGGCTTTGAATAGCAGGTGGGCTCACTGGCGGTGCGATTGGTCCAAGTGTTGCCCGCAGGTCTCGATCATATGCCTGCAGCAAAGCAATCCATTTGTCTCAAAATGTGAATTTCCATAGTCGTTGATCAATTTGATCATCATTTTCCATAGATATCCATAGATTCCTACTTTGAGACACCGTGACAAAGCCATCTGGCATGGGCCAGGAGGTCTGATTCTGCAGGTTTCGCCCACCTGCATCGGGAAACTACTGGCTTGTGGGCCTCAATGACGGTTGAAGTGCCAGGGCTTCAGTGGGATACAAAATCTGCAGGAACCTTTGACTCACCTGATCCACGTCATTGTCTTTGCCCCCCATGCCATGTCAACAGCGAATTGGGCCTGTCATTGCCTTTCATTGCCTTTCTGAGATGTCACCGGCACATACCAGCACTACGTGCTGCTGCAGGCAAGCACTCTTGGATTCGGGCCAGTAGAAGAAGAAAATGGAAGCTCCTTCCGTCATTCACTAAAGTGACCGATGTTGCACATGCATGTCAACTTCGGCGGAGCAAAAGGTGGTTCGGGTGATTGTAGATGCATTGCAGAAAATCGCTTTTCAGAATCCGTCTAATGCCAAGTATGCCAGGTTCTGCTGAGATCTTAAGTATATTATCCTCCGAGTCCTGCTCGGGTGTAGGCAGGCGTGTGTCTGGCCCAAGTAGGCCTACCCGTACCAGGTCTTTGCATCAAGCATCAGCAGCTAATGGCAGCTATCACATCTATCACCCCTTGCCTGGGCGGAAAGGGTGCTGTCCATTCGGAGACACCAAACCCATCCTGAACCAACCCAGGCAGGGCCGCCATCTGCATGAGACCGAGTCAACCGCATCTCTGAGAAGCCGCACATTGGGCCATTTCTCATCTCATTTCTCACATCCTGGGCAGCTAAAAATAGGATACCAATGGATACCACGTGACCACATTCTATGGCTGATCATCACGTTTAAGTCACGTTTCCTCAAACGGCCCTAAATTGGGGGATCACCTGTGTCCATGCCTGGACATACTCCTGCTGCGGAAGAGGTTGACCAGGAAATCCCAAAGACTCCCGTCTGGAAGACTCCTTCAGTGGCTTAGTATGGCTTAGTTGCGGAAGTAAAAACATAGAGGTTCAGACCTGGTTCTACTCCACATGGTATGGTTCGTGCCTGAATTTACAATAGTGTTGTCTAAGTTACAACAGCACAACCAGCAACGGAATGCTCCTGCCATTGGCGACCTGTGGTTCATTGCGAAGCCAGTGTCATTTTGGCGCGCCAGCAGTCAGTGTTACCCTCTGGTAAACTAACATAACTATGGAAAATCACCATTTTTAATGGGTATGTACAGTAAATCGACTATAAATGGCCATTTTCAATAGCTATGTTAAATTCCCAGAGGGTACTATACGTACGTATGTTAATATGCCACTTTCTTGCAAAACCAAACTCAGCCACTAAGCACTTATGATATCTTATGATACTTATGTCTTGCAGATTTTCCGCTTCCGGCTGCGCACTGCGCAATAAGCACTCTGGGTCTTGACATCCCCGGCCTTCTGGAGATATGGTCGCTGCAGCCACTCTTGCCTCATGCCACCAGAATTTGCAACGCTGTTCACATCGCTTTCTCCCGCCCAAGATGTTCCAAAATGGTTCGGTGGTCATTCCACACACATCAAACTACCATAGATCTGCCCAGACCCTTAGAGTTCGGACACTTGCGTCGCTCGCTGCGACAGGTTTGCGCATGTTGCCACGGAGAAACGGGGCAACCTAAGCAACGCAAAAAGGACAATACAGTTTGACTTCCAGCACAAACCAATGCTGCAATGCTGGTCTTTGTCCATGAGCTGAAATGAGGGCTTGAGCAGAAATTGACATGGAAGTCTGGTAGTTCATACAGTAAACTTTCAGACATGTTCAGACTGTATACAATTTGATACTACCGGCCGCATCATGTTTTTCTCCTCACTTGAGAAGAACTCCTCACTTGAGCAGAACGGGTTGAAATACAGTATCTTGTTTAAGTTTATATCCCTGCATTATATTTCCTATACTGCGTTGCATGTGTGTGTGTGTTGAATGGGAACTGCACCGGCTTGTCTAAGATCACCACCTTCTTAGATGCAGCGCTCAATGCAGCTGCTGCATCCTCGGTGCGCAAGATTAGTTGACGGATGTTGATCCACGTTATGACATGTATCAAATATACATGGCAGTGTGTCAAAACCTTGTGCCCCTGGTGAACATCAAAATAGCTGGTAAATGGATGTTCATCCCACTAAAAATGGTATTAATAGGTATTGATCCATACCCACATGTGAATATGCACCTAGATTTCTGTGTATGTCTGTATACCTGAGAAGAGGGGAACGAAAACCAGCATCCCATCTCCAAAAAAAAAAATCCCCCATATACTTTTCACCCACAGACTTTTCACCCACATACTTCTCACCCACATACTTCTCACCCATATATTTTTCACCCAGAGACTCTTCACCCAGAAACTCATCTTGCACATACTTTTCACCCACATACTTTCACCCACAGACTTTCACCCATATACTTTTCCCCCACCTATTTTTCACCCACTTACTTTTCACCCACATACTTCTCACCCACGTACTTCTCACCCATATACTTCTCACCCAGCGACTCTTCACCCAGAAACTCTTCTTGCACAGACTTTTCACCCAGAGACTTTTCACCCACGGGGTTTTCACCCATATATACTTTTCACCCACATACTTTTCACCCACATACTTCTCACCCATATACTTTTCACCCGGAGACTCTTCACCCAGAAACTCTTCTTGCACAGACTTTTCACCCAAAGACTTTTCACCCACGGGTTTTTCACCCACATACTTTTCACCCACAGACTTTCACCCATATATTTTTCACCCACATACTTCTCACCCATATACTTTTCACCCAGAGATTCTTCACCCAGAAACTCTTCTTGCACAGACTTTTCACCCAGGACTTTTCACCCACGGGCTTTTCACCCACATACTTCTCACCCATATACTTTTCACCCAGGGACTTTTCACCCAGAAACTCTTCTTGCACATACTTTTCACCCACAGACTTTCACCCACAGACTTTCACCCATATACTTTTCACCCACATACTTTTCACCCACATACTTCTCACCCACATACTTCTCACCCATATACTTTTGACCCAGAGACTCTTCACCCAGAAACTCTTCTTGCACATACTTTTCACCCACAGACCCACATACTTTTCACCCACATACTGTACTTTTCACCCACATACTACTCACCCATATACTTTTCACCCACAGACTCTTCACCCAGAAACTCTTCTTGCACATACTTTTCACCCAGGACTTTTCACCCACGGGCTGTTCACCCACATACTCTTCACCCACATACCTTTCACCCACATACTTTTCACCCAGAGACTCTTCACCCAGAAACTCTTCTTGCACATACTTTTCACCCACAGACCCACATACTTTTCACCCACATACTTCTCACCCACATACTTCTCACCCATATATTTTTCACCCAGAGACTCTTCACCCAGAAACTCTTCTTGCACATACTTTTCACCCACAGACTTTCGCCCACAGACTTTCACCCATATTCTTTTCACCCGCCTATTTTTCACCCACTTACTTTTCACCCACATACTTCTCACCCACATACTTCTCACCCATATACTTTTCACCCAGAGACTCTTCACCTAGAAACTCTTCTTGCACATGCTTTTCACCCACAGACTTTCACCCACAGACTTTCACCCACAGACTTTCACCCATATACTTTTCACCCACATACTTTTCACCCACATACTTCTCACCCACATACTTCTCACCCGTATACTTTTCACCCAGAGACTCTTCACCCAGAAACTCTTCTTGCACATACTTTTCACCCGCAGACTTTCACCCACATACTTCTCACCCACAGACTTTCACCCACATACTTTGCACCCACATACTTCTCACCCACATACTACTCACCCATATACTTTTCACCCAGAGACTCTTCACCCAGAAACTCTTCTTGCACAGACTTTTCACCCAGACTAGAGACTTTTCACCCACAGACTTTTCACCCACGGACTTTTCACCCACATACTTTTCACCCACATACTTCTCACCCACATACTTCTGACCCACATACTTCTCACTCATATGACTCATATACTTTTCACCCAGAGACTCTTCACCCAGAAACTCTTCTTGCACACACTTTTCACCCAAAGACTTTTCACCCACGGGCTTTTCACCCACATACATTTCACCCACAGACTTTCACCCATATATTTTTCACCCACATACTTCTCACCCATATACTTTTCACCCAGAGATTCTTCACCCAGAAACTCTTCTTGCACAGACTTTTCACCCAGGACTTTTCACCCACATACTTCTCACCCACATACTTCTCACCCATATACTTTTCACCCAGGGACTTTTCACCCAGAAACTCTTCTTGCACATACTTTTCACCCACAGACTTTCACCCACAGACTTTCACCCATATACTTTTCACCCACATACTTTTCACCCACATACTTCTCACCCACATACTTCTCACCCATATACTTTTGACCCAGAGACTCTTCACCCAGAAACTCTTCTTGCACATACTTTTCACCCACAGACCCACATACTTTTCACCCACATACTGTACTTCTCACCCACATACTACTCACCCATATACTTTTCACCCAGAGACTCTTCACCCAGAAACTCTTCTTGCACAGACTTTTCACCCAGAGACTTTTCACCCAGAGGCTTTTCACCCAGATACTTTTCACCCAGGACTTTTCACCCACAGAATTTCACCCATATACTTTTCAGAAAGGGGTGTTGTGAGCGCTAAAAAAAACGAAATTTTGGGGATATATAGCCTTGATACTATGGATGGTTTCATGTTTCATCCCTTCTCTAACGCATCCCAAACAATGAACTACTTTTGCTTTTAGGAGCTCTCACTAAAGGATAGGTCCTGGCATTGCTGTTATTCCTAATTGCTCTCATTCGCGTGTGTTTGGCATTCGTTTGTCCACTCATGATGCTTCTTGTCTTTCTTATGCAGAACGGCAGCCCCTGGGAGTGCAGTTTTCCCATGATTTAAGATGATATTTTGGGATGTTTTACTGCATTCCCCAAGGCACTTTGACAGCTTTGCCTGTGATTCATGCCAGTTTCCTTGAAGTACCCCACACTTGGTAAAAACCTTGGAAAAACAAAAAAAAACACAATATTTCTAGACTCTTTGGAGGGGGGGGTCCCAGCCAAGACTCTCTGAAACAGTATTTTTTTTTCTCCAGATGTTTTTGTTTTGGTAACTTTCAGCCATCTGCACCTTTTTGTAGACTGTGTGTTCCAATTTCGAAATGTTCGGCCATGTCCTAGATAATAACCTTAGTTTCATGCTATATTTTTTTGAAAAACATGTTGCATAAATTGATGGCACACTTTGCTGAAGTAATACGACCATCTTCTCAAGCATTATTGCATCATCGATGGAATCTGCTGTAGACTCATGTTACACTTTCTTGGAGGGATGCTACACAGATTTGCCAAGAAACTATTCACTTTTAAAACTACATATGCATACATAGACACACATGTATATATATACACATACACATACATATGTGCATTCTCAAAGAAAGGCTTCCCTTGATTGACACAGGTTTTGCACAGTTTGCAGTCATTTGACATTTTTTTCGAGCAAATGCTGCACTAGTTTGAAAGAGATATTGTAGGTAGTTGTGCTACTGCACTCTTTTCATAGGCATGTAGCACTTGCTTACATTGCCGTGATTATATTTGAATAAGTTTGCATTAAGATTTATAATCTATAATTACAATTTGTTGCGCATTGTTTGAAGCCATATTCTACTTTGTTCACAAAGAAAAGATATTGCACATTGTGAAGACCTTTTGAAAGTCGAGTCACATAGCACCCTTTTCAAAACAACACAACATTTCCATAGAACAGTTGTACTCTTTGAAAGGATGTGCTGCAGAAGGTGGTGCAATACTTGCTTTACAACAAAAAACACATATTTTAAAAACAGGCTTTTGCATCACCAATGGAATCTAGAGTAGGCTCTTGCTACACTTCCTTACAATAATGTTGCCCACTTTGCAAACAAGAATCTGCACTTTCAAAGGTAAAACACATGTTTCAATGTGTCAGTAAGATGGCACTCTTTTCAAAACCATGCTGTAGTAATTCAAGAATAGGTTCAATCTCGCAAAACAGCATACTACATTTTTCCTACAGGAATGCTATGATTTCTGAAATCACTCAGTACATACATAGGAGGGTTCTCCTTGAAATTGGGAAGTACTGCTACACATCTTTCAAAGAATGCAACAATGCTTGCAAAAGGTTGTTGCATACATGGAGGAATGGTGTTCTTTATGCACAGTCTTTTTACAAGTGATGTTTGCATGTTTATGTTCCTTCATTATTTATAGAGAACATATCGCATAAATTGGTGCCTGCTTAAAATGCACAGTTTTTAAATGCTACTTATCTTTCAAACAATGCCACACTTTTTGCAAAGGGACTGTTACATTGAGGAATGGCGTTCTTTATGCAAAATTATTTTACAAGTGCAGTTTGCAAATTCATTTTCCTTCATTGTTTATAGAGAACATATTGCATAAATTGGTACCTGTTTAGAATGCACCTGTCCAAAAGAAATATTGCATATGTTGAGGGAAACTCCTGTAGAGATGTAGAGTCTATACATTTTTAAAGCAATGCTGCACTCTTTGGAAAGGCACTTACACTTGTTTGTTTTGTTGTTTTTATCTGTTATTCATGTTTGCTTTGGCTGAAACTATGTATCTATGTTGGACATTGGGAGAGCTGTTGAGAATGCACAGTGGTTGCTTTTGTTACAGAAGCAGCAATGTTTGGTTCTGGAAAGAACATGGTTTGGTATCTTTTGCAGAAATAACATGTCAAAAATGCAAACATTTTGGCGCTCACAACACCCCCCTCCCATACTTTTCACCCACATACTTTTCACCCACAGACTTTCACCCATATATTTTTCACCCACATACTTCTCACCCATATACTTTTCACCCAGAGACTTCTCACCCAAAGACTTTTCACCCACGGGCTTTTCACCCACATACATTTCACCCACAGACTTTCACCCATATATTTTTCACCCACATACTTCTCACCCATATACTTCTTACCCACATACTTCTCACCCATTACTTTTCACCCAGAGACTCTTCACCCAGAAACTCTTCTTGCACAGATTTTTCACCCAAAGACTTCTCACCCACGGGATTTTCACCTCACCCACAGACTTTTCACCCGCAGACTTTCACCCATACATACACCAGACTTTTCACCCACAGACTTTGCGCCCTCAGTCTTTTCACCCATACCTGTTTCACCCACGTACTTTTGACCCATGGACCTAGAAAACAACCGGACCTAGGGGGAATCGATACCCACCGTCACTGTTTTACCACCTGGTACATTACCCTGCAAACCCATACTTTTTCACGCCTAAAACACCACCTATTTACGCCTTTTTCGGCACCTTTTGGCAACTACCCCCCCCAGACCGCCTATATTCTCACTTCGTTCGCGAATAACAACTAGCCAGCTTCCCGACTGGCTTTCGTAATATATATATATGATCACATATGCAGATGCAGTATCAAACAAAACAAAAATATCAAAAATACACAATATGTATATCAATATGTGATATATTGCGTGCACATGCCAGGTGATGCAAATTCGAGTCCTCCAACTTTTCATCCCTCAGCATCGTTTCACCTTATACAGCAGTCAGGTCTTCAGGGTCTTCGGATGTCTTCAGGCTCTTCAGGTTGATTCCAGCGTGCAAAAGGATGAGCTCCCAGGGCTTAGGGATGCTTAGGGTGCAACTTGCCATACTGTTCATGAAGGCACTGGATGACACCTCCAGCCAACAGAGTTCAAGATGTGGCCAACAATCAGCACACACAGAATAAAACTCACTGCAATGACAACAGCAGCAAGCGCAAGTTCTTGACAGAACATGTAAAGATGGAACTCGGATGAACTCGGTGGATCTATGTGGATCTGAAATGATCTGAAAACAGTCATGTCAGTCGTGCCTCCGGGAAAGGCAAAGCCTTGATTGATCCCGTGTCCTGCAGTCGGAAATCATCTGTGAGAAGCCGCCCAGAACCGTCCTCACCGGTCCTCACGATCCAATCTTCCTGGCTGTAACATCCTTCAGAGGTTACAGGTCTAGACGATCCAGACCAATTCGCACCTGGCAGAAGCTCTGCCAAAAGCAGTATAAGCAGTATAAGACAATAGTGACTATAGTGGTTCAGCATTTTCAACATAAGCATCTATAAACATCATAAAGCGTCACGAGGACTGAGATTCCAGCCAAGAGCGGAACGGATTCGTGTTCCGACGCATGGATGTAAACATTTGCTAATGTGCTATCAAGTGGTGGTAGCTGCTGGTACCAAGTTGGCTACTTAACAATGATAACAAATCTTTATGATAGACACAATCCCTAGACTGTATAACGTGAAGGTATCCTGCATTGCTGCATTGCTAGACTGCTACGTATCGAACTGCTCACAAGCAGAGTGCCAATGTCCTTCTCAAGCAGAGAAGAGACAAACCGGAAAAGCCGTTTGAGCGGTCCGGTTGGCTCTCTGAAGATAACCTGCCTAACTCAACTCAAGCAACCTCAAGTCGCTTAAGCCAAAGGCCAACAGGGTCGCGCCGGCTGACCATAGCACTTTGCACAATTCACAAGAATACAGCAATTACTGTGAAGATCTGTGAAGCTTAAACTGTTCAGAAACAACAGTGTGACCCAAATTAAGGAGGTGAAAAAAACCTGCAGAGAATCTGCAAATCTCTCTCAACATGGGCTGCTCATGGGTGCCCTAACACCATTGGACCATTGGTATACCATTGGTTTCTCCCTTCAAAGCACCATTGGGATGAAAGTCGGTGCCTTGGTGGCGCTCATTTCGCCAATGGCATGGCATCAGCTTCGTGGGTTATGAGCTGAAGATAGGCCTGGTGGCGTTTGGTAAAACAGAAAAACACTGCAGGAAGATATGAATGGACAAAGGATGAAGAAGATTGATATATGATGTTATATGATGTTTTATGTAATCGCAAATGCATGCAAATGCCATGTTCATCTCTCTTCTATATATTCTGTTCCATCATGTGGTCGAATATTTTCTCTTCAGTTCTTTCGAATCTGAGGTGGCGAAGTACACCGCTGCCTCGTGGCTGGTCCCAAGAAGTTCCACGTGTTTCCGCAGAGTTCGCATCGCAGAACCACGAGCCTGCCAAATGATGGAGACTTCCAGGGAAAGTTGAAACTTTTCAGAGCAGGCTCAAACAAACTCAAGCAAAATCCGCCGACCCCGGCCTTCGCCAAGGCCGGGGCGGCGCCTGGGACCACCGCAGGTGTGAAACTTTTCTCCGCGGCAGCTTCCACCAAGGCCTCTGGCCGTCAGCCTTTGCTTCCACCAAGCTCCTGGCCGTCAGCCTTTGCTGCTCCAGGGTTGCAGCCTGCCCTTTGCCTGCACATCCCTCGCGGCAGCTTCCACCAAGCTCCTGGCCGTCAGCGCTCCAGCATTGCAGCCTGCCCTTTACCTGCCCATAGCCCTCTCTTGTTAGGGCATTCGAGCCTGCCGTTTGCCAGCCTTCAAACCCTTAAAACCCCTAAAACGCTCCGCGGCAGCTTCCACCAAGCCCTCTGAACCCCTAAAATGCCTAAAACCCTCCTTTGCCTGCACATAGCCCTCTCTCGTTAGGACATTCGAGCGTGCCGTTTGCCAGCCTTCAAACCCTTAAAACCCCTGAAACCCTCCGCGGCAGCTTCCACCAAGGCCTCTGGCCGTCAGCCTTTGCTGCTCCAGGGTTGCAGCCTGCCCTCTGCCTGCACATATCTCGCGGCAGCTTCCACCAAGCTCCTGGCCGTCAGCGTTCCAGCATTGCAGCCTGCCCTTTGCCTGCACATAGCCCTCTCTTGTTAGGGCATTCGAGCCTGCCATTTGCCAGCCTTCAAACCCTTAAAACCCCTAAAACCCTCCGCGGCAGCGTCCACCAAGCCCTCTGGCCGTCAGCCTTTGCTGCTCCAGGGTTGCAGCCTGCCCTTTGCCTGCGCATCCCTCGCGGCAGCTTCCACCAAGCCCTCTGGCCGTCCATCCCTCGCGGCAGCTTCCACCAAGCTCCTGGCCGTCAGCGTTCCAGCATTGCAGCCTGCCCTTTGCCTGCACATAGCCCTCTCTTGTTAGGGCATTCGAGCCTGCCGTTTGCCAGCCTTCAAACCCTTAAAACCCCTAAAACGCTCCGCGGCAGCTTCCACCAAGCCCTCTGAACCCCTAAAATGCCTAAAACCCTCCTTTGCCTGCACATAGCCCTCTCTCATTAGGACATTCGAGCCTGCCGCTTGCCAGCCTTCAAACCCTTAAAACCCCTAAAACCCTCCGCGGCAGCTTCCACCAAGGCCTCTGGCCGTCAGCCTTTGCTGCTCCAGAGTTGCAGCCTGCCCTTTGCCTGCACATAGCCTTCTCTTGTTAGGGCATTCGAGCCTGCCGTTTGCCAGCCTTCAAACCCTTAAAACCCCTAAAACCCTCCGCGGCAGCTTCCACCAAAAGGCCTCTGGCCGTCAGCCTTTGCTTCCACCAAGCTCCTGGCCGTCAGTGCTCCAGCATTGCAGCCTGCCCTTTACCTGCACATAGCCCTCTCTTGTTAGGGCATTCGAGCCTGCCGTTTGCCAGCCTTCAAACCCTTAAAACCCCTAAAACGCTCCGCGGCAGCTTCCACCAAGGCCTCTGGCCGTCAACCTTTGCTTCCACCAAGCTCCTGGCTGTCAGCGCTCCAGCATTGCAGCCTCCCCTTTACCTGCACATAGCCTTCTCTTGTTAGGGCATTCGAGCCTGCCGTTTGCCAGCCTTCAAACCCTTAAAACCCCTAAAACGCTCCGCGGCAGCTTCCACCAAGCCCTCTGGCCGTCCTTTGCTGCTCCAGGGTTGCAGCCTGCCCTTTGCCTGCCATCCCACCAAGGCCTCTGGCCGTCAGCCTTTGATGCTCCAGCATTGCAGCCTCCCCTTTACCTGCACATAGCCTTCTCTTGTTAGGGCATTCGAGCCTGCCGTTTGCCAGCCTTCAAACCCTTAAAACCCCTAAAACGCTCCGCGGCAGCTTCCACCAAGCCCTCTGAACCCCTAAAATGCCTAAAACCCTCCTTTGCCTGCACATAGCCCTCTCTCGTTAGGACATTCGAGCCTGCCGTTTGCCAGCCTTCAAACCCTTAAAACCCCTAAAACCCTCCGCGGCAGCTTCCACCAAAAGGCCTCTGGCCGTCAGCCTTTGCTTCCACCAAGCTCCTGGCCGTCAGCGCTCCAGCATTGCAGCCTGCCCTTTACCTGCACATAGCCCTCTCTTGTTAGGGCATTCGAGCCTGCCGTTTCCCAGCCTTCAAACCCTTAAAACCCCTAAAACGCTCCGCGGCAGCTTCCACCAAGGCCTCTGGCCGTCAGCCTTTGCTTCCACCAAGCTCCTGGCTGTCAGCGCTCCAGCATTGCAGCCTGCCCTTTACCTGCACATAGCCCTCTCTTGTTAGGGCATTCGAGCCTGCCGTTTGCCAGCCTTCAAACCCTTAAAACCCCTAAAACGCTCCGCGGCAGCTTCCACCAAGCCCTCTGGCCGTCAGCCTTTGCTGCTCCAGGGTTGCAGCCTGCCCTTTGCCTGCACATATCCCTCTCTTGTAAGGGCATTCGAGCCTGCCGTTTGCCAGCCTTCAAACCCTTAAAACCCCTAAAACGCTCCGCGGCAGCTTCCACCAAGGCCTCTGGCCGTCAGCCTTTGATGCTCCAGCATTGCAGCCTGCCCTTTGCCTGCACATAGCCCTCTCTTGTTAGGGCATTCGAGCCTGCCGTTTGCCAGCCTTCAAACCCTTAAAACCCCTAAAACGCTCCGCGGCAGCTTCTACCAAGCCCTCTGAACCCCTAAAATGCCTAAAACCCTCCTTTGCCTGCACATAGCCCTCTCTCGTTAGGACATTCGAGCCTGCCGTTTGCCAGCCTTCAAACCCTTAAAACCCCTAAAACGCTCCGCGGCAGCTTCCACCAAGCCCTCTGGCCGTCAGCCTTTGATGCTCCAGCATTGCAGCCTGCCCTTTGCCTGCACATAGCCCTCTCTTGTTAGGGCATTCGAGCCTGCCGTTTGCCAGCCTTCAAACCCTTAAAACCCCTAAAACCCTCCGCGGCTCGGATATATATATATATATAAAATGCAGCACAGGCTGACCAACTTTCGTTGTTGAATTGAAATGCAGCACATAGCAGAAACGTTCAATTGTTCAGGTTTCTTTTCACATCCTTTGCTGCCTCTTCACTAATTGAAACATAATCCCAACGACAAAACATTGCCCAAATGGAAGTAACACTTCGAACCGATACCATTGCGGCCAGAAATTGCTACAGTGAAGGTTGGTTTAGCATCAGAACGTAGTGCCAGGATGCGCAACCCACCCGTCAAGGACCTGTTCTGGAAAAATCCTAGAAGCTCCTCCCAAATGCGCAGGTAGACAAACTGGACTCAACTCGAGCTCCCACCGGTCTGTTTCGTGTAGGTCTTGAAAGTCTTTACTTCTCCTGTGGTTTTATTTACTGATCCTGCCCTGCCACCCCCACAAAGGGTGGGTCGGCGGCACAGGGCGCTAGCCCATTCTATTAACCAACTCACTATTTATCAATACTTATCCATTCCATTCAATTCCATTCCATTCCATTCAACCCGTACGGAACCCTGGGAGCGTTATCTTCATGGGGACTTCACAAGCCCACAAGCCAGGTGATCCCAGAACGCAGCCTGCTCAAAGTTGATGCCCAGAGAAACCATGTACGCCATGTAGCGCTGAAGGAAAGGGGTCATCACGACCTGGGGCGACACCAGGTCTGGTTCAAGCCTATGGATTGCCCTTGGGATGATGGATCACTACACTGGGTGAAATATGGTGAAATGAATTGAAATGAGTCATTTGATGTCATTTGATGTCATTTGACCCATGGTGAAGTGAAGCTCGAAGATGTCCAAAGTCGTCCTTTTTCGATCGTTTGGCACCTCCTGCACCTCTCGTTTGGCAGATGCAGCATCTACAGACCTGAGTAGCCATGACGCCATGACAATCCTCTTAAAGTTGGTACCTGTTGGTACCTGGAACAGTTGTCCAATGGTTGATGCACTCGTCAAGGTCGTGAACTTATGAACTTATTTGGTCACACCCAATCACATTGCCTATCTTTGCCGTGAGTTTCCTATGCGCCGTGAATGATTGGTTGGTGAACATTCTGCTATTTGAGTCTCTGGCGTGGCAAGGCATGACAGAGACTCTGGCAATCCTGCCGTTTTCGCTCTTTTGCTCTTTAGCCATTCATCCACCCAACTGATCTGCGTACAACAAGAATCTGAAGATACAAAGCCAAAGTGCGAGCTCGGACAAGTGCTTTTCGATGTTTAATCGAAAGTCGATTTCCCCACTGATCGCATGGTACCAAACAAATGCAAACATCATGCGTTTCATGCTTGAACAGGCAAAAGGAAGGCAAGAGAATGGCAAGTTGGCAAGCCGGATGGACTGGATGGAGCAGCCCATCTAGACAGAATGAGCTGGAAATGGGCCTGTGGCAGTTTGACTCAGCTTGTTTTTAGAAACACGGCAGCATGTTGTCACTGCCATCTCAGGATATCTCAGGATATGGTCTGGATATGTCCAACTCCGATGAACTCCAGATATGACATCGGGCATCCAACCTCTGCCAAGCCCGCCAGCAGCAAGTCTTCCCAAAAGGTCACACTGGCAGAGCGATCGTACATGTCCAACTCATCCCAATTGGATCAAAGTGATCAAAGTGCAATCTTGCAAATGCTCTAAGTGCAACAGATATGCAAAATCATGGTTTTGTTGGCCAAATGCGGGACAGGACACAGGAAGCTAAACATAGCTAAACTCATAAACGTGCAGAGTCACCGACTCCATAGGGGATGATTGTACACTCTGAGGAGGACGTCTTTGCGTGATTCCTCGGACAAGGTCAGCTCCTAAAGCATTGTCGTGATGTTTGAAAATGTCATGGCATTGTCATGACATATCTTGCTTCTTGGCATCTGGCCTCAAGCTGCAGGAACTTGGCTAGAACCTAAAAGATCTAAAAGTAAAAGTTGGGCTGCGGGAGTACAAAGAAGACGCCACTGCTTGTGCCTTCTGAGATGGATTCTTCAGCTTCTGACCAATAGCTCCCTGCCGTTCCAAACGTCACAGTCTTTGTCCGCTCCATCCAGCGCTGCCTAATTAGGTCTGTCAGCTTTGAACATTTCAAAACATTTAAAAACCATGTTCAAAGATGTTCAAAGATGTTCAAAGATGTTCAAAGATGTTCAAAGATGTTCAAAGATGTTCAAAGATGTTCAAAGATGTTCAAAGATGTTCAAAGATGTTCAAAGATGTTCCAAGATGTTCAAAGTACACTTTACAGACAGCTGGTGCATTTCGCTGCGCAATTCTAAAGCGATGCAATTTTTGCGATTCACGGCGAGGACGCTTCACTTGTTTTCTTGGTTCAACCATCATTCTGAAGCATGGAAATCGTGCAGTGACATGTTGGTCTCGACCTCCTCTGCGCTTTCATTAAGTATTGACTGATTCACTGCTTCGTCGTCCTCCTCCTCATTTGCATCTGCTTCCCACTTTTTTTGCATGGCTATCTGACACATACATAGTCACATCGCATTTCTCATACATCGCATCCCTCGTAGGTCGCGTCTCTCATATTGCAGTACGCCGACCATGCTCCAAACATGCTCCAAACTTTCCCAACCATATCCTTCGCTTGCAATTTTGGAGCTTGGCAATCCCGCCCCCCCTCTGATATGCCATCAGAATCATCCCTGCCATTGTTTCCAACAACTTTGGCAATCATCAGCCAATCAACCTTCCAGAGCACACCCATGCGCCAGGTGGAATGGAATCCCATCACCAATAAGTTGCTGCACCTAGCCCTCCAAAATCCTCCAAATGTCCCCGTTGCACGCGCTTCTCCCCACTCGATTTCGAGATTTCTAGCACGCACTCGCTTGCTTATGCCCCCTAATCCGAGCGAACGCTCACATGAAACAGCTTCAGCCCAGTCAGCTGGCAAGATTTCTTGACATTGACTGACTCTTGACTCTTGATGGCCTGGAAGAGTGAAACTGCAACCTCAAAGGCATCTTCACCAAGCTCTGCAGCCTGTGGCCTGGGTCACAGTTTCTGGGATCGATATGCATCGTCAGCATTCGTAAGCGGCTTCACCGAAACAGAATTTAGGCTTCGGCGGCTCGGCGCTGTGCACAGATGCCTCCTGAACCGGTGATGTTCCCAAAAACTACACTAGCTGCTACTAGCTGGTGGCTGGTGGTGTGAACTCTGAAAAAGATGAGTCAATCATAGTCATTTGGGTCCATCAGCTATACTGTACATGATCAAGGAATGTGTCAATCCACCAACCAGTATCAACCACTACAGGCATGATGGTTTCTCTGTCAAGTTTCGTACCGCCAAAGAAACACATGCAGCAGCTCTTGGGATCCAGCAGACGAGCTCAGTTCTGACCGAATGGCAAAACAGAATGCGGTGCCTTCAGCAAGGTTGAGTGAAGTTGGACTAGGTCTTGGGATAGTAATATTATTATGGAAGGGTCTAGGAGTAGATATGAGTATATGAGTAATTATGAGTAACTCTAGCAACCAAAGCTCTCAGGCCTTTGCCGCTGCATTCACTCTTCATTGAGGCAACTGTTGAGATCCCAGCGTATAAGGCACTCGCTGGTGACGCCTCCATCCCAGATTGGGAAACTTAGACTCATGAATCCTGAAAGACATCAAACATGTCGAACTCATTTGAAGTCCTGAAACTTTTGCAGAGATGGAACTACTCAAACAACAGCAACAAACAGCGACAAACAAACAGCAAAAACCATGATCGTTGCTGCAACAGCCTTCAAGCCCTAGCGGCTGAGAAGCTCGGCCAGCCAGAAGGTCACACAATTTTGAGACCTCCTCCTGTAGTGCTGGGAACACGCTTAGATGCAGTATCTGGCAGCCACTGGCAGTCCTTGAATGTGGCCACGTGCCGCATTGCTCTTGAAGTTTTTTAAATATAAAAATACATTTGTATGTATATATATATATATTTATAAATTACATCAATATAACAATGTTGTTCCTTCCCCGATTACCCTGTGTCCTGGCTGGGCAGGTTGGATTCTGCAGCGTCAACTTCGTGAGGCTTGGAGCCTGATGCAGGTGATTGAGCGCGTAAACAGCCACAGTGTAGTGGCTTAGAAAAACAGCATTAAGTATGTACTACAATATATAGACATATATATATATATATCTGGGTGGTTCCTGGGCCTCTGGCGAAAAGTGTTAGTGCATTTTGTTTTTTTTGGGTTTGGGGTTTGGGATAATGTTTTATGGGTGGGATAAGGAATTCTGGGTGGGGGAAGGCAAGGGAAGGAGAAGCAACCAGCCCGCATGGGCACCTGCAGTGCAGAGTTTGGCTCAAAAGTGAATCGAATCTGGTGCCATGAAGCTGGTAATTTGATGCGCAGAAATGCCTGGATCATCCAAGCACAATCGGCCGTGGATCTGAACTGAATCAGTGGGTTTGTCGGAAAAAAATTAGCTCCAGGTGTTGTAAATGTTGTTTTTCGTTGACTTGGCATTTTCATTTGTGGGATGCATTCTTTCCAGGCAAACCCGTTTAATTTCAAACACCTTTTTGTATGCTTTGATGCCCCTCGCTTTGTCCCTGCAACATTGTTTGCTATCATTTGTTGAAGAGTGGACCCCTGCTCAGTCATCCCGCACTATGACGTCTCATGACGATCTTTATCATTTGTCAATATGAAGAAGAAGTTTGGAAATAGACATATGTAAAAGTAAATAATTTTTTGAAATATATATATATATATATTACTTAGACTCACGGCGCACGGTCAGAGAAGGTTCACAAGGCATACATCTGGAAGCACTAGATTAGTGAACTGGGCCGTATCGTCAAAATTACAAGGATTAGTTGTTTGATCATTGGGGGTAGAATGATGACGGGTATATATACGGGTATGACATGATACACACGCGTCTAGAAATCTTTGGGTGTAGGCTCTATAGGTGTGGTGTCCGAAAGCATCTGATGAACAGGGATGCCCATAGCGACGCAATTTTGCGTGCACGACCCCACGTTCTCCATCGGAATCAAGGCGTGACAGCAGACGAGCTTTGAATGACTCCGTCGGATGGCCCACGGATTGATCTAGCTGGGCAAGAAACCCTTTGTTTTTCAATGAAAGCGATAAGCCAACTAGCAAGCAGGAAATCCATTCTACTGAAAGATGCAACCAAGTTGTGACAGTATCCTGTGGAGTCATGTCCACGATCTTCACTTTGAACAGGCTGTTTTGATTTGCTGTCTTTCCAACAAGGCTTGTGGCTGGCTATAATCAGGCCGTGTCCGGCTTGGCTCTGGGAGTAACACATAGAGCGGGTCAACAGTTTCGATGTTTGTGAAACCTATGCAGACATCTTTGTGGCCTGCAGCACATCTTCTACCGCCCTAGTCTGGCAACTGTCTGGCAGAATGGGGTGACCACAAACGCAACATCAGAGCCATTCAATCTGGGCCTGGGTCATACTGTCTTTGGCCTGGTCATACTGTCTCTGAAATCAACACAATCTGCCTGATGGTTTTCATTCCCTTTTCGGGTTCTCGTTTCGACTCGTTTCTTCAATGGGGGCTTTTCAATGCATCGCTGTGAGTCCAATCAACAAAACCACAGGGCTACTGCCAGACAATTCACGTTGGCAACCATACGGCTTGCCCTTCTATGGTAGGAACCTCCTCGAATCGTGCAGCTAGTGAGTCTCAATTCAACCCAAAACCACAGTTGGCAATTACATGCCCATGACTAATTCGTGGAAACGTTGGCTAAAACACATCATTCGCTGTCGCTGGTACTCTCTCCTGAACTGTGTGTCTCTGTGTGTGGGCCTCTCTGAATGAAATATGCTTCTTGACATGCCTCCTGATCAAACCTACCTGCGTGAACATGGCTGTGCCTCTGAATGGGCTGCGGGTGGACCGGGGCATGTATTTGCAATTTTCGCTAGCGCGTTGCTAGCGGCGATCTAGCGCGTAAAATACGTCGAAAATTTGGGAATATGTGGAAACTGACAGACTTGTAAGAAAAGCTGGCAAGACATTCACGACATGGAGGCCATGGCTGTCAATCAAACCTAGCGCAAACCTAGCGGGTTTGCTAGCGCTGCCTTGCAGAATTGCTGAATTTAGCTGCGTGCCGCCTCATAACGAAGAGGAAAAAACAGTAGACCCAGATGAATTATCAACAACCAATACTAACTTCTAAACAACTATTTTTGACAAATGGTCATATACCAAAAACAACACAAACACCTGCCACCCATCTGTCCTTCTTCAAAGCAGTGGAAACCGTTTGAAGTGCAGCCCCGCGGTGCCGAGGGAGAAGTGGGCCAAGGTTGGAAAACCCAGAATTTGGGATTATACTTATGTAGCATATATGAACTGTCGGGAGCATGGCATACAATGATACACTTGCAAAACCCTTCAAGCATATCTGAAGTTATCTCAAAAATGCAGATTTTGTCCTCAAAACGATCTCAAATGACATAAAACTACATCGTTCCCAGGAAAATGGATGTTTTGAACTGATTCCAGGTATGCATACATAGTTCATTATATATTTAGCCAATATCATTCAATCTTGCTCTTGAGAGAATTTTATTACTGGATAAACAAAAAACGTGACCATGTGGAAAACACACAAAAAAAAGTGATTCTTGATTCTTGGTGGTTGCCCGGGGAATATGGAATGTATGCATACGTTTGAGATTGTTTTGAGCTAAAAAGAAATGCAGTGTTTTGAGATATTTTGAGATATTTGGAAACACATATAGTTCAAGCAGCAGCTAGGGCCAACCTGCTTTTGAGATCTTTTTGAGGTAAATGCCCATATTTTTGAGATAGTTTGAGATCTTACCTCAGAACAATGAATAGTAATAGCACAGGAGCAACTAGTATTTCCGTTCCTTCATGAGTGTCAAGAATATGACGACATGATTCACCCTTCAGGAACGCAGCACAAAACGCAAAAATATTAGATATTCCAGGGGCCCACCGATATATATATATATATAGTATTATTATTATCATTGTTATTATTGTTATTGTTATTATTGTTATTATTATTATTATGTTATTTTTATAAATTATATACATATATATTATATACTGTATTATTGTATATAATATATCAACGGCATGGTGGAAAGAACCTCTGCGCAAAAGGCTTCGCACCAATGGCTGCAACTCCTGCCATGCTTCTGTTGAAGTATGCCCAGGCTCTTGGACAACATGATACAACATGTTCAACTTGTGTTACCATCCTTCAATTAGTCTTCAATTGCGTCTGCATCAGGAAGCGTCAGAAACTTCCAACATAGTAAGTTTGACATGGTTCGGCAACATCCCATGTCAAAAGCTTAGTGCTTAAGATGCTTAAGATATCTTAAGATGCTTAATGTGCATCAGCATCCGCTGGCATCTTCCCTCGGCATCCTGCGACTTGCGCAAAATCAGCTCCGAAGCTCCAGAGGACTCGGATCGAATGGCGTCTCCGTCCGCGGGATCCGTCGCGCACATCTCCCACGGTGGCCTCAGCACTGAAGCATTGGTGTTTTATCATGTTTTATCCATTGTCATCCTGGGATAACTCTGTTAATGCCTGACAATACTCTGCCTTTGCCACATTGATGCTTCTTGCTGAATCTTGACATATCTTGAGGCTGTGATTGCGCTGGTCACTCCGGCGTCTGCCTCGAAAGATGCTTGGACGGAAACGTCGCCTGAAAGCATGCAGGAAAAAATAAACGGATATCAACGGTGTCGTCAAACATGTTGTTCGTTTTTCTTTGAGCACAAGATCTGCAATTGTTGCTTTAACGAAAAACATTGAGTCCGTTGAATATATATATATATAAGCAATGTAAGCCGGTGCCCTTGGCACCTGGTCATTTCTGTCCCCAATCTGCCCATTGAAAATTCCGTTTTGGTTCCTGCCCCGATTTGGGCCTTTGTACGATTCCGCCGCATGAAAGCTTGCAAGTCTTGCAAACCATCACCTTGATTCACGGCTTTCAACACAGACACTTTTAACATATTTCTGACTTTGCAGCGCTTGAGCAGCAAACAGTCTTCAAGAGCCTGGACACCAGAATCAATGTCGTACCTTGGTGACCGTTCGGTGAAGCGATGTGAAGCGTCTGCATGTCTGCGTGAAGCCTCTGGGGTGTGAACTGCACATTCCGCAACCAGGACGTGTCGAAGACCTGAACCGAGATGCTTTCGAACCATTTCCAGAGGTATCATGAGGTATCATAGTGGTGCCAAGAGGTTAAGAGATGTTAAGAGGTATCATGAGGTATCATAGTGGTGCCAAGCCCTGGACTGCGATCTTCATGACAGCATCCTGCAAAATGGTGCACCACGTTAAAATATAGCGTGCAACGTGGGAAACCATGGGAATATTGGGAATTCATCGCCACGACTTCGCAGGACACATCCCTGGCCTGGAAACACATGGCTCGCTTCTCTTCCATGTCCTGGCCAGGAACGTGCCATGTGAAACTTCCATGGAGAATTCGCTTCCCTCGAACTTCCCAATTTCCGTGCAACAAACTATGTGCCTAGACATGCCTAGACAATAGACAATATTGCTTATGGTTTTCACATTTTGATCATTTTGTTTAATACTTATATTCTCGCACTGATACAATTTCATACACACACATACACACTGGCAGCCCTGGGCACTTCTGGGCAGTTCCAGTGGGAGTTAGCTCAGCTGGCCTGTGCAGCATCCAGGACATGAGCCATCTGCCTCTCCTTCGCCATCGCTCAATCCATCACTTCGGCTTTCACCGCTTCGAGATGAGAAAAAAAGGAACGCCAATCCCAGGAAGATTCTCCCAGTTATATATATATATATATCCCATAAAAAAATGGGGAAATGGGGAAACTAGGACAGGACAGGTTGGAGGTTAGGTGGGAGGCTGTAATGTTTTTGTTCAATCTTGTAATCTGAAATGTTTGACTGTTTCTTTTTGAATATCTTGCTAAATGTACTGTTGAGGTTGTTGTAATAATGTTTGGTTTCAATGAGGGTAGGTTTTGTTGAGGGTGTTTTGCTTGTTATGATTTTGTGTTGGGGTTCAATGTTTCATCTTCGCCTTTGATGTTTTTTCAGGTGGGGTTTTGGGGGTAATTTTGATGCTAAAGTGATGTGTCAATGTTTGGTTTGAATGGGGGTAGGATTTGTTTAGGCTGTTGGGGTTTTTGTTTGTGTTTGGGTGGGTGATTACTTCATAATATGTTTTGTTAAGATATTATGAATTAATCATTTATGCTTTCCACTTTCCTATTCCATCCCACCAGTGTTCAATCACTCTCATTTGTGTTAAGCAAGGTTTGTTTGCATCATTTAGTTCATCCATTGCTATTGATAAAAACGTTAGGTTGATAATCATAGCGTTGAATTCTCCATCTCTGTTAAGTTCCTTACCACAATCAATGATGACTTTTTTATCAGTGAGGTTTTCATACATCTTTTTCATTATATCAAATCTTACGAATGAATATATTATCATTCCATTTACTCCTTCTGCTTCTTTCATCCTATCAATTACTTTCTTCCAAAACTTTTCTCCTTCCTCATCATCTGGTGAAGGCATAGGATGGCACTTTACAAAGGCTCTAATCTCTTCATCTTCTTTTTCTATTTGTTTTCTTTCCCAATCATCGTCCTCACTATCACTACCAAAGTCAGCATATATACCAATATTCCCTGTATCTATAACCTCAATTTTTGCTCTACTCATTTTCTCTTACTATATATAGGTATTTTTTCTTTAAGTATTTATCACTTTTTGTAGGTGTTCTTTTATTTCTGTTAGATTACAATAGTTTTCATAACCATTTAAAAGTTGCTTCATATACTCACGCAAGAAGACTTCCCAAAGGTCTTTTATCTTGTATTCCCTATTTCTAAACATATAATACCTTTCACCATCAGGAAACCACCAAACTCGCATTTGTCTAAAAAGTTTCATTTCTTCAAGGTCGTGGAATTCCTCCATAATGTGGTGTGTGTATTTCCATTCCTTCTTTACATATGATTTGACAGCAGACAGAAACAGTTTGTTCTTTTTGAACTGTTCTTTACAACTATCAGTATCCATCACGTTGTCTATCTCCTTCCTGAATGTTCTTAAATTCACCCGACAGGTGTTAGACAAATAGATTGGTGTTGGCATTTGTGTTTTGAAGAAATTTATTTGTAGTTCTGGTATTGTTAGTTCTTCGTATCTATATTTTTGATTTATGTATTTGTTTTCCTTATCATTCACTTCTTTACATTTAGAACAGTGAAGGTTGTAATTACATATCTCATCACAAATTCCAGCGGGGAAAATGTTGTTCAATAAAACCTTTACTTTAGTCATTTCTTTCTTACAACATCCACAGTTTTTTATAAGTAAATAGCATCCTCTTACTATATATAGATAATTTTTCTTTAAGTAGTTTTTGGGGTCTCTTTCAGTTTTAGGGTTTTCTGTTGTCCTTTATCCACTGTAATCGTTTGGTTCGTTGTGTTTCGCTACTAACACTTTCATATTCTTCCTCTTCAGGTTTTGCTTCTTTGTCTTCATTCTTTATCTCTTCTATCATCCTTCGGATTTTATCTATACCGTGTTCTCTGTCAAACCCTTCCATTATATACATTTCTCACTTTTTCCAAACCGATATGTCTTTCAATCTCTTCGTCCTTCATTTGTCGGAATTGTTCTTTATATTCTTCGTCATACTCGTCTTCCTCTTCATCCTCATAGTTCATAAACATTTCCATTCGTTGCTTTTCCATCTCCATAAGTTTGTTTTCCATATATTGGAATTTCGTTTGCTTCTTGTAGCACTTGCCACAAACATTCACGAAGGTTTTGAGCAAGTAGTTCCAATTAGGTTGGTTTCTATCGTTCAGGGTTATAACATCTGCAATAATACGACATCCACAGTCAAATTTAGTCATCTTATTTAGTCTTACTATATATAGGTATTTTTTCTTTAAGTATATTTTTATTGCTGATAATTTTAAAAATCTAATATTATAATATATGGCAAGGAGACTATCAAGAGATGACATCATAAGCAATGTGTATTACAATCTGGAAACGGGCTTCGGTTCAATCAATGAAACCCTCAAGAAAGCCAAGGAACAAGACCAGACCATCAACAGGGTGGATGTGGAAAACTTTATGAGGAAACAGCCCAACAAACAGATTAGAAAATACAGGGGTTCAAACTCCTACGCCGCACCCTTCGCAAGGTTTGAATATCAGATTGACATAATGGATATGAAACCCCTTACCAAAGAACCAGAGACGAAAATTCCAATCAAGAACGACGAACCGAGATACGGGTTGGTGGTCATTGACATCTTCAGCAAGTTGGCAAACGTCGTCTATGAAAGAAAAAGCCGGACCAATTACATTGTCGGCGATGAAAGAGAGTTTCAACAAAATGGGTTTTCCAATGTCCGTTTATAGTGATAATGACCGTGCCTTCCAAGCAGGGGCTAAAGAGTTTTTTGAGAAAGAAGGCATCACTCACGTCGTCACCCTAACACACGCTAATGTTGTGGAGCGTTTCGTAAGGACAATGAAAAATATGATACACGATAGAGTTAGGTTTAATCGCGGTAGTTGGACTGTGATGTTGTCCAAAGCGTTAGATAAATACAACGACACCGTCCATTCATCCACCAAAATGAAACCCAAGGATGCCCACGACGACAAGAACCATATGGACGTCAGGGTGAATTGAGAAGGAGGGAAAAGAACACTCGCAAATATCCAGAGGTCAAAGTGAATGATATGGTCAAGGTCTTTGAGAAGAAAAAAGACAACTACACCGAGAGGAAGGAGTATAACTCAAAATGGAGCAATCAATCCTACAAAATCGTCAAGATAGAATACGATGATGTCGGAAACAGAACTTTCAAACTGGAAGGATTGAACAAACCGTATTTGAGGCACGAGATTTTGAAAGTATAAAAAATTATCTATAATATTAATATATGACAGAGGTAGTCGTAAAAGAGATTGATAATGAAGAACCAAAGGAAGAAACAATACCAGAACCAATACAGGAAGAAGCACCGAAAGAAGAGGAGAAACCAGAAGAAACAATTGAACCACCCGTTGAAAAGAAACCGCAACCAGCGCCAAAGCCCAAAAGGGTAAGACCGTCAAGGGCGAAACCACCTTTTGACCCAGAAGCATTCAAAAACGACCTTGTAAAGCAACTGAAGGAAGAACTACAGAGTGCAATGACCGCCAGAGACACCTACAACAAAGCCAAAGAGGAAAAGAACAAAGCGACGAGAGAGAAATTGAAATCTTTAGCATCAAAAATTTTATAAAGTATTATATATATAAATGAACATCAAGGAACAGAAAACGGAACTCAACAAAACAGACATCTACGAAAACGTCCGCAAGGACGCTACGGCAGTAGCCTCGAGTGCTATGCGCGACATCAACAGAAGACAAACCGTTCATTCAAACAAAAGTGCCAACTACAGGAGCGGAACGCCCGAAATGCCAGACAGAAGAAAAAAAGTGTATAGTAGTTATGACCACTACTACCACAACGACAGCAACACGGCAAGGATGCCAACTCACAACCATCATCTTTACCTGAAGCGTCTTCTTGAATATCACAACACCGAGCACGATTACAAGGTCTTACAAGTAAAGCAGAGGATGAAGGAAGAGAATGAGATGCTACAGAACGAAATGACAAGGTTGAGGGAGGTGAGGAAAAATCACAGATTGGAAGATTACGGGGCGAACGTCCAGAATATGAAACAGAGAATTGATGAGTATAAACAGTGGTTGAGAGGTGATACACAAGATTAATATAAAAATCTAAAGTATTAATATATAGCAATGACAGCAGAAGTAATCAACGCAAAACAGGGATTGACACGCATACCCACTTACGCAGAACTCATCAAGGAAATAGACAGAGAAAAGTTCAAAACCAATGACATCAGAAAAATCTTTGATAGGAACGCTTGGTATTTTCACGAAAGTCCGCAGGGTCAAGCACTGAACACAAACAACATCCACCCAGCAGACTTACAGCAAATGAACTTCAAAAAGATGGCAGAGGAAGCGACCGCAAGGAAGGAAGAAGAAACACCCAACCTTGACTTTGAAGATATGACAGACTTGAGGGACGACGCCATCAGCGATTTTGAGATGTCCTTTGACAGAGAGGCAGAGTTGAGGGAAGAGAACGAAAGGAGAGTAGCAGAACAGGCAAACTTAAGTCATTCACAAGACCACTATATGGCAAACAAAGGGGCATACGACGCCGTCGGAGCAACAGCATCGGCAGGGATACAAGAGGACGAAGAACCGCCTTCAAGCAGTAGAAGCGTCTTAAAGAAATTCCTTAAATCATCCAAACCAGTCATCAAAGCAGTCGCCACAGCAGGAGGAACAGCAAAGGGAGGGTCAATAGGAGGACTAATAGCATCAAAACTGACAGATGCCATCATACCCCACGAAGACGAGGAAGAGAAACCGTCCAAGATAAAACCAACACAAAAACTAATCAACAAACAAGTCAAAAAGGTAAATCACCAAAAGAAGTTAAAGGAGGAAAAATCAAAGATGAACGTAGATGTAGTGCCCAACACCGCAGAAGCAATGGATACAACAGCAATACCAACAGCAGAAAAGAGGAAACCCTTAAGCGTGAGACAGTCCAAAGCAAAGAGACAGAAACCAAAACCGCCAACGCAGGAGAAGAGAGAATTTCAGGAAGACCCATCCACAACCACCAAACCGCCCAAAGCAAGAAGAGTAAGAGGAAAGCAACCCCAACCACAAGAATTAGGAGCAACAATCAACATCCCCAAAGACAACAAGACACCCAATGTAGATGAAGCAGAGACAGCACAGGAAGAAACAGGGGCGTCATCTTCATCAAAAGCACCAGTCAGGAAACCAACAATGGACAAAGCAATATCACCAAGCAAGGTAGGAAACAAGTGATAAGAGAGAAGTTTGAAGAGATGAACAACAGCAAAAGCATAGACGCAGGAGACTATCAAAGGTTTCAAGAGGTATATGGTAAATGGAAATCAAGCAAGGGAGAGGAAAAGAAACAACATCTAAAGGAAGCGAAGGAATATCCATATTAATATCCCAATGAGTTTTTCGGGTTGAAGAAATCCAGGGCAGCGCTCCTGCAGCTCGACCGAGGTGTTAAATTTTTTCAGCACCTGCTAATCCAATCCAGCCGTAAAAGCTTGGGATTGGCAGAAAATATGGCTGATACATGGGATGATACATTTTGCACTGTATGCTTGTCTTGAAATGATAGCTGATGTCCAAACAAAACTGGCACCTTGTGGAAGTCTTTCTCAGCTGAAACAGCCTGCGCGCTGCACTGCTTTAAGATCTTTAAGGTGCAAGGAGACAACTGAACTGAGACACCGTCCATCTGCCTGGCGCGATGCTCGGATTGTTCTTTCAGCCCACTGCTTCCTGGCGCTCTCAAGGCTGTGGATATGTGACCCTCAAGGTACACCAGGTTACACCAGTACCCTATGTACAGTACCCTGAGAGCAATCAAAGGTGGGGTGACCATTCAGTAGGCTTCAAGGGCGAAAGAGCAGCACACCTTTGGCCAAAGCTTCAAGTTGGTTTGCTATTAGCTGCTATTGAATCATGAGAGATCAATGGAGATCATGGGAGAATTTGCCAATCATCCCATTCCATCCCATTCTGCTTGGCTGCAGATCTCAGGTCTGTGCTGCACAGCTTCCAGCTCAGCTGCGCTGCATGCCTGGTGATATTTCTCCTCGGCTCCTTCAAAGCCTTCGACAATGGCCAGCTGGATGAATGGACTTCTGGATGTGCCAACAACAAAGAAACAGTCCGAGGATTATATTATATATCATGATTATATTATATATATATATATTATATATATATTATATTATATATATATTATATTATATATATATATTATATTATTATATATATATATTATTATATGTATATATTATTATATATATATATAATATATATTGTAACTTCATATAATTTCCCCATTATATGATCCACAAGTGATCACAGAGTGCATGTAAATGCTGTCAGACTGCCTTGAGAAGCGCTTTGCCAATGACGCATTAGGCCTCAGAATGGGATAACACACGCCAATTTGGTGTAGTACCAGTTGGGGAGGCCATTTGTATCGTTTGTTGACCATAACACACTCACATAGCTGGAGCAAAGAGCCGCACAAACACCATCAGAGTGCATACGGCGAGACACCTCTCCGGGTGTCTGCAGCATCCGAGTTAATCCTGGCTAATATAAAAGTTAAAACTGATTAACAAGATTTATTAACAAGTTTGAACACATTTAAACAATCAGCTCAACCTGCTCTCACCCGTTGATCTGTTGCTGTTGATTCCCGCCTCTGCATGCTGTTCCAACATCCTCTCCATTGTATCGGCCACCTCCTGTGAATGGATGCGTCGGATGCGCGATTCACCAGTGATGAAGCATATAGAGCCTTCATGATCCAAAAAATGGTGGCATATGGTGGCTACTTGTTCTCAACAGCTGCAACGCCTTGTTTTGTCGCTGGATGTTTCCATATCTCTCGAGAAGCTCAGCCAGAGCTTTGCATCTGGCTCTGAAGCGGGTCCAAATCTCGAGGGGCTGTGGCTGCGCAGCCCGGTGTTGTCGAACATCGAAGACCCGCTTCCAAGTTCTTCCAAGTTCTTCCAAGTTCTTCCAAGGTTCCAGTCACTTGCAGTCTGGACTTGAAGTCTCCGAGCTTTGGTGCATCGTCGAAGATCCCTGGTAGCATCTGAACTGCAGCACAATCATCCAGCACCATGTTGAAACTGCCTTCCTTCGCTCGGCAAAGTCCTTGTGGCAGGTGCTCACCTCAGAGGAAAAAGATGGAAAAAGTCAACCATGCTGTTGGCAGCAAGATTCAGCAGGAAGAGACACTTGAAAGGTGAAGGGATGTAAAGGTGAAACTTCAATAGTTCCAGGACAAGTGAAAAAAAAACAACAAAGTGCAGCCAGCAACTGAGGAACGGCGAGTCTATGGATCAGCCCACAAATCAGGGAAAAGATTCTTCAAGACCTGGGCAGTGTGTTGCAGGTCCATGCCATGTGCTTGTCCATGTCAATGTTTGATCGCCCCGTTTCTTTGGTGTTTGCACAACAAAAAGACTTGGATCGGTGATACAGACAGTGTTTCCGACAAAGTCTCTTCGAATCCAAGGAATCTGAGGTTCACACAATTTGCAACTGCTGCAAAAGCCACCAAAAATTCCAGTCACTTGCTACCAATCGTCCGAATGCAACACCTTCATGCCAGCCTCAGTGCTGTGATCAGCTGAGTTGCTGAGTGACTTGAGGTCTCCTTGAGGTCTCCACTGTAGTCTTTGAGGAGATCTTCGGCTTTTGTCACCAGCTCAATGACATCACGCATTGCTGCCCTTTTTGCCTTGTCAGGGATGGTTGTGAATGATATTTGCCATGTGTTGCACAAACTAAATAAATTATATACAGTAATAAATTGAGGCATACTCACTGTTCCAACTGCTATCTTTTGCCTGGTTCCAGGATAGAAAACAACGAAGAACCTTCCCATATCTTCTCATCCTTTGTGTTTATTGATGAATTTTCTTGCAGTCAAAGCACCTTGGAACTTCGAACCTTGGCTGGTTCATCCGCAATCGCCTGCAACAGCTCTAATGTCATCAAAGCTCTAATGGCATCAAACTCAACTTCAACTCTGCATTCGGGTCATTCGGGTCGTGCCTTCCCCCTGCTCAATGCGAGAACTAGTGCTGCAGCAGCAGCTGCTGGGCGACATTCCCCAGAGAAGCCATCCAAAATTTCTATGGCTTCAAGGAATCCAAACATTTCTCCATCAAAATCTCCAGCTCTTTCGGCTCTTTGCTTTGTAGCAGCTGTAGCATGCGATTGAAGCCCAGCATGCCATTCTTCTCGTTGCTCTTGAAGCTTTTCTTGCAGGACTTGAGCAGTAGGATCCCTACATGCAGCTGACTCGGGTAGAGGTTCAAAATACTCTGTCGACTCTGTGGACTGAAACCAAGTGCGGTATGCAACAGAGGACAGATCATCATAGATACCAAAGATTGGAAAGCCACTGGTGAGTGTGTCAAAAAATGTCACATTTAGAAGAAGGAAATTCAGATCGCCAGATAGTGTCCTCGCCATGTTTCGAAACTTTGGCATCGTGTACGGCAGCAAGAATGATGATGACGCTACAATGCCCAAACAGCAGTCATCGGGCTCATTCATCTGAACTGTGGTCAAAATCCGTAGGACTTCATTGGCTGATCGGGCTGGAGACTGACCTGGGGAGTGACCTTGGAGCAAACTTTTGACCATGACCCATGTGTATCCAGGCATACTTCGCAGTCTTGTTCCAGGTCCCTCACAGGTCAGGTCACGAACTGGCAGGCTAGTGGTGGATTCGCCCACATAGCCAGGTCTCCAATCTTCCTGCATCAAAGTCCTCCAAACTTCGCCCTCAAGCTCCAACTGTTCCAACTGATCTGCAAGGGAACAGAAAAATACTACAACCAGGATTTTGAACGCCCAGCTCCATTGGGTCCATGGAAACATCTGTCAGATATCTCATTGCACTGGAGGGAAGGGGCGACATCTGAGAGCCACTGGCTGCAAGATGCTGCAAAATTCCAAATTAGACGCACATTCCCCCAGAACTTCCACAATTTGCATTGTGATCTCCTGGTCAAGTTCCTCCGCCAAGACAGCGCACCTAGCAAAGTTCAGGAAACTGCATAGCAATTGTGCTTGTGGCAGTTGGAAATACTTCGTCCAAGAAACTGCTCCAGAAGCATCTTCAAATCCCTTGAGGCCGTTGAGGCCCTTGAGGCCTTTGAGGCCCTTGAGTCCCTTGAGTCCCGGACTGCTCTGCTCGATGCCGCAAGTTGCTAACAACAGCTTCCAATGGCAGAGGTACTGCCTGGGGGAGTCATCGTCTATTATGTCTATTCCACAGCGGCAAACCAAGAGTGGTTTGGGGGAACTCATGATGCGTGTGAAAGGGACAAACTACGCCGGGGGGGGCCGCAATCAGTGGATCCTGATGTATTCTGTGATGTGTCCTATGATGTCCTATGATTCTGATGTATCTTGAGCCCTGAGATTCCAGCTCCCTCCGAAGTGGTTTGCTGCAGTTTGGCCACGCAGTGAAGGAGGCCCCTCAGGATATGTCAAGTGGCCCTTGATCAGTGATCATATGCACGGGTCCACGGGGATGGCAGTTGTTGCTACAATTGGGGAGAATTTGAGCTATGCAAAATGAATGATCATCCATTAATAGCTGATTTGCCTTTTGAAAATGGTGATGTCCAATTGAAAACTTGTTAAATTGCCAGAGGGTACTGTACATTCATGAAAAGAATTCCCTCCGCAGCACACCAATGACAGTTTGGCTGAACGTGTCACCTCGCATATTGACGTTCCAGCTGAGCACGTTCTCGCATGCAACAAACGAAGCCCTGCGTCAACATCGAAAACAGCCAGGAAGTTCTGGGAAAAAGACATATATGATACAATATCTATTGAATAATTACGAATCTTGAAGCTGTTATATCATATAATATTCAATATATCCGCCGACCCCTGCCGTCAGCAGGGGGAGCGCGTCAGAGGAGGCCTTACTAGCAACAAGATGCCAGAAGGGGCGAAGAGTTTGCGCAGAACGAAAGCCGGCTCCAGGAGGACACGAGCAGGGTGGCAGTTGGCAGTGTAGAAACGCAGGAAAAGTCAAGGTTTGGAGCTAGTTTCTAGTCGGTTCAGAAAGTGACGTTTGCCAGTCTGGGATACGGGCCGCGGGCCCAATCCGTCCTTCACTGCCATGGTGTTTTAGCCCTGCGACACGGTCCTTGGACTCCAGCTTGGACCGAAGCGGCGCAGAACGAAAGCCGGCTCCAGGAGGACACGAGCAGGGTGGCAGTTGGCAGTGCAGAAACGCAGGAAAAGTCAAGGGTTGGAGCTAGTTTCTAGTCGGTTCAGAAAGTGACGTTTGGCAGTCTGGGATACGGGCCGCGGGCCCAATCCGTCCTTCACTGCCATGGTGTTTTAGCCCTGCGACACGGTCCTTGGACTCCAGCTTGGACCGAAGCGGTGCAGAACGAAAGCCGGCTCCAGGAGGACACGAGCAGGGTGGCAGTTGGCAGTGCAGAAACGCAGGAAAAGTCAAGGTTTGGAGCTAGTTTCTAGTCGGTTCAGAAAGTGACGTTTGGCAGTCTGGGATACTGGCCGCGGGCCCAATCCGTCCTTCACTGCCATGGTGTTTTAGCCCTGCGACACGGTCCTTGGACTCCAGCTTGGACCGAAGCGGTGCAGAACGAAGGCCGGCTCCAGGAGGACACGAGCAGGGTGGCAGTTGGCAGTGCAGAAACGCAGGAAAAGTCAAGGTTTGGAGCTAGTTTCTAGTCGGTTCAGAAAGTGACGTTTGGCAGTCTGGGATACGGGCCGCGGGCCCAATCCGTCCTTCACTGCCATGGTGTTTTAGCCCTGCGACACGGTCCTTGGACTCCAGCTTGGACTGGACCGAAGCGGTGCAGAACGAAAGCCGGCTCCAGGAGGACACGAGCAGGGTGGCAGTTGGCAATGCAGAAACGCAGGAAAAGTCAAGGTTTGGAGCTAGTTTCTAATCGGTTCAGAAAGTAACGTTTGGCACTCGGGGCTACGGGCCGCAGAACGAAAGCCGGCTCCAGGAGGACACGAGCAGGGTGGCAGTTGGCAGTGCAGAAACGCAGGAAAAGTCAAGGTTTGGAGCTAGTTTCTAGTCGGTTCAGAAAGTGACGTTTGGCAGTCTGGATACGGGCCGCGGGCCCAATCCGTCCTTCACTGCCATGGTGTTTTAGCCCTGCGACACGGTCCTTGGACTCCAGCTTGGACCGAAGCGGTGCAGAACGAAAGCCGGCTCCAGGAGGACACGAGCAGGGTGGCAGTTGGCAGTGCAGAAACGCAGGAAAAGTCAAGGTTTGGAGCTTATTTCTAGTTGGTTCAGAAAGTGACGTTTGGCAGCCTGGGATACGGGCCGCAGGCCCAATCCGTCCTTCACTGCCATGGTGTTTTAGCCCTGCGACACGGTCCTTGGACTCCAGCTTAGACCGAAGCGGTGCAGAACGAAAGCCGGCTCCAGGACGACACGAGCAGGGTGGCAGTTGGCAGTGCAGAAACGCAGGTAAAGTCAAGGTTTGGAGCCGCAGAACGAAAGCCGGCTCCAGGAGGACACGAGCAGGGTGGCAGTTGGCAGTGCAGAAACGCAGGAAAAGTCAAGGTTTGGAGCTAGTTTCTAGTCGGTTCGGAAAGTGACGTTTGGCAGTCTAGGATACGGGCCGCGGGCCCAATCCGTCCTTCACTGCCATGGTGTTTAGCCCTGCGACACGGTCCTTGGACTCCAGCTTGGACCGAAACGGTACAGAACGAAAGCCGGCTCCAGGAGGACACGAGCAGGGTGGCAGTTGGCAGTGCAGAAACGCAGGAAAAGTCAAGGTTTGGAGCTAGTTTCTAGTCGGTTCAGAAAGTGACGTTTGGCAGTCTGGGATACGGGCCGCGGGCCCAATCCGTCCTTCACTGCCATGGTGTTTTAGCCCTGCGACACGGTCCTTGGACTCCAGCTTGGACCGAAGCGGTGCAGAACGAAAGCCGGCTCCAGGAGGAGCAGGGTGGCAGTTGGCAGTGCAGAAACGCAGGAAAAGTCAAGGTTTGGAGCTAGTTTCTAGTCGGTTCAGAAAGTGACGTTTGGCAGTCTGGGATACGGGCCGCGGGCCCAATCCGTCCTTCACTGCCATGGTGTTTTAGCCCTGCGACACGGTCCTTGGACTCCAGCTTGGACCGAAGCGGTGCAGAACGAAAGCCGGCTCCAGGAGGACACGAGCAGGGTGGCAGTTGGCAGTGCAGAAACGCAGGAAAAGTCAAGGTTTGGAGCTAGTTTCTAGTTGGTTCAGAAAGTGACGTTTGGCAGTCTGGGATACGGGCCGCAGGCCCAATCCGTCCTTCACTGCCATGGTGTTTTAGCCCTGCGACACGGTCCTTGGACTCCAGCTTAGACCGAAGCGGTGCAGAACGAAAGCCGGCTCCAGGACGACACGAGCAGGGTGGCAGTTGGCAGTGCAGAAACGCAGGTAAAGTCAAGGTTTGGAGCCGCAGAACGAAAGCCGGCTCCAGGAGGACACGAGCAGGGTGGCAGGTGGCAGTGCAGAAACGCAGGAAAAGTCAAGGTTGGAGCTAGTTCTAGTCGGTTCAGAAAGTGACGTTTGGCCCAGTCTGGGATACGGGCCGCGGGGCCCAATCCGTTCCTTCACTGCCAGGTGTTTTAGCCCTGCGACACGGTCCTTGGACTCCAGCTTGGACCGAAGCGGTGCAGAACGAAGGCCGGCTCCAGGAGGACACGAGCAGGGTGGCAGTTGGCAGTGCAGAAACGCAGGAAAAGTCAAGGTTTGGAGCTAGTTTCTAGTCGGTTCAGAAAGTGACGTTTGGCAGTCTGGGATACGGGCCGCGGGCCCAATCCGTCCTTCACTGCCATGGTGTTTTAGCCCTGCGACACGGTCCTTGGACTCCAGCTTGGACCGAAGCGGTGCAGAACGAAAGCCGGCTCCAGGAGGACACGAGCAGGGTGGCAGTTGGCAGTGCAGAAACGCAGGGAAAAGTCAAGGTTTGGAGCTAGTTTCTAGTCGGTTCAGAAAGTGACGTTTGGCAGTCTGGGATACGGGCCGCGGGCCCAATCCGTCCTTCACTGCCATGGTGTTTAGCCCTGCGACACGGTCCTTGGACTCCAGCTTGGACCGAAGCGGTGCAGAACGAAAGCCGGCTCCAGGAGGACACGAGCAGGGTGGCAGTTGGCAGCTGCAGAAACGCAGGAAAAGTCAAGGTTTGGAGCTAGTTTCTAGTCGGTTCAGAAAGTGACGTTTGGCAGTCTGGGATACGGGCCGCGGGCCCAATCCGTCCTCACTGCCATGGTGTTTAGCCTGGACACGGTCCTTGGACTCCAGCTTGGGGACCGAGGCGGTGCAGAACGAAAGCCGGCTCCAGGAGGACACGAGCAGGGTGGCAGTTGGCAGTGCAGAAACGCAGGAAAAGTCAAGGTTTGGAGCTAGTTTCTAGTCGGGTCAGAAAGTAACGTTTGGCACTCTGGGCTACGGGCCGCAGAACGAAAGCCGGCTCCAGGAGGACACGAGCAGGGTGGCAGTTGGCAATGCAGAAACGCAGGAAAAGTCAAGGTTTGGAGCTAGTTTCTAGTCGGTTCAGAAAGTGACGTTTGGCAGTCTGGGATACAGGCCACGGGCCCAATCCGTCCTTCACTGCCATGGTGTTTTAGCCCTACGACACGGTCCTTGGACTCCAGCTTGGACCGAAGCCGTGCAGAACGAAAGCCGGCTCCAGGAGGACACGAGCAGGGTGGCAGTTGGCAGTGCAGAAACGCAGGAAAAGTCAAGGTTTGGAGCTAGTTTCTAGTCGGTTCAGAAAATTACGTTTGGCAGTCTGGGGTCCTTCACTGCCATGGTGTTTTAGCCCTGCGACACGGTCCTTGGACTCCAGCTTGGACCAAAGCGGTGCAGAACGAAAGCCGGCGCCAGGAGGACACGAGCAGGGTGGCAGTTGGCAGTGCAGAAACGCAGGTAAAGTCAAGGTTTGGAGCTAGTTTCTAGTCGGTTCAGAAAGTGACGTTTGGCAGTCTGGGATACGGGCCGCGGGCCTAATCCGTCCTTCACTGCCATGGTGTTTTAGCCCTGCGACACCTTCCTTGGACTCCAGCTTAGACCGAAGCGGTGCAGAACGAAAGCCGGCTCCAGGAGGACACGAGCAGGGTGGCAGTTGGCAGTGCAGAAATGCAGGTAAAGTCAAGGTTTGGAGCCGCAGAACGAAAGCCGGCTCCAGGAGGACACGAGCAGGGTGGCAGTTGGCAGTGCAGAAACGCAGGAAAAGTCAAGGTTTGGAATGGTTTGGAGCTAGTTTCTAGTCGGTTCAGAAAGTGACGTTTGGCAGTCTAGGATACGGGCCGCGGGCCCAATCCGTCCTTCACTGCCATGGTATTTTAGCCCTGCGACACGGTCCTTGGACTCCAGCTTGGACCGAAGCTGTGCAGAACGAAAGCCGGCTCCAGGAGGACACGAGCAGGGTGGCAGTTGGCAGTGCAGTGTCGTCTCGGGTCTCTTTAGGATGCCATTTCAAGTTTCATACTGCGGTTACGAACGGGGGCTTCGGGTACGGGTCTTAAGTGCTAGAGCAACCCTTTAGGTCCCCAAGACACCTGCCCAATGACGAAAGCTCCTATTTCTTGAGCCATGAAAAAGTGTCAGAGCACATAGTTGTGCGTGTCATCCTGCAGGGGTCCATGCTGCTTGCATGTGCACAGTGCCAAACGCACATACAAATGGTTTGTTTAGGTCAGTTTCTGGTTTCTTTAGGGTTCATTTCATGCTTACGACACAGAGGCAGGCATGACCCTCCAGTGTCCAGGGGTCGGCGGCAGAGGGCGTAGCCCTTTATATATATATATATATACACATATATTAATTATATATGCATATATATATATATTTATATATTATGAATATGTATAATTATGTAAGATTCAATGTGATGATGACCATAAAATACCTGAATAAAAAACATCGTGAGATGCAACTGTGACAAACCTTGGAGCTATCAGCCTCCAACATCCTTCGCGTAGGTCCCATCCGCCATCCCCAGATCACGTCAAAGCGGTCCCACAGATGTTCCTGGTCCAAGGCCATAAACCATCAATGGTTGGTTCAATGGGATGGTTTTTTAAAGTTTATTATTAGTGATATCAATGTGATATCATTATTATTGGGTTTAATGTCCACAAATGGTTTATTATTGAGTTTACCACCTTAATCATATCTACACTCTATTTGTGAACAACACCTCACGTGTGATGAGGATCCTGTAAACGAAGAGTGCAGTGTCTAGAAAACCCTGTCAAACTACTGGAGCTGAGGTCGAAACTCGAAAAGTCAATGGTTCGCCAGGCTCGTCTGGTTCATCAACTTCGGTTTGAGCTGCTTCAGCAATTGCAATTGTTGTAGTCTCCGCTGCCTGACACCAGTTTTTCGAAACAGTCCCAGCGGGTGCAAGTTTGCCACTGATGTGACCAATGTGGGTGTGTTAAAAAATCATGGTACCATATGGTACCCCTTAATCCCAAAAAAATCCCATGGTTTTTCTTTTTTCACATTAAACATTGCCATTTTGGGGTACCCCATCCTTGGCAAAAACGTTCACCATCACAACACCTCCGATGCTGCTTCGGAAGCGCTTCTAGGAGCTGCGTGTTGGACTCCTGCTGATTCAGCCAGGTGCATAGAATACACATCTACAATCTCTGAGGTTGCTGTTTGTGCACTAGTAAGATCCAGATAGATCCAGATTGATAGATCTAGTAAAGATATGTAAAGATATGTATAGAGATGATTGCAAAATCATGTAAAATGTTAAAATTCATCCTGACGGCGTAAGTTTGACAGTTGGGGCCGCTGGGACCAGCGGAAAACGAGCAGTCAGCCTGCAATCGGAAGTTCCGCTTCAGCGGCAGGCTCATCAGGTTCATTGAGCTCAAGCATTGGAAAATGTTTAGAAACAGGAAATGGATGAAACTGAGAAGCCAAGATACTGGAAAATTGGTACATGCCAAACCAACAACTGATGAGCAGTTTGAAGTCAAAAGAATCCATACTGTCCTGGAAATATGCTCTATGCATGTCATCTTTCACGTCTTTGCATGTGATGAAGAAAGGTGGAGAAGTGTCTTGTCTCTCAGGAGCCTTCTCTTTGAATCTATATATCTAGATATCATGTTGGAATTGTGATATATCGATATCTACAAGAAACAAAAACTGTATCAAATATTGGGCTCAAGAGTATGGCCACAAACATGTAAATTCACCGACATGTGACCAAATCATACCAAATCTTGATGTTGATAGCTTCCAGATTTGCATACATTTGCATCATGTTTATCAGATGCATCATGTGTTGGGTGGATCTGACTGTGGCAGCCGGTTTCAAGCTGTAGCCAAAGCTCACCCGATGCTGGGACAATGATTCACTTGCTGCGCAACATCGTTTTCAAAAACAGGACTTGATGACTTGATTGGTTATGCATGGTTAAGCGGTCTATTGAGGAACCTCTTTCCGAGTGATCAACATGCGCAATGTCAACTGTTGTTATTGTGATTCGACGGGTTCGCTTTTGTAGTGCTTAGACTCATGGCCTGGTTTAGGGATGAACAAAGAATCTCGGAAAGGCGTGGGACAAGACAAGACCTCTAGTTTGTTGACTTTCCATGGGTCAGCTGTCGTATCACCCCATGCCGCCTTTCTTTTTGCGTTGCATTAACAAGTTGTTGACCTTGAGCACCAGTGACTGTGACCTCCCAAGTGACAGGAGTCACAGGAGTCACAGGAGGGCAGCAATGGCATGACCTCCGAAGACCTGGATCTCTTTGTCGCCGTTCTGTGACGCATGGAACAACTCCATCGCTCCATGACATTCGACATCTTGAACTTCAGGTGACTGTAGTATACTGTAAAGCACTGTAAAGCACTGTCAAGTCAAGGTGAATTGTTTGTCCAGATTTGTGACACACAGTCAATATCAGGACCTATGAGGAAGCACAAACTTCTTAACTCAGTGCAAAAGGTTGCGGGGCAGCAATGGCCAGTCGAAGCTTCTTCGCCATATCTTCTTGATCTTCGTAGGGAGGAACGTCCACCACCCAGAAGCAGGTGTGCGCAGACGGCAAGTGCTCAAGCTGGTCGGGCATAAAACGAACAGTCAATTTCTGCCCAGCTGGGAACCGTCGGCTGGCGGGCAGCCTACCAATGCCTGTTGAAAACCGCAGAAACATTGAGAGTTCTTCGGAGTCGAACGCAGCAATGACGTTCTTGAAGAACTGAATCTGGGTTTCATAACCGTAATTTGGCTTAAACTCCAGGTTGGGTAAAATCACCTCAGCCGTTAGGGCCACACCTTCCAGCGTCTCTAGGACCTGGTCGCCTGTCATCTGGGACCACATGTCATGCCGCCGTCCATGCGCAGTGAAACCATCTGCCAAGGCTTCATAGGCCAACCATCGGTCCCCACCACCCAGGAATTTCAAGTAGACGTCCCACAAAAGAACCCATTCCAAGGATGCATCGGGAAGCACTGACTCACCTGACCCACCCTCACCAGGACTTGAAAGTCGACTCAGCAAGGAGGAAGTCCGTGGTTCAAGCATTGCGGTAATGGTCTCCATGCTCTCTGTGGATAAGCTATACACCTGAATTTCTTGGCAGTCTGATGAGTTCCTCCAGTGAAAGAGGCAACAAACTAAGGAACTTAAGTAACTAAGAATTTTCAACAACTCAGGTTGGGACCATGACTCCATTCTGTTCCTCCTGGCTGCAAGCTGCTTGAACCGGACTCATCGAGGATCATGACTTCATATGTCTATGTCTACATATCTTCAATGGCCTGCATCCTCTGCGAAAGCATCCACCGGTAACCGGCCTCTTTCCTTGGGAGCAGAGCTCATTCTTCCGACTACGCGACGGTACAAGTCAGGAATACAGCCGGCGGCCGGATGAGTCAAATTTCTGCTGAGTCAAAGACTGTGGGTCTGCACCTGCACCAATATACACCAATGTTCAAGGATTGGTTCAAAGGACAAGAAAACTGATCGTAATCCTTGCCGATCCTTGCCCTTGAGCGCAGCACGTCGCAAACGGCGAAGCAAGTCCAACAACTCACTGCGAGCCCAGTCCTTGGGAAATTGGAAGCAATGAACTTCCACCATCTTTGTCCAAACAACGAGGTTTGAATAGCTGCAAATATCAACTTTAAAGTCAGAGCTGCAAAAGTCAACCTATACTGTGATGATATACGATGATATTATGAATCTAAGTGTGGAAGTTCATACGATTTTTGCAATTTGGTGGCAAGGAAGTGAGAAGATAAAGGAAGGATCTTGCTAGAGTTGAAGCGCTGGTAGATGCTGGCAGTATGCAAATGCAAAGGCCCTATATTTATTCTGCATCAACCTGAGAAGTGCACATCACCTTTCTCTTCCCGCAGCTGGAGCAAGCCTGTTCGCTCTACTGATTGCAAATTGCTCTGATTTCTGATTGCAAAATTCAATAAGTTGCAAGCCGCACAGCCAGTAGTCTCAAAATCTGAGAGTCCAGCGATCAACACTTGCCATATCGTCATCGTCATCGTCTCCACCTTTATAGGTGGTTTGACATGAGTTGATGCAATTTGAAGGTGCGAACCCGTTGCACCACGTTTGGTTCCTCAATGAGAGAAGCGAGCCTGGAACATCGTCTGGTGGCAGCTTGCAAAACCTCTCCAAGGATTACAGGACAACAGCGCCATCCTCTTGGTGCCAAAAACAAGTGCGAGGCCTCCCCAATGCGCAGTCAAAGATCGCGCTGCCTTGGAAGATTCTATCACAAACTTGATGAGTTCACTGCGTGAACCACTTAGCCACTTAGCCACTTAGCCATCCATCCGAGCTGCTGAACGCCAAGGGAGCATTGCCAAAGTGAACCAAAGCCCGGAGCAACATGGCACCGACCTCGTCGCAGGAGCTCCCACCAACTGGGATCATCCTCCAAAAACGTAACCATCACGTCATCACGTCCAAAAAAAAACAAAATGCAAAGCCCCTGGCAGAGGTCCACATTTGTCTCCACTGCTGTGGGCTCTTGTCAGCACGTCCTTATTGACATCTCTATCAACATGTACTGCTTTCGGGTGAATTGTACAATAAAATCATGTTATACAATTATACAATATATACTTTCCGGGATTCAAACGTGGCAGCCTGGAAAATCACCCATCTATAGATATTAGAGGTTCCCATTCTAATAGACCTCCATTTCAAAGGGGATTTCCCAGCCAAGCTAAGACCTTCACTTCGATCGTTTACAAAGAGTGTTACCACCTCGCTGCCGTCCATACCAGCTCGCATAACCAAGCCTCAGCTGTACTGCAAGGACCAAGGGTTCCTCGTCACCTTGCTGCCTTGCATGCAAAAATGCTATAAATTAACAATACATTGTTTGATTTACTTCTATTTATATCATTTATATCTATGTTATACTGCAATAAGATGTAATTAATAAGTAATATAACGTGCCTCTATTGATTGTCAATGAATCTGCATGAGAGAGAGAGAGAGAGACATGACGGCAAGCTGTAAGCCTTTATTTGTGTTCTTCATATCGCCCAGCTGTTTGTTTCCAACAGTTTGGCAGTCTGACACCGCCGTGTCTCTGCCGAGAGATAGGCTACTGCTTTCCAACTGCTCAAAGAAAAGGCTGACCACCTGGAACAGAGACAGAGTCTTGCACTTCATCTACCTTCGACGGAATGTTTGTGGCAATCCTGAACTCGAGACTCTCAAGTAAAAAGGCAAACATCTAGTAAGTAATCTCCCTGCCAATGGAATATGCATCACTGCCAAACATCTTCAGTCAGGTCATCATCGGGTCATTTCGATCATGTTTCTACCACCGCCTCTCTTCGCAGCCCACCACCATCAACACCGCTCTCATCATTGAGCATGACACGCCACCTCAATGGAGTATGGACGCGATTAGCATGTTTCCAACTGAAGTTTAAAAGGAGGGGAAAAGGTTAGTTTCGAAACCCGGGTTTTGGCTGGCTTGGAGGGGGGGCGGGGGAAACAAACTAAATCTGGGGAGAAGGTTTGTTTCCGGAGAAAAAACAAACGTTTTGGGAGGGTGGTCAAACGTTACAGTAGTTTCAGGGTGCCAAGACAAAGGTTTCGACCGAGAAAAAAATTGTTCCCGAAGAAGAAAAGAAAGGTTTGCGGGGGAGGTTGCAGAATCATCGGGAAACTAAAGTTTCAAAACTAGATTTTCGGGTAGGACAAACAAAGGTTTCCAAACCGGACGGAAGGAGTTTGTTTGTTTCCGACGCCCCGCCCCGGAGTGAGCTGCAACAAAAGGTTGGGCGGCAAGACAAGAAGAAGAAGAAGAAGAAGAACAAAAACAAAAACAACAACAACGACAACAATAACAATAACAACAAGAAGAAGCCGAAGAAGAAGAAGCAGAACAAGAACAGCATCAACAACAGGAACAACAGGAACAACAAGAACAACAAGAACAACAGGAACAACAAGAGGCACAAGAAGGAGAACAACAAGAACAAAAAGTTGAACAGGAAGAACAAGAACAACACGAACAAACAAGAACAAACAAGAACAAACAAGGTCCAAAAATCGGAGAAAAGAAAACGTATGCAAACAGTTTGTGTTTAACATCTAGGACGGACATTCGTGTCCAGAAGGGTGCGAAAGATGGGCGAGGCCGAGATATATGAGGCCGAGGCCGACATTGATGAGATGAAGGGGAAGCTGACCCTGGAAACTAACGTTTCGAAACGAAAGTGTCTCAGACAAAAACGTTTGTTCGAAACAATAGTTTTCAGGGCTAATGAAAAACAAACCTTTCAACTTGGCACTGTGCAAAGTTACGTGTTTCAACCCAAAACAATCGTAAACAAACGTTTTGTCGAATAGTTTGTTTCCGCACCAAAAACAAACGTTTCCGAAACAAATGTTTTCGCAAGAACAAACAAACAAACTAGTCGAAAAAATGTTTGTTTTCGGGGGTTCGAAACTAGTTCCAACGGGGTTTGTTTTGAGTTTCCAGTTTCAAACTAAGGTTTCAAACAAAGGTTGGTTTCGAACCCTGAAACTTGCGTTTTCGCGCGAAAAAACGTCAGTTTGGGGAAGAAGACATGTGTTTTCTCTTTCCACTGCTTTCAGAGCAAAGCTTGGGCAGCGCCACAACGTTAGTTTCGGCTTGGAAAACAAACCTTTTCTATCGTCTCGAAACATTTGTTCCAATCAGGAAAACTAACCTTTCTCCTGTCGAACGGTTTGTTTCCATCCCAAAACAAACTCCTGATTGCATCCCTACTGCCTCAATGGGCCGCTGCCAATTGTTTTTTACAGATGCTCCAAGAAGGTGCATCCGTCCAGAAGTGGAGAAAAAAAAACTGACGCCGGCAATCTTCATCGATTTGTTTGTAAGAGATGGTCAACATTAGCATTTAGTCATCAAAATTGGCTATATAATCATCCAGCAACATTGGTAAACCATCCAATTCTGGTGGATGATTCGCCAGTTTACAAACGCAGGGCACTGGTCAATGGGAATTTCAGGATCCTAAAAATGGAGGTACTGTACCATATTTTTGGCCATATGTTGTTGGGAAATTCCCTTACATAGGCCTTATATAGGCCTTATATATGGTAGGTACCTGCAATGAATCGGTCCCTGAAATTGCCATTGACACTGGTGGATGAGGCGCAAACTCACCAAGGAGTGCGTCATCACGCCACTGCCCGACCTGTGGAGCATATGGCAGTTTTTGGCCGGTGCCAGGAGGGTGGGGCCCCAAGGTAAAATGGGAAGCTACGAGTTACACACGATAAAAGAAAATGGGGTTAGGCCCAAACCAAATGGCAAATGTTGGAGGTTGGGCCTGGCATGTTTTCCCTTGTCAATCTTGTTGTCCTTCTGTGTCTTGCTTGTTATATTGGGTTGAGAATTCGGTTCATGCGGGCATGAGATAGATTGAACATACTATGATCATATCATGCATGTACTATATACGTACGTGCTCTAAAAGATATTGTTTCGAATTGTTTTAATCTGTGTAATCCGCTATGGCCTACCACAGGGGATCCCTAGAAGAGAAATCATGTTGGCGCAGTCAAAGTTGCAGCCTTCCACCATGCCAACATTCAAAGAATGCAGATCAATCAAGAATCTTGCAGCACAAAATGGGCCTTGGAGGCTGAGATCGCATCAAAGACTGCTTCACGCGAGAACATCAATGGTTCGTCCACACCTCAATCCAACTTGCAAATGTAGCTACAGATCTTGCAAACACTTCGAATCAAGATGTGAAATGCAAAAACAATGTGTCCCATCTATCACTCTCTTTCAAAACAATCGAGTCTCTAGCGGCGCCCACGATACTCTTCCCGCAGTGCCCTCAGATCACATCTCAAAAATCCGCGAAACAGCAATGCCAATAGAATACATAATTACATATTATGTATGTATATAATATATATATATATTATACTATATTTTAACATAATATAATACAATGTGATATAATACAATGTAATATAATATAATATAATATACATATACATATATATATATATATATATGTACATATACATTATATATATATACATATATATATTATGATGTATAATAATAATAGTAAAAATAATAATAATAATAATGATGATAATAATATATATGTATATATGTATATATCATTATATATGTATATATCATTATTACTATTATTTTTATTCTCAGTATTATTGTTATTATTATTGTTATTATTATTGTTATTATTGTTGTTATTATTATCATTAATTATTATTGTTATTATTATTGTTATTATTATTGTTATTATTATCATCAATTATTATTATCATCACTGTTATTATGATTGTTATTATTATATATATTATTATATCATATCATATTATATGATATCATATCATAATATATTGTATTGTATTATGTTATATTATATTATAATATAATATAATATATTATATCATATTGTTTTTTAATCCATTTATATTTCTATAAGGTAGGCAACCCTCATCCACAAGACTGCATGCTGGGGAAGCTGGCTCTGCAGCCTCCAAGAAGGCTTGGGCTGGGCTTCGAAGTCCAGACTGAGAGCCTGCTAGCAGTCCCCGGCGGCGCAGAAAGCCAGCTGGGTCCAGTGCCTCAGTCAGCTTTCAATTACCGATACTTGCAAATATGATGACAATCATATGGGTATGGATCAATACCTATTAATACCATTTTTAGGGGGATGAACATCCATTTACCAGCTATTTTGATGTTCACCAGGGGTACAAGGTTTTGACACACTGCCATATCTCTAATGACAATGAAATGATATACAATGTGATACTAACAAGAATAGTAATGACGACAACAAGAATAGTAATAACTAGTAACAGCAATACTCCTGATCATCATCACCACTAGTTCTATTCTTGATATCTATAGTAATTGCTATTAAACCATCGTACTATTATTATATAATAATAGATATTAATAGATATTAATAAAGATATTAAAAGATATTAATAAAGTATTAATAGATATTAATAAAGATATTAATAGATATTAATAAAGATATTAAAAGATATTAATAAAGATATTAATATATATTAATAAAGATATTAATAGATATTAATAAAGATATTAATAGATACTAATAAAGATATTAATAGATATTAATAAAGATATTGATAAATATATTAAAAGATATTAAAAGGTATTAATAAAGATATTAATAGATATCAATAAAGATATTAATAGAGATTAATAAATATATTAATAGAGATTAAAAAATGTATTAATAGATATTAATAAATATATTAATAGATATTAATAGATATATTAATACATAAATATATATATATATATTAATAGAAATTTACAGATCTTACTAGTATTTAATAGATTTTAATCAGTATTTAATAGAATTTATTTAATGTAGTATTACTATCACCAGTTGTCTAAGCTTATCTCCAGCTCTGAGGACTCCACTCTATGGCTTGCCACAGCCATAGCTGACGGCCTTGATGCTGGATTCTGAGCCAGGAGTTGCTGTAAGAGGTCGACCAAATCCACATCTGTACCTCCAATCTGGGAATATCATGGGAATATCATGGGAATATCATGGACTATTACTAGGATATAAAAATGATTAAAAATGAATATTTAATGGAAGTACTGGATCTTTAAGCGACGTGACCTGCAACTCTCGAAGCATTTGAAGCGAGGCCACAAAGGACTGTCTGCCGCGGCGCACGTTCTTCAGGTAAAGATCTTTGGCCCCTCGTTGGATGGTACAGGCCTTTGAAATACGCACAAAGACATACAAAGAAGTGAACACCATCTTGAAACAATATGTCAATATGATCAATATGTGCTGCTCTAGACAAAAATCATCAATACTTTTGCTTCTTCCCTGTAGTTTGTTGCTCGTCGGACAGCTGTGCATCTCCCACCCGGGGATACCAACATTGGCTCCACGTAAAAAAAGAAAAAACAACAATGCTCTCCTGTCTGAATTCAAATTTGCGTACAGTTTGAGACAAATGGCTATCATCATGAATCGTCATTATCAATCTAATCATCGTCCCAGATCCTTTTTCCTTTCAAGTGGGCAGTGCAATGGTATGGCGAAGTTCAATGTCTGAGCTCCGACTTCGGTTGGAAATGCGAAGATAAAACACGGCTGCCTATTCTGAGCTCACATCCATTTCCTCCACCAACCTCACGATCCATAAGCACTGCCGCAATCCGCTCTGCTACAATTTCATCTTCCAGGCTGAAGACTGGCCATGAAGTTGTTGTGTCTACTGTGCTGCACTCTGATGTCGCCTCACAGTTTGTCAAGCTACACTCCTTCCCTGTTTGGTTGGGAAGCACGTAGCCGCTCTTCTTCGTCTCACCATTCTCATCAGGGCTCTTGTGTTGAAACCTGTCTGCGGAGCCCACGATGGACTCCCAAACTGTGCTGATTGGAGCTCCTTTCGGCTGTCCACCGTTGGAGAGCTCTTCCCTGCCATAGGCCATCTGTTGCCACAAACGGCGGTTCGCCAAGGGCTGGCAGATGCTGGCAGGCCCTACTCCCTGCCCTGGAGTTCCTGGAGGTGCGGAGCGAGTCGCCCAGCCGGAGGCAGAACTGCAGTTTGTTCTCGCCGTTCTTGGCTCCGGATCAGGACCAACACCAACACCCTGAGCCCGAGCATTCCGAGCATCCGATTCTCCAGGCGCTGCAGGCGCTGCAGGCGCTGCAGGCTCTGCATTCTTTCCTTGCCCAGCTTCTTTGGTTCATTTACCAGTGGGCAATGGTTTTGTTGATGACACCTGCATCTTAGATGTCTTGGCCGGCACGTCTGTGGCTTCACCAGACAGATCCGTCTGGGACCTCCCATTTTTCCGGGGTCCCTGGGCTCCCTTTCCACCTTTTCCGCTTTTTCCAGCTTTCGACCGCCCTTGAGGCTGTCCTTGCTGTGATTCTTGCGCCTTCTCGGCAGCGGTATCTGCATTTCTTCTCTTTGAGCGAACTTGCCGCGGCTGGTTGGTCGACATGGCAGGATTTAGATTATTCAAATTCGTGGTTTTTGCTGTGCTTTGGAGGCACGCCTGCTAGTGGTGACGTGGACTTGACATTGTTTACAACAAAGTGACAAAAGTGGGTAAATCCGTGGACTCGTGGACAATGTGTAGAAAAAATGCCGCAACACCACGTGTGAAACATGTCTGCAAAGGGTCTCCGGCCCCAGCTATCCGCCGTCCAATGGGCCGTGTCCAGGATCTTGAAATTGTGAAGAGATCATGGCTTGATGAGCTTGTTACATGGAAATCATGGAAGAGTTTTGAAGTGATGGGAAGTTATCAAGTCATGAAGTCGTGATCACGTCCTGACAAGTCCTGGAGCCCCGACTGGGATGCCCAGAGAGTGGCAAAATTCTGAAAATACGTGCTGTGAATTGTCTGGACATCAAGAATTGTGTGGATTTCTATGATTTCTTCAAACAATCTCTGCAAGAAGTTGCAATGCTCAGCAAATGATTGCAGCGTCTTCGAGAGGCGGACAGGATGAGACCTCTAATTCCACACCCATGAACGCCTGAGATCGCGATCCGAGCTCATGGTGCGAGTCTGGATGCTTGGGAAATTTGAAACTATAGACTATATTTGAAAGTGTTGTTTCGATGCTTTTTGCTAGATGCACGTTGACCAACAAACCTAACCACCCAGCCTTGGCCATTGCAGCTCCAGCTGAGTAAACATCACTTGCAGCCGTTGGGACCTGAAAAAAGAAGAGAGGGGAGTCGGAGGAAGAATAGGAAGGGGTCGTTCCACTGCCATCTTTGCTGATTCATTGAATGAGGCTGTGGCGGCCGAAGCTTGCACCTGCAGGTTTTCTCAAGACGTCGAATTGTGTTCGAATGATAGAAACATAATGCAACGCACTTTGCACATCTTCGAGCCATGATTTTGGCATAACGGCTTGCCTCAAGCTCTGGAGCCGTGTAGTCCGGCACGGAACGCCTCCCCATCATGGACTGATTTGGGGGTAAGTCAGCTAAGATAGCTAAGTCGTCACTGAATGTCTGTTGAGAATTGCTATTCGACTCACAAACATGCACGATCATGGATGATCATTCAACAACGCCAACATTGACATGGATTGACCACTGTGTCTAGAAGACCAGCTCTGATAGCCTTAGCTCTGTGGGCCTTCCTGTGCCAGTCACCAAGCAGCTCCTGAGCGAAGAAGTCGTGCTACTTGTGCCATCAGTGGCTGCACTAATTTGCTGCAGAAAGGCTGGAAGTCAGCAAGGACCGGCCGCTGGTCAGCTGTGAGTAACCTTTGGCAAGCGGTGTCGCAGTTGCTACTTGTCCATTGCACGAGGGAACAAGGGCGTTGCCTAGGTATGCCTACCCCTCACTTCTGCCTAGGAGAAATGGCAACCTTTGCCGAATCATTATCCCTTCTGATTGTAACATGCATTTGGGCGCTTTCCAATGTGATCTTCCCTTCACTTGAAGCCACACAAGAGGAGAATCAGGGGTTTGGCTTTACCATAGGTTGCAAGCCAGCTCCCAGCTCCCAGGGGGTCCCAGCTCCCGATAGCAATGTGTCGACAGCAATTCAAGCTGAGTAGCATTGTGTCAAGAGTCAGGCGTCCATGATAAACACCGTCCACGTGCAGGTAGCCGATCGCCTACCGCTGGAAGATGAATGGAGCAAGTGCTACCGGTGCTACCTGGACTCCAAATGACTCCAATGCAGCCTCACCTGCCAGATTTGCCTCCATATTGACAAGCATCTCACCTGAGTCTGTCTCTTTCTTTGTCAAAGTCTTGCGGCTCCAACGATGAGTTTCAGACGAAGGTGTCGGGATCACCCTGCAGAATGGCAGGTCCAAACCTTTCGCACCTCATAGCCAGAGGTTAATACAAGACTTGGCATAACTTGGCAACAGTGTCATATGAGTCATGTGAGTCATGTGCATTTGAGCCCCAAGCCACCGAAACATGCTTCCACCCGAACAAAAGGGCAGCTCCAAGTACATCGTTCCATCTGGCAGAGGATCCAGTGATAAATGAGCAACAAGCGATCGTTGTCGTGCCTCCAGACTTGAGCACTTTCAACAGAGAAATGACCTTAGCAAACAAAAGCAACCAGTACAATGTACTTGCTTCAGATCACATAGATTTTTGCAGCTGTAGTGTGGAGGCTGCCCTGAAATTCAATCCAGCAGGGAGAAGCAAGCTAATTATTATACGTACGTATTATATTGTGTGTATATATATATATACGTATATACATCAAGTACAGGAGTTTCAGCTAGGCTCAATGCGCTTGGATGGTCTTTCAGCTTTTGCAATGCTCTTATCTCTTGCAAGCAGCCGTCCTGGCAACAGGCGAAAGTATGATGTACCCTCCACAAACGGATTGGCTCAATCCGACCTTCTCTTCAGGAGCAAACGCCTTTAGAACCACTGCCTGGATAGGATCAGATAGGAAACCACCAGCCATCGGTGATCGCCGTGTTCTTCCATGTTCTTCTATGTTCTTCCATTGAACTTGCAAAGCAATGCCAGCCGTGACCTGGGAAACTCTTCTTCGCACCAATTTTGATCTGCCAGACGTACCAATAGGAGATATGTCGCCGTTGCCCGCACCTGACTTTCAGCCAGGCTGCCATCATTCTTGCATCTGACATTCTAGTCCTACAAAATTTAAGAGCTGCACTTTGGTTGTCCATGCTCGGATCATTCTTGCATCTGACATTCTAGTCCTACAAAATTTAAGAGCTGCACTTTGGTTGTCCATGCTCGGATCTATCAGTTCCGCGTTGTCCACCAAGGCCTTTTGCAGACACTTCGTTTGATCATGTGTCGCTGGAATTCCTTCATCAAAATGGCACCATCAATGACCACCACGAAGCTGCGAAAAATCTGACAACCAGAAGAATCAAGATTTGACAAAAAGTTTGAATGACCATAGTGACCATAGTAAAATGCTTGTATTGTACTGCACCTCTGCGGCGATGAAGTCTTCCTTGGTTATCTCAGGCTCCTGCCAAAGTTGCAAGAGTGATTCGAACAATTGACCAGAGGGCATCCAGAGGACAGCTGACTGATGCTGACTGGCTGCCTGATTTCTTGGAGCTCCAGCAGCCTCTGGATCACTTATTGCCTTCAGAAGATTCAATGCCAAGCCAAAATGCCACAGTACTTTGCTGCATTCATTTCTGATATTTCTGGCTGGAAGGATTTTTTCAGCTCATTCAACACTGGCCTGTTGATCACACCAACGCTTGTGGCGCAGAAGTCTTTCAAGCCTGTGAGGTTGAATAAACATGAATAAACTGAGGATTTTCACCAGTGATCCGGAAGAATTCATCGAGACTGAGAACTCCACAGTGGGTCTGCATGCCTTGGTTGCACAGCAGGGAGTAGATGAGTCGACCGAGGGATTTGGGACCTCAATGACTTGCCAAAGTGCGCTGGACCAGCGGCGCGGATCGCTCGTGCAAAGCCCGGGGTGCCTTTGCTCCAAAGAAGCACGGAGCCGTGGCACTTTGGGCATTGTCAATGAGTCAATTCACAAAGTTAGACCGCAGATGTTTCAACATGTTTCAACAATCTGTGGCTTATGCCGGTAATCTCCACCAATCCAAGCTGGGCATACTGTGCAGCAAGTCGAATCTGCGGGATGGGGAAAGCAAAGCCAAGAGCTGCATGACATGTCCAACAAGTTTAGGGAAATGTTCAGCAAAAGTCGAATGTTGTCCATCAAGATTCCCGAAATTCTCATCGAACTTTCATATGGGCTTGTCTGAAAATAGAGTATCATCGTTTAGATGGGCATTTTGGGGGTATACCCCATGTTCAGATTCACAAATCACAATATTGTTGCTTATATCCCATATAATATATATATATATATCCATGTATCACCGTGTTTTCCAATTTTTCCTGCTTAAATCACCCATTTTTGATGATAAATCTCCCAGTTGATGAACGCCGCTCCTCGTTTAGGAGTTCCAGGTGTGCACTGATCAGGGCAGTACGGGCTGCGGAAAGGTCCTGGCTGGGCAAATGACTGATGTTGATGGATGGTTGGTGATATGTCCCTTTGGATTACCGTTTTGTTTGGTGAAATACATTCACTTAAGGAGATGTTTGAACTGTTGGTTGATATAGTTGTTGGTGATATAAATTGATTTCCTCTGATTCAAAAAAAACAGACTTTATATGCCCATGATCTTCGGATAATATTATGGTGATGGCCCCTAGCGGCACCATGACGACCCTCGGCCTCTGCGGGTGGAGTCTCACCTTGTCTGCGGCAGCCTGAGCGTCAAAGCATAAAAAGAGACATGGGGGGTACACCTTAGGATCCAATGGTTTATGAGTTCATCATCATACCTATCTGAAATTGCAATGGTTCCCTTTCGGGGGGGTATATCACCACTTTTGGGCAAACCCACAACTGACTCTTTTTTTCTGGCCAAGATATCCCAAGCACAGGAATCACATCCTGACGTTTGACAGAAGCTGGGCCAACTGCGGGCCAAAGTTCTGCGGTGGACAGATGTCGCAGCTATCAACTCATCCTCAGGTAGCCATCGGATACAATGGGTCAAAATGAGAGGATTTAGCAGCTGAAGCAAAGGCCTGAAAGAAAGATCTTCCAGTTCTGGGTCCAAATTGGGTACTTTCAAAGTGATAAGTGATACTAAAATTACTGTATATAGTATATACTATATACAGTTGTATACATACTAAATTGAGTCTAACACTTTTGCCCCCACAGCTCAAAAACAGTCCTCTGCTTTGGCAAAGGCCTTCTCAACTTGGCGAATTCGCTGACATGCAGCTGCACCTGCACCTGGGAGTCGCGGCGTCGCAACCGAAAATGGCGACGGGAAAGAGCCAGCTATGCCATGCAGAGCCTTCATCGACCAGCTGGCAAAGGAGTGAGAACTTTGCCCGAGCCTGGTGAAATCCGAGGGGAACATGGGCGATAAACAAAAAAGAGTTCATAAGCTCATTGCAGTGAACTATGTTCATTTCTATGTGATACAGTAATCTAATTATCCATTTTGTCTTGACAATAATAATTATCATCATATAACAATCATATAATTATATGTAGTATAATGTGACTGTATGTGTGGAATCATAGATATCACTGAATATCATTGTCATTCATTGTCCATGTTTTTTGCCAAATCCTCATTGACTGCCACAGTCCTCAGCCAGGGCTGAGGGAAGCTCTCGCCCAGCTCGGCCTGGTGTGGCAACTTTCGGCTGGAGACTGGGGTATTCGCGGGCAGCGCGGGCAGCCGAGGCCCAGGCCAACTGTATCGATCTCTTTGTCAAGCCTGGGATGAAACATGGATGAAACAAGCTTTCAGCAAAACCTTGGAAGCCTGGGATGAGTCTCATTGAATATATTGAATAAGAATGAATAAGAAAGCAAGCCGATGGATCCGATGGGACAAATGGCAAGGCCTTTTCTTACAGATAGGAAACATACACACGCCGCAAGGCTTTATTTTTACAAATCTTTCTCAAGCGTGCTGCGAAGCCCAGCGCTGGAAACCCTGTTATCCTGTTGAACCTGTTGAACCTGACCTGGCTCTGCACCAAAGCCTCCCAGACCTTCTCCGGAATCTTCTCCGGAACCCACCAAAGACTCCCGGAACCTTCTCCCGAACCTTCTCTGGAACCTTCTCCGGAGCCTTCTCCGAAACCCGTTGAATCTGACTTGGCTTTTCACCAATACTTCCTAGAACCTTCTCCGGAACCTTCTCCGGAGCCCTGTTGAACTTGACCTGGCTCTCCGCCAAAGCCTCCCAGACCTTCTCCAGACCCTTCTCCAGAACCCTGTTGAACCTGACCTGGCTCTGCACCAAAGCCTCCCAGACCTTCTCCAGACCCTTCTCCAGAACCCTCTTAAACCTCACCTGGCTCTGCACCAAAGCCTCCCAGACCTTCTCCAGACCCTTCTCCAGAACCCTGTTGAACCTGACCTGGCTCTGCACCAAAGCCTCCCGGAACCTTCTCCGGGACCTTCTTGGGAACCCTGATGAACATGACCTGGCTTTGCACCAAAGCCTCCCGGAACCTTCTCCGGGACCTTCTTGGGAACCCTGATGAACATGACCTGGCTTTGCACCAAAGCCTCCCAGACCTTCTCCGGAACCGTCTCCGGAACCCTGTTGAACCTGACCTGGCTCTGCACCAAAGCCTCCCAGACCTTCTCCAGAACCTTCGGAACCTTCTCCGGAGCCTCGTTGAACCTGACCCGGCACCTGCACCAGTGCACAACGGAGTTTTTCTGGGCTGAAGACCCCATTAGCTTACGCTGTTGGGGAAAAAACATGAAAAAACACTAGAGACATGATGCATGGAGCAAAATCTGTAAATCATTGTAAATCTAATAACTAATTCCAACTGCCTCTCCTGCCTTCCCCCTTTCCTCAAGCAGTCCGTGGGCCCGGGCGCAGCCAAACAGCGATGGGCAGCTGCGTCTCTTTGCCGAAGAGCTTCCACCTTCGTCCCCGCGCCCGCTGAGTCAAGGTCCCCTGGTCCACCTAACCCCAGAATAGCTGGGTTAGATGGGTGTTCATCCCTCAAATACTGGTCCATAGGTCATAAGATGTCATAAGCCATACCACCCATACCCATATCTCTTCATCATGGTTGTCACTCCTTGTCATTTGACGTCATTTATATCGCTTTGCTCCTTCTGTCAGATGATGTTGAATTTGGTTCAATGTCTGCACGTAAGTACAATGTTTCAGCACATTCAGTAGCGAGTCAATCCAGCACCCGACGTCATCGATTCTTCCGAGCTCGTCGAATTCGTCCCACAAGCGGCCTAGGTAGCAAATTGTCCAAATAACTTGCCCAAGTGATATTTCCACCATCCTCCACAAACTTCCACCCTTGAATTACCATCCTTCACCAAGACTAGAGATTTCCGTCTGCGTCTGGTGGCTGGGAAGCTGACGTTCAGTGGCATCATACACTGTTAGCTCCCCAAATATGCCGTTGCCTCTTTCAAAGCAGGAAAGTCTGTACGTGTGCCTTCCCCAAGGATTCATGCCTCTCAATCCATCAGTAAAGCCTGGAGCTGCTCCGGTAAAAACATCGCTGGGGCTTCGGCTTTGAGAGCCGTGCGCTGCCTGCTATTCATCTTTGCCATATGGGTGTGTCTCAAAAAGTATAATTCTAATGGATTATCATCATGTTCCCATAGTTTCCCATATTTTCCCATATTTGCCCTACTAAAATCCGCCCGCACCGAAGGTGCTGGGGCGTGATCTTCCGGATGGCACTCGTAAAAGGTTACAGGTTTACCTAGGGGGGGGGGCATTTTTCGGCCAAAACCTCCTGTTTTTGATAGGTCGTGACGCTCGCCTTCAAAAAACACTGTAAAAAACAGTACGGAAGACACCTGTTCGTGAACGCGCCCGTCCAAAATCGGCAAGCGAAAAGTGAAAAAAAACCGTGTTTTTCAACTTTTTGACCTCAATTTTTTGGTTTGCAACATCTTTTTTTGCGGTTCCGCAGGTGGCCGGGCCCGGAGGCGGATTTTTTAGTTTTTGGACCCGTTTTCGGACTGATTTTCGTCGTTTTGTGATAGCAGAAACACTGGTTTTTACAGTGTTTTTCTGTTTTCTGCATGCTTGACGGCTAGCTTCAAAACTTCCAAAAACCTCGTAAATTACGCTGTTTTATGTTACGGTGTGAATGAAAACATCGTAAATACCAGTGTTTTTTGACGTTGGTTAAAAAAACACTGTAAATTACAGTGTTTTTGGCCACCTGACCCTCAAAAACCATGGTATTTGCAGTGGTTTCTGCTTCTCACCGCGCAAAAACACTGTAAATAACAGCAATTTCGCCGTTTTTTCATGTTTTTCGTTATTTTTTGAACTGCGTTGGTCCGCTATACATGGCTATCAAATTCTTCGCGTTTTTTTTCCCGACAATCAGTACTTTCGGATGATTTTGGTCTCAATGGCCGACATCATTGGCAGTTACGAGCGGCTGCCCAACGATGCGGTGCGGGCGGTTGCCGTCGCGAAGCGACGTGAATAGCTATTTGGATCTATTTGGTAGTTTTTTCGCCTGACAATGACCCACAACATACCCCAAGTGGCCACAGCCGTGGCGACAGTCGCCTGCACTCGATCCAGACGCATTCGTGGCACGGATGTGGATGGCTCGGCCATGCTGATCCCGGCCGTTGCCGCAGCCTTTCAACTGGCTCTGATGGCAGATCGCCATAAAATGGCTATATGAATCATTATTAATCTATCATTATCCCATCAATTAATCAATCTTCATTACTGCTGTTATTATATGAATATTCTGATTCGTTAATAATCCCATCCCCCTAATATTAAACATCCCCAATTCGTCTTTAATGAAATCCTGGAGACTGTCCAGCTGAAGATTGACGAGGAGTTATTCAGCTATTCAATGAAATCAATGGAAAGACTGATTGTGAGATTTTCTCCACATGAGAGGCGTTCAGAAACCTCTGTCATCCCTCTGTACCAGCTGGCTCATAGCGGTTCCCGTGCTGGGTCATTATCATCCGTCATAAAGTACGAGTAGGTAGTATGACCCCCTAGAATTTCCCTATAGTTCATCCCATCATGAAGAGGGTGCGGCATTTTGCTGAACCTTGGCGATGGAAGCGCTAGTGGTTAGATCCACCCAATTCTCATCATAGCCATCAGAACCTTGGAAAGCTGCAGCAATTCTCAGCCAAGCGCCAGAACTGGAACACCAAGACCGTCTGTCAAGTGATGACTCTCAGGCTGGGACTCATTGAATGTCGCAGTGGCTGTGGCAAGCGCGGCCTCTGAAACTTTGACTCACAGCCATTTGCAACTACTTGGTACAGTACGTCTTGGTACTAAGATCCGTGCGGAGAGAGCACAGGTCCAAAGTCCCTGTCCTGTGTCCATTCCAAACGGAGAGACGCCGGCACTCCCAAGGCATTTCGCATCATTTTCTTGCAAAGTGCTGAGTCTCGTTGAGATATCTACCAGCCTCCGGATCAAAGAAGGCAGCCTGGCCAGTAGAGACTGCGTCAGCTTGGAAAAGGTCTTCCTGACCTGTTGCCATATCTATTTTGATCTTTCAACAACTCGGATATGGCACCTGAGGAAATAGTCGGCACGGTGGTGTGGGCGGCGGTTCCTCCTACCAGGGGTGGGCAAATGCATTGAGAAATGCAAAGCACTTCACTTCATTCACACAGGTACCAGCTTTGTCCTCAGCCTGAGCATGAGCAGCATGATAAAAGCTCGCATAGGCGAGGCTGATCTGGCCAGCAAAGCCACAAGTCAACTCTCCCCCACAAAAATGATGCAACAGCCTCAAGTGATGGTGCCATCTGATGGCGACTTTCTTGCATCCTACTGGTAGTTCAAGCCACATGTTGAGGGGCAACTCCTGCCTCATACGGTGGATTTGGAGCGGCCACAAAAGGAGCCAGTATGGTTGCAGAAGGAGAGGGCTGCGCCATGAACCTGGAACTCACACAGTTTGTCAGCCCTTGAGATGTCAAGCCCATGCATCAAATACAAGTACTGCCTGGTGCACCTGTCCAATTCAGACTCAAAGTGACGACAAAAACCACTGAACCTCAAGGAACCTCATAGATTTTCAAGGAAACGGATATCACATTATCACAGTGTGCACTACTGCCACCCGCAGCCCATTTTGCACTAGCGCATAGATGCGCAGTGATTTGGTCTTCCTTGGCCTCTCAGTTGAGCTCCTCATCTGAATCCAGTCCTTCCTCCAGAGACCCTGGTGATGACGGTTTCAAGGACTTCAGGCACCTGTGGTGTCACTTCAGAACAAGACGCGGGTTTCTGGAAGGGGCCGCACTCCTTCTGGCTTGGCGAGCTTGGTAGCACAAGCTCCAAGTGGCTAGTGCTGTAGTCAGTCACTGGCATGCTCATACATGTTGCCACACCTGCCGCTTGATTGCTGGAACCCAACAAATTCACCAGGCAGCTCATTCTTTGCAGCGAAACCCATTCAGCCTGCCGACTTGATTCCAGAGTGCTGGCAGAGGTTTGGTCGGCCTTCTTGGCCAGAGTCACTGCCTCATAGCATGAGTCATAGTCGCTGCAAATTTCAACCTGCTTGTGATACTCGATGCAAGCAGCTTCTTCCTGGGCTGCGTTTGAAACCTGCGCAGTGGTGGTGACGGGAGTTGCCCCCGCCGTGGTAGTGACCACCACAATTTGGCTGCACTGCAGTTGCTTGCTGAAGAGGTTGGCCTCCTTGATGTCGCACTCAGATGCCTTTGTGTCGGTCAAGGCGGTGAAGTTGCTGCAGTTTTGCTTCTTGGAAACATAGTCAGCCAGAATTTGCACATCGCGCTCAAGGTACTGTTCATAGCTTCCAGAGAAGCTTTCATTGCATCTCTCTGCCTTGGCATCAATCACAGTCTTATAGTGGAAGTTCATGCATACTGCATCAGAAGCTTCCTTTGCTGCTTTGTACTCAGACTTGCAGGTTGTCAAGGATGTGTTCAGGGCCTCGACTTCTGCCAAGCAATCCTTGAGTGCAATGCTTGATGGGTGCAAAGTCGTTGCAGCTACGACAGTAGTGGGTGCAGCTGTTGTTGTGGTTGCAGCCACACTGGTTGTGGTCGTCACCAGAGCTGAAAGCGATGAGGTCATGTTTGCATCACATCGGGTGTAGCCGGAAATGTCCGTCAACTCAGCCTGTGCGATGTTGTGCTGGGTGGTCACGTCCGCCAGCATCTGTGAGATGTAGTCTCTGATGCTCTGTAGGGTAGAACCATTTGTTGGCACTTGATCTGCCATGTTTGCCAAAGCGCTGGCGACAGATGACAAGGACATGCTGCCCATGTCAGCTGGAATTTGGATTGAAGCCTGTGCCCCAAGCAGCAAAGCTGCACCGGTCACGAATGGCATCGAAATCTTCATTGTGATGAAGGCTTTGAACACCTCACCAAACCTGCTAGATTGGTGCCTGCACTTATTTCAAGTGCCTGGCTGAGCCCAAAAGCAATGGGTGATGAAATCTGAACATCACACAAGCCACAAGCAACAGCCCCTGGATTGACAAAAGGGTGTTGAATCTCAACCTGTGCTGAGTCCATCAAGACAAAGGAAAATCATGCAGCGTTCATCAAATATGTCGAGTATACTATCAACATCTATCAACACTGCCAATGACCTATGATAACCCATGTCTGAGATCATCTAAGACCCAAACGCCATCTTGAAATACTGAGCAGCAGCAAAGGGCACCGACAAACCAAAGACCGGTCTGACCTCAGCTGCTGGAGGAATGAGGACCGAAGAGCAACAGAGTCCAGCAGAGTAGGAATACCAGTGCCTTTTAAGGGAGGACATTCTCAAACGGTTTTCCAGGGATCAGGCAACTAATCGGCTCCACAATGTTGCAACCTGTTTCGCCACAGACAAAAACTTTGGTTGGCTCATGTACGCACGATGTGCTCCAAGATTTTTTTGGATAAACAGCAGGCCTCCTTCCCAGCAATCTCTGCATGGGGCAGTCGCAGGAACAAGCAGAAAGAATCCACCAACGTAGACACCCAGTACTGGCGACGCAAGGCAAAAGTTCAAGGGGTTACCCCAAATAGTTTTGAAAGATATCCGATGACTGAATGTACATACATATTAATTATATATCTACATATATTACACATATAATACACAATGCCGGCGAACTTCCCCCAACGTTGCAGTCAACTGTCATTCCCGCATGGAACTACGCCCCCCAACTGCCAGGGAAAGTCACCCAACTTCTTCGCTCATTGCAAACGCAGCACGAAAATGTACAAAAAAAGTATAATCCCAAACTTACAAAACACCATGAGAACGTAAGTCAATGGTTTCAAACTAGGGAAAAATATTACCAAAAAAGATATAATTGATATCAAAACTTGTAAACGCATGATTCATGTATGTTTTGGTCAGATATCTCTTGTGTTCCAAAACGCATCTAATGTTCAAAGCAACATAAACACCCAACTAAACGCAATATTTTGGATCGGGCGGGGTAAGTTCACTGTAAGCGAGTATGATTTACAAATATGTTGATTATTCTTGTTGGCAAGACACATCTCAGGCGCAACTGCAGGAAAGCACATTTCAACCAGCAAGCACCGTGCTCCTCCTTGTTGGTTTGATCAAACGGCGCAGCAGTGCCAACTCGAGGGAACGCACTGCAAAGAACTGCGGCTGCTGTGTCCTTGATTCAGAGGGAGTGGTGTATCAGCGTGGGAATAAAATCCTGAATCACAAACTCAGCCGTAGATCTGGAATTTATGTTCGCGGTAATTATTCTGCAGCAAATGTGCACGTTTGTGGAGTGCATGATGAGAAATGGGTTTCAGAACTGCAAGCTCTTCGGCAAAACATGCTGTTGCTCGGCAAATTTCCAGCACAGAGATGAAATAAAGACGTGTCAAAATGTGTCAGGTAGTTACGAGGTAGTTCGTACATTGAAAGACTTTGTTTGAGATCGTGTTTACTCATAAGTCGCGAACAGGAGAAACGCGTCCCTTCCCCACAGTCGCAATGCTCGAAGCAGCCAGTGCAACTGCGCCTAGAGCCTTGAAAGATCTTGCGCGGCTAAAATGCAAACAGGGCAAATGAACACGTTGTTGCCATGATCTATTTGGGGAAAGCCTGGAACATCCTGGAAATGATTTAAAAAAAACACGAGATGGGAAATACAGGAAGTTGTGGAGCCACTTGGTTTTCGCTTCCCACTTCTGAAACTCGTGTGGTTCCAGCCTTGTTGCACCGACCGGCTGCTTGCAGAGAACCTTCACATGGTTCCACGGCCAGAGCCAAAGCATGAGCCGTGATAGCAGGCAGGATCTCTGACATTGCAGGGTGATGAAGCAGCACCTCAGTCTGGCATGGTCAGGTTTCGTTTTGTGCTTGTCCCAAAACGTTCCACCACCATTCAGAAGTTCTTGGACTTGAAACTGGCGGCTTTTCCAGCAAAAGCAGCTTCTGTTTTCAACCTTTCAATCATGATTCTTCACTGCAGCACCACGTGGAAATCTTGTGGAACATTCCATTCCACCATGCCATTACTGGTGCCAGCTGATGCTGCGCCAGCAGCTCATACAATGAGGCCCAGGCGTTGATCAACATGTTTTGCGCATAGTCTACAACCTCGAAGTGTCCTGGCTCCTTCGGGCCCTCCTGTGCTCACGCTTCAACTGCCATTGGCAAAATATCAAAGCAAGTGTCGAAAGACATGAATTTTGTCGGTGCAAAACATCTATTCAAGGCAACAGACTCCGGTCCTTGCGGTATCCCCATTGCAAGAAACGAAGGAAAAAACTTGCAGCCGGCATTCGTTCAGAGGCAGCATCCTCAGAAAACCAAGCACTGAGGGCTTCAAGGTGCTTTCGCATGCTTTCGCTGACTCCAGTGATCTGAGACCACCACTCCGAGTCTTACCTGATATCCGCGGTGAAACGCAAGTATGGCGAGCCGAGTTGTGAGATCAACTCCTACAGGGCAGGAGTTGGTCGGAGTTGGTGATGTTTGAGGTGAAGGCACGGAGCCAAGAGGAGCTCCTTCATGCGACAGATGATCGAAGCCAAGAAGATCGCAAACGTCTGCGAGCAGCTGAAGAATCACCTGGCATTAGCATCGCCCAAACCTGGTGGGGAAATATGTATTATTCAAAATCTCTAGTTGTGTGTATATATATATATTATGATATATATATATATTATAATTATAGTTTTTAATATCCCTTCCAATCCCCTGATTTCAACTTCTCTGCCTCTGTGTCCAAAGCGGAAGCTGCCACGAGCAAGGAAGCTTGCATTGCAGCACCTGAAGTGCAAGATATGCAAGATGCAAAGGAAGTATGCACGTTGAATATGATTGAATTATATTGAATTCGTAGAGTCGTATAGTATGTCAGTATGTCAGTATGTCCTTTAGATGCAAAATCATTCCCAAAATTTCCAAACGCTTCCTCCTCAGCACCCTGACGGCAAGGGCTTGGCACGGATCCTTTGGTAAAAGCCCCAGCCTGCGCAACACGCTGAGACAACGCTGCCCACGATGCAAGCTGAGACAAATCCGAGCTTTGCCAGCAAGCCTTCACCAGCGATTCAGCCAACTGACGAGTAGAACAAGCCCTGTGGTGCAGCAAGGCCTCACTTTGGGAGTTTTTATGGCATCTATAGCTGCGCTAAGTGAAACTCATGGGGCTTCCAGATTTCCATCCTCGGAGAACATGAAAAAAGACATCTCCTGAGAAGCCTCATTGGCTAAGGAGCTGACCGTCAAGATAGGATGAACCTTGGTGCCGACACACTGGCCGGTATGAGATGTATGAGTACTATGATGAAGATGTGCACTTATCATGACTTATCCATGCGATGGATCTGTCCATCACAATTTGTCGCGCACCGCATATGCTGGCCATGTTTGAGATGAAACATAACGGGCTGACTTGAGGAGTGAACCTGCAAAAGCACTTTGGCAGCCATCTGTGTCAGTAGTCGCTTCCAAAATCCAGCATCCTACCAGTCGAGACAGGAAAACTTGAAATGGCCAACTGGCAGATCCAATGGTGTGGCTCAGTCAAACTGCAAGCATCTGCAAGCATCTGCAAGCATCTGCAAGCATCTGCAAGCCGCATCTCCTCCAACCAGTCTCTCACTGAAAGGCCTGATGTCAGTGCACCTCACCACGGCATTGATTTCAAAGGTACTGGGACGAAGTGCTGCAGGATCTGAGGTGTGAGCCCCCACTTCGCTTGCTCAACCTGGGAACGAAGCAATGATTGGGGCCTTTAGCGGCTTTGATTCAACTCAGTAATTGGTCGGAAGGCAGGTAACCAAGGCAGCTAGAAAATGCTCAAAGTGTGAAGGCCTTTTGCTGCGGTCAAACTTTGGAGGGCAAGGGTAACATAACCCAAGGATCATAAGGTGTCCAGCAGGGTAGCTCTTTCCGATTGCGTATTTGGGGGGTCTGACACCAGTCACTTACTTCTGCCAGGATCTGCCAGGCTGCCAGCATGTCTTCTAAGCACTGGACAAATCAATTAAAGAGGCTGCAAACCAGTCCAGAGCTTCTGCCGAAGTTTTTTCTCCTCGTGACTTCAGGATAGCAGCAAGCAGTTTCACTCCCTGTTGTGTTCGATTATTCTCAAGTTGCAGGCTTGAACACTTGCCAGAAACGCTCAACCCCAGGACAAGCAATCACAGGAATAGATCTTATGCTAATTCTCATTTCCAGTTTGTCATCCTGTAATTCCTAGCTTCGAAATTCAGTAGCTGCGTAGCTGCAAGGTCCTTGGCGGTAGGTCAAGAGGCCAAGAGCGCATTGCATTGAAAGTAAACGGCTCATCTCGAAGACCTGGTCCACTTCTCCGAAAGTCTCTGTTGATCATTACCCGGCCTGGTAAACATACAAAAAGCTATTGAAAATGGCCATAGAAATACTGGATTGTCCCATTAAAAATGGTGATTTCCCATAGTTGTGGTAGTTTACCAGAGGGTATTGATCATTATCAAGGATGCTGGATGCTCAATCTTTGGTGCTGTGTCTCCGGTGCGAACCTCAATGCTGGTGTATCCCTCATCGAAGACTCCAGCAATATTGGTGATCATGTCCTGCATGACTTCTGTGATTGAAATCCTAAACCAAAAAAATAACTCAGTAAAAACGTTGAAGGTTCACATCTCCTTGAGGTCCGGCATATGGAATCTGCGCTTGGGACCTTATTGGAGGACTTTGTGAATGTCACACTGCAAGGTGAGTTGCTGCAAGGCACTGGAAGCAAATCCTGAAACCTTCTCCAGCAGGCTGCCGCGAAACTCCTCACTGCGTGCCAGAAACATATTCTTCTGTATTTCATGTTGGAACTTGAAAAGCACTGCAGATGTGTATAATGTTACACATATATATATATATATACATTATATTATATATAATACGTACAAGTATGTATATATATATACAGTATATATATACACATTATTTATGCACGCAGGTATTTGTGCCAACACATGTGGAATGCTACGGCTTTGGATGGCACTTGCGCCTCCATGCTACGCGTTAAGGCTTCAGTGCTGCAAACTCCCTGTCCTCAGCATTATGAAATTTTCTGTCAATCCGCCAATCTGATCTCTTGAGGAGTGAACGATAAGTTTGATTCTGACAAATGTAAGTCTGCTACTAGCTGCAGCTCCAAGCCGAGCTGCAGCAACCTGAGTTGTCCGTCGCCGCTTTATGCGCTAAAATGCACAAAATCATCGAAGAACACGCATGGCCGTGGACTTTAACACGTTTTACTTTTTAACAGCCAGCCGAATGTTAGTTGCTGGGTTCCCAGCTCGAAGTGCATGAAGACCATGCGGGAAAGATGCCTGAAATCTTGAAATATTTGGGACATTTTGGGACATTTTGGGACAATGATGGACAATGATTGTTGGCTACTGCTACGCTGCTACATCACCTGGTCCACGTTGGCCAAGGCCTTGCCCATGAAGCCCAAACCTGCGCCCACGTCTGCCATCCCCAAAAAAAACCCATGGGATACTCATGGGATATCCATGGGCGGCCTCCCAGTTCTTGAAATGCCAAAGTCATTGATGGTCCCAGGCCAGACCTAGTTTTCGGGAACTGGACGACCCCTTCACAAGTTGGAGCTTGATCCGAAAGATCTAGATCTTTGATGTCATGGAATAACAAATCAACTAAAGTATTGGCAGTATTGGACTTGCAAAAGCTTCATCTTACACAAACAACTGAGTTCGATTCGAAGAAGCGAGCAAGGACTCCACGATTCCGAACCTGTGGCACTGCTGACCATGCTCAGCTTATATGGTTCTATCTGAAATTGGGGTCTCCAAATTGGATGGCTGAGCATCAGTTCGCCTATTAAAATGGTTGCGGGTGTACCCATTTTTAGCCTGTGAGAATTAAAAAAATGATTGATGATCAAGATGGCCCCCAACATGGCCAGTTTAAAGTAGAAACCCTTGATTAGTTGAATATTAATTGATAAATCAGTGGATTAACTGTGATTAACCCATGATTAACCCATGATTAACCCATATTCTGTTGAAAGCAAACAGAAGAACTTCCCTATGAGCGCCGGACGTGAACTGAGAAGCCTTTGCGCCGCGAAGTCCATCAGAGCCCTCGACGAAACCGCCGTTGCCGACCAACCTGAACCTTGGTACATTATTGATTTCACATGAATTCTACATATATATTATATATTTGTATATAAATTAATATAAATTCACGTCTCAGATTACATGTTACATATATATATATAAATATGTGATTATATAGTTATATATAATACATAGACATATTAAGTTATATATTATATATATAAAGAAAAGGAGCAGAAGTCCACGTGATTCTCAGGAGCCAACCAGGCTGTGGATAGTCCCAGCATTGTCTTCAGCAAACGCTGAGCATCGTCCATTGCCTCCGGAACTGTGCACATCGAAAGATTGAGATTGACCATCATCCCCATTAACAGGGGTCAATATAAAATGATATAACATAATAACACACACATACCCAGACGTTTGCCCAAGCCCAGAATAGGGGAAATACCAGGGAGTTCTGTACGACGTCAAACAATGGGAAGGATTTTTTGTTCAATTATGTTGCTAGGGTGTTAACCAAAACATGTTGCTTCTACAAAACATAAAACCAGAACATGTCGCTTCTACATATCACATGGAGTTAACCATACAGTCATTAGGGATTCTTATATAGGGTTTCAAGAAGATATAAAGATCCCCCGGGCCCCATGGAACAATTATAATATATACACTGTAATCATACAGTCATTAGGGATTCTTAAAGGGATTCAGGAAAATTTGAAAATCTCCCGGATGCCCCATGGAAAAATTAACCATACAACCATTCGGGTTTCTTTTCGGGCTTCAAGAACATCAAAATTTCCCGGCCCCATGGAACAATTAACCATGCAGTCACTAGGATTTCTTAAAAGGTTTCAAGAAGATATCATCATCATCATCATCATCATCCTCATCATCCTCATCATCATCATCATCATCATCCGGATCATCCTCATCATCCTCATCATCCTCATCATCATCGTCATCCTCATCATCGTCATCCTCATCATCGTCATCCTCATCCTCATCGCCATCCTCATCCTCATTCTCATCATCATCATCGTCGTCGTCGTCGTCGTCATCGTCGACATCGTCATCGTCATCTTGGCTTGCCCGGACGCTCGTTGCGAGTCCGGGCAAACCTCAGGGCCTTGCCGTGATAATATAACCATTGACACAGCCATTAATATCATTAAATTCCATTGATATCCATTAAAAAAAACATAAATTAGAAATTAAAAACAACAACGCTGCAGCGGCGTCGCCGTCGTAGCCTTTGAGTCGGTGGGCGGAGACGCTTCGAGGCCATCGGAAAGTGCACTGGCTTCAGCAATGACTGCAAGGAGCCTGTCCTGGAGCTGAAGAAGATAACAGCTGCAGCTGATTGCAGCTGTGTAAATATCGAATAGATAGAGATCGAACACATACTGTAAATTAACAATGATGACGATAATAATAACAATAATAAATAACAATAATAATAATAAATGATAATAATAATAATAACGATAAGACTAATCAATAATAATAAATGATAATAATAATATAATAATAATAATATATAATATAAAATATAATAATGATAATAACAACAATGGTTATAAGCGTGTCTCATCTTTAAAGACTCCTCGTCAGTGTGGAAGTCTGGGTGAACAGCCAGTGCTCGTAGCTGCGCCTATTTGGCAAACAGAAGACCGGCTTGATCAATCTCTTCATGGGTCAGAGCATAGGCTAGGCCCTTACTCTTTCAAGAGCACAGTCAGAAGTTATATATCTAGCATAGAAGGCATGTAGTGTGCTGAGATAATGACGCAAGCTTACATCGGCATTGATAACTGTAGGCCATGCCACTGTGCTCGATCAATCTTGTTAGGCTTTTGAGGGGATTCAAAAAAGAGGAGGTCGTGTGAGCTGAATCAAAGGACATCTAAGGCAACCGACCCCATCTTCCCACTTGCTGGCCTCCGCAGCCACAAACTGCCGCATCTCCTCATCTCGTGCTGCAGCCTGAAGCCGGCACAAAGGATTCCCCTTCGTCACCCGGTGGCGGTCAATGGACCATGATGGACCATAGGTCTCTGGCTGCGGCAAAGGTATTAGCATGTCGGAGACGGGCTTCCTCTGCTTCCTGTTCAGCCTAAGATGTAGCAAGGTTTGTTGTGCTAATGACTTCAGACGCAGATTGAGTCTGTCCATGGCACAAGATTCCCATGCAATCGCAAGAAGGTCCAGATACAAAGGCTCCTGCTGTACCTGCAAAGCCTGAACATCCCGCTCAAAGCAGTCAATCAACAAGTGAGTCTCATGTTCAAAAATGAAACGCACCTCCAGTGTGTTCTGGAGCTAACATCCATGATGGAGGACTTAGCGACGAGACCATGACGTTTATATGGCAAGATGCATCAAAATGCTCTCTCTCTCTCTCTCTCTCTGAGTCTACATGCCGTTTGGGTATCTTCTTTTACATGCATTCTGCAAACCAAATAAACAAACGGCACAGGACCATCACCAAGTCTCTGCTACAGCAGTGATTTCTTACCCTCTGTGCAGATGGAAATTGAGCTTCTGGCGCAAGCATCCTTGCACCACACTGCACTTCCAACCAAGGGGGGATGACTGATGCTTGCACAAAGTGTTGGTACACTACAGAAGCGATGTGTCTTGACGCCCTCTTTGACAACTGCAACTATAAGTACACAATAAATCAAAATAACGTGAAGATACGTGAAGTTTTTACCATCGTTGACCGCGCTTGATGAAGCAAGGCCAGTGCGGACAGTCACATTTTTTGTCAACATGCCTCCGGGTTTTTGCGGCAAAACGGTGGACATGATGGCATTCCCTTGCAAGGCATGTATTTGGAAGCGGCTTTTTTCGAACACGGTCGCAGGTGAGCGCAATCAATCGATGATAGAGACACTCTCGCTACATTGCTGTGGATTGCGTGTGTCCAAAGATGTCCAAAGGCTTGCAAAGAAAGTCTGCTGAAGATGTGATGTTGAAGAGACCCTTGGAAATCTTGGAAGATCTTGGAAGTAGAATGTTTGAAATTATCTGAATTCTGAATGTACCTGCTGCACACCACAGCACCAATGCTTTGCACATGATTTCCGATACATCCACCCTGCAACAGGATGCTGGAAAATGGTTGGCCCAATGCATCTTGCAATGGAGCCGGAGCTATGGCTGCGGGCTTTTTGGAATGATGGACCTGGATGTTTGTCCGTGGCTGTACTAGAAAAGTCTGTGGAAAGATGTAGTAGAATGATGTAGAAAGTGTGTTAGTGCCACGGAAATGTGTGATAATCTGATAAGCGTGTGAGTGTGACGCTTTGTGTGGAGATACAGCATTGCAGTGTAGCATTCTAACATCTTAGATGTTATCGTACTGAAAAGATCAGAAAAGGCTGTCTCTGGAGCTGTGCCATCCCTGACTCTTGTCTACAGAGCTTTGTTTAGTGACAGACACTGATGACACTGCACCATTCCAAAATGTGCCACGTTCCTACAGGTCACCTCACTTTTTAGCGTTTGTAAATTCTTCTCAGCCTCTTGCATCACATTTCAACTTAAAGCCCTGCAGGCGATCAAGACACCGGTCGATCTCAACCAGGCTCTCTTCAGCCGTCTTGATCTCTGGTTCCAAACGTTGTCTTCTTGCCTCATAGTTGGCTTTGTCTTCTGGAGTTAACTCAATCTTTGCCATGTCCTCCTCAAGCCGTCTCATCATTGGCAGTTTGAAGAAGGATTCCGAAAAGAGCTCCACTTGATCACACACTTGAGATCTGATAAAGCTATAGGTGTGCAGCACAAGGATTTGCACCTTGTCAACTGCTTGATCGATCTCATGTGGTTCTGCTGGGATCTTGGTCAGCCAATGAGATATGGCCACCTCATTGCCACTTCTGCTTTCGATTTCTCGGGGGATTCGATTCTTGGTGTCATCAAATGATGGCAGCATGGCATCTTCAAGATCCCCGGAGATGGCTGGGATTGTTGTGGCTCCCTTCAAGAATACCCATGGGTTGGAAAAGGTGGAGGTGAGCATGTTCTCAAAGAGCTCAACAAATTGAGCAAGCTGGCGTTTGCAGGTTTGATCGTAGGTCTGCCAAACGGCATGTTTGATCATCAAATTCTGCTTGACGAGCTTTGCATGTTTGGGGTAGAGAGGAGAAAAAAGATTGGCATTTGGCGAGCCTTCAAGCTTCTCCATGAACTCCAAGACTGCATCTTTCTGTATCTCAAAAAACCACTTGATCCGTTCTCCCACATAGGCCACCCGTCGCTGCAACGGGAGATGTGCTTCATGGCTCAGGAGTTTCACCACCACGTCCCGCCATGTCAAGCTGCTCATGGAAACCCCTCGGGCTTGGATCACATCGCGTTTTTTGATTTCAACCGCAATCTCTGAGAAACGCAGAAAGATCTCCACCTCCATCATCAAGCGGCGAAACTGGGCGCCACCATTCACCTCAACATCAAAGGCACCAATCTGCATCTCATTTCTCAGGTAGTCAATGTAGTCGTTGATGCTGCAGAAATCCTCTGAAGGAAGCATACTGAAATGGTTGGAGCCCAAGGTTTCATGGTAGTGATGAAAAGCACGAAGCTCCTCGTCCAAGTTCATCACAGGCTGCAGATCGAGCACACCTTCCATGACATGCGTCAATGCGGTTGCGAAGGAGATGCCGCAGTCCCGTGTTGTGCTGAGAATGCGATGGGGATCCGTGTCATTGTACTCCGTCTCCAGATCCTTCTTTTGGCTCTGCGCAGTGGATTTCAAGTCCTTCAGGTTCGACACGACTGGGTCGATGGCTTCTGCAAACATCTGTTCAATCTTCTTTTCCATAAATTTCACAAAGTTTTTGAAACCAATTGTGTCCATGTACATGTCGCTCAAGCCTTTTGAGGCCATTTGATTCTTGTCACTTGCATCCATTTCATCCTTGATCTGGTTGAATGGCTTTGGCATTGGACTTCCATCATGCCACCAAGGAAGTGTCAGTGCAAATCGCACCAGCGAGTCAGGCAGGTCTCCAAAACCATCCACCCACTTGCTCACATTGTCGGGTGTTAAGTCATTGTAATACTTGTCAAGCTTGTTTCTGATGAGGATGGTTCTTTTGAACTCTGGGTCCAAATTGCGACATTTTGCCAATGTTGACATTGTTGCAGCATCCCCTGCCTGTTCCACACAAAGCATCACATTTCTCTTGTCTTTCATAAACGTCATCACCATCTTCTCAATCTTATCGGCTAAGTCTTGCTTGCCGGTGTCAAGGGCAAAATCCCTGAAGCCCGGAAGATCCACTATTTGCATATCAACGCATGCATTGGACTCAATGCGAACGTAGATGGGCTCATGACTACAAGATGTTCCACATTCTTCGTGCGCATCTCCCACGATCTTCATCACCTGCTCAATGGGATACTCCATCCACTGGTTGCTCTTTCTGTCTCGAACGTACCACTTGGAAACTGTGTAACCCGGTGCATGTCTGAACTCTAAGATGGTAGGTCTTCTGCTGCCCAAAGTACCTGAGATAAAGTTGAAGCATTCTCCGGCCAGGGCTTCAATGAGGCGACTTTTGCCTACGGACTGTCTTCCAAGTAAAATGAATTGCGGCATTGGGAAATCCACAATCCCAAGCTTGTCCTGCACTCTGACCTTCACATCTCCAAGCACATTGAGTAGTTCCGACTTGGCCCCAACAGACGACATCCCGCAGTTGAAAACACTGCGGCGTCGCACTGCTCAGGGCCGTTATCAAAAACTAAGCTTGTCAAAGCATGCTGCGGTACAAACACGCGTGGTGTAAAGAGACGATCATGTATCTGACAATGATTCATGTCTTGTTTCAAACATGTTCAAACTGCCACTGATCAAAACACCTGATGACAAAGCAAAGAGTCTATGCGATCCGAATTTCAATATCTTTCATCTATCTTTCATCTAATTATCTTTCATCTATCTTTCATCTATTTTCCACGAAGAAATCCAGCCATGTGGTCACCTTCGGGGCAGCCTTTTTTTCGCGGCGAGAACGGGGTCAGCAGTCAAGCCACCAGAGGCGGTTCAGTCGCCTGCAACGTGGAAAGCTACTGCTGGGGCATCAGCATGTGACCATCAAAACTCACCAAAATTGATCGACTTAACCATGGGATGCATGGGATGTTCATGGATGTTCTAATATCATGTATTATCATGTATGATTCTGTATGCTGTACCAGTATGATGTTTACCATCGAACATCGTTTGTGACATGATGCTGCTGCTGACAAATATGTCTATGCTGTCCTTCATGGGCGCCAAGCTGTTTCCTTCCTTTGCCCCCAGGTCAAGGTCTTATGGCAAGAATTGCAGCTTATCACGGCGCCGGGGTCGTTCATTGTCATTGAAGTCTTTAACATGTCAACACAAATTTGTCTGGAAAATACCCAAAAAAATCAAAAGAGGTACATGGTATCATATTTAGCATTGAGAAAAAGTGTGATTCACCTGTGGATTTGGGGATATTTTGGGGCACCTCATTTTTTGCGCAGCCAAATCATTTGATGCACCTCCTTCTGCCTTTTGGACAAAGGCTCCACCTTTTGGCTCTCCCGGGCACGTTTCTGCCCTGCCTGGGAATGACGGGGAAGAGTGACTGACAATGATGGAAGATCCAAAAGAATTATATATATATATATGTATATACATAATTATATATATATGTATATTATGACCAAAATCCTGGAATATTGGAGGAAACTAACGTCCATATACTGGATTAGAAATCATAATGAAATCATTCTATATTGATTCACCCAAGATTCACCCAAGGAAGCGGCCTCGGAAGGATGAGGTCGCTCCCCTTCCTGCCGGATGCGGAAGGGTTCAGCTCTCCGACTCCATAGCATTGAAAAAATTGTCATGCTCCCCGGCAAGTCTCTTGAAGGTGTAGTATGGATTAATATGGTGTAGTATGGTGTAGTACAAGTATGGTGTAGCGATGTTTAACTACATAGTTGAGTTTGCCCAATCGGGTATGAATTTCACGGCATGGCTCAAGTCTCCTGGTTTTCAGAGGCCGAATCCAAACACTTCTTCCTGATGCAAGTCTGCGAAGAGATTGCTGTGCAAATTCAGGCCAACTCTGCCATTGACACTTTGGTTTGTCTAATGGTTGTCTCAATTTTTGGAACCCGAATTCCTATGGTTTATCATGGTTTATCATGGTTTATCCTGGTTTATCATCATGTATCCACATTCAAATTGCCATGTTGGTATCCTCCATCTGATTTTGAGACAAACCTAGCTGATCCTAGCTGCATGCTGCATGCTCCTAAGGCTTTGGCCAAAGCTCCAAGGCTACCAGAAAGCGTCGCATCCAGGCGATACGATCAGCCTTCGTTTCGGAGCTCTATGGAGCACCCATCAAGGCATAGGCCGTTTCGGCAGACTCTCAAGATCATCCATATGGCAGTGTGTCAAAACCTTGTACCCCTGGTGAACATCAAAATAGCTGGTAAATGGATGTTCATCCCCCTAAAATCCCCTAAAAATGGTATTAATAGGTATTGATCCATACCCATATCATCCATATCATCCATGGGTCCATAGATCATCCCTAGGTCCATTTGCAATGCGGCCTCTGTGACCATCACAGGCGCCGCCTGCGTCTTGACCTCTCAGTAGTTAGCATCATGTAGCATCATTTAGCATTACTTCCGCCGACTCCAAACTGTTTATCCCGTTTCATTGTTTGAGTTAGGCCTGCGCAACTGGAGGCCTGAGCGGCAGCAAGTGGAGCTTCCAAATGTCACAATCACATAGCATGAGATGAAACATGATGAAACTGATGTGGACAGCGAAGGAGGTGAAAACAAACTGTTTACCTCTGTTTACAATCTCTCATGCAAACTTGTTTAAGTGGAGGTCATCGTCATTGAATCTATGAATCAAAAGTGGCCAATCAGCCGGCCTGGCGGCCTGGGATGACATGCCTGCCGGGTTCCAGGTGTCAGCACAAATGCAGAACTGCACTGGGCATTTCTTGGTCCTTGAAACCAACCCTGGTGACCACTGGTGCTAAGCACAATATGATTCCAACAGGTACCACTGGTACCAATAGCCTGTCAGAGATTGTGGTGGAGGCTGCTGCATGGCTCGCAAGCCGGTGGGGTGGGACCCCCTTGGTGCTTCTGAAAGACGTCTTGTAGTGGCTTGCCGGTGTGTGATGAAATCATAAGAGGGAACTACGTGTTATCTTAAACTCCTGCGTGTTGAATATTCAGCTCTCACTGCAGCATTCTTTCGCACTGGACTTGAGGGTGAAAATATGTGAAAATCACTGTTTCATTGTAATTACTGAAAGGCTTCGGCTGTTGCATCATGACCTCCAGTGGAGTTGTCTGATTCTACCATCGATATATTCTTGACACGGCTAAGTGGGGCAAGCAGTGGTAAGCAAGGCAACTTCAGTTCTGTCAATGGAATCCACTAATCAAGTTGCACGTCTTGTTCTTTCAACAATCGTCTTATTCTACTTCTGGTCGTTCTTTCTCTTTTTGGCTCCGGTCTCTTTGCGAAGCTCCACAACCACTCGACCCGTATATTGGCCATTGCGGATGAGTAATGTCTGAGACTGGAAATCGGCAAAAACCTCAACTCCTGGTGTCACCGACACCTTTGGACCAGATGGGAATTGGATCAAAGGAACAAACAGAACAGACTCTCCCTGCTCCTGCACATCAAACTCGCACCGGAATCTGCCTTCTTGAAATGAGAAACTCTGAGAAATAGGCATCCCGGAACACCTAGAGATGTAAGGTCGAATCAAGGAAGCTGGTGCACGGCCTTCATTGTTTGAAACGATCGACAGGTTTTCACCGTTCCAGAAATCCCCTCTCTTAGCAGAGTTTTCAGGTGTGTAATTCCACCAACAATGTGGTAACATGATTTGCTCGAGGGCCTGCATGTGTGCATCAGCCGCCTCATTCAAGGTTTCTTCGCTGTCCTTCGGCTGCGAGCCAGGCAGACCGACATACTGAATCTCAAATGGCAGGCCAATTTCGCCCAAAATGCTGGGAACCTTCTGAGAAGAAAAGTCGCACTTCTGTCGTAACTGCTCCTTGTAGGATTCCACTCGTTGTGCCAGGCCGATCACAGGACAGACAGGCGGCGCTGGCAAGAGATTGAAGAGCTTCTCGCCCGGTTTTGTCTCCGCTATACCAAAGTCAGGAGTCCATACTTTCCCCAGCAACACGATCCCATCATAAAAATGCGGTGCCCAAAAGCACTGCGGGTGTAGAGTCTCAGGATAGGCTTCCAGGCTTTCTTTTCCAAATGCCGGAGGGCACACTCCGATCAATGCATGCGGCATCTCGCTGAGAATGGCCGTGGTGAATTTGTTGACAAACGGGGCAAAGCATTGTTGCATCCAGTTGCAATGGAAGCGCCCAGGGTCTTGTAGTTTGTTCTCGTTTGGGAACCAAATCCCAGCTTTGGCCCACATGCATTCTGATGCCCAGGGCCCTTTACCATAACATCGCTTGATTTGCTCGAAAGGACTCTCTCCTCCAGTCCAAGGAATCGCAGCATTGCTGTGCATTCCTTTTGTCCATGCTGCTTGCAACTGGGTGTAATTAATCATGTATTACATATCATATATATATATATATATCATATATATATATATATCATATATCTTACTATACATGCAATTGCAGTTAGGGTCACCCTGACTATATATATATATATCATATATCTTACTATACATGGATTTGTTGGGTTAGGGTCACTTTCCAGTGATCTTCGGATAGTAAGCTAATAGTAAGCCCCTGTGGAGACTCGCCCAGTCAACCTGGCCGGTCCTGTTGTGATTGGCCCAATATTTGGACGACTCAAATCTTCAGTGCCTGAGATGTGGAGTGTCACATGGAGTGACGAACTGGCGAACTGGGTCAAAACTGGCTGGTACTGTGAAGCCCAGCTGGTAAATGGATGTTCATCCCCTTGAAATATGGTATAATAGCATATAAGGAATTATAATAATGATATAATTAGTATATAATAAGCGTAATAAGTATATTAAGTATATAATAGGTGTTGATCCATCCCCATGTGTGGAAACTGACGTCCATGAGTCTCAGGCCAAGCCATCCAGGATGTGGCTCATTCAGCGTCTCAAAGCCCACCACTGCTGGGACGTCTCGTAGTGTCCTACTCTTTGCACACGAATGTCACACACCAAACATCTGACAAAGGACAAAGGACAAGCTGATGATCTCATGAGCACATCCCACGCGGCCACGGTCCTGGCTACAGCCGCCATTGCGCGAAGAAAGCTACCCTGTAGACATTCTTGAAGGGACAGGCCTTCCAGGAAAACTCTACATCGTAGCTGTCAGGTCTCAAAGATTGAGGTCCATACCACATGTGAATCAAAGCCTGTGAACTTCACGGAAAATCTGTCGCATAAGTTCTGCATAAGGTTCATTTCTTCCAAGCTTCTGCCAGCAGGAGACTGTACTGTACACGCGTTTTGCGTGAAATGCAGAGGGCCGGAAGGATTCTTGAAAACGTAACGGGTGAAAATCTGCTCATCCAGATTAGACAAGCAAAGTAACCTGCCAACAGTCGCGACCTGTGTTGGCCCAACTGTCATGTTCATCTTGAGGATACGCAAAATCACATAAAATCCCCATCATTTTCCAGTGAATTCCTGAAACGTGATGACGCCTTGATTTTCAACGTCAAGCATCGACCAAAGCCTAATCAGGTTTCCTGAGAACTTTGCAAGTTTGCATCCTTCAATAAAGTCTATAAAATCAACCTGTCCGTCTCCATACACGTTATAGGCTTGCCATCCTGATTCCAAGCTCCCAAATTTTGAAGTGATAAACTTCTGAAAATCTCCCAGAACAATCTGTCGACGTGCAGCACTCCAGGAATTGATCAAGCTACTGGGGAGGCAGTCCAAAGTCGCATCCGTCTCATACGTTACTCCTGTGAGCTCGATGTCATCGCGATTCCAAACAGAGTCACTCCATTCCAGCTGGCCACCTGAGGAAGAGGGAGCTATGTGCAGCAAATGAAAACCACCTGTACGTCCTCCTGGAACGACAAAGGGGCATTTCTCAGGTGGACGGAAGTCCGGAGGCAATTGGACCAACGGATCACCGGACGAATTCTCAAAGAACTGTTCAGAAGCTCTTCCTTGCAACATCACCAAGTTCTGACTTCCCAAACTGCAGCTAAACACTTGTACAGACTCTGAGAGGGGCAAGCCACCTCCGACTGCGAAGCGGATACCGCTCAAATCAACGATGCCTGCAGAGAGGCTTTCAATACACAGCCATCCTTCTCGGGTCACCTTCATTCTCCCGAGGCTTAAGCGGCTAGCATCTCGGGATCCGTTGTCGCTACAAAGCACCGCGAACCTCAGAGTTCCACTTGGCCGCATATTCGCCGGCAGTTGGATGATCCCTGCAGGTTTGGCTTCAAAACATTGGAGCAGTCCGCAGCAAAACACCATCTTACCACCGACGATGCAACAGTGGATTCCTCCAATTCCCTGGCAGAGTCTGGACTTCACTTCCATTGGTTTCCAGTCAACAAGTCCAGCTCCAGGCTTCAAAACAGGCGACAGTGAATTCACATGAACCCCACGAAAGTAAACCTCGTCAGAAGCCAACTCGCGAGCTTGGATTGGAACCCACTTGAATGGCAGGTGCAGTGCATTCATTGCATTTGACTGGGCCGAACGATGATAGGTTTGCCCACAAACCGCAACGTCGCCATTGCCTTTAGACTTCAACCGAGTTCCTTCAACTGCTTTTCTGCGCCGTTCAAGCCAAGATCTCAGTTTCACATCATGGAGAGTGCCTGTCTTTTTCACCTCGGACTTCATCCTTGCAGAACTTGGAGATGTGGTGTCCGGAAGTTCCGCTGGATCATACAATGCGGCACCATAGTTGAGAGGCAACCGTGGAGACCTTCCAACAGGCTTCAGATGCGCAACTAGCATGTCAATGTGTATGGCAAAGGTAAGCATGCAAACAAGCACGTAGTAGATAATGGCAAGGACAACCCAAAACAATTCTGAGAGCAGTCTTACAAGCCTGGATTTGGAAATAGATGCAGTAGCTAAATTGACGAGTTGTAAAAATTATAATCAAGCAACATGTGTTGTTCAAGTATCATGTGATATCATGTGCTTAGAAAACTCTATATTCGTAGCTCCTTGGCTCTCCAATCTCCCCATTGGGGAATCTTCGGATGCCCATAACTAACAGCTCCCTCCGGACGGATCACATCCTCACCTCAGGGGCACACCATCTTTCACCTTCAGCGGCAATTCATGGGGTAGCCGGGCAGGGCCAAGGCTCGCCATGGATGAGTCGAGGAGGCTGGCTGTGGATTGAAAATGGGGACCTATCAATGGGAAAACCTCCAAAAAAACGACACATGTCATCATGAAGATGATGAGCATTGATGAACCATGGGATTTGGGGTTTGTAAACCCCATTTGTTTTCAAACCTATGAGTCTTCCAAAGCAACTATGGCAATGGCTAGCCTTGTCCAAGGGCGGTGAGTATAGTGAAGACTTCTGCACTGCTTGGTGGGCTGGGTACCAAGGTATGCAGATTTACAAACACAGCAAAACTTTCCGGGTACCAATCCATGTCATTTGATCAGTGCATGTCCTTGAGCCATTCTTTGCTGGAGACCAGCTGAAAGAGTCTCCGCAGATCGGAAGATGTGAATGGGAAATGTGAATGAGACTGAGAATGCGTGATACATGTGACGTGAAAATCCGCATGCACACAGAATTCTCACTTGGGGAACCTTGCAACTCATCTTTGATGCCCGGAGCCACTTGATCGCCGGCCCAAAACAGGCCTGTCAATGAGCAGCCACTGCCTAATGTGGAATATAGACTCTAGAGGGGTGGAGGTCACAGTCCAACTTGCACTGTAAATAGTACATCTTACTAAGTTCACATAATATTCCTCCTGGTACGACACACACACACACGCACATATATACATATATATATATGTGTGTATATATATATATACACATTATATATTATGTAATATTGCATAATATTATATACATTTATATACATATATTATAAACTGCAAGTGACTCACTCAAGATCATGTTGGGAAGCACGCCGGTGAGACTGAACATTGTGGCGCTCCCCAGGCGGTCATAGTTGCTGGGCCAAGACATGGAAGGCAAAGGATCTCCGTTTTCTTGGTGCAGAAAGGCAGCCCCCGAAGTATGAAGCTCTGGAGCCACCTTGAAACCTGCTGCCTGGGGGTGAACCCCATGGGGATTCAGCTGGTGGTCAAAATGTCCTGAAGTGGAAAACCTTGGGGGCAAATGAAGATGATAATTTCTATGACATATGTATGAGTATGAGATATTATGACTAATTACAGCATGATCATCATCATTGATCATCACTGTATATCATTGTCATCTTTGCTCCTTCCATCTACGATGAACGCAACGGTGACCGCTGGTTCCAACCTCAAGGGTCCAACCAGGTGCCCCGTCTCCACCAGTCCAGCGAGACCAACAGTCTTGGTGAGGATCGATGATGATCCAAAATCCCAGATCACCAGCCCGTTGACAAACCTTCCGCAAGAACTTCAAATAGTCTTCATCATACATACCAGGACCTTGATGTTCCACTGCTTCCCAAGTGATAACAAGTCGTAGCAAGTTGAAGCCCCAATCTTTAAGTCGTTGCAAGTGTGTGTCAAGCTCTGCGAGGGAACACGGTCGACCAACAAAGGATACATCTTGATGTTCATAGAATTGTGGGCCTCCCAGATGTGTCGCACCATCCGGAGAAGTTGGGACTTTGGAGAGACCCGAAAAGTTGATGCCCCTGGGAAGCACAATGCGATTGTCTTCATCAACAAAGTGACATCCATCAATTCGGAGACTGCCAAGTGTTGGTGAACCAGCCCTGCAACATGCATTCCTCGCCCTTGAACGCTTGGAAACAAATCTGCAGCATCTGTACAGTCCCAAAGCGAGAGCTGCAGATTTGAGCTCACGCCAAGGTCCAAGGACTTTCCGTGTTGCGCGTCTTGCAGACTCGAAGCTTGCGCTGGCCAGAGGTGAATGGTCTGAATGGCAGTTGGTCAAAACTTTGGCTCCAAGAGCAGGACAAAACATGCCATGCAGAAATATGCAGAAATCAATGAAATTTTTAAAAAATGGATACGGCGAAAGTTGGAAGATCTCTCTTCTGAAATTTCTGAAGGCTCCGCGGCGGGCACCCTACCAGCCAAGACAAAGATCTCAACTGAACTGGGCCGAAAGTGAAGAGGGATTCAGGGATGCAAGGGATGCGAGCAGGGTGGACAGTGATGGACTGTGTCAAGCAACATCTGCACTTTGGTGTACTTTCATCAATGTCCATCAATTCCCAGGAGCTGTTCATCTACCATGTTTTAGCCTGTTTCTTCGCGCGTCAGTAAGATTCAACAACGACTGGGTCCACAGGTTCGCGGTCCTCAGTTGCTTCCGGCTTCAGGCACTTCACTGATTTCAATGGATTGCACGAAAGACTTGCAGATAAGACTTGCAGATAAGACTGACTAGCGAATATCTCCATTCAAATTTGAGGAAACTGTGGCCATCACCTTCATCAGTCTCGCTGAAGCGTAGGCCATGTGCTCTTTAAAAATAAATGCCTGTCGTGCGACACTGCGACACTGTGTCGACATGAATGGCTAATTGCAGTCCAATCGCGTTCCTTCTCTCCAATCCAGGGCAGGACCACATGCATCTGCTGCATTGAAGCTATTGAGGAGCTCTTTTCCCTGGAAATGCGAGGCCCAGCATGACCCGGACACTTACAGTACGTCCCAAGCAAGGTGTCTCCGTTTGGATGAACTTGCTACAGGTTGCTACCAACTCTGCCACAAAGGCGACCCTCTGCCACTCGCAATGGGGAATTGTGTTTTTGTTGATATTGATGTGTTTGTTAGAAGCCTGGTGTGTCTTCCGCAATTTCCTGAATCATGCATCTTTCATGCATCTTTCATGCATCTTTCATTCATCTTTCAGCATGTGTTCTACCCATTTTCCACTTTGCTGGCTGCCCCCGCACCTAAAGCTTGCCAAGGACTTTGCCTCGCGCACTCTACGTCTTTCCAAAACGGCTGGCTCGACACCTTGACACATCACAGCACTTCTCTGAACGACACTTCTTAATCACTGGCATTCCACAGTGGTCCCACTATAGATAAAGTATATATATATAATATTATATACTGTAATTATACAATTGTATATATATCCGCCGACCCCGGCAGACGCAAGGGGGAGCGCGCCAGGGAATAAGACATTTGACCCTTGTCGGACTACTACTACTACTACTACCACTACCACTACCACTACCACTACTACTACTACTACTACTACTACTACTACTACTACTACTAGGACTACGAGTACGACTACGGCTACGACTACGAGTTTCGAAAAAGATGTCTGGCTGTTGGTTTCTCGCCTTGGAGGCTGTTGTTTCGCAACCGCTCGCTAGGAGTTTGTTGTGGAGCCGTTGCCCGCAGGCCGTCCTTCAGAGCCACTGTGTTTCCCTGTCCGGCAGCGTGCGTTTTCAGCTTCGGGAGGAAGAGCAGCAGCAGCAACAGGAGCAGCAGGAGGGTTCTATGTCTCACTATGTCTCATTGTACAAACAGCGGTACAAAAACTGGTCGAAAACTATTGTTTTTCAGGGCACTGTGTTTCCCTGTCCGGCAGCGTGCGTTTTCAGCTTCGGGAGGAAGAGCAGCAGCAGCAACAGGAGCAGCAGGAGGGTTCTATGTCTCACTATGTCTCATTGTACAAACAGCGGTACAAAAACTGGTCGAAAACTATTAGGGTTTTTCGGCGAGGTTCCGTCAGGGCCACTGTGTTTTGTCCGGCAGCTTCGGGAGGAAGAGCAGCAGCAGCAACAGGAGCAGCAGGAGGGTTCTATGTCTCACTATGTCTCATTGTACAAACAGCGGTACAAAAAATGGTCGAAAACTATTGTTTTTCTAGGGTTTCAGAAGGGACGTTAGGCAGTTTTTGGGCTCGATTTTGGCGCCGTTCCGTCCGTCAGGGCCACTGTGTTTCCCTGTCCGGCAGCGTGCTTTTTCAGCTTCGGGAGGAAGAGCAGCAGCAGCAACAGGAGCAGCAGGAGGGTTCTATGTCTCACTATGTCTCATTGTACAAACAGCGGTACAAAAAATGGTCGAAAACTATTGTTTTTCTAGGGTTTCAGAAGGGACGTTAGGCAGTTTTTGGGCTCGATTTTGGCGCTGTTCCGTCCTTCAGGGCCACTGTGTTTCCCTGTCCGGCAGCGTGCGTTTTCAGCTTCGGGAGGAAGAGCAGCAGCAGCAACAGGAGCAGCAGGAGGGTTCTATGTCTCACTATGTCTCATTGTACAAACAGCGGTACAAAAACTGGTCGAAAACTATTGTTTTTCTAGGGTTTCAGAAGGGACGTTAGGCAGTTTTTGGGCTCGATTTTGGCGCCGTTCCGTCCTTCAGGGCCACTGTGTTTCCCTGTCCGGCAGCGTGCGTTCTCAGCTTCGGGAGGAAGAGCAGCAGCAGCAACAGGAGCAGCAGGAGGGTTCTATGTCTCACTATGTCTCATTGTACAAACAGCGGTACAAAAATTGTCGAAAACTATTGTTTTTCTAGGGTTTCAGAAGGGACGTTAGGCAGTTTTTGGGCTCGATTTTGGCGCCGTTCCGTCCTTCAGGGCCACTGTGTTTCCCTGTCCGGCAGCGTGCGTTTTCAGCTTCGGGAGGAAGAGCAGCAGCAGCAACAGGAGCAGCAGGAGAGTTCTCTGTCTCACTATGTCTCATTGTACAAACAGCGGTACAAAAAATGGTCGAAAACTATTGTTTTTCTAGGGTTTCAGAAGGGACGTTAGGCAGTTTTTGGGTTCGATTTTGGCGCTGTTCCGTCCTTCAGGGCCACTGTGTTTCCCTGTCCGGCAGCGTCCGTTCTCAGCTTCGGGAGGAAGAGCAGCAGCAGCAACAGGAGCAGCAGGAGGGTTCTATGTCTCACTATGTTTCATTGTACAAACAGCGGTACAAAAAATTGTCGAAAACTATTGTTTTTCTAGGGTTTCAGAGGGACGTTAGGCAGTTTTTGGGCTCGATTTTGGCGCTGTTCCGTCCTTCAGGGCCACTGTGTTTCCCTGTCCGGCAGCGTCCGTTCTCAGCTTCGGGAGGAAGAGCAGCAGCAGCAACAGGAGCAGCAGGAGGGTTCTATGTCTCACTATGTCTCATTGTGCAAACAGCGGTACAAAAACTGGTCGAAAACTATTGTTTTTCTAGGGTTTCAGAAGGGACGTTAGGCAGTTTTTGGGCTCGATTTTGGCGCTGTTCCGTCCTTCAGGGCCACTGTGTTTCCCTGTCCGGCAGCGTGCGTTTTCAGCTTCGGGAGGAAGAGCAGCAGCAGCAACAGGAGCAGCAGGAGGGTTCTATGTCTCACTATGTCTCATTGTACAAACAGCGGTACAAAAAATTGTCGAAAACTATTGTTTTTCTAGGGTTTCAGAAGGGACGTTAGGCAGTTTTTGGGCTCGCTTTTGGCGCCGTTCCGTCCTTCAGGGCCACTGTGTTTCCCTGTCCGGCAGCGTGCGTTTTCAGCTTCGGGAGGAAGAGCAGCAGCAGCAACAGGAGCAGCAGGAGGGTTCTATGTCTCACTATGTCTCATTGTACAAACAGCGGTACAAAAAATGGTCGAAAACTATTGTTTTTCTAGGGTTTCAGAAGGGACGTTAGGCAGTTTTTGGGCTCGATTTTGGCGCTGTTCCGTCCTTCAGGGCCACTGTGTTTCCCTGTCCGGCAGCGTGCTTTTTCAGCTTCGGGAGGAAGAGCAGCAGCAGCAACAGGAGCAGCAGGAGGGTTCTATGTCTCACTATGTCTCATTGTACAAACAGCGGTACAAAAAATGGTCGAAAACTATTGTTTTTCTAGGGTTTCAGAAGGGACGTTAGGCAGTTTTTGGGCTCGATTTTGGCGCTGTTCCGTCCTTCAGGGCCACTGTGTTTCCCTGTCCGGCAGCGTCCGTTCTCAGCTTCGGGAGGAAGAGCAGCAGCAGCAACAGGAGCAGCAGGAGGGTTCTATGTCTCACTATGTCTCATTGTGCAAACAGCGGTATAAAAACTGGTCGAAAACTATTGTTTTTCTAGGGTTTCAGAAGGGACGTTAGGCAGTTTTTGGGCTCGATTTTGGCGCTGTTCCGTCCTTCAGGGCCACTGTGTTTCCCTGTCCGGCAGCGTGCGTTTTCAGCTTCGGGAGGAAGAGCAGCAGCAGCAACAGGAGCAGCAGGAGGGTTCTATGTCTCACTATGTCTAATTGTACAAACAGCGGTACAAAAAATGGTCGAAAACTATTGGATTGTAGTCATATATCGTAACCTAATACATATACAGCGATATATGCTGCCAGGCTGGAACCAAGAAGGATGCAGCCCGCCCTCACCATTTGGGAATGTGGATAGATATGGATCGATATGGAGGATATGGTACAATGTGAGTCAGCCTGGAACAAAAAGACAGAGACATAGACAGATGCACACTGACAATGAAACACACACACATATATATATATATGAATATATATATATAATATGAATATATATATAATATATGAATATATATATATGAATATATATATATGAATATATATATATATGAATATATATATATATATTAAATATACACAGATCTATGATTCTATCTATCCATCTACCTACCTACCATTACCTGCCACTACCTGCCTATCTATCAAACTATCTAGCTATCTATCTATCTATCTAACTATCTATCTATCTATCTATCTATCAATCTATCTATCTATCGACCTATTTATCTATCGATCTATCTATCTATCTATCTCCATCTATCTATCGATCGATCGATCTATCTCTATCTATCCATCTATCGAATCTAGCAAGCCTGCAGACCATCTATCTATCTATCTATCTATCTAACATCCTCGATGTCGAATGCCGATGTTTACCTGCACATTAAAAATGACAATGTCGACCCTAGCCGTTCCATGGCTTTTTGTGACCTGGTGTTGTCAGCCCCTGAAAATTTCAGTCATTTGAGATCCCAAATGAAAAATCCTCAAGCACAAGCCTGACTGTCCAGCAACACTATGTCAGAATGCAACATAAACAAACATTAAAAAAACATCCAAAATATATTGCCTCGCTCTGGTGAAATTTAACTATATATATATCTCTCTCTCTCTCTATCTCTCCTCTCGTATCATGGCTATGGAAAAGCCACCAACTTGAGCTGTGTGAAAACACAGCGCAAACCTCTTTTTTTTCTCCGGGGTCGGCGGCAGGGGCGGCAGCCCTTAATATATATATAATTATATATATACATATTTAATTATATAATCATATTGTATTCATATTATTTATATTAATATGAAGTCAAATCTTAGGCAAAGGTATGCAAAGGGGGACTTTACGTTCGCATACCGTTTTCAATGCACTCTGCTCTGCCTTCGTCGGGTACTTCTCTAAACTCCAAGCCTGGGTCCAGAGATGTCTAGCGTATGGACATTAAATGTTCACTAAATCGTCACCAAATGGTCACCAAATGGTCACTAACCACACTGAGCTGCCCAAATCTGCTATCTTTTGTGTCTTGTTGTCTTGCTTCCGCCTATCTTGCATTTCTTATCGAATGTGAAGTATGAGCAAGCGAGAAATCATTGCATCAGTTTCAGGAGCAAACTGTACTTGCCATCCTGGAATGGAGGGAGATCAAATACCTGAAGTGACATATCGTCCACGTCTGGAAACAAAAAATCAATGATCCATCTGGTAGTGGTGCCAGCCTTGCGGAAGATTTCCATGGTTCTTGCCATATGGAATGCGTTGCTGATCACAAGCAGCCTGCGTCCAAACAAAGGTCCACCCTTGACCCTTGATAGCCATGAACGAAATCCAAACCAAAATGGACTCATGAATTTGTTCCAACCATTTTTTCCAAGAAGAAGAACTTGGATCCCCCAGCCCACAGCCTATTCCAGCCAGCTGGGTCTGTGTGAGTCGTCCTAGGAGTGCGGATTCTCGTTGATCTTCAGCCAGGTTTCCAGGTTCGCAACTCTGTAGCTAATACAAAAAAGCACTGTTCAGCTCCGTCCTCAGGAAAAAGGCATTGGCTATCCTTAGATTTGGCGCTAGCTCGCACAATGCACAAGCTTCAAAACCTGTTCAACATGAGTTTGCTGACTTTTTGTTGAAGAACAAGATTGCAAATGTAACTCCAACATACTCTGAAACTCTACTAGTCAAGAGGCGTATCCAAGGACCAGTTCTCTTCGAAGACATCCTCCATCACGCGGGATTGAGATTAAAATAGATAGCATCAATTCCATGCAATTCCCGCACTGGCCATTTGGGAAAACATCTCCAAACCTGCGAACTCAACCATCAACAGCCACTAAATCGACTGAACCGACTCAATCAACTGAATCAAGTGCATCCTCGGCTCTTTTCTAAAAACCACAGGAACTATTAGAGCATATTAGAACATATTAGAACATATTAGAACATATTAGAACTATCACTTTTCACATTTTTTTTGTCACTTTTAATATCCTCTCCTCAGCAGGAACTTTGTGCTCACGGACAAGCCATCGGGCACTGGCCTGGCATCAACGGGCGCTTCTGAGGCCCCGTGGCGTGCCATGTGGCGTGCCATGTGGCGTGCCATGTGGCGTGGATCAAGCGGCCCGCCTCGGCTTCGTAGACTTGATAGCCGGAATGTGGATCAAGCGGCATGGGCCTAGCGCCATAAGTTGACGGAATCGGCTTGGCAAACACAATCGAACTTCAAGGGATACCATGGGATACCAAGATACCCAATGATGTATCATTGTCGAGCTCACACTTCTTGCGCCTGTGCTTTTTGGGGTCCCGAGCTTGTGAGGAGTCCCTGCAGACAGCGTGACCACCTGCCAGTGTTGGGATCTGCTCAAGAAAGGTTTAGAAGGCGCAGCATGGCTAAGCCTGGCTAAGCCTGGCTAAGCATGGCTGAGCATCCCGCAACAACGTGCTCACCGGACTTCTTTCTGTCGAAGTAAACATCTGCAGCCTCCGCAAGCTGCAGAGATTCTGCTGCACTCACTGGTGCCCCACCATGCCTCCAATAGTCTCCTCCTTACCTCGCGCCATGGTGAGATTAGCACGAGGCAACTAAATTGAAAGCGTGTGTGCTATGAAGATGTGATTCGACCAAGACCCAAGGACATGCGTTTAATATGTTTTAATTGTTAAATTGTTTTAATATGTTCAATGGACATGTCAATGGAGGAGAGGCCAAGATACCCAAAGAGTGGGAAGCCCATCCGCAGTCAACCCTCCACCGGGCACAACAACCTGCCGAGATGTTACGAGAGCACGAGAGCACCAATATCTTGGCGATATCTCACAATCATGGCAATCATGGCAGCAGAACCACCAGTGGTTTTTCCCGTGCTGGAGAAGCCTCATGGATGAAAACGTGAAAACGGAAAGGCATGGCTCCAAACCCACGGTGGCAATGCCCCGACAGGTCCATGTTTTACGAATGGTCGGCGTTCCATCTCTGGTTATATTAAAGATGTCTTCAATGGAGGTGTCAGCTGTCCAAAAGCATGTCTTGGATAATCTAGCTCTGGTACCATTACAAATCTGTCAATTCGGGACTACTGGTAGGGTAAATCGAGACCAGCTCGCGTTGGCATGCCAACCGAGCTCTTTGGTATCAATATGTCAATACCATGTCAATACAGTACAGGTTCCTACCTTCATGAACCTTCACCTAGATGCGCTGATTCTCGGGGTCACCAGCTGCAAGCTGAATGCTTCATAAAATCTTCAACCCAACTGGACCCAACGTTGGCTTAGCTTCGCGCTCCAAACCTCTGCAGGAGCAAAAGTCCAAGGCCTCCAAGTGCACCAGCTGCAATGAGATACATTAGCAGATAGGAAAGCCTCGCAGGCTTGAAAATGAGAGGACTGGGGCCCCTGGGGTTCAGCATGATTCAGTATGATTTCATTGCGCCTGAAATACTGAAATAGACCAAGAGGGCCAAGACCCTTGTCTGGTTTAGCCATGGCGGACATCACACCATGAGATATTGTTTGCATCTGCGTGCTAGTCATCTAGCTGATGCGAAAAGATCTATTTGTGCAACTTGCAACTCAACTTCACCGACTGATTTCATGTCAGTCACATGTCAGAGTCTGTTCAACTTGCGACTCAATGTCAGCAACTGATTTCGTTTCATGGGTTCTCTGAAGGTGGCCCCATCTTGAGGCTATGCAACGGGTGGTTGGGCGTTGATTTCGACAACGTGGAAGTCCGCAGCACAAAGTTTCTTACTTAACCATACTTAACCCTATGATCGAAACAAAAATGAAACATCGCTCTCTGCAGCATTGCTATTTTTCAAGTTGAGCTGACATTGCCAGCCTTGAGATTTGGGCTCACACCCCAAAATCCATCTCCTGGCACACCTATGGCATCCTATGGCGCCCTCAACTAGGACGGGTCATGGCAAGTCAGTTCGAAGCTGATTTGCCCCATGACCCTCCTACCAAGCAGCCACTAAGTCGATGGCGACCTCAAGAAAGTCTGCCAATTCGTCTGATGGAGGGAAGGAGACCTAGCAGAGTCTGCAGTTTCCTGCAGTGAAAATCATTCTGGAACATTGTGGATGATTCATTAGCCAGGTTTCAAATGATCTTCCCTCCACCATATCTCTGGCAAAAGGCACGCAGATCGCTGAAGAGCAGCAAACTGCCATGACCAAAAAGGCCTTTGCCGAAACTGAGTCCAGTGATGTGGAAGTCTGGAAGCGCAGACATTTCTCGTGTCACGAACACGCCCTTGTATTGTATATATTTGCTGTGGGATACATTTAAGTTCCCCTCCTTAGATAAACTTTGGATATCACTAAATCACCAAAAAGGGATTCAAAAAAAGGACCATATCATATCGTATAGTTGCAATGTCTCCTACAGTCTCCTGTGCTGGAACCTGTTGTAGGCAGTTTTGGATTTATGGTCACCATAAAAATACATCTCTTGTCTGCGTTTTCAGATCTCCAAGGCCAAGAGGCTGAAAATCTTCTGCGTTTCAAAATCATTTGTTCATGTTCCAAATCAGATGGCATTTGTTTCAGCACTGCTTCAGCACCGTTTTGGATGGTTCATACTGGTTCAGTCTGTCTTTGACCCCACTGCATCGAGGAGTGTGGGATCTGGCGAAAGATTCAATCCGAATGCCCGAGAGTTCACGGGCATCTTAAATGTGGTGAAAAGCTACAGCCTCTCATGGCTGTTTTGACATTCACCTCAGATGTTCAAAGAATTCCACTGCGCATGCCTCACGCAAAATCAACACCACAAGACCTGCCGAAAAACTCAGAACTCGATTTGGTCTGAGAGCTGAACAAGAATTTGATGGTCCTCTAGGCATAAGCCTCTTTCGGGTTGGCACTCATGCCCTCGTCCTGCAAAACGTGACAATAAGGTGTACAAAAAGATTGCAGCAGTACAACGATGCTTACAACTTGAACTTTGGATAGTTTTGGTATGTTTTTGGTGATGTCGAGCAAAAAGTAGTCTTACATATTTTTCACACGTAGTTTTACTTCAGAAATCTGATCTGAACTCAAACGAGGGAACGGTCTCGCTGCAGACGCAAGCTCTTTTCGTCCCTGTAGCGGCAACAAGTCAGGCCGAGCTCGGATGGCAGCATCAATAGCCTTGCCAAAGCATCGGGGCTGTTGGGCCTTGATGTCAACATATGTCAACTATCAAAGTTTAATAAATTTCGAACATCCAAATGACGATGAGAATAGGCTATCTATGGCTATCTAGTATGCTATAGTCGTAGATTCAAAATGATCTCCAGATCACTCAGATCACTCTTATACTGACTGTATGAAGACAATTGGGAATGATGGTATGACAACAATAGATCTTCCGCCATTCTCTGATCGAGGTTGACGTCACCTGTTGCAAACGCAAACCAAAGTCTCCAGCATACCTCAAGCGCGTAAACCGTGCACGATGTCTGAATTCCAGACACAGCTGTAAGGATGCAAACGCTAATGCACAAATGCTGGAGACGCACTTTAGCACCTGCAAACTCTGGATTTTTTCAACATGCAATAATGAAGTGCACCAATTCTCTGTGCCTTGTTGCTTCCAAGTAGTTCTTTTCTGAAGCTTCTTGGCACAACTCGACCATGTCTGCAAGGGAAGCCGTGGAAAAGTCGCACCCCGACAGCCCCATGACAGCCCCAACACACACGGAACGCCAAAGGCAAGGCCGTGAGGCGGCCGTGAGGCGCCTGGAGTCAAGGATTTGGACTTGGAAAGCACCTGCCAGCGGGAACTCAAGGGAGTTCATTAACTTCATTAGCCATTCAATGATCTTATAATTCTTATATAAATGATGTTAAAGGATGTTTATATGTTAAGTTTATGTTAATGTATGCCAGTTGGAGTGGAGTGGAAAAGAAAGTTTCGACTTCTCATGTCATCTCAGCCACTGCCGCATAGCTGGCATAGCTGGCATAGCTGGCATAGCTGGCATAGCTGGCATAGCTTCGTGCCTGATCTACAGCTTCATCAATGTCTTCACCTTCTATCACCACCATCCCTGCGACATCGAAGAAGTCACCAATGTTGGGACCTGAAGCTGGATGGAACTTCCAGCTTCACCATCACCCAAGACAGATTGGCAACTTCCAGCCCGTCGAATAACCAGAACAAACAGATGAATACAGCAAATTTCTTCAACACAAAGATATATGGGTATGGGTCAATACCTATTAATATCTATTAATACCATTTTTAGGGGGATGAAACATCCATTTACCAGCTATTTTGATATTCACCAGGGGTACAAGGTTTTGACACACTGCCATATTAATGTATGTTATGTATTTTTGTTGAAGAACATCTTTCTGAGTCCCTGACAACCCCAGTAAACTGGAATGCACCGCGCAAGCTGGCAAAGCTTGCGCAGCTTCCAGAATGGAGCTTGCAGAGGCTGCAAAAACAAAGTCTTCTCAAGAACTTCATTGAGCTTCGAAAAAACGTCTTAAACTTTTAAACCCGTCAGCTGTACCAGTGCATCCAGCAGTTTCTCTGAGAAGTAGTTGGCTTGCTTGGAGTTCTCAATCACCTCTGCAGATTCTGCAGTGTCAATAGCCCATAGCTACGTAGCATCTCCGTGTCAGATTCTTCCAATCCACCGGCATCATTTGCAACCGGGTTCAATCAGCCAAGAGCACAAGAACAAAGCTGTTGAAGAACTGCAAATTGCGCTGGTCACGGCTAATGCCACCACCCTCCATGAAGTCCAAAGGAACCTGTTCCAGAGTGCAACGACCAAGCACAACAAGATTGTGTACTCTTTGGCCTTTCGCAATAAAGGAGGAATGCAGCAATGCGCTTTGATGAGCCTGCATCTCCTGCTTCAGTCGCTCTTGCACCTATCACTACTGTGGCACATTGACAATGGGCATGAAAGTGCATCCCAGAAAGTTCCTCAGTCCTTGGAGTTCTGTTTCACAGTTGTTTTTTGGTCCCAGCCTCCCAAATCTTGTGTCGCAGCTGGTGTCCTTTTGTTCGGCATTTGCTGCCTGCTCGAAGGCTCGAAGGTCCAAGTGCGTCGCAAAATGACCTCGAATGTCCTCGATGCCACAGGCTTTGCTTCCCCTGCCTCTGAGGAATCCAAGGGCTGCTTTCTTGGGTTTCGTGCCAAACTGAGGCCACTCAGCCTGAGTCAGCTGATGTCGTGCCAAGAGAAAATTAAAAAACAATGACTTGGCGAAGGACTGGCACCAGCCAAGGGGTGGCTGGAACAAAGAGCTCCGCCCGACGTCCCAGCCACTCCTTGCAAGTAAAGATCTGCAACAAGCGAGGCGTTGAAATCACAAGTGTATCATAGTGTATCAATTTTACTTGACATATACGAATGCGTCAATATGCGTCAATATTAAAAGCCCCAAAAATCGATGGTCGCTACAAAGAAAATTACGAAAATCTGTGCATTGGTGCCAAGATGAGTTTGTGGATTTCACTGTGCCGAGGCTGAGATTGGCACGCACGAGAGGTGCTGGTCTTGCCATGTCAATACCAAGTCGAAGCCCTCCAGGCAATTGGCAATTCACACATGTTCACAGCAATTCACACTCCATTTGAAAATATTTTAAGATTTTTCAAGATGCTATCCCCGAGTGCACCTCCAAACTCAAAGCTTTGACCTCGGGAGGTTCTTGCACCACCAGCACCTGCAATTCTCAAGCTGCCCAAGAATGCCCGTCATAGGTAACGGGGTCCACCAGCAAGAAAAGCAAAGCCTGATTCAAGAGTGCAAAAGCATAAGGCTGCCGGCTGCTTTTCCGACTCATCCATCTTCAGCTCTCTTGAGAGCTGGGGATTTCTTTTGCCAAGACCTGCATTGACATGATCAGAGTCTGGCTTGGGTCTGGCTTGGCAATGCACAAAGGGCTTCAAGTGCAAATTTGCCGTCAAACCTTCAGGCTACTTTCGTGACATCGGTCCGTCACCATCTTGGCCGTGTATCCATCATGCGAGTGTTCAGCAGGTTGGTTCACATTGCTGATCCATGTGTGATTAGTCTCCAATCTCTTCAACGATCTGGGATGCTCTGGAAATGATGTCTCTGGTTGTGAAGTCATTGTCATCCTCACCAAGTTGCAAATGAGCAGCTGTGAATGCCAAAATCCTGGCCAAGGACTCAGAGACTTCAGAAGGTCTTGGAGGATCCTTTGAAACTGCAAGCAAAGCCTCAGAGCCCTTCAACAATCCTGCGGAGAGCTCTTCATGAGTAATGTCATCCCAAACGTCCCTGATATCCTCACGGCGTTTTGCAAAAGCATCCCGAAGTTGGCTAAAGGATCCATTCGCTGCTGGCACGTACAGCGAGGTCATGATTCCAATGTCTTTGCACTGATCCATCCTGTGTAACGGAAGCCATTCGACCTTGCACTCTGCAGATCCTGCGGCATGGACAAGCGCAACAACATGTTCTGGGCTAAAGCTGGTCATCAAAACAACCTTGAGAGCACTAGCTTCAAACTGATCCTCAAGCTGAGAAATCAGAAGAGGTGTGTTGCACTCCAAGGGCAAATGCTGAAAGCTGACAAGTTCATAACTGTCTCCTACCAGCAGTCGAGGTAGCAGATCAACTTTCAATGCTGCCAATGTTGGCTCAACAAAACTTATGCCCGGCAAGATGTCTACCTGAACGCCACACGATGAGCTTCGACTTGTGATTAGCTTCGTGGTAGTTTCACCCACCCATGGATCTCCAGGAACTAAATACAGAACCTTGCCATGCTCTTTGGCAAGCTCCAAGATTCTGTTAGATATATTGCTATAGAGAAATTCAAAAGTCTCTGCTTCTTCGTAATAGCTTTCAAAAGTGGTAAGCTTCACCGTGTCGGGGATTGCACTTAGGGCCGGATGTCGACCAATCCGAGCGAATACCTCGGAGGAGCTACAGATTTCATCCCACACAGCACGTGTGAGGTACGACGGATTGCCTGGCCCCAGGCCTGCGATCACAACTCGACCCCCTGGAGGCCCTGGATTCATTTCATCGGTCGTTTCATCGGTGGGGACACTGCGAGCAAAAGAAGCCACCTTTCCAGTGGCTCTAAGCTTTCTTTCTGTCGATCCAACCTTAAAAATATCTGGGGCTTGGCCGGTGACATAATTCACTGTGGCAAAACGCCGTGTGGGCTTGGAAGTTTCAGGTCCTGCTGATGGCACAGCAGATGGACTGAAAGTTGTAGCGTATAGCGAGAAGGCAAGCAACTTTATGAGCTTGCAGTGGCGATGGAACTGTCTTTGCATCCCAAGGCTCCTCTAGAAAGGAATGATACATTTGCGTCTGAACCAAGAACTGCAATTGCATGCAATTACCCCTATCCAAAAGATGAACAGGCAAGGGTTCAAAGTCTCAAGCATCAGACTCTCCTTGCCTTGAGGGAGGAGTCAGACTTTGCAGCATAACTGCGGAGATCTACATCAAGCCAAATTTCGGCCTCCAAATCCACGTTTGAAGCAAAACACACAAAACAGTCAGCTCATGAAATCTAGACAGCACATTAGAAGCGTCAGCCACCAACCTCACAGGCCAGTCTCACGGAGAGAACTCCGCAGTTTGCCAAGTCCTGCTTGCATGTGAATAGTTCGGTTGTCCTTATGTGCTCAGATGTACTCAGTACATCTCAGTACCATCCTATCAAAAAGAACACGAGACAAGGGTTGTACCGGCCTCCTGCAGCTGGAGATCGACTTGTCCAAAATGTCCAGCAAGCACAGAGAGCGCGTCACTGGCGACACGATTGGCCAATGGAGGTGGCTATGCTGATCTGACCACATCATGACGAGATGACCCAGAGCATCCCAGAGCTGCCTGTGCTTCAGGTGTTGATGTATTGTCGCCAGCATTCGCGATGGCTTACTTTCTTGTGGTCGCCATCAGTGTGATGGCGACATATCGCGACGTGTCAGACATGTCAGGGATGTTCAAAAGCAGATCGTACACTAAGAGTGAGAGCGTACAGAGAGGGAAGGCTTGGTATCCATGGAAACGGGACGTAAGAAACAATGAAACAATGAAAACCTGTTGCGAAAACAGAAAACCAAAGCGGGCCAACAAGCAGTGTCCACTGTCTGTTCTATCCTGCTCCGAGCCGTGTGGCTGTAAGGACTGCATCATAACATGAATGCTCGTGTCATGTCAGAGAAGATTCCTTGCTTTCAATCCAGTGTGAAACATTGGCTCACAGTGAATCATTGGCTGATCATGAACCATAATTAAATTACATCATGAAATCATGCACCATAATGAACCGTGATAAACCATTGGCCATAGGGCCCATAGGGCCATAGGGCCATAGCGCCATGGGCCTCTCTCTATGTGTGGCTCACATGCTGGGACTCCTCCCGATGGACCAGCTTGTACTGTAAGACCGTTTCGGCCAAGCCAGGAGTGAGCCTGAAGGGAAGATTTTTTTAGCTCTGCAAAATGCAAACATTTCTCCAAACATGAACTGTGCTCAAACTGCTCAAACAGAATAGAAGAACTTGACAAATAAAAAAGTTGACCTTCAAGACTTCAAGTCTTCCAAAAAGGTCCACCATTATGCAGTGGCTTCTAGAGCTTTACTGCCGTGTCTTGCAAACATCCGCTGACTTAGATGGAGATCTGCCTTGTGGCGCCAGAACCGAAGACTGCAGCCTGCACGGTCCAAGAAACCCACTGCGGTCCACTTTTGTTTCTACAAGATTCATAAAAAGATATAAAAAGTATGAATCCATATGAATCCCATTTCCTCATATTTCCTCTACCTCGACCTTCGGTTTCACCTCTGTTGATCCGGGTGTTTTCAATGCAACATCTCCCAAGCCTGGTAAGCAAGTACCAGCTTGGCAAGCTGTCGGCCGGAAAAGCCCTCGGTCCGTTTGGCGACCTCGATTTCTGCGCTTTGCACTATGTCTTGCCAGGGTGCGATCAAGATCAACAGCCCCCATGTCAGCCCTACAAGCGTTGTTGTCTCACACTATAAAGATCTCTGATGATCTATGTATAAAGGAGATTATAGAAGCACATTGAGGATCATTGAGGATCATTCAGGTCTGCTGCAAACTTTTCACGTGCTTTTCTGCTGCGGAATTCACCATGCCACTCTTTCACACCGGCAGTCCTTGACTCTGCCAATGCGTCATGGCATGCAGGTGAGACAAATCCTAACATTCCAAACTCCGCATCACGTCTATGGAGGAGTATGGAGGAGTTTCTTGTCTAAGCACATAGATTTCAGCATACCTCTCAGTATAGGTTCAGATAGTTCGCGACCAAAAGCAAGTCCTTGGAGAAGCCAAGGTTTCAAGCTAACCACATTCCTACCCAATACACGAAAAGGTGAAAGATGGTGAAATAATACCTCCTCCTGCCAGCCATGTTGCTAGGACAACATCGTCATCGATGGGGAACTCGGGAATGGGTACCTATCGATTCAAGCTCTGAACCCGAGGTAACCATTTACATTTCTATGGAATATACTGATTCCAGCAATTTCCAGCACGCCTTTGCATCTGTGTACTTGTACTTGAAGTACAGGTACTCGATGACCTCAAAAAAGCAAAGAAGACTCTGTCCTTGAAAGGAATGAAAGCAACACAGTTGTAACAAACAGCAATGAAGGGTGAAGAGATTCGAAGAAGTGTCACAACATGTCGCAACTTTAGAAGTTCGGAAGGTTTCGGAAGGTTTCGGAAGCCTTCTCCAGTAACTTTCCGGTGATGGTCGGGAGCTGGATCTCATTGGTCTGACCCTCTTTGAAGCCTTCCTTCAGTTCCGATGCATGACACAACTTGACACATCTCTGGAGGAAAGCTGTTCCAATGGCTCAAATATGTTCCAATTGCCGCCTTCTCCACCATCTTTTTGAAGGTGTCGCATTCGTACGCAATTCGTCTGTCCTTCCGATTTTGTCGACTTCCAAATGGCGGGCTCAAGTGATATAAGTGATGACTATTGACTGTCGACAACATCTGAACACTGTCCAAAAAGAACTCATGGCCATCGGCACTGATGAGCCTCAGGTACCTGGACACGAGTTCCACTGAGCAGGATCTGACTTTGTCAGACACCAAAAAGGACTCGTTCCAACGAAGGTTCTCAGCTGCTGAGCTGCTCACGAAAAGGTTTCGACTGGATCCAGATGGGGATTGTCCATGTCAAGCGCCTAAGGCTTTGGTGTCACCAAACGTAAAACGTTCCATCTGCAGAGCGATAAATCAAACACAGCAGTGCACAAATGTGCACAATGTAATGTAGCTATATGTAGCTGTAGCTGAGGTGCCATGGTCGCGACAGCAGCTGTCACACCACTCTGGCTCAATGGCAAACTCTCAGGAGCCACAAACAGCATTCGGAGGCATGCTGGAATTTTCACAGTTTTCACTGCAGCCAAGAAAAAGTACAAGGACATACAAGGACCATGCCGCTGCCATTTGCTGCTGAAAAGATTCCGACATCTTCCAAAAAGGCGCCGACTTCTTCCAGGAAGGAGTCATCCAATTTCTCGTCTACCTGCAGCAATCAACCAGTCTCTTAAAGATGATTGGTTGATCGCCAAAACTAAAAGAATGTCAAAATATGTCAAGATATGCTAAGAAGTGGCACTGGAAACTCCTGCGACGGTTTGTGGGCCTGAATCACCTTGCCCCGCTTCGTTGGCTTATGAATGTGTTCCTGTTGCAATGAGGTTTCTTAGCTCAGAAGCGTTCAACCAAGGACACAACAAAATATACATACGTAATCATACGTAGATATACTATCAAGATTACTCTCAAGATATGATCTGATCACTCTGATCTCATGATATGATTGATGGCTTTTGTGCGCCAGTCGTCCTCCATGAACATGGAGAGCATCCGTTGTCGCTCCTGTCAGCTGCAGAAGCTGCCATATGCAGCTGGTCCATCCCCGACCCCTTGCCGCCTTCAAGCTGGGAAGGGGGAACTCAAAGCTCTCATCCTTAGCCATCACTGCACGAATCTATGGTCTCGCGTCTCGTGTTCACGGCCCCGACGGCCCCCCCATATGGTATGGGGGGTTACCCCCCCCACCCCCCAGCCCCCAGGGGAAGCGATACATATACAGATACAGATACAGATACATATATATATACACACATAATTTATATATTTGCACATACACATACTGCATACATACATACACACCCATGTGTATATATATATATACTACTTACATATATGCGTATTGCATATATATATAATAACGTGTACATACATATAGATACACACATACTTGTAGAATCTCGTACATCCATATATATATAGGGACATATAGGGACCATCACCATCTTGGGAGGGGGGACCACCAAACGCTGGGCCATCTATATCTGTCGATATGTCTGCGTGTCGATGCGTAGAGACCAGGCCAGCTCCCTGTTTGATGGCTGGTTTTCAATGTCAGTGTTGGCCGCGTTCCAAAATGACCAAAAAAGCCGCGTTCCAAAGCGACCCCCTTTACCAATGCTAATTGCATGGAATGGTGGATGCTCCAGATTTCTTTCGGTTCTCTAACAATTACTTTTGATCGCAGAATCCACAGCATTTCTGGGTGCTCGGACTTATCAGGAAATTCTGAAGGCAAATACAACTTTGTATTTGAAACATTTTGAAACTCTGCGAGGATTGCTGCTGCTTGATCTGCTTGAATTCCATGCAAGGGGACAGCTCCATACAGCGAAGATTCCACTGTTTCATGCTTGCCTTGGGCCCCAGCCACACGATCGAGCACTGCTTTATCAAGAATCTCTCGAATGTTGGTGGCCAGCACAACCACAAATCTGTCCAGGCACTTCAGAGTCTGTGCTTCAAACGTGCCTCCGCGTGTTGCAGAAGCTCATTTCACCTCCCCACCTACAATCCTTTCAAGAAACAAGCCTAAACATACCTAAACTAACCAATTTCACATAAACTTAATTCAAACTTGCCAGCGTCGCTTGTCGCTCTCTGTTCCTGTGTGATGGAGGAAAGCGGACAAGGTATTTCTCGCCTCGGCATCTTCCTGTGGTGTCCAGCTCAGCGGTGCAGCTCCAAGACATCTGAGGCCATGACCTCTTCACTCATGGCCCCACTTTCAGAGCCGCGGCCTGTTCGCAAAAATGCATCTGCCTGGCGCTGAAAGGCAGAAGGCAGCTGAAGAACATGGTGAAGGTCCTTCAAATGGTTTAGGATTTTCGACAAACAATTGATGAAATATAATAAATGTATTTAAATATATTGTTAAATCATATTAAATCTGTATGAATGCACATGTTTGTCGGAATTCCAGATCTTTCAGGAGGCCTCATCAATGAACAGAATCAATCCCTTCCTCAGTGCCGTTGTCTCGGGTGAGTTGGGCATCGCAGCTGAAGCTGAGGCAATGGCCTGGAGTTGTTGGCCCACTGGAACAGCTTGTTCAGCTCGTGCACCTGGCAGCCAGAGTGATGGTCTGTTGATGGTCTGTTGATGGCTTTTAGCACGGTTTCTGATGTGTGTTTTCATCATGATTATCATGATCCGAAATCTTCCGAAATGATGGTCAACACACATGTTTCATGAATGAAAGAATCCGGTGTGAATAGCAACGCTTCGGCTTTTTCTTACTCACTGCTGACTGGGGTGGTTTCACCACCGGGTTTTCCAAATCACCAACTCCTCTGATGCTGGCAATCCAGTCGTGATGTAGTCGTTCGTGAGGCAGATAATTCGACTCAAAGCACAGAACGGTCTGAAGGTACGCCATGGCACTCGCGTCCCAGGCACTTCCAGGAAAACCAGAAACTTCGGTAGGTTTTGCGGGCCATTTGGTAGCTGCCCTGCAGAGTTTTCTCCCTGGAAGTCTTCCGTTTCATCGCGTTGTCACTGCGAACTCCTGATCCAATCTCTGTGCAGAAACCATTGGGAGTCATTGGAGGATCAACAATTCTGACATACCATGAGATCCGCATTTTTCTCCAGATATCTCCAGATATCTCCAGATCACTTGTAGCATCTTAAGTAGCAATCCAGCAGTTTTCTCCATGATTTCGTCCCTTCAGAAGCGATGATTGGCTCCACGAGGACGAAATCCCGCATGAGGCGCCTTGGGCTCCCGAGCCCTGCGGCCATCCCGGCCATCCCGGCCATCTCCGCTACGGCTGCGCGAGCGTCCGGCCGCGGAGTTCACCTGGAGCACGGTGACCGCAGCGTGAATTTCCCATTGATTCGATTGGTTGATAGAGTTGATAGGGAAATTGATGGATTTTGATGTCTAGCGTTCATCTAATACATATATATATATATATTATTATATTATAATTATATATTATATTATATATATCATTATATCATATTATATTATATTATATTATATTATATTATTAATAAAATTATATATATATATATTATATTATATTATATTATATTATATATATCATTATATTATATTATATTATATTATTTTATTTTATATTATATTATATTATATTATATTATTAATAAAATTATATTATATTATATTATATTATTAATAACATTTTATATATATTATATTATATTATATTATATTATATTATTAATAAAATTATATATATTATATTATATTATATTATATTATATTATATTATATTATTAAATTATATTATATTATATTATATTTTATTATTAATAAAATTATATTATATTATATTACATTATATTATTAATAAAATTATATATATATTATATTATATTATATTATATTATTAAATTATATTATATTATTAATAACATTTTATATATATTATATTATATTATATTATATTATTAATAAAATTATATATATTATATTATATTATATTATATTATATTATTAATAAAATTATATTATATTATATTATTAATAAAATTATATATATATTATATTATATTATATTATATTACATTATATTATATTATATTATATTATATTATTAATAAAATTATATTATATTATATTATTAATAAAATTATATTATATTATATTATATATATTTATATTTATATTATATTATATTGATCCAATCAAGATGAAATATCATGCTCATCATACAGAATCTATGGTACTACAAATAAGAGTAAACGGAATCAAACGGCCAACCATCACAACCAGCAGAGAATTTTGGATCTTTGGCCACTGATCGCCTGGCGTTTTTGTTTCAATCGCTCCAGAGCTGCTGCCGCCCTTTCTGCTTTGGATCCTGTCTCGGTTGTTTTTTTTCTTCGGCCAAACTCATCATAGCCACTGTCGTCTACGGGCACTTCCCTCCTTTCAATGTCTTGCCGATCGTTGAAGCCTGCGGCACATGTCAGCCCTCATTGCAGTTTTTTCTAAAAGAAACTACTGCCAAGATCTGCAAAGTACATCTGATTGAGACTCAGATGCAGGAACAGAAGCGATACGCAAATGACCAAACATGCTTTTAGAACACATTGTACACTAATTATATATAATAGACATAAATGATCATAAATGTATATAGAATGATGTAGATGTAGACTTATGTTGAGGCTGGTGAAGTCGAGTTTTAGCCTTGCTTTGATCAACTGGATGAGTGACCCGGGCCTCCACCTCGTCCACCCTCAGCGTCCCTCGTCTTCCTACGCTCCTCAGCTTCCTTCTTGGTTCGTTCGGCAAACTCCTCCAGCCTGAGCAGTGACACTGTGGGAGTCCATTTGGCAACAGAGTAAATCTGTAGAGTCGGTGTCCACTGTTGTCCCCCAGTTCAATTAGAGTCGGTGTCCACTGTTGTCCCCCAGTTCAATTAGTGCTATTTCATGCTATATCGCATCATATCGCATCTATATACACATTGAAGGGATTCTCATCGACAAGTTAAACAATGTAAAAGAGTTCTGAACTCCATCAATCAATGGAGAGCAAGCTGCGGTTTGGATTGCTTGGCAGCGATTGTGGCGCGGGATTGTCCGCCAATGGGATCTTGGATGCTGCCCGGCATGCCAACAAGAATGCCACGCGGATGCTGTATGTCTTTTAATGTTGCTTGAGGTCGCACAAGGATACAAGAAGAATGCTTTTACTCAGAGGAGGAGTCGACGAGCAAAGGGATTTCAGACAATGCTATGCTATGAGTGGATTGCCAACTATCAAGGAGCCGTCTGAGATTTTTTGCTGCGAGACATCTCAGGTGCAAGAAATCCGTCATTGTCCATCATTATCTATTGACTGGCAAATGCATTGCGGATGGCTGGAACAGCACAGTCGACCACTTTGCAACCAGCCCAGCCCACCGCATCTTTGCCAAGAGGTCCAACATCTCCGCCAGACATGATTGCATAGTCCAAACCTAGCAAAGCGGAATCACCAGCAAGCTGCTCGTCAACAGGTGAACAGGTCCTTAACATGTTCCGACTGTCCACTTCCGGTCCTGACCGTCTCGCCAGCGTTCGAGCAAACAATGTCTTTCCAGTTCCAGGCGGACCATGGAGCAGGAGATGTCTGACACAGCGCATGGGAGGACCCGTTATGAACGAGAAAAACATCCAAACATCATGAAACAGCTCTTCGATGCTCTATGGACTCCCACAGGGAGTAAAAGCAGCTACAGTTAAATGCACTGCATGGTTCCACTATGTTCCACTTTAACACAGCAATCCCCAGACGTTGCCTAAATGGCGTGCCATTCTTTTTGGCATTCACGAGGGAGTTGGTAGTCCAGTTCAGGCGCTCGGAGAGCTCGTCCTGGCGACATGCCACATGAAATTCGGGACACTGAAGCGACTGAAGGTTGAGCTGATGACTTCTCCACGGTCATTCCACGCTCCTCCAGGACGATCTTCTCCATGACTTCCTTCTTCTGCCCAAATGGCACCAGACTAGCTAAGCGCAAACGGTCACGGCCTTGGCACAACTGCCATGGGTTTTCAAGTCGTGTTGAGCTATTGCAGAATCTGTGATGACTCCCGTGTCCCTGCTGGACTGCTGGAAGCTCGTATCTGTTGTGTCTCATCTTTCTGTTGATGAGTCCGGATTCTAATGTTCAGAATGCCAGGAAATGTCCAGGCTATTACTTAGACTTTGCAGATGTAAACTCCAAGGGCATATGAGGCATCTGTTTCGGTGATCTACGCGCATCAAGCGCCTGACCAAAAGTCCACGCAGAGGTCTCGCGGACCAAGGGTGGCCGCATCAAGCGCCTGTGCAAACAATATCAAACAATATCCAGGAACAGACAGGCGCAACCAAGTGCTCTGGGGATGCTGAAACGTGTCCGCAGTGTGCATGTTGCATGTTGTTTGGTGCACAAGGACCATTCGGATCCGAGATATTTTCGCAAGGTATCGCTGGAGGCTCGCTCAGAATCTGTCCTTGTGAGCTGCGAAAATCACAGGCAGCACTTCCCCAATTCAGAATGTGCTGGAGAAAATGAAGCAATTTTTGGTGAAACTTTGCTGTGGACACAGCTCACAGACCAGGCAACACATTGGCGGAGAGATCTCCGCTGGCGCTGGCCCTGGAGGAGCGTCGCAGCCAATTCTCTGCAACTCGCAGGCGATGTCGTAGACCGGGTAGACCTTCAGCTGTGACCGCAGCTCCGGCTCCATAGGTTCCTTCTCAACACCCGATAACGATATATAACGACGATATGTGATATAGATTGATATAGCATAGTGATGCAACTTGCATGCTTCAGCATTTCTACCTTCAGATTGAGTCTCAAAATATGATATGTCAAGATACGGTAAAGGTAAGCAAGCCGGCGCAAAAGGCTAGCTGACCTCAAAAACAGAAAAGCTGCCAAAACTGCTTGTCACATCTTGTCACAAGTTCCCTGTGGAATTTACACAATGACAGGCAGCATCAAGCAGCCATGAGGACAAAGCTTTCCACCAATATCCACCTTGGCAGAGCCAATCTCGCTGACCTGAGGAACAATCCAGGGCACGGAGCATTGCATGTAACGAAAGATTTGCCAAAGCACTTTTTTTAGCGTTTGGCAAATATTGATAGAGTATGATACGAGTAGAGTATGGATTCTGTGAAGTAAGCTTGCCACTGCCGCAGTTGCAGAAGCAGCCAGTCTTGCTACAGCCTCAGCTCCAACAAATGTTGCGACGAAGATCCGAAGTGGTGAAGTCAGTGATAGTCGGTGACGTTCAAAGATCCCAACAGGAGGCAAAGCTGGAGGCAACAGATTGCCCATTTGACTTGCTTCCACCACCCCAGCCTTGGAAGCTGTGTCTACATGTAGCCACTAGGCCCTTCGACTTACAAGCTCTGTGCCGATCTGTGCCGAGCTCTTTGCCGCTTCAGTGCTTCCCAAAGCAATGAATTCTCCCAAGGCAGATGGCTTGAAACGTCGCCACGCAACGCGCGGCCTGGACCATGTCCAGCCCCTTCTTGCAAAGCGGCCAAGCAGTGTTGTCTTAAAACAAGGTCTTCTGAGGTGAAGACAAACCAGAAAGCTGTGCATAGATGTTCCAGGCAGCAGCTTCTGCCTGTTGCATCGCCTGTCACTACTTTATGGAAGGAAATGCATTATCAAATGCGTCAGATGTCCATGGCTCCAAGGTAGCGACAACGGGTCATGTTTAGTATTTAGCCATCCATTCTTCGGGAATCTTCGGGATTGTCATTTTGAGCCATTCCCAAATCAAACTCCTCCTGGTCGTCTCCAACGCTCAGGCTGCTGCAATCTGTCCAGTGGCTGGCGATCCCGCAGAAGCATCGCCCAAGCCTCAAATAGGCGAGAAACCAACAGCAAAACATGGTAATCAATGCGACCTGGAGCATCCAAATGCTGTCCAGGAACAAAACACACCTGGAGCTACACGCAAGTATTCGTCAATGACCTCATCGCAAGGGAAAGGAACAAATGAAGAGTCAGAGGTACATGCACTGAGATCTCAGCCGCTCGACCTTTTTCAACAGAGTCCTTTTTGAAGTAAGACTTTTGAAGTGACAGCAGCGAAACATCAGGAAAATACTTTGTAAGGATACTTTGTAAGGATTCTTTGTGCATTTGACGCGTGTTGTAATTCTTCAGCTATGATGAGACTGCTGGTTTCAGAATGTTCCACATCTCCGTGTGCCACAAACCAGCATCCCTTAATTGCTGCATTAACGGCATTAACGGTATCATTCCGCAAATTTCTCTGTCATTGGCATCTCCTGCAGGGCTGTGAGCTGAAGCCTTGGTTTCAGCTGTTTGGCATGCCGTGCCTGGATGATACCTGGATTTATCAAACTCTGAGGCTGCCACGTCAGGCACGTCTTGCTGTCGGAAGGAGCTAACGCGCCCGTGGCAATGACCTTAATTGAATGTTAAATGTTCATAAATGTTCCACAGTGGGGCTGTTTGGCGACTTGAAATCCAAGGTTCAGACAAGGTCGCATTCGTGTTTCCTGACAGTGAAAATTGCCACAAATGCTGTAACTTTGAGTTCATCAGTCATGATTCATCCAAAGGATATTCAAAGGATATAGCAAATGGTGAAAAAGTGCACCTCGATTCTCCATCAGCACTTGACCAAGTCAATCCTTCAGCCTTGGTAAAAGAGGAATGGGTGGGCGAAAGTCTACCACCAAACCGAAGGCCAAGGAGCATCTACAGAGGTTACGCGACCTCGCTCTGCAGATCAAACAGTGGCTGCATAACACTCTAGCACGATAAAGTATAAAGTACCAGGGTAACGTAAAGTAGTTGCTCCAAATATTTGCCATGCTAAAGCTGAGCTTGTGGCCTTCTTTGCGGACAATCCCGAGTTTGTCAACAAATTCAGCACTCCGCCTTTGATTAGCCTCCTCACAACCTGTCACTGTGGGTCGGCTCTTGTTGTCAGAACCATCACGGTGACCATCGGCGTCGTTGTCGTTGATATTCTTGTACTGGTCATCTCAATCCCATTACCTATGAGTCCATGTGTATCCATATTTTCACCACCACCACCACCACCACCACTGTCATCATCATAAGTTTATATTTATGTTTCTTCTTCTTCTTCTTCTTCTTCGTCTTCTTCTTTATTCTTTTTCTTCGTAATCGTCATTCTCATCCTGATATTCGTCATGGACAACAATGGTACCAGCACCGAATCTAAATTTCCATATCAATAGCACCACCGTCGCTGTCAGTATATGACCATCACTCTTCTGATAGCATCAAGATCGACATCATAATATCATCATATATCATCCCTGTCAGTAACATCCATCATCATGGTCTTAAATGCAGTCTAATCTGTCTCTGTAGTACAAGATTCGTGGGGGAGGCCTGGAAGAAAGCGAGAACCAAAAAGCGCGATTTGCCCTGCTGCTGCCGCTTCAGGAAGCACCTCTGATTGGGTCAAAGATGGTCAAACATGGTCGTTATGCATAGCGCAGCAAATGGTTCTGCCGTTATGCCGTTATGCCATATGATGGCCACTTGGCAGGGGCCTCAGCCAAGCCTGCTGCCAGCTCAACACCGACATAGCCAGCACCTTCATGATTTAATTACATCATTACATGGTAATTACGGTGTATTTTTTTCAAATTATCATTATTTATGTTATTACTTGTTATTACTGTGTGGATGGTGTGACTGCAGAGTGCCGGGCCAATGATTGCAACCGAAGACAAAGACTTCAAGCGTTCGCGCAAGCTTTCTGCCTTTCACACGCGCAAGACGAGAGCCAAAGGACCAGTAGTAGCGAGGCGTCGCAACCGTTGAGTTCTGGGCATCTGCCAAAGAACGGAAACAGAGAGCCTTCGCACGCAAAAATGTTTAAATGCTCCATGTGTCTTCAGATCTTCTTGGCTTGTCAAGTGTTGATTATATGCCCACTGCCTTGCCGTCAGCCATTGCATCAGACAGCCCAGGCAGAATGGGAGCTTCCTGGACACCTGTTCGATAGGCACATCTTGATCACCGGAACTGCTGAAGAGCAGCAAAACAAGCTCGACATCGCTCCTCCCAGAAAGGAAGTTTAGAGGATATATAGCATCGGTAAGCATCACACCCAGGCTCCCTGATGCAATAACAACTGCATCGAAGTTCAGCTTTCCCTGGCTCCATCAAATGAAGGAAGCTGCGTTGACGGCATACCACAGAAGGAAGCTTAGGTGACCAGGTGCGTTCCTGCAAAGTTTCAACCACAGCAACTGTGCAATCTTTCAAGGAACACCAGCGGCCTCATCACCTTCAAAAAGCCCAACCTGTAGAAGCTACAAACCACATGCAACCGTGGTCAGCTCTAAATCTCGGGTATCACTATGACGTCCTAATATGAGAGTCATGTGTGTGTTGTGTGTATCAACAGCGAATAGATTTGGTGCCTTTCTTCGTCTCCAGTCTACTTCACTTGCCTGAGCATCTCATGACTGCCAATACTATAAGGATATCGCAGGGTTCTTCACCCCACTCACTGTTTGCCCGGTGTTGAGAACTGGCTGCTCCCTTGAAGAAGAGGAGTATTCTGGACATATACCGGCGAGTAAAAAGATGTAAAGTGTAAGTCAGACTTCCTGGACTCTACCAGACCTATTATATACTCAAAATGCTAAAATGCTCAATCAAACAGTCAAAGTGGATCAAAATGGAGCGTGAAAAGATGTGAAAAGTTGGCCCAAGACCCTGAGCGTCGGCTGAGGCAGCGGCAAGACTTTGGATGTGCTGCACACCCGGGGCTTCCTGGCCGCTCAACACCCAATGGCCCCATCGGCCCCACATCGAGGAATGACTCAGAATAACCCACCTCCAGCAGATCTTGAAACGTTGGAGCCTCAGCTGATTTCTGTGTCAGTGGATCACCTGCAGCTCTGCTGACACCCGGTCTCAACATTTCGCTCGCCGAGTTTCAAACAAACTCATCGAGCTCCACTATGCCAGTAGCGTAATCAATCAACAGCGGCCTTCAGTACTTCGGATTTGTACACAAGTGCAGAACAGCAAAATCCGCCCGCACCGAAGGTGCTGGGGCGTGATCTTCCGGATGGCACTCGTAAAAGGTTACAGGTTTACCTGGGGGGGGGGGGCATTTTTCGGCCAAAACCTCCTGTTTTTGATAGGTCGTGACGCTCGCCTTCAAAAAACACTGTAAAAAACAGTACGGAAGACACCTGTTCGTGAACGCGCCCGTCCAAAATCGGCAAGCGAAAAGTGAAAAAAACCCGTGTTTTTCAACTTTTTGACCTCAATTTTTTGGTTTGCAACATCTTTTTTTGCGGTTCCGCAGGTGGCCGGGCCCGGAGGCGGATTTTTGAGTTTTTGGACCCGTTTTCGGACTGATTTTCGTCGTTTTGTGATAGCAGAAACACTGGTTTTTACAGTGTTTTTCTGTTTTCTGCATGCTTGACGGCTAGCTTCAAAACTTCCAAAAACCTCGTAAATTACGCTGTTTTATGTTACGGTGTGAATGAAAACATCGTAAATACCAGTGTTTTTTGACGTTGGTTAAAAAAACACTGTAAATTACAGTGTTTTTGGCCACCTGACCCTCAAAAACCATGGTATTTGCAGTGGTTTCTGCTTCTCACCGCGCAAAAACACTGTAAATAACAGCAATTTCGCCGTTTTTTCATGTTTTTCGTTATTTTTTGAACTGCGTTGGTCCGCTATACATGGCTATCAAATTCTTCGCGTTTTTTTTCCGACAATCAGTACTTTCGGATGTTTTTGGTCTCAATGGCCGACATCATTGGCAGTTACGAGCGGCTGCCCAACGATGCGGTGCGGGCGGTTGCCGTCGCGAAGCGACGTGAATATTGAAACAGGATGTTGTGACTCTGGATTGAGCATCGAACAAGAAGACATACCGATCTTTTGGATCAATGAGCTTGACCTGCGGCAAACTAAAGAAGGCACAATTTGCCATTTGGCTGGGCTTTAAAATCTTAAAATAAGGGGTAAGCTAAAGCTCTGCTTCTCTTGCGACACTGCATTCCAAGATAGAACATGGACTTTGATGACTGAGCACAATTTTGTGCAACTTCTTTATTCTATCCATCCAACATCATCCAACTATTAAAGCCACATGAGCTCGCCCATGAAATGCCAATGCCTCTGGCTTTGTGCGCCAGGGCATCTGGGACAAGCGCATGGCGAGATTGAGGCCTTGCGAAGACGATGAGATGCTCAGCATGAAATGGTACAGAGATGACAAAATTGATTAAAATTGACACCCACTGTGATGATTCAAGCGGCCTCCCAAGCCACCTCCAAGCACCAGAATAGAAGGTGGCTCAGATGCCAAGGATCCTGTGATCAGAGATTTCTACGACTTCCCAACTCAGATCTTCTCTGACGAACCTCGGACAACTCGTCGGCGACATCGATGCCGCCGGGCCTTCCCGTACGGATTGCATACCACGAATGTTGACATTGCAATGACACTGAGACTAAACGAGCCTTCCAGCGACGAGCCACCCCTGAAGTGTCTGCCACTCTGCTTGTCACTTTTTGGTAAAATTGCAGGCAGTTTTGTACAGTTCAAGCAATGAGCCTGTCAAAGTGGCAGCTGCCACACCAGAGCTCCAGCGTGGCAATCCATCTGTGTAGCGCCTGCCAAGATAGGAACATAACATAACATAACAATGCTTGAATGGGAAGTGGAACTCAAAATGGCGATGTCCCTCAAGGCAGTATGAATGTGTCACAAGTCGAGCCTGGAAGGACAGTCATTGGCAACAACCAGCTTCTCTCCAGGCGCAGAGAGTCTGGCCTCAAGATGTCACACCAATTTTCCCAAACCTTCTCTTTGCAACATTAAAACCATTGGTCGCAGAAAACCTTTCTTATCCTTTCTTAGTCTGCGACCAATCTGCCGCACACAGCGGCAGATTTCAACATGGGGATTGGGGCTTCCATTCGTTCCAGCACAACGTGCTTGTGCCAAGGAGGCTATCGCAAAAGAATGGAAAAGACACCTACGGTATGTTTCGGCCAATAATGTGCTAACCCAAAGCCATAAACCTGCCATTTGGGGATGGTTTATACCACCCATCTGATATTGGGGAAATGCAATGGGTTATTCATGATGATTCATGATTCATTCATGTCTTGGTGTGTCCGATGTCAACGGTCTTATCAATGCTCGAAACGGATTTCTTGTGACATCATTCGTGAGCAATGGCAATGAAGCCATTAAAGTTGATCTTGCGACGTTGGCATTGACTTTGTGCATAAAGTACAGCAACGCCATTCCCTGCCTTTCAATAATGTTGCCCGCTACCTGAGTAGTAGCTCGAGCACCGTACCTCAATCGCACATTGCATGTTGATTGACGTATCTGAATGATTCCGAATGTATCTTGTGTCGCTTTCAAAGCTTCCAGCAGACTCTGTAAGCCACTGACACACCCAGTGCCAGTGCCGTCAGACCGCCGACCAGGACAGTCATCTTCGATCTATCCTGTCACGGACAAACCCATTGGCTTCGCCTTGGCTTCCATGGATCGTATATGTCTACGAACCTTGCCTCTAGCACTGATTGCACTCCAGCACCCAGTCCAGCAAAAATGGCCTTCAGTCTCACGTTTTGGCGCAGAAGATCGCAGAAGACAAGACATGGAAAAGTGTCCGGACATCTGCAAACTGGGAAGAATTTGCTCCTACTAAAATCTCCCAAAAATATATCAAGTGATGTCAAATATATATATATATAATTATAATTATAATTATATGTATTATATATATATAGTTAATTATGAATAATCATGTGTTAATAGTACAAGGCTCTTAAATCCAAGTATCTTCAAACATCTTCAAGTGACATCTGACAGCCCCCAATGGAACCCACCTGGATCTGCTCCAGTCGCGTCTTCCTCTCCTCAGCCATACGAGCTCGCATCTCTCGGAGACGGACCTGCGATCGCCACTTTCAGCCCATTCGAAAAATAGAAAATGTGATCGTCTGATAGTCTGATAGTCACTGATAGATAGTGCATGAAATTCCATTCATGTCAATTAGATTCAATTAGATTCAATTAGGTCATGATCATAATTGTTATCGCAAACATGATCAGAAATAGATGGGCTATAGAAGCAAAATAATGAGCACCAAGCAGTGCACTTGTTTAGCCTATGGATCCGCGACAAATTGCGAACGCTGCGCACAAGCCTCGATGTTTTCGCGCTCCTGCTGCATCCTGCGGTCAAGGGACTGCAACCAGCTGAATGACAGGTGGCTGATGGTGGCTGCCAGCTGGTCCATGGTTCATCAAATTGCCACGCAATGGGTACAGCTGCCAAGCAAATCATGTCAAATCCAAGCACCAATTTTCCGGCCATCAGACTTGCAGAGAATTGATGGCGCGGCTGTCAGTCTCTTCCGCATCCCATGAAAACCTCACGGAATGACTGCAAAATCCTGCCAGTATAATACAATTTCCTTGGAAGCCTGCACCAAGGGCGTCCGGAGGAACATCTCTTGATAGCTTTTGGGACCACATCATGCGGACATCTCCAGTTTCCAGCTACCTTGGCCCTACAAGACCAAACTAGTCAAACTATGTCAAACTGGGAAACTAAGCTCCAAGCTCTCGATGGACAAGCTCGTCTCTGAGTTGAAAGTCATGGTCATCATGTGCATCATGTGCATCATGGTGAGTTTTGCCTCACAAGTTCTATCGCCACTGGCCTTTGAGTGCTGCTACCACGGAACTGGAAGAAGTGAAGAAATTGCTGGGTGCCCAACGTCACCACACGAAGCCCATTGAAAGTTGGTAATTTTGCCAAAAAACTGCTGAAACAGCACAGAACTCTGGAACTGAAAGGAGTTCAACCATGTTGAACCATTGAGTCAAAAAGAGTTTAAGTAAATGAAGTGCAACCGAATCCGATTGAGTTCCTATAGAAGTCTAACACCCTGCAGATATCCTGAGCTTTTGCTCACATGTCAACATAGACTATGTATGACTGTGCCACTATGCTTTTGCTGAGCTTTTGCTGACACCGTAACACAGCTATGCCAGGCTATGCCAGGCTATGCCAGGCTATGCCAGGCTATGCCAGGCCACCTGACTTGACCCGAGGCCAAGACCTTCACACTGCCTTGGGGAGAAGTTGTCTGATGCAACGGTGAGTCGGTGAGGTGAAATCCCATTTTGATCCATTTTGATCAATTTGGGGACAATTTTGGAAACAGAAACAGAACAGAAACATCCAGATGCCTTGCAGCATTGGATATCATTGGATCCACGACGCTAGTTCCACCTGCAAATCAAACGAAGGTGCTGCCGTACGAACACGTACTAACTACTAACTACGTATTTTCCATGCTATAGCCATGAAATGCCATGAAGGTGCTGAATGTTAGCTGAAGCTGCAATTCATTGCAATGATCCTCCGATTGCAAAGCACTTGGTTTCCAGGATGGAATTGGATGCGCGGCTGTACGAACACTCAAAATGAGCATCCTTTTTGTCGCCTTTGCCTCATCGCAGGCTGCGTCGTCCGGCCCTCACATATGGAGACTACTCGATGCCAAAGTCCTCTGTCACCACAGACTCAGCAATCATCTCTTTCAGCTTGTGAGAGCTTTCGAGGCATCCTGAAGGAATGCGCAATTCATTGAAGCAAGTCTTTCCAACCAGAGGGATGCACCTTTCTGTCCTCTTGCGGACAAACTCCACCTTTGAGTTCTTCCATCCTTCTACAGGCTGCTTGAAAGAGCCAGTAAAGAAACGCAAGAGTTTGTTCAAAGGTCGCTTCACAGGTGGCAAGTCCTTTCCCTCCTCCTGCATCTCCTCCAACGCCTGACGAAGCACTTGCTGCTCCTCGTCCGTCCACCCCCAACCCCACTCAATTGCTTCCCACAACTCATCTAGATCCACCTCCGAGTTGCCTTCGATCAAGTGTCCAAGTGTCTCAGAATTTCCATTTAGCAAGTTGTAAAATTCAGAGTCACTGGGGATGACTTCATGAAAGCCCTCTACCATGGAGTTCACGGGCTCTTCAAAGCGCTTCCAAGACTCTTCACAGCGGAGTTCTGTGAATTCACGCGCTTGCGCAAAAGGAACAGTATCATCAGCTTTTGCACCATCGGGAGCAAGAGGGCCCCATGCCAGGTAGAGAGCATCCCACATCATTTCATCCTTGTAGATTGGTTTATAGCAACTTGGCTGAGTGTATTTGCCGGTCTCGGGGTCTTTGATTTCATCACAACTCAGCCATCCGTAGCTCTGAAGCTCCTGGGGGCTGCGTCGCTGCGCAATGGCAGCCATCTTCTCACAGGCCTCAGCTCTGACAGCTCTAACAGCTCTGAAGCTGCAGTTTCAAGCTGTTCCAAGTTGTTCCAAGTTGTTCCAAGCGTTGTTACATGTTGTTCCGTGTTGTTACATGTTGTGTTGGTTTTTGCTGCACGTTGCTAAACTGGGGAACCGGCAGGAATGGTATCTTCCTCGCTGTAGAAGGGCTCGCTCTCAGGTGCAACTGCATGACCAGCCAGCAAACTCTTGTAGATCAGACTATGCAGACCCATTGGCGCATACCCTAGGCCACTAATAATGTAAGCTCGAGCTAGCCACTTCCCCAAGAACTTGAAACGCTTGCGGGCCGCATAGGGTATGCTGGCTTTTGCACCCAGAACTGTCTCGTAAGCTTTGTCGTAAGCTCCATATGCAAATTTCAAGACTGATCCCACTCTTCCACTCCACTTAGACTCAGCCTCCTCTTCCTCCCATCTGATTGGAATAAGCTCACCTGTAGGCAGCGCTTCCAGCAAGTATTGAGTACCAGCATCGGCGCCGCATGAGCCGCTTTTGATACACTCAAGTCCAGCTTTTTCGTGGCCTTCAGGCATCACAATGGACTGCAGACAAAGTGACAACCACTCCTTCCGCAAGCCTTGAGCGTCCACCCCAGACTCATTCTTAAAGCCGACACCGAAGCCAATCGTACTAGACCAGTTCTTAGCCCAGCCTCTTGGATTATCTTCTTCCATAAAGCTTCGTGTTTGTTCGAAGACACTGGTGTTGGAATGTCGTTCAAGTTCGATTCTCGGAAAGAAAAGCTTCTGGAAATCAATTGTGGGCATCCACACAGTGGGAGGTTTGAAGGACTTCACGGCGGCTGCTCGCAAGTCCCCTTCAGGACCTGCCTGGAGCATTCCCATTCCCTGCATTCCGTCTGAGTGCTGCACGCGATACGCTGACGCATAGTAAGCGCACACCACGGCAGCCACACGATAGAAACACGTCATGACGGGAGACAAAGGCACTGTAGTCACAGACTGATGACTGGTTGATAGAATCTCTGAAGTTGAGCCCGGCATAAGGAAAACGACTGGCAGAAGGCATCAGAAGGCTTAGGATATCTTAAGACATCTTAAGACCATGTGCTGTGGAATTTCACCTGAAAACGCTGACAAGGACTGGCAGCTGGAAGAACAAGGACTCAGACTCACTGTGAATGCCGTTCTCCAGGTGCTCTATGTCGTCGCTGCCCAAGTTGCATCCGGAAACTGCCGAACAAAAGAGCTCAGGAAAGGATTGAAAGAACGAAATGTGTTCAACAAAAACATCACGCAACACAGCACGTCACATGCCATCCTGCATCCCACAAGGCAGAATCGGAAAGGCTGACAGGGCACTGCAGAAACAAACCTAAACCTTGTACGTTCTAAATCTGATACAGTACTGCCTGGCTGACATCAGCTCCAGTTACAGCTTGGTCCAATATGGCCCTGTTGGTTACCTATGTTACCTGTTGCCAACGGTTCTATAAATGTGGCACTGTGGAGCTCCAGAGCCAGGTCCAAGACCAAACTGGATGTTCCCGAAATGATCCGAAATGGTACCGGGATGTACCGGGCCTTCGGATCCTGCAGGCGATGTGATGAAAATTCATGAAAATTCGGTCAAATCACCAACCTCTCAATGGCAGTCGTCTAGGACATCTACAATTCTATGGCATGGTTGTAGCATGTTGTAGAATGTTGTAGATAGCTGTAGCAGTTGTGGCTGAAATCACAAGATATCACTCTCGAGCCTCCTGGAGCCATGGTGTGGTGCCACATCTTTTTGGATCAATGACAAGGGTTTCCGAAACCTGAGGAGCTCGAAAGGTTCAAAACAGTCATCATTCATCATAGTCATCATAGTCATCATAGTCATCATAGTCATCATAATCATCATAGTCATCATAGTCATCATAGTCATCATCCCACGCAGTTTTCCATGTCTGAAACTCTTTAAGGGTCGCGCTTCGGGTTGTCTTGCTCGACCACGGAGAACACATACAACCTGGGCGAGTTGGTCTTGGCTGTGGGCCTCTGACCCATCTAAAGTTGCCAAAGGCCAAATGAAGTCTTCCGCCGAGGGCTGGGTCAACTGAGTTAAGATGTCACTGGCTCCAGATTGATCAATCTGCATTCGCTGCTGAGTACTGAACTCTTTGAGTGACACGTGTTGCGTGTCTTTGGCATCCACGTCCCCAAAGTCCTCTGGATATGGAATGGTTACTGCCTCAGTTGGGAACAGCCCGCACTGCCAAAAGCTTTGCAAATGCCACTTTAAAATGTCAAAACCAAAACGAGGTGCCACAAGTGTCTGGCTGACATGATGGTGTCACCAGCCTGTCACAACGTCAGTGACTGCACGATACAACGTGTCACGAACGTGTTGAAACTTCATGATCAAACGAACCATGCTGCCCCATGCCCATTGAACGCCAGGAACCCCAGGTCTGCCAGGTCACCATGTCAGCATCAAGAAGTACGCTGCTCTGCCGAGGTCAGACCCTTCCTGAAAGTCAGAAAGATCTCAGTTTTGCCCAAAAAAAAGCTGAGAAAACTCTGATTTGTCAACAGCAAAAGTGTGCCTCTGCCCAGAATCTTCCAGCCTCTTGAGATTTCTCTGCAGCTTGTGCACCAGCACGCACCAAAATGCCCAAGGTGCGGGCCATGTCCAGAACCTGTGCAGCAGGGAACTGTCACGTTGCAATGCTGTGGATGATGATTTCATCTCCAGTCTGGCTTATTCTAACCCTCAATAAACCAGATAGATCCAGAATCCAGATAGTAATCCTGGTTATTGTACGATAAGCCCCAATAAATCAGTTAGTATCGTCCCCCATATTAATCAGCAGTGGTATTTTCATAGCCGGAACCAACTCATCCAGGTAGCCTCCGGCGCTGATGACGATGCCGCTGTCCAAATAGCTTGGCATCTTGAAGCCTCGCGATGCCAGGGTCAACCAGTCTACTCGAATCCATGCACAAATTGCGGTTTCCATGGTGGTGAAAGCCTGAAAACTGCCGGATTCACATCAAGCTGTTTAACAAGCTGACACCGTCGTCAAGGCACCATTGTAAGCAGCAACTGTCAGCGAACTGAAACCAAACTCATCCCGGGCACTGAGCAAGGCTTTGCGTCTTTCCAATCGCAGAAATTCGCGCAGCGCGAAGCTTCCACGGGCTGTTGCTACAAGCAAGTCTTGCAGTTTTGGATCCACAAGAATCAAATGAATCACAGTACAAAATACCCAACAGCATAGCAAAGGCCATGGCAACATGCGCTTATTTCGGCATTTCAGAGTGGCTGTTGTCATAGGCTCGATGTCCTGAAATGAGCTTCTTCTGTGGTGCTAAGTGTTCACCTGACTCAAATCAAGTCAAAAGAGTGTCAGCTGTGAGGCAAGCTGGGCTGCCTTTCTGGGAGGTTTGCCCTGAACTGGTGACACTCTTATGCTCCTCATTTTGGGATTGATCCCCTGGGAAAGCTTGAACCGAGAATTTCAGCACTTGGGTTTGTCTGAAAATGGATTGAAATACGGCACCCACAAATTTGATGGTTAGTCGCCATTTTCTCAGCAAAAGTGCATTTTGATGTATACCGGCTAAGACCGGTATACCAAACATATCCACTTCGCTGCTAAGACAACATGTGGCATGCAAAAACAAGGAAGGCAGCTACAAAATGCCATGATCACCATGAATCATCGTCTCTCCTGCCCTGCGCCTCAGCTTTGGTTCGGGCCTGGGACAAGGGCTGTAGATTTGATGGTGATCAAAGGTCTTGAGCTCTGCTCTGTCGGCACTTCACTTGGAGACACAGAAGACCTTCGCCACGATCGCCTTTTTTTCTGCACTGATCACATTTCCACACATTTCCAGGCAAGCTGTGGCAACCAAATGGACTGGAGAAGAGCAACAGTTTTGCATATGTCCCTGAATCCAAAAGTCAGAACGACAACTAGAGTAGCTTTCTGAGACATGTGCCGCAAATGCCTGAACCTACGCTTGCTATGCCCACGGTTGTGGGCATGTCCGAAGATCACCAACTGCAGGGATGCAAATCCATGCCCACACAGTCGTCGTTAACACACCGCCAGGGTGTTCAGAAGCTTCCTTTTTTATGGAAGCCTGGGAAAAAACTCTTCATTGACTTCCAGCAGGATACCCAGCTTCGCATGGACTTTGTCCAAATGCAGCTGGCTGCAAGCACGCCCTAATCTCAAGCCAGGACTCCTTTAGCCACCCCATTTTGCTCCAGCCATGCGGCCTCAAATCAGCACACTCAGAGTCCCGGGCAGCCAAGAAAAATCTGAAAAGGCTGATAATATCACCACCAAGCACTCATGCAAATACTGAGAAAGATCTTGTCTGCGTTTGTGCCTAAACAAATCACTTGGTCTCACAATTTCTGACTTTGGCCAAAGGACGGTCTCAGAATGTTCCTGGTCAATCGCAAGATCCAAAGCTGTTGCGCCATCCACTCTCGCGAAATTCAGATCAGCTCCAGCAGCTTTCAGAATCTCCAATGCCTGGCAGTCAATTCAAAGAAAATCCACCAAGATTTGGAAATTGAAAAGCCTCGACCGAAACAACAAAAACATTGTACAAATTGTACAAATTGTACAAACATGTTAGACAAATCTTTTTAGACATGTTAGACACCCGCTGCCTTTATTTGACCATATTGGGCCGCCACCAGCACTGGAGTGAGGCCCAAGGACATGTCGCCAGCTGGAGACAATTGCAATGCTGGAGCAGTAGTGGCCTTTGAAAAGTCGCGGAGAAGTAGAATGAAGTCTTTGAAGATGAAGATGATGAAGATGATGAAGATGATGAAGATGATGAAGATGATGAAGATGATGAAGATGATGAAGATGATGAAGATGATGAATGAAGTAGAAGAATGTCCAGAAAGATGTGTGAAGAGCAAATGTGTACAGGCACGAATGAACATTCACAGCCTCCGAATACTCCTAGAAGAGGCACACAGTAGCTGTTGCCAATACTCCGATGGTTTCATCTCTACTTCTATGGTGTGAGTTGAATTGCTAGCGGTAGTATTCACCCAACAGCCAAAGGCATAGATGTGAGATCCGTGTGGCATTGCAAGGAGGCCGTGCAGCAAAAAAAATAGAATTTAGAAAAATACAATTCAGACCTGCACAATTGTATGTGTGTGTGTGGCTTTCAGACATCCCAATCAATTGTGTGACAGTGCCACTATATTGGTGTCTCAAACTGCACTAAATTTCAGTGAGCCGATCTCTGCTCATCGTTCACCTTGGTGGTATCCTATATCGGGCGGCTATGGCTATGCAGCCAAGGAACATTGATGTCTGCCCCGTTATCGACAAGCCATTTCAAGTTCCTGATATCACCACGCAGCGTTCACGCAATACTTGTGCATGGACCCAATCACAGGCAGCGAATCCCAAGTCCTACATAGTCCTACTGATCCGTACTGTATTTTTGAAGATCAGTGGCAGTCCGAATGATGCTTTTTGCGGGCCAGCATCTGCCAGTTTCCAACTTCTGCTGCGCGATGAGTTGCCCTTTCTCCTGTCACTTGTGGATGTAAAGAATCTTAAGAATATGAAAGGCACTACCAGGTTAAAAAACTGAAAGTGCTCTGAACTTCATCCATGGTCCTGAATCTCTCAGCGGAGCCTTACCAACCAAAACAAAAAAGGGTTCGCATTGAGGGTTCTCTGAGGTTCAGTGCATCATGAGGAAGCTTTGCAATCAGCTCCTGCCGATACAAACCTCTGATGCCACCAAGGAACATCAATCGCTCCAAGAATCTTCTCCGTCTCTCTCAGCATATCACAAAACCTCGTCCCAGCTCTCAAGTTCTTCCCAGGGCTAGCCTTTGGTGAACATGTTAAAATAGTTTAAACATGCTATATAACAGCATGGTAGCAGCATAGTAACAGCATGGCAACAGCTATCAGCAGCTATCCTTCATGATGCCGAGTAGCCGCTTCCAAGCATCCAAGGCATCCAGAGATCCATCCTCTGCATAGATAAAAGCGAAGTGCATCTCCTCCACCACCTCGGCTGAGCCCTTGGAAAATCTTGGATCATGATCAAACACCCAGTCCTGTACTCACGGTACTCACCTCAGTGTACTCATGATCCAACGAATTGTTACTGCCACCGTTTACGTACTTTGTCTATATCTATAGCGTTTGAGAAACTCATCCGACTGTCTAGTGCCTCTGGACTCAAGGGCTTGCCGAACATCTTGCCAACTTCACCCGCCTTGCAGTGCAACTTGATGTTCTCACAGTCATGCAGCCAATTGCAGCCATGTCCATTTGCCGGTCAGCTGACCCACATTGCCTGAGACTTCTTCTCAGCTTCATTGGCAACCTCGCAAAACCTGAAAATCGTATCCAAAGGACAAGAAAATCCAGACATCCATGGCGCCTTGCCATGATTTGCCATGAGTTGTCATGCAAATCCCTTCCCGCGCAAAATCGTCCCTCAGACTCCTGCTTTGCAAACTTTGGGTCGTCATAGAAAGGCCGACCTATTGACATTTTTTTGACATTTTGCTTTGCAAACTTGTCATAACTTGGCACTCGGTCTACACTGGTTTCAACTCTCTGCCTGTGATAGTTTCGCCATGTTCTAGGCGCCATTTGACCAGCTTAAGCTGCTCATCTGAAAGCTTTGCCATACCTGGAGACTTCAGTTCATTGATTCAATTGATCTGATCATCATGCCTCATGCCATGTCTCCTGACACATGTCAGATATGTCAGAAAGTCAACCAGCCATTCAGAAACACGTACCAAAAGCACAACGCCATCATTTCCCTGAGATCCTGACAGCTGAGCACTGTGTGGTGCTTCGTGGAGAGTCGTGGGTGGTTTGAGGTCTTCAAATGGCTGCCATTTTGCACGTCGTCATGGCAAGAGTCATCTTGCAACAACGTGTTCTTACTGTATAGCTGCCTGAAAGTGGACGTTTTAGCTGCAGTACTATGTTAGACTATATTGAAGTCTAGATTGACTATATGAAACTCAAGTAAGGTTTCAATTTGGTGTCCCGGCAATGGCTGCTTCCTTATCAAGTTCAGCCTGCGCTCTTTGCGTCCTCCGTTTCTCCTGAAATCTAAGCACATGAATTGGTAGTTAGAATATGTTAGAATCAAGAAGCATCAAGCTCACATCGTCCTCCTCCAACTCCATGTTGTTCCTTTTCCTCATCTCTTCTTGTCGCAGAAACTGATCATGCCTCAGCAGAACTGGGAAATTTGGCAGAAGTGGTATACTGGAATCCTTCGAACTAGGGTGGTGGCTGCATCTGCAACTGCTGATCAATTTGCTTCTGCTGGTCCTCAGAGAGGCTACCAGCCACTCTCCATTGAGATGCAGGCCGTAAATGAACACGGTGTTTCAAGGGTACCGCGCAAAAAAGGTACAACCACTATGAACCACTCTCATACTGCAATCTCGGCAAACTCTGAAGTCCTCCAGCTTACTCTGGTACAGCTCGCTGTCCAGTCGAGCCTGCCATGTTCGAGTTTGACCAAGATCTGGGTCAGGTGAAGCCAACCAGAACAATCGTTGCCACCCAGCCTTGTACTCGGCCGTTCGTCTCTCCTGCTCCTGTTGATGCGAAATGGTTCTCCTGTGGCGCAGCATCAATGATTGGCAATGATTCCTGACATCTCAAATATGGTGATTCAGTTGAACTACTACATGCCTCTCAAAATTCCGTGGGCATCACTCAAAAATCTGGCAGTCCCTACAGCAGTACCTGTCCTACCCTCCGCAGTACTTGGCAGTAATTAATCTACTACGTAGTTATGTTACAAGTTATATTATATATTATTATATCATATCTGGTCCTTTAAAAGATGCATCGCCTGTTTCGCTAGTCCCAGCAGTCGTAGCCCTAAATTGTTCTAGGAATACCTTGACAAAGGCCTTCTGATCTAGCTGTAGACACTTCAGTTTAGTTTTCGAGTTCAAAATTGACCTCCTCCGCTTGTGTTAAGTCTGTTAAGTCCTAACGTTGGAAAAAGCCAGTCCTCTTCTCCTCCGCATCTTGCTTGCCACGCTGCAGCGCCGCCTGCTTACAGCTTTGAATGAGGAATGAGATCTATGCGCAGGCTTTGAAAATCAGATGTTTGAGTTCAACAAGCCGCTCATTGGAGAGGACTCTTGCCTGTGTTCGCATGGAAGTCTGCTGCTCTATCTCCAGCTGCAACTCCTTTAGTTGATATGGACGCACCAGCATGTACCAGCACACTGCCAATCACTGCCAGTAGTTTTCCAATGTTTTCCATGTTCCATGTCGTTCCAGGGTCCCGGGTCCCAATCCTTTTGCTTCGTTTGTTCCGCAAGCTTCGTCAGCTCAAAGGCCTGCACTGATCCGAGCTTTCTGGGAACACAGCGGCACAGCGTGGCCCCATGGGCACATCGTGGCACCTTGGTCGCATTCGGAGAGGTGTCCAGCTCCCGAAGAGCCTCGACAGAAAGGGAATGATTGTGGACCCAACAGATCCAACAGGACCCAACATCAAAAGCAGAAACAAGGCAGAAACAACACAGCAGCCATCCAGCCTTCGCACCCCTCTCAAGAGCAGTAGGATCGAACTTGCCGGTGATAGAATGATCCTCCTACCAAGATTAAGCTTCCCGCAAACTCAGAACAGCGTATCATGATCTCAAATTGGGTTTGACGCCAAGGCCCACCTCTGAGAAAGCTTTGAAAGGAAGAAAGGTGTGCTTGGCACAAATGAACGGACAGAAGGAAAAAAAAGTACGTCCAAAGCTGGATCAAAGTACAGACCTTCGCACATAAACCCTGGGTGCCTTCTTCTCATCTTTTGAACTTCCGCTCTTGCTGGAAGGATAGTACCTGGCTGACAGTCAACTGGTACAGTAAGGGTTAGATTCTAGAAGTCACCGATTCTGAAAAAATGATGATGAATAAACAGGTCAGTTGGACATGACAGGCGACGGTGCACGGCAAAATGGGGAATCTGAATACAGTGAATACAGTAAATGTCTCGCCGGTCTCGTTCTCTTGCATTCAGTTTGGTTTGAAGAGGTCTGATAGGCTGGAACAACGCAAAGGCTGCTGATGCTGCTGTTTTAGGTTGGACTTGTCATTGGACTTGTTTCATTGTGAAGCTTGGGCCAAGGTTCAAGTGCAAGTACAAAGATTCCTGATGCGTCCTGAGACTGTTTTTTTGCATGGTGTGAAACATAAAGTCAAAGATTGCAAAAACATTTCAAACCATGCAAAACTATGCAAAACATTTGCTGGAAGGTACTCAAACATGCAGTTCGAACACGCAGCAGACACGGTTCGGCAGTCGGCATTTCGCGGATCTTGAGAACTAGGTTGACTCGTCTGAGGCAAACCAGAGCTGGGACTTCACCGCTTTTAGCTTTCCAATTTTTCCAATTTGCTGTGGTTCCATTAATCGCCATTAATCACCATTAAATCACCATTATCATTAATCACCATTAATCACCATTAAATCACCATTAAATCACCATTAAATCACCATTAAATCACCACCTGAGAAGGGGTGGAACGAAAGCCAGCGCTTGCTTTTTGACTCGCGCGGGGGCGCGTGAAACTCCACCTCATCCATATGGCATGGCTCAAACATGAAGCGCCCCAACATCAACAATTGCTATCGGGTCATAATTTTCCAATCATTAAATGGACCTTTTTAGGGTAAACTCCACGATTTTGTAACTTCTATATCCAAATATGTTTCCTACAATGTACTGCGTCATTGTGAAAAGTTCTACCTCAAGTTCCGTAAATCCGCCTTTGGTTGCTCATTTATCTTAAAACAGCGCAAGTTTGCTCCCACCTATTGTAGATAAATAATACCCGTTTTTTTGTGTGAACAGTGGTCATGTGACCTCTCAAAGTCTAAATTGTTTTCTCCCCAGCGTGGTCCATGCTTCTCCGCGAAGTTCCGCAACATTTTGGCCATACGGTGAGAAATCAAAACATAGCTCTACTCGCAAAATGGGCAGTGCAAACCCAAGACAATATTATAACATACGTAAGAAAGGGTGTAAGAGCGAATGAAAATCGAGGAAAACAATGCAAAACCCACGGGAAATATAGAACAGTGGCGAACATGCAGTCCAAATCAAAAGTATATATATTTAGGCCATTTACAGACCTGGGTACCCCCCCCCACCCCCCAAGGGTCTGGAAAATAGGTATTTTACAGGAAATGTCCCGGAATAGCATCATCCCTGACATCGATAGAGATAATTGTTTGGCATCCCGGAAAATCTTCTCAGCTATCACACTCGCCAAACATCCCTTTTAAAAGGCACACATACTATCACGGACGTACAGATGCATATCATTCCCGTCATTGCCATTAGAAGATTCAAATTCTTTCTCGATGTTTTAGTACAAGATTCACTTTTAGTTCTGTTTCAGCCTTCTCAGTACGGCCTCTTACAATGATATTACAGCATTTGTCTCCTAACCTAGGTGGCTCCTGGGCGCAATCTTCATTCCAATGCTTTGTGACAATAACCAGAGGCCTGGAGCCTATGCATCACTTGACAGTCGACTCAGTTCTAAACCGGAAAGACTATTCCTTCCGTTTACCAGTAGATCGTTTTTGTAGTTCTTATCACAAAACTACCAGAATCAGGGAGGCACCAAAAAACGTCAAACAGCTTTAAGCATTATAAATACTCTAATCTGCAGATTGTATTTATTTTTCTTACTCTGTGAACGAAATCACACTTTTCTAACTTCACACAGATTACCATGAAACCAATTTTCCCATGCAACTCCTAAAATCTTACAACTCATACATCTTTTTTCCTATACCATCCGCATCTTGCTCCAAGGTTTCATGGCAATGTCTTGTACGCGAGTCAGCCACTATTTCCTATCACCAAACTACATTGCTCATCATCTAACATTATCTACAGAAACCAAATCGGATTTCCTGCTCAACGTTTCCGCTCGTTGACATTGTCTTGGTTTTCACTAGATTTTTTAAAGCATTTTTTAGTTATAACATTTTCCTAGGTTTTCACTGTATTTTTCTAACATGTTACATGCCTCCTAGCATGTTCACGCGTGTCCTCCATGTTGTACTGTTTTCTACATCGTTTCCTCTAGTTGTTACAAGCATTTCCTAGCTTGTACACCGTTTTCCTAATATTGTCACAACTTTTCTTCCAGTTTCCACTGTTTTTTCTACCGTTTCCTGTGGTTACTTTCTTCTCTTTTGTAGGTTTTCACTGTGTTTTGTCCAGCTTTTTGTATTACATGCTTCCTACCATTTTGACCGCTTTCCTCTATGGCTTTTTGTACCATTTCCTCTCGTTTCCTGCATTTCATGCATTTTCAATATATGTTTCCAAGAGTTTTACCCGTCTCCTTCAGTTTCCGATCGTTTTTCCACCATTTCCTCTGGTTGTTATCGCATTTTCCTGCACTTTCACTGTATTTTTCCAGCATGTTTACTGCATCGTCATGGTTTGTTCCTAGCAGTCGCTCCGCTTTCCTCCATGTTCCAACAAATTTTGCACCCTTTATTCTGGTTGTTATCACATTTTCCTGCCAGGTTGTTATCACATTTTCCTTCACTGTATCTTTCCAGCATTTTCCAGTGGATTTTGCACGATTTCCTCTGATTGTTATCATGTTTTCCTGCAGTTTCTATATCCTCTTCGTGGGTTTTCAGTCTATTCATGCATTTTTAATCTATTTTTCCAAGATTTTTACCCGTCTCCTTTTTGCACCATTTCCTCTGGTTTGCTGCATTTTCAATGTATGTTTCCAAGAGTTTTACCCGTCTCCTTCATTTTCCGATCGTTTTTGCACCATTTCCTCTGGTTGTTATCGCATTTTCCTGCACTTTCACTGTCTTTTTCCAACATGTTTACTGCATCGTCATAGTTTGTTCCTAGCAGTCACTCCGGTTTCCTCCATGTTCCAACAGATTTTGCATGGTTTGTTCCTAGCATTTTCCTCTGATCGTTATCATGTTTTCCTCAAGTTTCATTGTATTTTCCAATACATCCTCTTCGTGGGTTTTCAATATGTTTTGCCCAGCATTTTTTTACTACATGTTTCCTATCATTTTCACCTCTTTCCTCCATAGGTTTTTGCACCATTTCCTCTGGTTTCCTGCATTTTCATACCTTTTCAATATGAATATTAATCCAAGAGTTTTACCTGTCTCCTTCATTTTCTGATCCTTTTTGCACCATTTCCTCTCGTTGTTATCACATTTTCCTGCACTTTCACTGTATTTTTCCAGCATGTTTACTGTATCGTCATGGTTTGCGCCTAGCATTCGCTCCGGTTTCCTCCATTTTCCAAGGGATTTTCCATGGTTTGTTCCTAGCATTCGCTCCGTTTTCGTCCGTTTTCCAGGGGATTTTGTACGATTTCCTCTGATCGTTATCATGTTTTCCTGCAGTTTCATTGTATTTTCCAATACATCCTCATGGTCTCTCCGGCCACCAAAAAGGCGGACCTAGGGGGAATCGATACCCCACCGTCAGCAAATTGCCTAGTGGTACATAATCCAGCAAAATGCTCCGTTTTCTCGCGCTCAACACAGGGGCACGGCGAGATTTCGTTCCCTTTCGGCAACCACCCCCCCCCACACCCCCTATTCTCACTTCGTTCGCAAACAGCAACTAGCCAGCTAGCTGGCTTTCGTAATTAAATCACCATTAAATCACCATTAAATCATCATTAATCACCATTAATCACCATTAATCACCATTAAATCACCATTAATCACCATTAAATCACCATTAAATCACCATTAAAACACCATTAAATCACCATTAAATCACCATTAAATCACCATTGAATCATCATTAATCACCATTAATCACCATTAATCACCATTAATCACCATTAATCACCATTAATCACCATTAAATCACCATTAAATCACCATTAAATCACCATTAATCACCATTAGTCACCATTAATCACCATTAATCACCATTAATCACCATTAAATCACCATTAAATCACCATTAAATCACCATTAAATCACCATTAAATCACCATTAAATCACCATTAAATCACCATTAAATCACCATTAAATCACCATTAAATCACCATTAAATCACCATTAAATCACCATTAAATCACCATTAAATCACCATTAAATCACCATTAAATCACCATTAAATCACCATTAAATCACCATTAAATCACCATTAAATCATCATTAATCACCATTAATCACCATTAATCACCATTAATCACCATTAATCACCATTAATCACCATTAAATCACCATTAATCACCATTAAATCACCATTAAATCACCATTAAATCACCATTAAATCACCATTAAATCAGCATTAATCACCATTAATCACCATTAAATCACCATTAAATCACCATTAAACCACCATTAAATCACCATTAAATCACCATTAAATCACCACTAATCACCATTAATCACCATTAATCACCATTAAATCACCATTAAATCACCATTAAATCACCATTAATCACCATTAATCACCATCAATCACCATTAATCACTCCAATGTCTAGTTCCAAGATTTCCAAGTCCCAACTGTGTGAGATCCTTGGTCGGCACATGTTTTTGCCAGACCGAGCAAGGCAGGAAAGCAGAACACAGTGGGATGACAGTCACACAAGAAACTCCAACATCTGGTGTATATATATATAATATTGATATATCATATATTTATATCATATATTGATATATCATATATATATATATTGATATATCATTCATATATATATATACACACACATATATTGATATCATTTAAATTCATTTAATATCTGCGTGCGTGAGCATTCGAAGCATGCAGCATCCTTCTCTGCCCAGCAAGGTGAGACTTGACCAGCCCTTGGCGCAGTTTTCGTGAACAACATTTGCATTGCTATGCAACTGCCCCAAGGCCAGCCATCTGCTTTGCAGGACCTGGCTTCGGGACGATCATGTTGGGAAGATCGTGCTGACTCTGACTCTGATGACATCATCAAAACCCGGGCCCTGGCGCTGTGATGTCCTGCCTGCAAGATTAAGCCAGGCACATGCAGGATGAGCCTGCAATTAAGTGCTCGCCGTCGCTTGGCGACCTCACAGCTCAGCTTTCACAGCTTGGTGTGGCGTCTCTGGCGATGAAAAGAAACTTTCGAAAGATGTGTTGATTCTGTGTTGATGTTCATTTGGACATATTTCGACCACACACACTGAGCTCAGTGCTTTGACCTTGCCACCCTATTCCTGGATCTTTGCCACTGGTGGCACCTGCAAACAACAGAGCCAATCCACTGGCAATTCATGCCTGCGGGTCTCTTGTGGGGTGTAGCATTTATCTGTTCGCCACCTGCTTTCTCTCGCCAGGTAGCTTGGTCTTCATGACAGCAACGGCCTACCATAAGGCAAAGTGTACATTGCGGTGTGTCTTGGTCTACTGAATGAGTTATTGCTGTAGAGTGCATACGACCTCCGCGTTTGTGACGTTCAGGTCGTGTAGCCGGCCAGTCTGAGAGGACTCAACCTGCTCGGAAAAAGGGCCCGGTCTTTGCTCCTTGAAGGTGAAAAGATGATTGAAAAAATGTGCGTTTCAAGTTTGATTGACAAACGAAATGAATTGAAATGATCAAATCAACTAGTAGCCTCCGCCCCTTGTGGGTGCACTTCACCGTCAAGGGAGTCTGCAGACCAAGTGCCCTTGTAGGCAGAACCATCTGCATAGACATACCTGGCTTCAGGACTGTACGCGTCCTTACAAGTTGCAGGCCTGACAAATATCAAAACATGTCCAAAGAAATCTCAAACCCAGGCCGGATGCACATGCCATCTCCTTCTTTCTGCGCATTTTGCAAGGCACCAACATACTTGTCTCCATTGGCAAAAATCACGATGGCTTTGCCTTGCAAGAAATGCAATAGCAATGCAACCCAGCATTCCTGGAAATGAAACCCAAAAGAGTCAAAGAGTAGTTGCAGGATGTTGTAGGGCACTATATCACTATGTTTCCAGTTTGAGTCAGTTTGAGCAGAATGACGAGAGCTTCTCATGGCCAGTTGCAGCAGGCCAGAAGCCTCCAAGATTCAGTTTGTCCCTAAGGTTGTGGCACTGCTCCTTGTCCGTCAATGAATCCACGAGCCTCAAAAATTCATGACACAAGTCGTAGTGGTCGTAGTGATGTCATGGCCATCATTGTGTCACTGGCAATGCATCATGCATTGGATGTATCATGTCCTTTTCTCTGACAAGGACAGGACTTAGGAAATCTGCTGGCCTAACTCCCAAGCCTATGAAAGGGAAACCTGCTGGCATTTAGAAGAATCCTAGCAAATATTGTGACCAAGAAAATTAGAATCTCCATGCTCAGGAACGAGATTACCTCTGCATGAGGACAAGGATGCAATTACGCAGATATAGTATGTCCGTTCGCGTGATTTCGCATGTCTTTGCGTTTATCACCATTGCAACACCACTCTTTTTTGCCGCAGGGGGAAATTCGAAAACACCAACAGCTCGGTCGACCTGTCCGCCGTACTTCATGGCACTCACACCCAAATCCAGGATGTGATCAGGAATCTCCTCCGTCACAAATGAGGACGCAGAGCCATTGGGGCCATCCTCACATGTTTCTCTGAAGGACTCCAGGAAGATTCTTTGGCCTTGGCCTTCTAATCTCCCTGCATCAGTGGTAATGATGCTGATTCCATTGGAAGCAGCAACTCCAAGCTGACGCCCAAGGCCCTTGGCAACCTCCTCAGTATACAGCAGGTCTGATGCGACCACTATGTCTGGATGTAGATCCAAAAGCTTCTGTGGAGGTTCCTTTATGATGTCAAAGATTTGGGTTGAGAAGTTGTCCCTCGTCAAAGGCTCCGCTGACTTCTCCGCCAAGCGAAGTGACAGCAAAGAGATATCGGTGCTGGTGACCTTGGCACCTCTTGCCAGCGCGGCGATTGACGGCAATGCAGTGCCACACGCCAGCTCTACCACATGGAGTTGTCCTTGACTCTACCGCATTTTCAGGTCAACCATGGGTAACCAACCTGGACAACCAAAAACGCCCAAAAGTGTCATCAGCTACCCAGCTACAGAAAATGTCCCAGCTGTCCTCTTCCTCTTAGCCGTTTCATTGCGCGCAACGCAGCACATGCAGCTACGAACGACGCAGGCCAGAAGATGCCACTGTACCTGAGAAAGCCCCTGATTCAGTGACTACCAGCCTTTGAGCAGTACACCATCCAAGAAGGAGCAGGTCACAAGACGATGTGATTTTCAAAGAGCCAGCATTGTCAGAGATATATAGTCCACCAGTGGCATGTTTCTTTAGTTGGTCTGTAGGTGCAAAGCGTCTAAAATTTCAAATGCACAAGCTGGCCTGGAAGAAAACGAATGTAGAATGTCTCAAAAGAAACAGCCCTTCACACTCATTGTCTGGGTCTGGACATTGGAGCTAGTTCCAATCCAATCTACCCCACTTCAGTTGGGAATGCTTGCGCTGCCTACCAGTATGGAAGTTCGCACTGATTGAGCTCTGAATCCATCTGAACTCGCCAAGAGAAAGTAAAGGCTCAGCGCTAGACCAAGCCAGGTTGCAGCATATTGGTGTACATCGAAGCTCTCATTTCCACAGAGTCAGCACTGCTTCCAGGTTCGTATTCGGATGTGACGTATCGAAACAAAGACCAAATCAGACCAACATCATTCAGATCTCCCAACTGGCACAAAGACACACTTTGCTCCAGCAAATCTGGATCGAAGTCAACGCTGATGCGATGGACGGTCTCAGGGGCGATCATGGAGATGTGCCATTCACTCCGAACAAAACTGAGTGTCAATCCATGTTGGTTGAGAACTCGCTGAACCATTGGTAAATAAATCATTGATTTGACATAGAAATCCCAAGAGAAGTCACCAATTCGCACGCCTTTGGGAGCTGATTGAACTCTCCATAGCTTGAAGGTTGCTTGGAGGCAAAAGAGAAACCATAGGCACGAAGCCACGAAAGCAGCCAAAGAGGCACCTTGCGGAAGTTACAGTAAGCCATGTTAAACATTGTTAAACATTGTTAGTTTCCACATCAAAGAGACCATGGGGATCTAAAGATATCTACAGTGCAAACCAAAGCTGGACTCAAACGAATCAATGCATCCAATGCATCCTGCCTGAGGCAGGGTTTCCCGCCAGTCCAAGTAGCTTCGCCAATAGCGCAGCCTGACTGAGCGCTTCGCCAGTTTCAGTGGATAGAAAAAAAGGACGCGATGAAGCCCCCCAGTCTCGGTGCCAGGAATACAACATGCCTTATCAGCCTTATCAAAGATGTCTATCTTCCTCAGGCAAGAGACTTTGTGGCATTTGGCGAAGATCGCAAGTAAACCTCGCGTTTCACATAAAAATTCTGCACGCGGCCTCAGCGGGAACTGGAATGACATGGAATGACAGCAAGTGAGCAATGCACCTCGACCTGTTTATATCACTATCACAGCTATGGCCTTCCAGGAAGACCAGTGGGTCACCATCATCTCGAAGAATCAGGATATCATCATCCAGGTAGGTGATAGTCCTTGCTTCAGTCAGATCTTCATCATCTGAAGATCTTTCTCAGGAAGTCAAGTGTGGCAGGACGAGACCTCTCTGCAGCTGAGATGCATTTGACGATCTCCCAGCGATACTTTGGATGGATTATCTTTGTCCATCTGCAACCGATCCTTGAACGACCTTAGGCATCAAGTTTCATCATCACATCGTGCATGGAAAGTTGTTCACGTGAGAAATCTTGCGAACATTCAAACTGTCAGTGGCAAAGTGTTTGAGTTGCTGACACTTCTTCGGTGTGCCCAGAAACACCGAGCACAGCTGTACTTTGTACACTCAGGTCGTCCAAGATGTTCATCGATACCTGCGGACGTGGGCAGATCCATGCGTCAACTTATGCATCAGATTTGCTGCAACCAGGCGGCGGATCTCAAGACCCAGTCATCATCTTTGAAGCTTCTCATCCTGTCAAACTTCCGCTATTTTTGGGCAAACCAGATCTGAAAATCGATGAAATCAAAATCCATTCAAATCCATAAAAACAAATCCATTAAAATCCATTGGAAACTGGATAGGACAATCCCTCATACCAAGCCAAGGGGCAGAAGTGGAGGCCGTGAACTAGCAGTGTCTCCTCAGGGATGCCGTACACTGCAACATGCCTCGTACCCGAAGATTTTCCAAAACAGTTGGTATCCAGCCTATGAGAGACCACTGGCCAGCTAGATCAGCTAGATCAGCAGATCTTTCAGGCTTAGGCAATAGCTCCAAGTCTGCGATAAGACTTCGCACGTCGGCAGCAGCCCCAGAACCACGGCTGAAGCATCCCAAGTATTTCAGCAGTTGCGCTTTGGCCTCGCTCCGAGAGTTCTGGCTCTGAAGTTGCAACTTGCTCGGCTTCGGCTTTGCACTGCGACTGGAGTGGGGACGAACCAGCCAACCTCTGCCCAATGACAAGCCGGGGCAGCGTGGCCATGCCCAATTTCGACAAGGGGACCACTGCACACGAAGCCAAGGTCGCTCACATGCAAGCATGGTTCCGAAGTTCACATGCCTCAACAGCCACCTGGGTTCTGCATGGTTCTGCTAGTTATGATAAAAACATGTTAAAAAAATGTACTTCACTGCCAATGGCCACTCATGCAAGACTTAGGCAGTGTTATGTAAGTTCGCAGTTGAATGATGTCAAATGGCTTGGCACACAACTGGGCTGCACCCTCTGCGAATGAGCCAGAAACAGCTTCAGATTGCTAAATCCACAAAGCACATCAAACAACCAAGCTGTCAACAGAGAGGATGCCATTGAAACGTCCAGGTCAACAGGAGCCGCACGTTCCAGGCTGAACTTCTGGCTTTCGTGAGGCAATGAACACCCTCCTGGCATGTGAAACTTCTGCAAATGCACGGCATCCAGCACAGACAACTCACAAAGCAAGTGTTGAGCACCGGAAAAACAAGGACAGGTGGCTGCTCTGCTGGACCACGAGGATCTACCTTCAAATGCGACAAAATGAAAGTGTTGCACCACTGCGCCTCAGAAAATTAAAGGTCACCTTGCCAGTCGTGCCATGCTTTGCCTCTGTGCCAGAAACAATCATTTCCACCAGCTCCTCTTCAAGCCTCACATGATCAAAGGCTCTGGATAGCTGAAAGATGCTGAAGAGATGAAAGAGAAGATATTCCAATAACGAATAGATGATATTCCAAAATACGACAAGCTGATATAGCTCTTATATAGCCTAGACTAATTGGTCCAAATAGTCCGAATCGAGTCAATGTCATCGCAAAGCGCCTGCCATTGTTCCATACACCAACGATCCGAGTACCACTGGCGTCTGTGAGAACACCGCGTCCGTGCTCCTTGCAAAGGTTCAAGGATGAGAATCATGAGAATTTACAATCATCTACATACCTGGAGTGACTCCAGTTGCTGCTTTATGCTGTGCATATTATGCTTGAATATGCTTGATTTGAAGCATGAGACACTTTCAGAACTTCAGCCCAGTCACCAGGTCTTCGAAGAGCTCTCCAATGTAAACAAGGCCATTGGTGTAGGTCTTTTTACCAACCTATACCAACACGATACGAACATATATGAAACACCTTTGAAATACTTGACAAAGATATACCCCCGCAAATGACTTCAGTATGCAAGTCAACTGTGCCTTGCTGCAAACGTTGTTCTCAAAGACACCAGTGAGAGTCACACCAGAAGACCACCTTAGGATGCGGATTTACTAGCACCAAAAAAAACTATATATATATATATATTAGGTATTATGTCCTCAGCTTTGGAAACAATTCTGAGCATCCACACGTGTAGCAGCCCAGTCCATTGAACATGGAATCCTGACAAAATTTGACAAACGAGATTGTACTTCCGCGTGCAAAGTGTCAGAAGAAGAATCCAATCACATCACTGACCTTGAACTCACCAGTGTACTGGTCATTTGTGATGAAGGTGATGGTTCCTCGGCCCTGGCCACAAGTCGCTTAAGACAAAAATCACCTGCGCAGTGCTCTATCTGCATCCTACCTCCATATTTCCGGCATGGAACTCACCAGAGAAGACAGATCCGCAGCTGGTCGTCAGGGTTCCCTGCCATGGCTGGAAGTTCGAAGGTCTATGTCAAACCATGTCAAGCCATGCGGTGGTCATCAGGCCTTGCCGCTCATTTCTCCGAACTGCCACTGGCCCCGGTAGACATTTGCCTGCGATGGGAGAATCGCAGGGATGCCAGGAGAGTCAGCAGCTTCCAGAGCTTCCAGAGCTTCCAGAGCTTCCAGTTACCATATTTTGCCATTCTTCCACCTTGTCTGGCCATTCGAAGGTTCCTTCTCCGTGGTAGAGTCCGTTGAAGAATCTTGGCCATCGAAGCAGCTTCCAAAATCTTCCAAAATAACCACCGCACCATATTTTTGAAGTCATGAATTGTCAAGAAGTCCAAGCTTGGTGCTCTCCAACATAGCGAGCCTCAGGAAAACGGGGCGTTCTGACCAACCTTCTTGCTGGAGGAATTTGTTATATAAAATATTATAAAATCATGATCAGCACTCCCCAGCTCCAGCCTTCACTGACCACTCAAGAACACCATGACCCTGGAAGACGTTGTGCTCGAAGGTGCCCTGCGATACGCGAGCATTGCAGTAGCCATGCCAGGCCAACAGCGCGGCAAATGAGTTGAAAACCGATGAAAAACAAGGCCTTGTAGCGACAAACTCCAAAGTCATCAGACCAGCACAGCATTCCCTCGCCATGCATCATTTCATCCTCAGGGTGAGCTGGAAATCACAACCCCATCCCCAGACCCAACAAACGGTTCAGCAAGTTGCTTGGTGACCACCGGCCCTCCGGTCCAAGGCCTGGAACTGTCCAATGTATCTTCGCCCGTCGGACCACTGGAAAACTCCATACCTCGTGTGGGGAAAAGCAGTGCTTTGAATAGTGACTGGGTAGTGGCTCTCTCGAACTCTCACATGTTCGTTATCTCTGTCCTCCTTGCCCTATCCGACTCTTTTCCTCTTCCTATATTGTATTCTATTGTGATGGTTCCCTGGAACTTGTGCAAAAAATTGTGTCTCTCCCGGTCTGTCAAGCTGATCAACAGTCTTTGGAGCGGACTTGTGGATGCTGTTGTTGAGCAGAGTGCCTGACATTCCAAAGACTTCTTAAACAACAAGAGCATCATGCGCTTTGCAAAGTGCTTCAGTCACCCAACTCCAAAGGCTCTCGTCTAGCTCTCTAATGAAATGCTTCCGGCCTGTATACATGCAGCCATTCTTCCACTTCTTCGTGCCCTGCAATCAGCAAACCAAAACAAGCCGAGAAATCAAAACAAGTCTGAAGGCATCAGCTTGTTGGCTCCAACGTGCCTCTCCAGTAGCACCATGGTTCTCAAAGACGCCTGTGATCATGGTGCCGTTGGGGAACCTGGCACGATTCAAATCATATATCACGTTATCACGTTCAATTGCTCCAGAATTCAGCAAGCATCAACAAATTTTGCACTCTCACATATTTGCCATAAAACCATATGAAACCATAGAATATAGAAAACCATGGTCCGGATCCAGCCTATGGCATCCAGGGCCAACAATTTCACTATTGTGCCAAAGGCCTTCAAACTCTGTTCCTGGCAGGGCTGCACAGGGATCAAACTCACCATGGCGTTCAAAAGAATGTCGACCAAGTGACAAAGATCTAGCAGTGTCTGCATAAAAAATAGTTCCTTCAAAATTGGCAGAAATCTGGCAGTGAACAATACTTGGCACGCTCTACCATCTGGCCAATGGAAGGTTCCGCGCCCTTCAAGCTCGCTGTCGTGGAACTGTCCCTGCAACGATTTGATCTGAGCAGAGTGCCATGTCCAAATGTTGAAGTGACGTTGCCTCAAACCAGGAACCATCGGGAAGGGTCTTCTTCCCCTTCCCCTCAATGCAATTGTGCTGGAATTCACCTGTCTCACAGAGAGATGCAAAGGGAGCCAATGCAAATCCCCGCTTGCACTTTGCCAAGCCATACAGCGTTCTCAAGGTGCGACGAGCTGTCACACCGGCATATTAGCATGACCAATCAGAGGACAAAGTGTAACAATCTAGAAATCTAGACCAACGAGGCAAGACGCCTTTGTAGCTGGATCCATCTGCCCATGTCAGCTTCCCCTTTCCTTCTCGAATGCCATCCTGGAATGACTGGAATGTCAACAATCTCACTCTACCATCTCTACCATCTCTACGCCCATCTCGATCTGCTCCCAAGAGCTGAATCTGCCTTCCACTCACCATCATACTCAATGCCGTTGGGCCATTTCACCTGCAAGACACAGTGGGACACATGATAGTTACTCGATAGTGCGCTTGGTTCGCTTACAAAAAGTACAAGGTTTCTTCCATTTCTTCCATTGTACGCTGAAGGCATGATTGGCTCAGCCCCAATTGCAGATGCTTCAAAGAAGTCTCGGGCCTTCCCTCGGCCATTCCTCGGATGAGCAAGTCAACACGAGTCAAATATCAGCACTTTTTTAGGGCTGCACCGCGACAATTGCGGCTGTCAACCAAGTCTCATCCGGTTCTGCAGCCATTGACCGTTGTATACCCAGCCCTCCTCTGCACTCTCAAAGGTTCCCTGCATCGAGGCATTTCTCGGAAAAAAAAAAAACAGCAAGGATGACAAATACGGTTTTACAAATATTGAAACATCTTGAAACTTTAGTTGATTCTTTGTGACCCGACACATATCATACAATCTAATTTACTTTTGGATCTTAGTGCTACGTGGCATGGCTAGTCACAGCAACTGCCTCACCATCCTGCATACCGTGCTTGAAGCTACCAGCATAGCGGTCTCCATTTGGCCAAGTTCGTGTTCCCTGGCATGTGCACCAGTGCACAACACACATGAGACATGGTCCAGGTGAAACTATGTGAAACTAACATCAACCCCTTCACTCTAGGGAAATCATGCCGGCTGCATCCTTGCCATGGAAAACGCCTTTCTTCAAGCTGCCTATGTACTCCTGACAGCCCACGAGCGAACATGGGCCATCGTGGGCCGTGGGCCAATGTGGGCCGTGGGCCAATGGGCTCGGGCAACTAGCAGCGACACGGTGTCCTCTCCCGAGGGCCACGTCATCTTGCCATCACCCCACATCTGGTCCTGCACGCCACAACTGTCGTGTGCTACAAGGTTCCAAGGCGCAAGGCTCCACACAAAAAGATCCTAATTTTTGGAGTCGAAACCAAGCAGTGGTTGGAATCACCACGGAGAATTTCAGCCCAGAATTTCAACAATCAGTGGTTGAAGACAACTGGGCTGTTTTGTCAGCGCACGCTCTTAGATGCCGTGATCTGCCAGAGGTTTTCTCTGGATCTCATCGACAAATCTCCTGAGATGATGGAGCCACAGACTCACACATAGATGGATCTGCAGCACTTTGAACCTGCTGTAACTGCTGTACAAAATACTCAAACGGAGAACCACTCCAAGACACTTTGGCCAGGCAGGTGTCAATAACTTCAAACGGACCCAACAGCGTTTTTGCTGTTACAATTTTTGCTGAGGGATTCAAACACTCAGCTATCTTTGCAACTTGTTCTAGTAACTCCTCTGGGAAAGTGACGGAATTCATGAAAATGATGTTGGCATCCTTGAAGTCGACATTAGCAAAACTGCCGCGGACAAATGTGGGCAATGGCCTGAAGGCGTGATAAGGCATCTACAAATAGCTCTCAAGCATGTCACATTGTCTCAAGTTGTTCATCTACAAACTAGGTAGCAGCAAATGATTGTAAATGATTGTAATTCCAAGCGCCACGTGACATCAATCACCTCCCATCAACGGTTCTAGGTGGCAATCCCTGCCTGATGCCAAGTGATTTCATCTTCTGCAGACCGCGGCAAGATGTTTGCCATCTGGAAGGAGCAACTTCGATGCCCGTGGAGTTTAGACCATGCAGAGATGCAAGGACCTAATTTTCCCCAAAAAAAAAGGATGCAAAACTTTCATGCCATTCTGGTGCCTTCATGCCATTCTGTCAATCAGCAAACGCTCGGAACAGGCACCAATAATCCTCCAGCCGGTGGGATCCAGTGGGAAAAAAAACAATCGTAAAAGAAATACGCGTGAATTACTTATGTCATTTGAAGATATTTGAAGAATCAAGCAAACAGAAGCAAACTATACAGGAGACAATATATGTTGCATATATTTGTCAAGTCACAACAGTTTTGCCAGTTCCACTTCCCAAATCAAAAAAACGTTCGCCAGCACGAGCCCCAACACATTGCAGGATGGAAAGAAAACCTTCTGGTAGGATCTCCTCGGCGCATAGAAAAATTGAGCGTTTCCCGAAAGAATCATGATATGACTGATCTGGCCGTTCAACTTTCTGTATCTGAATATTCCTTATATAGGTTGGTTTCTTTATTTATCTATTCATATGTTTGGGTTTTAGTTATCTAAGAATCTATCTATCTATTTATATAAACTTTGCTACTTGCACCTATGCTTAGGTCAATATCAATACCAATCAATATCCATATCAATATCTATGGTGTTTTATATGTTGCTAATGTAAAGTATGTCATTGAGGAACAATGCCAATGAAAAATCCAGATTCTCAACAGAAATTTGCCCCCCGGTATAGTCTGTCCCAGAATTGGATTTGCTTGATCTTCCAGGTTTTGTGGAAAAGGTCGGTTTTGAGGAGGTGCAGACATGTAGATTGGATACAGGAGATATGTATGATCTATGGTAGAATTATATGTACATCACTACTACATATACACCCCTACTAAACATACAAATATGTATGTGCATATGTACGTATGTACATACGTACGTACATACGGATATACTGGCTGTATCTTATACGATTTTATGATATCATCGTGGTAATGTTGTCCCGGTGACACCGAGCATCTCCATAGGTGAGGTCTGACGAAGCAGCCAGTCCGAGTAGCTCGTTTGTGGTTGAATCATCAATTGCAGACATCCATGAAGCGTTGTCGGACTGGCCCTGCAGGCTGAAGTTCATGAAGTTCAAACAGCTACCGCATGGGTGTGTCTCAAATGGTCATGTTGATATTATTTTTATAGCGAAAATGATGATAACTGACAAGTAACCACCGGATTTTCGCTTTCTATCGTCATTTAAAAAAAAAATGAAAAACATGACAAAGCTGCCACGAAACCGTATTTGCAACATCGTTTCCCTGTGCGCCTCGTAAATGATGTCAAGCTGGTCCAAATGTCTGCTCAACTCTAAATGCTCCTTGCAGCTTGGTACGAACCAAGCTCTCTTTCTTGCAAAGGTCCATGCAAATGCTGAGAAGAAGATATATAGAAGAAACATGTACGAACAAGCTATACACAAAGAGTGTTACGTAGAACCATAACCCATTCCTGAATTCCTGGTACTTTGTTCCCCCATGTTCCCCCATCACGTTTTTCATCCTTTGCCACAACAAACCCTCTGAGCTCTGCGCATTTCCCGGGCCATCGCAATCTTCAGATGCCAAAAGTGGGTTTGCAAGAAGAACTTGAAGAATGGCGAGAAACAACATACCTGCTGAGCAATCTTTGGCCCATCACTCGTCTGAAAAGATCATCCTCCTTGAGCTGAAATCTGCAGGTCAGTGAAGTGACCGTGATCTGCCAAGACGCAGCGCGAAATCAAGCAAAAATGAAGGCATCAAGGAAATGCCGACATAGCAACGCAATGCAAAACATGATGATTAACCATCTCGAGCAACCAAATGTGTCTTCATGGGGTCCTTGCGCCATTCGCCATCGTAGCTACGGCCTGTGGGCCAGGTCTTCTTGCCATTGCCCCACATGTAGCCCTGCACGTTGCAACAGTTGCTGTTTTGGTGGCAGCACTTCTGTCTTGACACCCACTTGTACATCTGCGACATCATGGCATCATTGCATTTCACTTTTGCAGGTCTCAGCCTCGTGGAATTCACCAAAATACTCACTGCCATCACTCCAAATGTAGTGCCCCTGATCAGCATCAACATTTCAGGCAGTTTCTGAAAGTGCATTGCTCAACCCTTCCTGTAAACTGTAGGTTCGCATTGTGAATAGATTTCCGCAAGTTACTCCTTCTCCTACCTCGTTCATATCGAGACTCGATATCACTTTCGCTCCAGCCTCCCCATGCATTCGGCCATTTAGCCAAGTTCCGACCTCAACAAGCAGCTCATCGCAACAGATAATCGCAAACGTGCACACATGTTTCTATGTGTCCACAGTTGTCAGCCCACACCGATGGTTTTCCTGAAATTGACAGCCATTTGGACCCATTTTGGGTGTATATTCATTAGAAACCGAAACAACAACAGAACGCAGCCTTACTGAGGCTTTCAAGGCCTGAGGCTTGCACATATGAATTGCCATTGGAAAAGATTCTCTGGTCCTGCGGCTTGCACTTTTCAATTGTTCAAAGAAACTTCTGGTCGTGGAATCCCAGTCTTTGTCCAAAGAGATCAATGCTTGTGTGAATAAGGATGGCTTTCAGAAGTTGCATTCGCCTTGACCAGTCTATTGGTCGTGAGCTTGTCACTGTCTGCTTTTCTAGCGGTGGCCTCATCAAGAATCATCCATGGTTCAACAGTTGAAACAAATGAAAATGTGCAGTGGGAAAAAAAAGACACTCAAAGTATATGGTGTATGGTAATCTTTCCGATATTGGGAATCCTTATATATATATATATGTGTGTGCTATTATATAATGCATAAATACATCCCTATTTCTTGATTGACGACCACGCCCTTCTATTAAATTCATAGACATATCAACTATGTTTTGACCAAATATGACCAGAGGATGTTTTCCCAACAGTAAGATTCCAACCCCATAGTCCAGCCCTGATCGCTTCTCAGAGATCAGGTGCTCAAGATTCAATGTATTGTCCTGCACGAAGATCGCAAAAACTACATCTTGCTCTTGTATGTATATAGGTTGGATGGTTTTGAGTCACTATCCAATGCTCATCTGGTTGGTCGCTGAAGCCTTTCTGTTCACATGCTCGTCGGGTAGTCTGCTTGGCACCTGACACAACTTGCAGGGTCTAGCAGGGTGTTCCCGCTATGGCAGTGTGTCAAAACCCTGTACCCCTGGTGAATATCAAAATAGCTGGTAAATGGATGTTCATCCCATTAAAAATGGTATTAATAGGTATTGATCCATACCCATATAACGAATAACAAATGTATTTCCCGCAGTTGCTGAAAGACTCCCTGCGAGCAATCCGCAGCGCAGCGCCTGTGGTCTCCCTGGGCGAGTCTCTCGAAGAGGTAATCGGGTGCCATTGTAGCCGTCTGCCTTGGAAAAATCGCTGGTGACAGATGGGTAACGGTGGTTTCCATGAATGGGGGTACCTCAATGGATGGTTCAAAAAGAAAAATCCTATTAAAATGATTTAAAATGGATGAAAACTGGGGGTATCACCATGACTTAGGAAACCTCCAAATGGGTCGTGACTCTTCACGGAATGAAGTCGTGTGGCCCATCTGAGTTTGTGGCCACTGTTGCCATGTTGGCAGCTGTTGACAGCCTGCAAACGTTGCACAAAACTGGGTTCTGAGTGTCCCGTTCGCAACGCAAAGAATGGTCTTCGAACTGCGGACGTGTAGGAGCTCAGTGATTGACTGAATGAAAAGAAAGCTGATTGCACCAACAACTTTCAGGGTACCGGCAGAGGGCAACCGGCAGCTCGCTCCCAATATGGGTTTGAGTTAGCTTAAAAGCTCAAAATACGCCGCGAGGGAGAGACTTTGCAAAGCTGAGTACGTGGGCCATCAAAGGCACAAGAGGCAAGCTGCAATATTCAATGATGAAAAGCAAACAAAGCGCCAGAAAAACATGCCCATACTTTCCATGTGTTGGGGCTAAGAGGGCAAACACCTGACTCTGGCTTTTCTTGCCATGATGAAGCCTCATTGGGCTGTGACGGCACAAGTGCGCAGACCTACACCAAAATCTCTGCACTTTTGACAAAGCCACCTGTCAGCCGGATGTCTCGCGAAGAAGAGCCAATCTTCAGCTGGAATCTACCAACAACTGGTTTCCAGTCGTGCAGAGCGGTGTCCCACATGGAGAGGTCTCGGGGACGGAGGTGCATGGTGACCTTTTCCGCTTCACCTGGTTTCAACACGGAAGTCTTGTGAAAGCCCTTCAACTGTTGCGGCTCCTGAGAAGGGAATATGATGTAGAGCTGAGCAACCTCTGCACCAGATATGCTTCCAGAATTGATGAGCCGGAAGCTGACATCCATCCCCTTAGATTTAGGGCGAATGACAAGATCAGAGTACTGAAAGCGTGTGTATGAAAGGCCATGTCCAAAGGGGAAACCTGTTGTGAAGCTGATGTTGTGCTTCTCATAGTAGCGGTATCCCACCAGAAGTTTTTCCGTGTAAAAGGCGTAGGCAGGATTCTTCGGATCAGGCAGTCCGGGATACTGTGCCTGTGAAAAATTCATCTCATTGTCACGGTTCGGGAATGTCAGCGGCAACTTCCCTGATGGATTGACATGGCCAAACAGGACATCTGCCACGGCATTCCCAGCTTGCTGGCCAGGCATGAAGTTGGTGAGGATGGCTTTGACCTTCTGGGACCAAGGGAGAAGCACCGCTCCAGGAGTGGTGACAACCACTACGGTCTCGCTGGTTTTGGCCACGATGGCATCCACCAACTCATTTTGGTACGTCCAATCGATACCCACATCCAAGGACAACGATCCGCGATCTCTGCCTTCTGATGAAAGCGTGCCCAGAAAGACAACAGTCACATCACTCTGCTGAGCAATAGCTGCTGCCTTCTCTGGGCATAAACCATCATCAAACACCACAGTGGCCCCTAAGGCTTTGGCCGCCTGCGAAATGCCTTGCAACGGAGTTGACACAAAGGATGGCTCCACGCTGCCGGAGCCACCAGCATGGTAGATGGCCTTGGAATCTGCCAGTCCAATGACAGCAATCTTCTTCGACTTGACCAAAGGTAGAAGATTCCCTTCATTGCGCAGCAACACAGTGCCCAGAGCCGCCAGCTTCCGCGCTGAGGCTACAGAGGCATCCGTGGTGACATTTCGGGACAGCTTTCCCCAGTCCCAAGCACTGGCTGGTTCATCCATGACTCCTACAGAAAAAAGCCTGGCCAAAATGCGCGTCACGGCATCATCAACGGCACTCTCCTCGACTGCACCCGATGCAAGTCCAGCTTTCAGAAAGATTTCATTCATCCAATCTTGTCCAGGCTGTTCTATGTCCAAACCAGAGGCAATGGACATGGAATGTGTGGCACCCCAGTCAGACATGACAAAGCCTTGAAATCCCATGCGTTTCAGCTCCCCAAGAGTCGTGGGATTTTCGCAGCTCCATGCATTGTTGATCTTGTTGTAACTGCACATGACAGAGGCAACACCAGCCTCAATAGCACCTTCAAAAGGTGGATAGTACATCTCAAAGCGTGTTCGTTCATCAATCTCCGAGCTCACAGCAAGCCGATTGGTCTCCTGATTGTTCAAAATGAAATGCTTTGCATTTGCCAAAACCTTTTGGGATTGAATACCCTTGACCACTGGCTGAACCATGCGATATCCCAGATATGGATCTTCACCTGACAAGTATTCGAAGTTGCGGCCATTTGTTGGCACCCGGGCCACGTTGAGGCCAGGTCCAAGTTGAACATTGGATCCCTTGTCATAGAACTCCTTGCCCATCCCAGCACCCCACTCCAGTGCAGCAGCTTCATCCCAAGATGCTGCGAGTGTCAAACCAGAGGGCCATGCCGTGCTGGTGCCCTTGAGGGCATCAGTGGTTCTGAAGCCCTGGGGCCCATCATTCCTTGGATTTACTTAAGGAGCCCCCAAAAAAACATCCAGAATATCCCCTTATAGCCTATAGATTCCCCAAGTGGGGACTTTCCCATTGGGAAAATAAAACTCACCTTCAGCAAATCTAAGATTCATGTTGATAGGTGGTATGCCCAAGCGCTGGACAGGCGCCACGTTTCCCACATAAGCACATCTGGGGCTCTCAGAGCACTGGGCAGCACCACCAACTGGACCATGGAGCATCAAAAGCTTCTCCTCCAAGGTCATGTTGGTCACCAACCTCCGGGCACGCTCTGTGGGCCCCAAGGAAATCTGGGACCATGGGCCATCCACCAGCGAGTGCACCTTGTAGACCCGTACGAACAACAGCAGCCACAATGGACACGCCATGCTGCTGAAAAGACTAAACCTTTTGTAGCCGGGAAGGAGTGATTTGTTCTAATGTTGGGGCCTACGGCCTACATCTCTTCCTTAAGGCCCTAATGTTTAACAAAGATACAGGCAGACCAAATGAACATGCATTCATTTAGTTGCTCTTAGTCGACCACAAAGCCCTGGACATTTGAACCAAAATGTTAGAAGATGGCGCAACCTGAAGCATTGGGTACTTGCCACATGTTCTCAAGCACCAGGACCGAGCCACAGCTGGGCATTCTGGGCTACACCGATAGGTTTTACGTGAGTTTTTATCGTGTTGCAAAAGCTGTTTGCTGCACATGTCCGGTGAAACATGCCACAGCTGCTACATGCTGCTACCATGAGATTCCCGAAGCGAATTTTCACTTCGTTCCATATGTGAAATGGCATGGTCAGTATGGTGCGAGGCATCCGAGCATGGCCCTAATTTGGCGCAGCCTCGGAAAGGCAGCATGGAATGCGTTTTTTTCCAGGCTCTGTAAGGAGCCTTTATATGTTTTGACACTGACATGCCATGATAGGAACATCCAATGAATCAAATATCCATCTGAAACACTGCAGCTTCTGGACTTCTGGGGTATTTGCCAACAGAACAAGCTGGCTCCAGAACTGAAACACTCAGACCCAAGCGGAGCTGGAAGTCTCCGGAAAGGGGAGTACAATTGCGGAGCCACGCGAGTGTACCTGCAACCGCAAGAGCGGCCAAAGGGGCCATAAAGTTTGCCGTGAAGCTATGAAGGTCTGCAAACAGCTTGCTGCTTTCATGATTGTATAAAGATACAAAAAACGCACCTTTTGGCGCAGTGCCCCAGAGCCAGACGTGCCAACCAGCAAGCAATTAGGATCAATGAAGAAGCCTAGCGAAGTTCTTCAGTCGCTGCCAAGTTCACTTTCCAGAAGTGCGCCATGAATTTCATTTATAGTAACCCCCAAAAAGATAGAATAGATAGGATTGTGCTTTTCTGTTGTTTTGGGGGCTGCTATAAGTAAACTCCAAGTTTGCTGAAGCTGAGGACAATGCCCGAAGAACAGGCTGGATGAAACAGTCCTGCGAATTTGTGGGACATGTTTGGCTAGTACTGGGGTGCTTGGACTTTTCAATGGTCTTTTGCTTCAGGGATGTTCCAAGCAAATCTACAATCTTGTGAAGCAACTGCAACACGTGCATCGCTTGCAATGACAGATTACATCCTCCATCCACTCCAAGTTGAAGAGCGGAGGCAGAAAGGTCACAATCTGAGAGCGCTGCCCAAAGACATCTCAATGAAAATATCACAAACTCAAGAAAAACAACTGACAGCAAAGTTGCAAAATGTTACAAAGCTCCTGGCCATGATCCACAGCAATATGAGTAAAACTGCAAAGTCACCCAAGGTCTCCTGGCAGATTTTGCCAAAAGCTGGAACTTGCAGGACTTTTCAGTGGCATCTATTTGACAAAGGTCGAGGTCCATGGCCCATGGCCATGCAGGATTGTGGCGTCAGGGCAAGCACCATATAGTTTTGTGCGAATTTACCATATAGTTTTGTGCGAATTTACATATGTTTTGTGCGAATGGAAGATAATTTTTTTGCAGCCTTAATTAAGTCACCATTATATACCAGTGGTGCCCGCACGAAGCGGGGCCAAAGTTGCCTTAGGGATATGCTCTAAAACTTTTCTCACCTATAGAACTTGCATGCGCCATGCGCCAGCCAGGCCCCTGCGTGCGTGCTTTGTGCGAAGCTGTTGCACAGATGTTCTCCAAGAACATGACCTGCGCGCGACCCCAGTGCAATGCAACGCCAAGCGAAGACTTTCCTCACACTTCACACTGCACTCTTCGCACTTCACACTCCACACTTCACACTTGCACTTCGCACTCGACACTTCATCTCATCTCAAATCACGTGAGCTCTTCTCACCTCACCTCAGCTCTCATCTCATCCCATCTCCTCTCACATGTCATCTAAGAAAGTTCTTCTCAACTGTTTTCATCTCATCCGAGCACTGATCAACCTTTCTCATCTCCTCGAAGTTGTTCTCAACTCATCTCACCTGCAGACACAAGGCGAAACGGCGTCGGAAATTGCAGCTCCAAAACCGGATCTCGACGCCAAAGCCAAAAAAAGACGATTTTGAAACACTTTTTGAAAGGACTTTTACAAGGAGAATTGCTAGCGCCAAAATTGAGAAAATCTGCTGACAAATCACTTTCGCAGCCTTGATGCAGCCACCCCAATACGATTTACGAGATCCAGCTGCACAAGACAATAGTATTACAATGTATTACACATGCAGCTGCGGTCCCAGGCAACCTCGACACAACCATTCAAATGCGATCTGCAGACACTGCATTGCGAAACACAATAGAACTACGCGCAACGGCGTCGGAAATTGCAGCTCCAAAACCTGATCTCGACGCCAAAGCCAAAAAAAGACGATTTTAAAGCACTTTTTGAAAGGGCTTTTAAAAGGAAAATTACTAGCGCCAAAATTGAGACAAGCTGCTGACAAATCACTGTCGCAGCCTTGATGCAGCCACTCCAATACGATTTACGATCTCCAGCTGCAAAAGAGAAAAGTATTACGCATGCAGCCGCGGCGCCAAGCAACCTTGACGCAGCCATTACAATGCGTTTTGCAGCATCACGTGGCTAACCCGCATCTCTCTACGCACATGGCAACAGAGCATGACAACAATCATGCAGCCATTCCAATGCGATCCCCAGCCAGAGATTCAAGAAACGCATAGAACTACGACTACGCACACAGGAACAACCACTCGTTGCAGAACACAGAGGAGGAACCAATTCGCGCATGAAACGACCACAGCCGCACCCGCCGCACACACGAGGTACTTTACACGGAAAAACACACGGTTTCGTGCTCCGGCTTCCTCCCCAAAACAAAGCCCATGCAACATTCATGCGGCTATTACAATGCGTTTCGCAGCATCACGTAGCAAACCTGCACGTATCTACCCACATGGCAACACCAGATGACAACAAGAACAATCATGCAGCCATTCCAATGCGGTCCGCAACCAGAGCTTCAAGAAATGCATAGAACTACGCACGCAGGAACAACCACTCCTTGCAGAACACAGAGGAGGAACCAATTCGCGCATGAAACGACGCACGCACCCGCCGCACACACGAGGTACCTTTCATCACCGGCTGCAGCCACTTTACACGGAAAAACACACGGTTTCGTGCTCCGGCTTCCTCCCCAAAACAAAGCCCATGCAACATTCATGCAGCCATTACAATGCGTTTCGCAGCATCACGTAGCAAACCTGCGTGTATCTACGCACATGGCAACACCAGATGACAACAATCATGCAGCCATTACACCCGCGTATTGTTATGTGATGTCAAGTCTCACACCACAGTCTCACACCACCCTTCATTGAGTGTATTGTTATGTGATGTCAAGTCTCACACCACAGTCTCACACCACCCTTCATTGCGTATATTCTTATGTGATGTCAAGTCTCGCACCACAGTCTCACACCACCCTTCATTGAGTGTATTGTTATGTGATGTCAAGTCTCACACCACAGTCTCACACCACCCTTCATTGAGTGTATTGTTACAGGTAAAAGTCATCCGTAGCTCGGAAGATTGCTTCCCAACTTCCCTTGACCACTATATACCACCAGATACCACCATACAGTGTGCCAGCAAAAGAAACTTGCTCCAGCCGGTACAGAGCAAAAAGGCAGACATCAAGTTGCAAGAAATTGAGACAATGGGCAGCCATGAGTGAATGCGTCAGCAGAAATTAAAACCTGTCTGGAATCTAGCGAAATCAGAAGCAATTCTGAGGTTGATTCTCGGTCAATACCCAATCCAAATTGCCATATTGATTTGAAACAATACCGCACAAAGGGGAAAAAACGTGCCCTTGTAGAAAGCAGAGAATAGTGAGAAGCAAGAAACGTGAATGTGCTACCAAAGTTGTATAAGCACGACAGCCTGAAAAGGGAGCTATGTCAGCTATGTTTCAATTCCGCCGCGGATACCAGCGCTGGGAAAATCTTGCAAAAGAAGCCCGCCAACTTCTTCAAAATACCGATCTTGATCAAACTCTCCTGCGAAGCGGCATATTGAACTTCCATCTTGCCAAATTGTGGCATTACAGAACAACAGCTGAGCCATGGCTCACCAAAAAAGAATACCCGTTTTGGTTGACAAGGGGCAGCTTATTCTGGAAATTTACTGGAAAGTTGATGTGAAATTACAGATTTCCAGTGTAGCATGTCCTCGGGAAGGCTTCCAAAGTACCCAATCATTGGGCAAAGTAGGAGCGCAATACCAGCCTGCATTCAGCTAAAACCATCACGACGACCCTTGGGAAACATATCAAGCCCCATTATTTTCAGAGATGTATAGACCAACTAGCAGAGCACCTGGGTGTATTGAATGAACATGAGAACAGTCATGACATCTTGAGCGTCGCATTCTGCACAGTGATAACACCTCAGTGAGTAGATTGACGACACTGCTTCGTGACCAAAAGTGTACAAAAATCACTATGCTTAAAAGCCCCTTTTGACAAATATGTCAACTAGCAAAATCACGCAAAGCATTCGTGCCGCTACCTGCAAATGTCTGCAGCTGCAAAGGTTCTTGGTCGATTTCTCTAAGGCATGCATGCTCCCTACACACAGCATCCACTGATTTCCTGACAAGGAATCTAAACGTTGCGTTGCCTGAATGCTGCTTGAGGTCCCTGCGTACATGCTTCTTGAGTCGCTGGTTGAGTGCCCCTGTAGGCATAGGAAGGGTATTTCAAACAGCCACGACATGGAAACATGGGTGTTCCAGCAACAACTTCTCATCGATTACATGGCAATCATTGGCAATCAACATCAATTCCCATGTTGCGCCTGCATTGAGTAGCTCCGCAAGCAACCACTCGTGTACGTACTCCGGGCATACACTGCGAGGGCAAACTCAAATTCAAGAAGGTTCACGAGAACCAGAAAAAAGGAACCAAATTTAATGCATATGTATGTGTACATACATATATATGTATATAATCATGATCGCCTACATAGAATATGCACTTTTTCAGCCCTTCGGGTGTGGACAGAAAAAATAACTTAGAATATTTGGGGTAGAATTTTGGAGTGCACAAACAGAGCCAAAGCAAATACCATAGGAATAACGATGTCTCCATATCGAAAACATGTGTGAAACCCAGCAGATTGGACATTTTTTTCGGTTCTATCAATCACAGGCGGCTGTGGCAATCCATGCTTCTGTCAAAAACCTGGGAAAATATTATTTTTTCCGGATCGAAAATGGATAGTCTTCATATTCTATGTATAAGTGTTTTTCGATTTCGGAAGATGCTTTTACTCTATGTAATGTATAGGTTTTTTAACCGATTCCGGAAGATGCTTTTTGAGGCCGAAACTATCGATTCTATATTCTATGTATCCCATCATTATCATATATATATACATATATGTACAGGTATGTACATAATTATATATGATATATGTAGGTATGTAGAAGTACATGTAGAGGCATCTGTATCTGTATTAATACAGACTTCTCGGCTGCAGCGCAATTTCTTCAGCGGTCAGGTGTCTCGTGTGCAAATGGCCACGTCTTGGCTCTGCGACCTGCACCAGCCAAATGAGCAATGTGAAAGCAGAGCCCACTCAAATCCTCCAATTGCTTGGCAAAAGAAGGGCGGGGCAGATTGCCCAGCAAGATGCCAGGGTGGGATGCTTGAGCAATCCACACACGCATGGATCTTTCAAATGGAGAAGATCAGGTTTCCATGCGCTCGATGTACTGCGATGTAAGTTCACTTCTGAAGCACTTCACATGCGGGAAGTCTCAAGAACCATTCAGCAAGTTTCAGAATCTATTCATGCAGAAGCAAACATCGACAGGATGACAGGTGTGGAGTGAATACCGTCAATTCAAAATTTTCAACAGCTTTCAGTCTTCTTGTGTGAACACTTCCAAACTTCTCGGCTGCAGCGCAATTTCTTCAGCGGTCAGGTGTCTCGTGTGCAAATGGCCACGTCTTGGCTCTGCGACCTGCACCAGCCAAATGAGCAATGTGAAAGCAGAGCCCACTCAAATCCTCCAAATCATTCCCAAAATCAAGAATGTTGTCCAGACATGGGATTAATAAGAGAAGGAATTATAGTGCCATCGGGCAGTCAAAGAGTAAGCCAATGCCTCACTGAGCTTGACTGGATATGATTGTGCAATAGCAGTCCAGTTACGATTACCAGGGCCTGTGCCAGTTAATTGGAAATGGGGTCTGCCAGTGCGACTGCACATACCATGTCCGCTGCACTTGTGCTGCAACCGATGCAAATCATCAAGCTCAATATTGCCACAGCAAAATCTTGTGCGCTTACGCCAACGCGTGCCAAACTGACAAAAATCGGAAATGACTCTGAACATGTGGTTGTGAGCAAAGCCGATGGAAATAAGGTAGATACCAACATTTAGAGCTAGCAGAGTTTTCCAAAATCCATGGGATGCGATGTCTGTCCAGCAATCGAATCAAAGAGATGCACGACCGAAAACAAGCGTTTCCCAACTGGATCTTTTTCTGCTCGGCTATAGACAAAAACTCTGGAGGAAGTCCCCAGGGCCAGTCACGGGTTCGAACAACACTTGCTCGATCCCTGGCGGCAGAAAAGGAATCACCAGGCGGAGCCAGCATCACTGCGAGCACCCTGCCCCATTTGATATCTTGCTTCAACCGTGACAAAACTCTTGCGCTGGTCAAATCACAGTGCTGGCCGTAGCGGATGTCCCACTCCCGGCTTTGGAAACCTAAAGCTTCACATGCCCTGGCCACACCTCCCTGACCTGAAAACAAGTCTGCTACGTACTGCCCTTTCCTACTCCGACGAGGATAGTCGATGTAGGGAGCTTCTTTCGGCTGGCCATGATGCCGTCGAATGCCTCTTCGCATGCCAGGCAATATTCCTTGGCCTTGTTCGGAACTTGCTCCCAACTCTTGGCCAAGCGTGCCGCTTTTTCGTAGCGGGCAATGGACTTGGTGCTTTTCCATTGTCCACGCTTCTGCACATCTAGCTGGCTCCTGTAGTTCCTGGAGCGATCTATCGAGGCTCCACTGTGACGGGTGTGATATGGTGACAGCTCTATGCCCATCTGTTTGGCGCATTTCTTGAACACGGCCAAATACTGACTGTAGTTGAAGTCCCACAGGCAATTGTTCTGATTCTCTGTCTTCAGCTTGTTGAACACCTTCGCACCCCAAAAGCTGAGATAAGGAGAGTCTAACAGCAGACTGATGTCGTACTCGCCCGTTTTCGAAGGCTGGCCTAGCTCCTCGGGACTCATCAGGATGGACCAGGAGCTGGTCACCCCTGTGGCTGGGCGAATCAAACTCATCACCCGCAGCCGTAGGAGTTCTGCTGGCCGCGCATAGGTGGACAGGGACATCATGAGAAAAATTGCCATCTTGGGAAATCCACGCTCCAGCATCAAAACGCTGAGGCCGCACCATACTGCTAGAGGATAAGGGGTACGTGACCTTCCGGGGCACAAACGCCTCCAACCCCTCAGCGCTCGGAGTGCTCTGGGGATCCTCTTCACACCAGTACGGCTGTACTCGGGATGATGATGAAGCCAGCTGGCGATCAGCCTGTCTCCAACAAAGGCTTGATGGCCCTCGAAGAAACATTGGTTCATATAGTCCACCAGAAGCTGATCTACTTGGCTGGAGTTTGTGATGTCTAGGTGGCCGCTCTTCTTGGCAAATGTCATAAAAGTGGTGTGCTCCTTCTCGTACATTTTCTCTGTGGTTAGCCCCACTGCCCGCCTCTCCAGAACACTCAAACTTTGTGGGTCCTTGCCCTCCATCAGCAGATCGACGTACTTTCGCCTGCGCTGCCGCCCTCGGGAGTGGAGGTTTCGCACCCTCTTCTTGGTGAGCATTACCTCGCTGCTGCTCTGAGCTGCTGGAGTTGGCATCCTGCTCGACTAGAGCTAGGCTGCCCAGGCTCTGGCTGTCCAGAGTGGGCCCAGTCACCCCTGGGCTGGCTTTGAGCAGTCGATTGGCCACTGTGCAAGCTGCCAGGTTGTGTGCCCCTTTTCTCTGGACAGGGGCCTTGCCCTTCCAGGTCTTGGTGGTTGGCACCCCTGGTTTCAAACAGCGCTCGGTCTTCTTCTTGACCGTGGTCTTGCTTGACGATGGGACGGCCAACGTCCGAACTCTCTTCGGGGCCATGGGGTATCAAAGCCGTAAGCAGTTTTGAAGGCTCATCACTATTGTATCTTGAAGGCTCGTCTGCACTGTTGAGTTCACTTGGCACCCATCGAAAATAAGGCTGGATTCCCCTAGCAATGCAATACGAGTTGAAAACACGAATCTGTTTGAGGAGACTAAACTGCCTGCTCCGGCTTCGCTCCAGAGCCAAAACCAAGGACATGTTGTCCAGAAGGAAAAGCTGGCGAATCTGAGAACCAAAAACACTCATGGCCACCCGCCGCAAAGATTTCACTGCTGCCCGCGCCTCCAAGGTGATGATCCCTTCCGGGAATTGCCATTTGCCCCAGAGCTTCGGCGCCCAGCATTCTTTCCTGAGCAAACGGGCAGGCACTTCGGGAAAATGCGGGTCAAGCGTCCACCCACTGAGTTTCAGGTAATCTTCTGCTTCAATCTCACCTGCTTTCCAAGAACCTGTGACCTCATCCTTGATAAACCCTGCTGATGTCAATGATGATTCTCTGGCTGAATGTCCACCACTCCGCTTAAATCTAGCACGTTCCTTGATCCGACCAACTGCTGAAACATCCGAAAGTTTCCAATGAGAAGTGCAAACCCCATAACCAGTAGTGCTAGCATCACTGCAGCAAACCAAATCATTCCAGGGTCTCCACCAATCCGAGCGGAGAAAAATCATCAGGCCTGCAAAAGCCCGCAACTCATCTTTCACACTGCTCCACAACTCAGTCGGCTCAAAATAGTGTGTGCGAATGAACTTATAGCAAGTGTGGAAAACAGCAAGCGTCATGCGATTGTTGAGGCCACAAAAAGTGGCATGCCCAACCACAACTTCAAGCATCTGACCTGTAACCCTCCTACGTTGAACAATCCCTCTGATAGCTCGCCTAACTTTATGAAAGCGTTCAGGCGTGATCTTTGAACACAAAGCTTGACCGTCCAAAACTGTCCCCAACGCTCTGGTTTCCCCCACGCTGACCTCGCCTGGGTGCAACAACAGCCCACAGGAACCAAAGTGGTCGTCCAGCTCCTGGAGTGCAGTCTTGACATAGGCAGCGTGGGAAGATAACACTCCGAGGTTGTCTACATAAACATAATGACGTGACCCCGGCTCACCATGTCTCCTGACTTGCTCGCTCCGGAAAACCACCGGCTCACCCTTGTCTCGGACCAAAGTTGAATCCTTGAGAGATCGAGTCAGGCTGCACTGGTATTCATTTATCCGTTGGCAAAAATACAAAGACCAGCTAAATCCCATGCATAAACTTCCTGGCATGGGATATATCACATCGTTGGGACCTAGCCGATGGCCATCCAGCATGGTACCAGTGAGCCCGACCCAGTGGGCGCGGATGGGCTTGAAACAGAAATATTCCGCCAACCACCGAGGCTGGCGAAGTCGATGGAAACAGTCTTTGACATCGCTAAGACCAATATGGATATTCATAGTCTGCAACTCTGCCAAAAATTCTGGACTACCGGGACGCAGGCCGGGACTTACTTCGCATTCTATACGACTGAACCCCTCACTTGAACAAAGCTCAACCCCAGGAGGATCTTGGAAGAGGGCATTGGTTGAACGAGCATCAACAATCAATCTGATACGCTCACCATCACTTTTGAATACGAAAAACACACCAACTTCATTCTTGGGAGTTTGAGTATACTGCAAAAGTCCTATGCTGTCGAGGTGCTGAATGAACTGGCGGTATTGCTTCTTGCTCTTGGCTAGTGCCGGATCCCAGTAAGGCGGAGGAGCCTCTAAGGGCTCGCCCTCCTTCACCATGAGCTCTTTACCCTGCAGATATCGACGGGCGTCCTGAGGCAACAGATCTACCGCCTGAGGCAAACCATGAAGATCCTCAGGTAAGGATACGCGCTCGAGTTTGTAGGGGGCCAAAGCCACTGGGGTCGAGGGCTGGTGATACTCGCTCTTCCCCTTGAGCAGCGCCTGCAGGGCTGCCTCAGAAGATGGAACTCGCTCCAAGCTTCCCAGGTTGCCGGAATCTTGGGCCAGTAAATGAATTCGCTGTAGAACCTCCGCTTGAAGATCATCGGGAGGCGTCTCACTATCATGCAAAAAACCATGCCCTGCCAGCCAATTCAATCCATGAACCGCTTCCCTCACAGTGTCCATCTTCCTGACTTTGCGGCAGAGCCTCTGAGATGATCGTCTGCTGAGCCCAGAGGTGCTTTCAAGTCTTGGGGGCACTGGAAGAGGAAACAAATCACGAGACCGAACTGAAAAATCTGGCCTGGCGCCCCCAAGCAGCGGCAAGCCACAGTCCCCGGCGGAGGCATACCGGGGACTGCGTCCCATGTCATTCATGTTGCCGCAGGTGGCGCCAGCCTGGCCTTCGCCTTCCGCTTTGGCTTGGCTGGAACACCACCCGCTGGGAGATTGCCATCTGAGACTGCGGCTGCTGCTTCATCTGCAGGTGTGCTGATCTTCTTGTAGTCCCGGATCTTGGCGCGGGCGGCAGCCAGCTCGACCTCTTCTTTGCCCTTCTTGGCTGCCCAGCTGCGCAAGGTTGGGCTGACCAGGTCTTCAGGGCCTTGGTAGCCCGACATAATGCGTGCTGCGCCCCAGTCTGGGGACGCGGCGCTTCCACTGTTGTAAGCATCTACAATGGATTGCATACGCCGGCCCAAGGTCTCCATACATGCCAGGGAACCCAGATTGAGCTGATCGTAGGTCCCAGCGTACTCAAAGGCTTCCAGGAGAGCTCGCATTTCATGCATAACTCTATCATTGTCATGTATGCCTTTGTGGCGGGACCAAACAAGCAGCCATTGCTTGGGCGTTCCACCATTCTTGTGCATGTACTTCATAAGATGGAGCGCCGTCTGTGGCCCATCATGAGGCCAGTCCGGGTAGCTGTATTCCCGGCATTCGCGGGTGGCATCGCGCCATGATCGAAAGCGCTCGCCCTGATCATCGTACTCTACGGCCAAAGTTCCAGCATCTTCGGCGCCGTCGGCCTCCACCTCGACAACCTCGCCATCGGCCGCCTTAGCTGCAGACTCTGAAGTGCCATCGCGCTTCACCTGTCGGCTCCTGACCATGGCATCCATTGACCCTACCATATCGGGCAAGTCACCTATCTTCACAAGCTTCACCAGGGTCCACCCCTTCGGGCCCTTGACCACACCATTGGCCTCATCAAGCCGCACTGCTTGCCTTGAAGGAACACCAACTTCCGATCCCAACTCATGGTCCTCCGTATCATGCATTGACACCCACAGACTGCCATCAGGAGCTGCCTGCAGCGAGGAGATGCCACAGGCATTGGGATCTTGGGTTGGATCAGGGACATCAAGTCGGCCAAGGTCTCGCCGAACTATCCTCCGACGTACAAGGGTGCCCTCGAGGTACGTCCTGGTGTTCGCCTCCCGCCCTCGCATGTCCAGAATTGAGCTAGGCGTCCATGGCAAGGGATTAACGCCTTCCAACCCCAACTCACGGAGGGCAGTTGAAATGTGGGACTTGAACTCATCATCAGTGGGATAGGTGGCGAAACGATACACTGGCTGGCTGACTCGGGAAAAGTACCTAAAGTCCACATCCTTCAGCTTGAATGAAATGGGACCTTCATCTGACCTACCTGACCAACACTCTGGATACAAATCTCTATCTGGTGTCAGGACGTACCAGGTGTCTTCATCCACTCTCCAGACCAGAATTCGCTCGTGATACACATCATCATCAGTGTACCACACAATGGCCTTCTGGCCGGGCCGGCATTGTGATAATGCCTCCACCTCGTCGCCTCGAGGACGTAGGTGAGCCATGCGCTGGACTAGAAGGACTAGCTGACTTGATCACCAGGGCACTGATTGAGGCTCCTAACAGAATTCCAGAGGACAAAATCCAGAACACAGTTGAAACAGCGGGCGGTGATTCAACGCAGAGACACTGGCAAGAGCAGGTTTGGTTCAGTTGATACCCAGTCTCACTTGAAGAAGATTCCTTAGGCCAATGTCTGTATCCCACTTCCGCCAATCTAGCCAACCAAAGGATTGCCAGGACCGAAGGCTTCATGCGCACATCCTACCTTTCATGCTTGAGCAATCCACACACGCATGGATCTTTCAAATGGAGAAGATCAGGTTTCCATGCGCTCGATGTACTGCGATGTAAGTTCACTTCTGAAGCACTTCACATGCGGGAAGTCTCAAGAACCATTCAGCAAGTTTCAGAATCTATTCATGCAGAAGCAAACATCGACAGGATGACAGGTGTGGAGTGAATACCGTCAATTCAAAATTTTCAACAGCTTTCAGTCTTCTTGTGTGAACACTTCCATTTCAAATATATACTGCATAAGACAATTATATATATATAGTTTTAAATATTCATATCATTCCATATCAAGGGTATTACGGATTCCGGTATCCCTCATTTCCAGACATACCGAGCGTTGATGCGCAGATGTCTTCAGTACTCTGAGACTCTCCACCTGGTCGTAGCACTGGCAGGTGGACCACTGACCAACTGTCCACGCTGGAGCCGTAGAAGAAGTTGACTGAAGGCCAAGGGGTGAGAGCGGCAGCCAAGGTTGAAAGAAATCAAATCAAACACCCAAAGAAAATCCTTAAAATGTGGTTCTGAAGTTCTGAATAGTTCTGAAAGTCGTGCCTGGAGTGATCTTGCTGGAGCATCGCTGAGTCCAACCTGCTGTGCAAAAACCTGGAGAAACATGAAAGAGAATGAAAGAGTTGAAAAGGCATGACTCAGGATGACTTTGAAGAAACACAACCTGCAGTGGCTCGTGCGTTGATGCAAGAACCCAAGACTTTCTAAGAACCTGACGCTACGAACGTCAGGAAGCACAGAGGAGGGAGTCTGGCAAGGTGCTTCATCCCTAGGCGCGAGGCATACTTTTGGCTCAAAGTGAACTGCAATGCTGCAAGAATTTCATAATTTCAGTGGAATGACTGAGTTTGAGTTGGCCACTCTTGCACAAAATCAAGCCGCCGTCCGCCTGCGACCAGTCTTGTGCACAGCCACACAGCCCCACCCCGCTATGACCAATGCTTGCAATTTGGAAAGTTGGAAACTCGCCTGAACTGCTGTTGCAAAAGCCTCAGAAGCACAGTACCCAAGCAAGAAAAACTTGGTGCCCTCTTCTGCCGCACTTACAGGATCATATCATGCCAGTGTGCACTCATTCCACTTGGGATGCAGCTGGGCGTTGTTGCGAAGTAGGAGCAACCAGTTGTCCTTAGAGCAAGGTACTGCAAGGTCTTCCCATTTCGGATCGACGTCTGACCACTTCGTTTGCTCTGAGACCGGAACAGTACTCGTTCACCACAAATATTTTTGATCGCTGTCTCTGCCTGTGTCAGGCACCGATCTGGATCCAACTAACCCCCAACTGGGCCCCAACTGGGCCCCAACGCCCGCCCATTGACCCCGTGACTTGCCTGGGAGTTGACCTCCGTCAAGAGGGAAGAGCAAGGACACGACAGCGCGGTGTCCGAACTGGCGAGGCCAACACTATCCCAGCGTGTTGCAGGGAAATCAAACAATCATAAACAATCCATGGATTTTGTTTCATGAAATGCTGTAGTCAGTACAATCTTCAGCGACAAGACAGAAGGTATCGTTCTTCTCGGGCTTCCACAGTACTTGGCAACAGTTTTTACGAATATTTATTGTAAATAAGGGAAGTCAAAGCATGGCACCTCTTTGTTCCCCACGTATTGGTGCAGTTGTCGCCCTTGTTCTGCATGTCCGAATTCAAATACAACTCAGCACCCATAGCAGCGGAAGGAGCGAGATTCACATCACCAACAGGCCACTTCTGGAAAGCTTGAAACCAAAGAGATAAAACAGCACCCAAGAAGTGCTCGAAAGCTGAAAGCTGAGCATTTTACCGCATTTTGCAGGACACGACAGTGAAATGTCTGGCACTCCTGCGCAAAGATCGCTAAAAACGCAGAAACTGTGACGAAACTGTGACAGTAGAGGTGAAATTCTCATGGTGCATACCTTGTTCACAGGTGTAGAACTACTGGCACGATCCATTTGGACGATGGCATCGACCTGCAGGTATTTGAAACCAACTCCGTGCTGATTGCTGTGCCATGGAAGGGACATGATCAGACGGTCCGGTTCAGCATGTTGATCATATTGCCGCTGGTTAAAAAGCACCACATGCAGGTCACATTGGCGCAAACTCAGCCATGGACTGGACTTATGGCCTGCTTGATGATGTCAGTGCAGTCCTGCAGTCAGCCATCCAAAATCATTCCACGTTATCGATGAGAACGCGCTAGGTCCACACCTTGTCAAGGACTGCTCCGTTCAAGGCCTGCAAACAGTGTTGTACAAAGGGATCACCCTCGTCTTTTTGGCAAGCACACTGAAGCAGATCGGCCTCAAAATATTGCTTTGAAGGTGCATTTGCTTCCTTTCTCCATGTGATATTCATTGCACCTGAGGCACGCGGGTTGGCAGTTTGCTGTAAAAGCAGGGCCATCCAACTTGGCCAAGGTGCTGCGATAGCACTCGCTGTCTCCACACAGGAAATTATGATCTCTGCACTCCTGGCACTTAGACCTGAGTTGTCTTTCACTTGCAAGTACTTGCAACGCCTGTGCCCCCACTCTCCCATGTGAACAATTTCAGTAGTCCCAGAGCTGACCCCAGCAACTCTTCATTAGAAACTGCTTAGATTCACGCCCGGAATATACTACCTGGCAGCTCGCATGGAAACCATTCATCAGACCAAGACCACTTAAACTTAAAGATAGAGAAATCTGACAAAAATGCTGTTGCTTCTCTTGCGAAGGCACGGTGCAGAATTCGTCGTGGATCACAGGAATGGAAATGTGAAGCAAAATGCCTTAGTCTTCTACTCATCCTTGTAAGAACACTGCTATCAGAACGTTCTTGCTTAAGTGCCCGAATTTTCCACCCAAGACCGGGCTCTTTCCAGAAAGGCAGAGTTGGAAAAATGGCTGAGACGGCGACTAGCGGCAAGATAGGAAAGACCTGCCCTGGAATACGGGAAAATCGAAAAGAAAAAAAAACATTCCAGTCTGCTTTCCAGCTGCAGTTTGCTGAGACGCTTGCCACAGGAAATAGCCAGCTGTGTTTGGCACAAGTATGAACTGGCAACAGCGCGAGGCTTAGAATCTTTAGTGAGAAGTGGGCGGCAAAGCAGCGGCACTCAGTCAATCCTCACTCAACTGAGTATCAAGTCAGCAGTGGAAGACCCGCACTGCACGACCGGCTGTCCTTGTATCGGACTTTCAACCAGAATAACAGCAGCTAAAGACAGCCAAAGATGAAAATCTGATACTACAGTAATCAAGTCACCAGGCACATCCAGGATCATCAGGGATCGTATCAAGGATCATCAAGGTACAACAGACTACCTTGAACCGACTTCGCATGTCGCCTGTCCTGAGCAAACCCGTGGCAGAACGAAGGATGCCGCTCTTTGCTCCCTCAGCACACACAGAAGAGGAGAAAAACCTTACAGCTTCCGTCGAGAAAACTGTATGGTCATATCCAAGCATATGGAAACTATATCTAGATCATCTAGCTCATCTAGATCATCTATAATTTCATCTTTGATCATCTATGGTCATCCAACAAATCCGAGTCTTTGGAGATGGCTGAAATATCAATTTCCAAGTGTGTATATATATATATTATGATGTATACGGACGTCCGTAGAGGCCTTGGAGGAGTGCATCTCAAGCCATAGCTTTGTGAAACTAAATGTGTTGTTCCCGCATCTTTGGAAGCAGGATTTGAAATGATTTGAACTGATTGCCTTATGCCTTGGCCTCTGAAAAGTTTTGATGCAGTTTGGTCTTGGCCTCGCTGCCCAAATTGAAGACTCTCTGCATTGAACCGACACTGACCAGGCTTTAGGTAACTTTACTAGGTGGGGGAGTGTTCGGTTTTTGCTTGCATGGATGGCGTCGGCTGGACTGGTTGGATTCTTCAATGCTCTACAGAATGCTTGATCCACAGTTCAGGCACAACGTGGCTGGTAATGGAATGGCAATGGATTGGAAATACAAAAAGGATCAAAAAGGAAGAATTCCAGAGATAGCTTGGGCAAGTTGGGCAGGCCTTCTGCAAGTCTGGCGTGCAAAAGGAGTCCTATTTTGGCTCATCTATGAGTTCCAAGCGTCACTTCCACCCCGTTTAAGTCTGGCAAGTCACGATCGAGCTGTACACAGGTCCAAACGCCAAGTCTATTGGCAGCTGCCTGAAAAGGTGAAGCAAAGCGGACTTCACTAAGTTGCCTTGCAAGGCTGGTACTGGCGGTGCAGTGCCATGTCACATCCGTCACATCCCGGCTGAAACAGAGCTGTTCCAACGTGTCTTGAGTACACGGTCGGCCGAGGTCACAGAGAGACTCAAGCACCGAACTATTTACCTTGCCACATTGCCAGCCCTGGCACAGCCGCAGTTCTTGAAGTGCAGCAAGTCGAACTCTGGCACGCAGAATCCCCAGCTGGAGGCTGCGATAGCCATAGCCATAGCTTTCGCAAACTTCCAGTGAACCTGTCGAGGCTGCATAGGCTCGTCCTGCAGCAGGATCTGTAGCTCTGCTTGCAAATTCCATCTGTGGTCTAAGCTGGTGCCGGATGCTCCATAGAACAGGCAGCGTTCCGGCCCAGTGTCCAGCAGCTTCCAAAGTGTAGAGCACATGGGTCAAACACACAGCATCAAGACTTGTGGATGCTAATTTGAGGACCATCATAGCCTGCTGCCAAGCAGCTCCCAATCTGCAACTGGCCAGCAGGGAGCCATATTGAACAAAGGTTGGCCGATGTTTGTGCTTGTGCATCTGTGATAGCAACTCAAGGGCGAAGTACCAGCAGCTTCCCTTTTCGCAGGCACTCATCGCCGCACTGAAACTGACAGAATCAGCTTCTTGACTTTGAACAGCTTCAGCCAAAATGTGCAAGGCATCGCTCCATCTTGATGACTTTTCACCTTGAAAAACATCACCGTTCAGAAAGAAACAGATGGATCAAGCAGTGAACATCGACAATTGCAGGTGCACAGGCAATGCCTTCGGCACTTTGCCTCTACAGAACACTACCAAATGATTGCAGGCAGGTTCTTGACTCTCAAACTCTGGCAAGCATCTGTAAGCATCTGTAAGCATCTCTAAGCATCTCTAAGCATCTCTAAGCATCTCTAAGCATCTGTAAGCATCTGTAAGCATCTGTCACAGCGTCACTCAATTCTATAAGCTTCGCTAAGCTTCGCTAAGCTTGGGGCAGGCACTGATCATAGCGCTGAAGGCAACTGCATCCAAAGTCATCGACGAATTCCGCATCTGTTGGACGAGGTGCATGGCCTCCTGCGCCCGACCTCCTTTTTCACACGCAGTGATGGCCTCGAAGCACCAGACTTCAAGACGAACAGTGTGTTTTTCCTATATATATATATACATATATAATCATATATATATATTATATAATCATATTCCTATAATCATATGTATTTCCTATAATCATATTCCTATTGTTATGTCAGTGCAGTCATTGACAAAATCATTGTACACAATGTACAGTGAGTGAGTCACCACGTCAATGTGGAGCATAGGCTCCTGTGATTTCGAAACACTTTGGCCCTGGCAATGCTGAAGCTCACAACGTCTGGCCGAATATCTTCACCTGCATGGGTTTCTCGTAATCATTGCCCTGAAGCCTCAGGGCCTCTCAACTTGCAAAAGAGTGCAAAACTTATAAAAACCCTTAGGCCACACCTGCACCACTTTTGCTCATGGAAACTAGCAGCTGCAGTGCATGATGCCAACGTGATCCGCGAGCACAAGCAGCCAGCGCGGAGTTGTAGTTGATCCTATCCATTTGATCCTCAGACAAGAAAAATGACTTTGTGGGGTCTGTACCCAGTGAAGCTCTGCCATGTCTTCAGCCAAGTAGCTGGCACAACTCGGATTTGATGACTGCGGAAAAGCACTGCAAGCGCTTGCTCCCATCTGCAAACACGCCAGCACTGCTTCTAGAATCTGATGCATGTAATTATGTAATACACAAACTTGTTCGTTTCTGTTGATATGTCTGCTTAATTTTTCTGCAGAGTCTTTTAGTCTTTTTGGTATTCACCGGGTCCAGGCCTAGAAGCCTCTGCGCATGCGGATGTTGCCGCGCTCACCGCACTTGCACTGCGCTTGATGGCTAAGTCAGCTGCAAATAGCAGGCTACAAGCATGCCTTGATCACTCAATCACAGCCCAAGGAGATAGATGGGAAAGTCCTATAGCTGCTATGTCAGCTCATCAAAGATTCCAACTCTGGGGTATGATTCCAGAATACTCGACTCAACCGGTCAAACGTACCAAGATACTCCCATTGAACAGATCGAGCCAATGCTCCAAGTACGCTGACCAGCCTGGTCACAGCACCAATCATGGTTTGTACTTCAAATGTTGCAATCCTGTAGCCTATAGCCAAAACACCTTTCAAGAAGCCTGACTTGCGTTCAATTGAACAAAGCTATTGAATGTATCTAACGCGACACAAAACAGACCTCAATGCTGACTGATTCACATATGAAGTCTTTCGAGTGAGGAGCAAGACAGATCCATCTTGCTGAGAGAGATCAACTTGTTTTGAAGCTGCAGGCAGCAGACATAGCGCCAATCTGAGCAAGGTGCATCCCACAAAACACAAAATCCAAACGAGCAAAACCCGTCTGTCTCGACCTGTCTTTCTTCTCATCCAAGCGGCGCCCACACTAAGAGGCTTTTGGACATGCCATGCAATGCCGTAAAAATGGTGCTTGTGTGAGCTTATCAGGAAACATGAACCGTTTTAACATGGGTTTTCTACTGCTTTGCCATGCTCATTCCACCGCATGGTGCTCGCTAAGGATACAACTACTGGACCAAAATCTGAATTGACTCATCCACCTAGATATGGGGATGGGTCAAAACCTTGTACCCCTAGTGAACCCCAAAATAGCTGGTAAATGGATGTTCATCCCACTAAAAATGTATCTATAGGTATTGACCCATACCCATATTGCTGCATGCATATGTTCAACCCATTTCAAACCAGTTATGATAGTCTTTCTGTCCAAGCTCTGCCAAGCTACTGCCACTGCCGTCCTCGGCCACAGGCACGTGCAATGGCAGCCAGGGATCGAGGATCTGCTGAAGGCACTGCTGAAGGCAGCAGCGCAAGGGCCTGGGAGGACGATTGGTCCCAGGTCCCAAGATGCAGCGCACGCTCAGCTGCTGACCCTCTGCCACTGACTGGCCTGGAATGAAATGTGAAGCGCCATCACAAGGCTTGTGTCGCAATGTGTCCAAGACCAATCATCATATCAGGGATACTAAGTCAATCTAAGTCATATGGAGCTGTTTATTTAACCGTTTGTTGGAAATTCATGGAAATTCCTTGAAACTCCCACCCTGAAGTGGCACCTTGACACAAGCATCCAGTACAGCACTATGACCCGGAGCTGCTTTGCTTTGCTGAGAACCCATCTGCCTGCCAGATATTTCATAAAGGTGAGACAAACAGAACAGCTCGCAACAAAAGGGTGAAAGCGAATTGACTCTGAAAAAAACATCAAACACCTGCATAGATCAGTTGAAGGTCGCAATGGGTTTCTAGTAATGGACCAAGCCCATACACCTAAAACTCCTAAAAGATTCTTGGCCCTCGGCCTGTGCAATTCCAGCGTTTCCAATGCGCCAATCCAGTGAGAACCAGCCGCACCTTTGATGTCACGGGCTTTCGTGTGGCTGATGTAATGATCATTTGCAGCATCTAAACAGCAACTGGTTGAAGCAAGTAGATCCGCGCGTAGGTCGAACAAGTTTGATTTGGGAAGTGGATCTTAGATGAAGATATATTATATATTCAATCGGGAGTGGCTGGCTGAAGAAATATATGGCAATCCGGGACGGATAAAAAGATTCCAACATGCTGTAGCCCTTCTGAGCTGTTCGCAATACAATCTGCCTGCAATCCAGATGCAAAATTGTGTCTGTTGAAATGTCCTACATTGTCCTACTGTTTGGTGGTACGAGGGTCTGATGTCATCAAAACATATCCCATCATATCCAAGGCACACGCTGCTGCCAAAGCGTTGATAGATATTGAGTCTGTAAGCAGCTTTGCAGCTGGAATCTCTTGCAGCAAGGCCATGGCCCTGCAGTCGGTCGGAAGTAAAAGGCGTGTGTCGAAACGTCCCTGCTGTCGAAACATGGTGGTCTCATTGCAGCAGTCAGTAGCAGTCAATAGCACTTCAAAATGGCTACCAAACTGCCACAGAAGTCCACAGATCACAAGACCAAGCCTGCGCCAGGAGCTTTTGCGGACCAAGGTAGATGCAAGTACCGTGAAATCCTTTGTGCTTCGCAACGGATGTTCCCTGCCAGGGATTAACATCTTCATAGTGCGACTGTGGATGACTTCACACTCTACATAAGTGTTTGTGCACTGAGTTACACTTGTTTTAAAAATTGGCCTCCCCCAACAGCCCGGCCTCACTGAATTGACTGAATCGCTAGTGCTCCGGCTCCACGCCTGGAATCCACTCTGTCATTCTGTCTGTTGAATTTATAGATTCAAAACTTCAAAACGTTTCAAATTAGCACAGCGCTGGCAAATGTTGGAATGCTCTTGCAGAATGCCATCGATTCCATCCCTGCCTTTGAATTTTTGAGCCTCCTAGCAGAGCGCATGGAGGCGATGGTGCTTTGCTGAAGCAAATTCTTGCGGCAGCTCCAGCATGAGTTGCACAGGCCACTGTGAAAGTCTATGCCGCTGAAAAATGAAAAAAAAATATGGAATATGGGGGATGGATCAAAAACCTTATCCTATATGATTCCTATATGTTGGTGTGATGGAACATCCTTTTACCAGCAAATATTGGGCTCAGAAACCATTTCGGCATTGTCACACTCTGCAAGCATTTCGGACGGAATTCACCTGCCAATACTATGTCGCTGTTCCCATCTCGACGCACTGTTTTTCAATGATCCGCAACATTGACGTTTCACTATGTTTCACTGAATCAGTCGCGCTTTCTCACTGATGATCTCCTCGGTTCTGGTATTGGCAAAAACATCCAACACCGTCAAAACTTGGCATCGATCCCATCTCCAGTTTGTCCAAAAAAACACAAAAAGTCGACCAACGGTCCAAGGTTTGGCCAAAAAACGTCATTCAGCGGCAGAACCCCAGTAAGACCATAGTCCAAGCATACCTGGACCAATGGTGCTGCCCGGTCAGTCATCTCCTGGCCGATGTCCCATGGTGTGCCATGTCCCAATGGGTATCCCGATGTGTATCCCAATGGGTACCCATGGGTCCTGTTCCAAATAACCATTCCGGACAAAATGTGCAGGAGGACATGCCACTCGAAGGAGCTTGTCCTTGGCAGTTGCTCGCTTCAAAAATCAGCCGCCCTGGAAATACAAACGAGATCAAACGAGCACATATCTCAAAGGACGAGTGGCGTAGTAGTGATCCAACATCGAATTGGACTTGCCACCAGACTTCTGGTACCTTTTGCAGGTCCATAACGGCAGCTTGCACTAAAAAGCATTCACAATGATGTAAATTAACACAAATCCAAGCCTTTCGAAGCGTTCGTTCGTAGCATGGGCCCACACTTCCTCCTGCACAGAAGGAAAGAGCACAAACATCACAGCCTGGTCCACTATCTGCCTTGGATTCAGTGAATGTATCCAGAATCCATGTGCAGCTACAAACTGCCTTGAATGTGCGATGTGTCCTCTGACTTTGGTCGAGGCGTATCTGACAGCACTTTTGGAGCCCCAATTTCACAATTGTACTGCCAGCAGCCTTAGTGGCACAGGATTCGTCACATGTCGCCAAGCTGCACTGTCACATTGCAACTTCAATTCTGAATACTTCAAACGGCATAGATTCTATGTGGCCAAAGGTCGTATTATGCCAATATCGCCAGTTGCCTGCAGCAACTTGCAGGAAAGATCAGAAAAAGCTGTTGATTCCACCGAAATGCCCTGGCCTCAAGCCGATCTGCCCAGCGTGGCCAAAGTAGTTCTGGCTCACGCAGCGCATCATCTGGAACAGAGTTGCCATTCTTTGAGCCTCGACAGTTGTCAATGTGAGTATCAGTTGAATGAAGCGAAATTGAGGTCACACAGTGAAACTAGGAAAATTAAAATACAGTGGTTGCATTCTCTGTTTCTCGCCTTGACCTACCATGCAAATTGAATGCAGTCCAAAAGTAGAATATAGCAAAATTATGCAACATGTGATTAAATGCGTAAGAAATGATGGAAGAAAGAATGTTAAATTTAGGACTAGTAGAACTCCCTTTGCCATCAAAGCGTGTCGCCAAGCAACACGATACAAGCTCAATCCTTGGTTGACTCCATCAATCTGGCAGTGCTGGACTAGATATGCCTTGATGCCTTCATGCTGGGGAAGTTGGAACGTGGAAAAATCAGCAGTGAGCATTGCCATCCAGCGTATTTTTGCAACCCAGAGTCATGTGGATTGCATCCTTAATAACAATAATTTTTGCGTTGGCCTGCTCCATGATCTTCTCGGCATTCATTATGCCCTGCACCACAATCTACCACGTATGTAAGTCAAACGCACATCTCTCCAAACGCGTTCAGTCTGCAATTTGGTCGCGAATTGAAGTCCTGTTCTGATCTTGTGTTCAACAGAGTTGGGCCTTGTCGTCAGCTTTTTTCTGGAATAGCTTTCCTCAATGCGAAGTGACTCTGTGAGATTGAATAAACGGCGTGACAGCGCCAGACAGTAACCTCAATTCTAGGTACCTCAATGGACAATGCGTGGAGACTCGACATTTGCTGCTGAAGTGCTGTCATCAGCGTCATGCAAAAGGGCGGCCAGGCGTACCGCTTGCTTCCGTTCCTCGCGGATGTCATCTGCCAGAGATAGAGCCTGTCGTTGACGAAGCCAAGAAAGAATCCGGAATGGGAAGTATAAATACACTTGTCAAGAGATCAACTCACATTGCTCTCCAGAAGAGTCATTCATATCCTTGCAGAAAGTCCTAAATATAATGTCATATCTATTTCTGCATCCATTCCTGTACGCATGTACTTCTTTCAAGCATATTTGTATAGTTGGGGCGCAAGGTCTGACAGCCATTATGTATTTTGTGCAGCTACAACAATGCAGTCTTAACTTGAGATGAATGTCCGGGCCGTCATACTACTAGTAACAATGGCAAGGAGACACACTAAATGATGAATGTATACTATATATGAATCTGACATGGCAGTGCTACGTGAAGCACACCTTTTGCCAGCGAATCGTTGGCCCCGGTTTGTTCAGGGATGGTCACGACTCGCAGAGGCTCGTTCCTTGTCCAGGGGTCAATAGTGGCTGGGTGTCTCTCTTCTTGCAGCATTTCAGCTGGCTGAAAAGGAAAAGCACGAGGACGGTGGTCATGATCACGCTGTCTGCTCGGAAAAGGATCAGACCGCCATTTGGCATATCCATGACCCACCCCCCAAGCACAGCTCCAAGTGCAGAGCCAGCTGCTGTAACAGATGACATAAAGCCTTGAGCTGTTGATATCATATGCATGGGCACATGTTCGTTCAAATAGTGCACGGTTGCCAGCGTAAAGCAGCTGTAGGTGACACCATGTAATGGCTCCAGGAACAGCATCCACCTGGCACTTGGGACAAGCGTGTAGCCGAGTACTCGGACCACAAAACTTCCCATTGCAATGGCAATCAAAAGGGTTGGCCCAAGCTTGGGCAAGAGTTTTTCACCAAGTGCAAAGATGGGGATTTCAAACAGGACGGTAATCGTCACGCTGAAGCCCATCAAAATATCAGAGGAATGGAAGCGCTCTTGCATGTAAAGAAAAAGAAACTGCGAGACATGTTGCATGCCCATAGCCTGTGTCGCGGCACATAACAACCAAGTGATCATGTCAGGTCGGGAGCAAACAATCTTGACAACTTCCATGACTGAGGCCTTTGGCACTTCCGACACAGTCGATTGTGTCGAAGCTGTCTCTGGTTCTGCCGTAGCCGTGGCACGCGGCCCTTCATCAGTCCACTTTGAACGGAGAAGCACGCTGAAAGACAATACGGCCAGCATGGCACCAATGGCATTCCCCACAAACAGCAGCTGCAAATGGCCGTGTTCGACATCCAAAAGATATCCCAGGGCAGGATGAGCAATTCCCCATGAGACAGCACCCCACAGCCTGAGCCCACCAAATGCAGTTTGCCGGTCAAATCGCTCCAAGGTTCTCATTGCAATACCTTTCAATTGACCATAGTCGTTGCCACGGGCCATGGTGTACAAGACCATCATAAGGCAACAATACATGAATCGTCCAGTGTGATTTTGGATCCGTGACGTAAGACACAAAAGAGTTTGAAAGGTTGCAGCCATTCCAACACAACAGGCCAAGACCAGCTTTCGGTGTCCAGTGCGATCCGCAACGACACCCCAAAACGAGGATGCTGGGATGCTGGCCAAAATGCCCAAAAGTCCCATGGTACCAATTTCTCGGGCATTCAGTCCATACCCTGTGTAGATCAGCACCGAAAACCGTGCAAAGAAGCTGTAGTACAAGAAGAGGAAGAAGTAACTGGCAGAGATGGCGAAAAATGCCGGCCGATGATCTTCAAACTCGGAAGTCATGGCGAGAAGAACCCTTCTATTCAGTCCTCCTCCGAATAGAATCAGAAGGCTGGAGGTGAATAATGGAAGAGGGAGGACATTCAATGAAAATACAGATTTTATCTCATAGTTCCTTGCATTTGTTCTGGCTGCTTGCAGTTTAAAGAAGAGCTTGAGCCAGCATCGTTTCCAAAATGTGGCAATGGTTCCTTCAGCAAACAAATGGTTTTGATGGAAATGTGTACGGAAATGACAACAAAATCTGTACGGAATTATTGTTTCAATCTGATTGGCCTCGCATGGAAACCTTTGAAGTTCTGGACTCTGGCTAAATGCTTTGCCTTGTTGACATGCTCCAGAACACGTAGGGCATGTCCCAGACCATGCGACGCTTCAATGCAATGTTCGTCGCAGAGTGCCTGGTGTTGAATAGCAACAAGATGCCATGTTGACATGTCAGAGACAAACCGATTCAACATAGTCAACAGTGGAGTACCACCGCAAACAACAACGACTCAAAGAAGATTAATTCCTCAATCATCAGAAAGTTGTTCAACGATCTGTCTTGTTTGTATCAGAAGGCACGCTGCCGAGAAGGATCTTCAAAGGCAAAAACCGTTCCAAACGATCTACAAAACTTTCCACAAACCGCCGAGGCAACCATTACAGTAGTGCCTTCAGACCATCAATTGCTGCCACAATCACCGGATCATCTGCCTCACGATGCAAAATCCTGTTCGCCATCTGGCATTCAGGAAGTTGGAAACCATAAGTTTCACGTTGAATGCCCCTGCAGGACATCACACTTGCAACCAACATGATAAATCTCAGCTACTATACGGCTCTGGTGGCTTTGAGCGCCTGCAAGAATCCTTCAAAGCCCCAAGTCTTTAAAAACAAAGTTTCTGCTTTGTACATCAACTCTGATTCGTTTTTGTACAGTACCTCAGCATTCGAATCGTTATTGTGGCTTCCATGAAACTAGCAGGCCTGCGTCATGATGTGCACGAAGCAAGCAAAGAACGGCAAAGACTGCAAAAGGCTGCTTGCAAAAGCTTTGTTGCTCGCCTTTAACAGTGTTTGATGATGTTTGATGTGTTTGCAGCTGGGTGTGCAGCTGGGTGCGATGAGTCCCAAAGTAGAACTTATGTTTCTCCACCGTGTCTCCACCTCCATCTTCTGTCCTGTCTGATCTGCTCCACTCAGCCAAACGAGAAATTCCACGCCCTGAAACGCATCCCATGTAAAGCCATGTGAGCCATGGTCAATACTCGCTATATGATGGTCATCCCATCCATAATAAGGATCCTTATAATGGTTATTATAAATCCCTATGAACCATTGGATGACTAGTCCCTATTAATGGTTATTTACCATGAGTATTGACCATAGCTCATGTGTACCTGTCAGAAGCCATGTGTACCTGTCAGCTACGAGACTTGCAGCAGATTGTTTTTACACCTCTACAGATCCGTGGCCAAATTGGCCAAGTCGTTCTCCCCATTCGGGGCCGGGTTGCCATCATTTTGCCAACAGAAACATGGAGAAACCTTGGAAAGGTCGAAATGTCAACCTCGTCAACCTCCTCTTGAAAAACCTGTGCCTTCAAATGTTAATGTACTGTTCAATTCAGCTTTTCACATTGGCGCCACCTTTCATTGAAATAGGCTGCCGCTGGACCAACGGCACGGAACTCAGAGGTTGAGCAGATACGAGACCGACGAGTCACGAGTCCTGGTAGTTTCTCGAAGGCTTTGCTGTCCCAGCAAGCATGACATTCGACATGCTCAAAGGTCACGAGTCAGGTAGTCATAGACAACATAGACAACTCTTAGATGCACGTCAGCCACTCAAGGCCCAGAAGTGGGTGGGAACTTGTCAAAGCAGTCATTCTGTAGAACACTCAGAAGAAGTTCTGCTGTGAAAACATGGTCACCAGGACCCAAGCCATTCTTCAGATTTTTCACCCATCGTTCCATCCGTGCGTCTGGCCGGGCATGCAACATGCTCTGTAAGTCACTGAGCCTAAAGGCATCGGCCCCAGGGGTCCCATGGATCCCATGGGTCCCATCGACCTGGCCGGTTGCTGGATGGCAACTGGAAGGCCCCAAGATCCGGGTCACCAGAAATCGCAGCTCGCTGAGGAGCTCATCATCACCTGATCAAAAGAGGTTGAACCATGTTGAACCATGTTGAACCCCCCTGGACAAGCACAAACAAGAGGGAAATGGGAAGGTCTCAGGAGATTTGTTTGGAAATGATGGAAATTTGTGGAAAGTTGTGGAAAGTTGTGGAAATTTGTGGAAATGACAAACTGCTTTGAAAAGGTGTACCAAAATGCAGGCAGTTCTCTAAGAGCATCGAGGTCTAAGAATAGCATCACAGTGTTCTTGAAATCCAAATAGCTTTGCGAGTGCAAGTCCCCAGCAACGAAAAGTGCTTCAGAAACCTCTTGGTCAAGGCCGGCAGCCATGGCAGCTTTACAGAATTGTTTTTTGTTCAACTGTCCATTTCCTCCTTCGTCCATTCGGCGAAATAGCAATCTGGCACCCAAAAGTTCTTTTGACTGCAAGCCTGAACCAATTAAGCTCAACAACATCCGATATGTCCAGCTCAGGCCTGCACGTTTCTCCAAGCGCTTTGCGAACAAAGGATGCTGAGGAACCCACAGGCCCCATCCATTGTTCGCGTCCGCCTTCAGCATCGCATCATACGCGCTTTTGCATGGTCCGTGTGCATCTTGAAGCCAAGATGTTCGGAGAACTTCCACGGCTTCCGGTCTGTCCTGGGCATTGCGAGCCATCATTCCAAGCACCACGCTCTGCACCTCAGGTTTGCAGGCGATGCGCAAACGCTCTTGATCTCGCCAGTCCAGTCCTTTCTCAGACAAAATTCGCTCATGGACACCTCCGCGACTCAGTTGCTGATAGCACATTGGTAAGGATGCAGCCTTCAAATTGAAGAAAGGCAGCCAACCGCCGGTTAGAAGCTCAAAGGCAGTCACCCCCAACATGTAGACATCGCTTCGAGTACAAAGATGTTCCTTCGCAATGACTTCTGGTGCTATGTATCTGGGATCACCTGGTGCGGCAACTAGCTCTGATCCCAAACAAACTGTCGCGTGCCCAAAGTCGCAAACGATGCACAAGGGTGATCCATCAGGTCTGGTCCCACCAATCAAAACATTTTCAGGTTTGAGGTCGCCATGCAAAACAAATTGCCGATGGCAGTAAGCCACTGCGCTCAGAATCTGCTGCATGGCTCCTGCCAAGGTTTAGACAACGGGATGGGTCCTGTTCTTTGGGACTATCCATTCACTGTGGAGACAGTCTCTAGTACCTTGCATGCCAATACTTTGCCGTCATCAATAGGCTAGCCATCTCACTAGGACTAGTGCCTTCTTCCCGATATAAGTACCCCATGTTTGCCCCCGAAATGAACAGATCCAACACAGAACCAGGTTTTTTAGGCGGAAGGGATTAGTGATTAGTGCTTTGTTCCAAAATCGGCTTTCATTCGCTCCTGCTATCCATGGAGCCCCTTCTGGTTGAGACCCAGCGGCGGCAGCAGCAGCAAATGTGGACAGGCTACCCTGTTCTGCCAGCTCGGTTACAATCAGCACTTCACCTGGAAATTTCACCACTTCAAAGATGCGAAGTAGATTGGGATGTGCCAAGGCTCGTAGCACACTGACCTCATCACCTTGACCTTCTTCCTCTGGGTCCAAACGTTCCAAATGCTTCACGGCTACTGGTCGACCAGTGCACAACTCGTTCGCTTGAAAAACCTCACCAAAGTGGCCTGCGCCAATATGTTTCTTCTTCTGATAGCGGCACCAAACAGCTTCTTCTGGGCTGGACTGAACCTCATGGCAACAAATCGTATTTCTATGTCTTCCAGCAGTTGCCAGGGTGATAGGGCACAGTCCCAGCAAAGTTTGCTGGAACATCCGGACGAGGGACGTCAAGGTTTTCACCGGTTCCTCAGGTCTGTGTTTGCTCAAGGGCTCTTCATACAAGTGATTTCCTGTAGCACTTGCTGGGACTCCAGGAACTTCAGCCTGTTCATCCAGCTCACTTACCACTGGCATGGCCACTTTTCCATTGCAGCCGTTGCTGGTGACGCTCTCCACCTCAGGAGACTTCCCTCGCAGCAGCTGCAGGTCTCCAAAGGATCCAAACATGCCAAAGGAGGCATCAGATCTTTCCGACAACAAACCGCCAACACCGAAGTGTTCCTCCACGCCCTGAATCACTGGAGCAAGGCTCTTCAAACTGAACTGAGTGTCACCTGTGAGGCTTACGTGCTTGACATAAGCCTGTTGTGCAATTGACAAAAATAATAACGGCTCTCTCATCAAGAGGGTGAAACGTCGAAGGGAACTCTTCCTCCCTGCAAATTCTGCTTCCAGCATTGCAATATGTCTAGAGGCTCTGATTGGAATGTGTTTGCGGTTAAAGATCGTGATGGCAAAGGGCTTGCTAGCCAATGGATCACGAAGTGCATGCCAGTAGTCATAGCAATCAGAAGCCCAAGCTTCCTGCTGGAGACCCAGCAAATCCAAAATGTCCATCATGTCCCTCTCGCCCATGCCGTTCCCTTTAGCGTGAACTGTCAGGGCAGAGTGACGCAGCGGAGCCAACTCTTGGGAATCATCATCCACAAAAAGCACCTGCCAGAGCACATTGAAGAATTTCACAAAACATGGCTCCCCCATGGAGGCTTCGTTTCAACCGTTACTCATTGCCTCAACGTAAGCATACTTTGGGCAAATTAAACGAAACCTGCCTGGAGTATCATTCCATACAGTTCTGCTTGTTTTGGGAATCCGGTCCAGAAAAACTGACCAGGGGTCTAGAAAATAATCAGAAAAGAGGCACCTGCTCGCGAGTGAGCATGTACTGATGCTGATATCGATGAACAATCTCCGTTTTTGAGTCCCATTCTCCCTCTTTCCATTTGCCAAGCAAACTCCAGAGACGGTCTACTTCTTCTGACAGGCCAGTGACATTCTGCTCAGTCTCAATGTCATAGGCTGTGCGTGTGCCATAGGCTACCCCGATGTTTCCATAGAGAGCATCAAACTTTCCAAGCAAATCCACTTCCTGCAAACACTTTCGTGCTACTCCGACATATCCACGGGTCACCAACACAATTTGACAGCCGCTGTTGATCAAACCATCCAAGAGCTTTCGAATGGCCGTGACCCGGCTGAACCCACCAAAGGCTTGCTCGATCCATGCTGGTCCAAGTTCGGAGAGGCGCCGCAACTGACCGCGTTCAGTCAGGGCATGGGGCTCTGAAACCACCATTCCACGCATGGCCAACATGCAAACTTGAGCATCCACCCAACCAGCCAGCGATTTGAACACGTGAACCACTGTCAGTGTGAAATCAAAGTCAAAGAAAACGATCGGAGCAAAGTCCCTCACACGTTGTTTGATGGCCACTTTGTCTTGATCTTTTGTGTTCCAGCCGAGAAAGTGTTGTAGTTTCGATCGGATGCCATCGATTGCGGTCCCATCTGCCATCGACATGGCCAGCTATATAAGACACAACCAACACAGACGGGAAAGCTGAGTGTGTCATTCAGAGATTAAGTTTCTTCAGTATGTTCGAACTGGATTCAAAATAAATTGCTTAAAAACTTAAAAAAATAAAACTATTTAAAACTTAAAATATCTTAAGACTTGTCTTCAGATGCCAAATTCAAATATTCTTCCACTACACTCCACTTGAGCTCAGCACGGAGATGCGGCACACTGCAACAATGAAGCAGAACACTCAAATGATGAGTGCTATGGCATAGCTATGGCTGCTGTCGTAGAATCAAAAGTGTCTGGAAGCGCGCTTCGTTTTCTCTATATATGCATGTGGTGCATGTGGGTATGTGTTCCGAGACAAACCTCAGACTACAGCATTCTTGACCGTCAAACCACAGAATCAACTTCCTTTCAAGTCAGATTTGCAGGATGTCATTTGTGGCTGTGATGACGGATTCAAAATGCTGCAGGCTTTCATGAGGGAAGTCGCTCGGAAAGAGGCATAGCTGATGCTATGCGTCCATGCACAAAAATCCACTTACTGTACAATGAACATCCATCTAGAGCTCTATTTCAAGTCCCAAGTCACAAGCCACGGAGTCAACTCTTTCACCGCATTACACTTTGGAGCCGCTGGGTGGAATTGATCTCACATGTCAGGAGTACAACGTAATGGTGACACCCACATTCTTGACAACCTCACAACAGAAACATTGCATAGATCAGGTGTTTCATAGTTTCAAAAACAGCAATGTACACGCCACATGTTCGATTTGCAGAAAACTGAGCACGAGGGCACATGCCAAATGCCCAACATTGAGTTTGACAGGTTTCTGCGCAGCCTGACAACTGGCTCAGCATCAAATAAACTGCTAGATTCACAGACAATGGAAACAGTTGCAGAAGCTGAAAGAGCCTGCCACACCATTATCCACTGGACACAAAATTCAAAGGCCTGATAACTGCATGTGAACACTCTAGTCATGGTTTTGCTAATTTAGTGTTCAGGACTCAGCCATACTCAGCCGCTCTTTTGCTCTTTTGTGCAGATTTGTGCAGATTTGCAGTCTACAAAGCATCTGACATCGAATGGTGATTGTCACCAATCAGGATTTACCAAGGTCAATGTTTGACATCTTGGTCTGGCCAATGGCCAAAGTGGACGGCCAATTACTGACGGCCTAAGTTAGGGCAGTTGGCACTGGATTGGGGCGCAAGTGGTAATATGTGCACCAAGGGAGTTGCGGTCGCTGTTTCTTTTCCTTTCGATCCTTGGGAAGTTTCGTCGCCTTTGTAGACTCCGGCGTTTCGCTCGGTGGAGCTGCAGGAAGCAGTTCTGCCTTCAATGCAGAGATCACAGCACGCACGGGTGCAAAGCGGATCTTCTCCTTCATGGGTCCGCGGCGATCAACCCCCTCAGTCCAAAGGATCATCTGTTCAGCAAAGTCATCCAAGTAGATTTGAGCTTCAGGAACGACATCTTCAGACTGTGCTACTGAAGCTGAGCGAGTTATGCTTTCAAAAAGCTCCTTGGAGTTTTCTGGTGAGACATCGATGTGCATGGCAAGAGCTGTGAAAGCTTCCAAATCCAAACTCAGCAAAGAAAGAGGTGACTGTGACTGCACATTCCCCGAGGTACTGTGTTCTGTCACTTGCGGCCTCTTGTGAGACCCGGACACTTTTCTTGGAGTTCCTTGTCTCGATCCTTGTCTCATTTGTTTCATGATCAAGCGCATCTCCATAGGCAAAAGCTCTAAGAGAAGATCAGCCAACTGTCCGGGCGCTGACTTGGCATGTGCGGCCTCGAGTAGCTCCGGCCATTCTGCAGCAACCCGTTGCCAAAAATCCTCCAAACTCGTTTTCGGTGCAGCTGAATGAAGCGAATTCTTCAGCTTCTCCAGGAGATTGGATTCATTGGAGCCATCTGAGTTACAGCATTCTGCACCCTTCAAGAAGTCGAAATACTCTGCAGCCTCCTCTCTGCAGATGCTCCAGCTCTCCATCCAATTGGCAAAAGTGTCTTCATCCACATGACATTCTGGAGAGTGCACACAACTCTCCAAGATTCTCAATGCATCCCTGATACTGCCAAATCTTGCCACCAGCTGTTTCCAGAGGTCATGCCAAAGGAGCCTTGTCTCGTCCGAAAGCACTGCCTCACGCAAATCTGCCATCCCTATGCAGCCTCCATGGCCTCGGCCTCCATGGCCTCGGCCTCCATGGCCTCGGCCTCGGCCTGCATGGCCTGCATCTTCCAGAAGCTCGAACAAGTGCCAGGCCTGGGCAGGGGCACCAAAACTTGGAAAATCTGTGGCTGCACCATGCGGCCATGCCCACCATGCTGCACCCTGCGGCCTGGCAAGATTCCATGCCCAAATCCTCCGCAAGGTTCATGAAATCCTGCTTGGAAACCTGGAACGACTCCGTCCGACTCAGCAGTTGGACTTCGAAATCCACTGAAGTTCAGGGCAACAAAAGCATTCAAAAGCGTTGCTGTTTGGAGTTTTGTAGGTGCAGCGTATCAAACCCGCATGCACACCTCATCCTGCTGGTGGCTCTGCAGTACCTCCTAGAGCAGATTCGTGTGCAGCCTCAACACGCCTTCACATGCCTCAAACTCATTTCATTTTTCTCCATGTTGCTCCACCGTCTGGCCCAGCCACAGCAAATCAAAGTTACCTGCACACTGACGAACCAGCCTCCAACTCCTCGCGGCTCCACTCTTCCAGAAGCTGCTGGCGCACTTGTTGCAGCGAGAGCAAGCCCTGGCCAAGCAGAGTCAAATGGACGAAGAACTCACAATCAAAGCAAGAGACGGCCATTGGTCATTTCTAGTTGGCTCCCACCACTTGCCTCTGGTGTGTGTTCGATTAAGTCACAAAGTGCTATGCCCTCTGCACGATTCATTGCTGCCTCCAGTGATCAAGGCTTTGAAGTGCAGTCTCCACAGAAAGAACTTGCCAACAAGATCTAACAAGTCTAGCAAGTGGTGTGAGTCCGTGCGTCAAAGCTCACTGTGACTGTAAATTAGAGAAAAGTGAAATGAAACTACGCAAGCATCTGCATTTGGAGCGCTTCCTCTCCAGGTGCTACCAAGGGGCGAAGAGCTTGCAGGCCAACGTATTGTTGCCATGATGCAAAAACGACGTCACACACCTTAGAGCAGCAACAGCAGGCTCAAGATCACTCAAGTGAATCGGGAGCTTGAACCACTCAATATCCATTCAATATTCTTGAACAATCAGATCTTTGGCCGCTGCCAAGTAAATTCTGCCTTGCTTAGTGGCAGGAGGGAATAGTCCTTCACACTTGAGAGCACAAGCCAAACTTATTTCGGCAAGGTGGCTGCAAGCACCAAGGAATGACAAGCTGATACAACACGTTCCCTCTCACAGAGATTTGGTCAAACAGTTCATTATACTGTCATTAATTTTGCAGAAGAATTCAAAACTCAACCATGCTTGCAGATCCTGTAGTTTCATTGAAGTGCATTTCTACCATTGACATTGATTATCCTAGTATTTCCACTACTATTTCACAAGAAGAAACTGCAAGCGAGCCTTTCGACCTTTGCCAGCAGCGCGTTTCATGGCACGGAACCTCATATCCAGACACTGTGTCAAAAAATCAATGTTCATTGAAACAAGAAGTGAGCAGTGCTCAAAATACCTGTTGGTTGACTATTATATGGGGACAGTTCAACAGTTATAGGGGTTTCTCACAATTTATGGGAAATCCTATCAGCCAGTGCGAGTTTGCCAAATTACAGATGTTCGACTCAGGCCTAAGGAGCATACGCACGAGTGAGGTTTCCAAATCTCCGGGTGAGAACGCCCAAGAACTCCAGAACCTGCGAAAGGGAACGTCTTATCCCAGAAGCTTCTTGATCATTGCTGTACAAATTCTACTAGTACATCAAATACCCCATGGTTTTCCATTACATCCCTATTGTTGATGGTTAAATCCCATGGAATATAGATTCCCATTAGGAATAATTATGTTCCCGTTGGGACCAGATTTGGGGATTCAACCATCAACAATACGGAATGGGATATGGGGATATTCCGATGTTCCCTGATTCTTCATGGTTCCGTGAATCCCCCATCGTTCAACATGTTCAAGCCATTTAAAATTCATGGTGTTTATCATGGTTCATCCATTGTCAGGTGCTACATTATCATAGTTAATTCATTTAAATTCATTTAATCCCTTTATAATGGTTAGTCCCCGTTTCTCACGGTTAATCCATCAAATATCCATCAGAAAATCCCATCGAATCTGTGGCACATTCCGCCTCAAGGCTCTGCTCGGATCCCACCGAGAACTTTGGACTTCCAACTGACGGAGACCACCTGGTGGAGATGGGCCACGGCTGGAGGAAACCATGGCTTTCGATATCGGTGCCCCAGTAAAAATGATGGGGTTAACCAAAAAAATGGGGAGATTGGTTGACAGTTGATAGTTGATTAGTTGAGAAGATATGGCAAGTGGTGAGTGTGCAGTGCCTCTCATGTGACAAACAAAGAGGGCTCGATGGAACTGCCTCCTTCACAGGTATGGGCACAGATCTGCAAAGGGCCAAAGGGCTTGGAAATATCTGCACAAAGCATCGTCAAACGTGGGCGACGTTGCACTTGAATTTTTGTCAAACGATGGCCACAAGAACTGGTCCTTTGGGAGAGGAGACAGAGTCCGGCGCCTCAGTTTTGCAGAGTGTGCACAACGATGCATAATGTATATGAACGCTTCACTGCCCTTCACTGCCCTTCACTGCCCTTCACTGCCCTTCACTGCCCTTCACTGCCCTTCACTGCCCTTCACTGCCCTCTCTTGGGTCTATCTTCAGGGGAGGTGCTTGCCAGAGCTTTGTGACGGAACTGGAAGGAGACTGTTCAGTACCTGGCACAGATGGACTGAGAAGGTGAAGCTGCTGAGTGATGACCGGTATGCAAAGAATGTCGATGCCCTGGCGCACGGTCGCCAGCATGTCATCCCCGTCCTTACTTCTTAAACGCCTCAGTTCCAGCTTTAAATGATATGTGCAATGATATGCAACTAGGTTAAGTGTCCTTTCCCCCTTTCTTGGAGCGGTATCCAAGAAGGATATCATGCATCACTATTGAATCACTATGCAAGTATTCAAGCCCATCCCTCAAGTTCAATAAGTTGTCCATTGCAGCGACCATGACCTAGTCCCCAACGATAGCAAGGGTCCGCTGCACCTTTGCCTTTTGACCTCAACAAAGAGCAACAGAAGTCTCAAGTCACGATTTGCGAAAAAGGTGGTCAAGAGTCGAGCGGAAAGACATATAGGTAGGACAGGACTCTGAGAAGATTAAAAAAATTAAAAACAAACCTGGCAATGCATTTTTTTTTAATTCTGAGGGCCATGCAGGTGAAAGTGGTTTCAGCTTGACCTGTCAGGAACTGGTGATCACAAAATTGCTGTGAACAAGCTGGACGGACCTGTGGTTTTGGATTGCAACCAGCTGCAGCCCAAGGCGGAACCTAGGGATGACATTCACCGGGAGTCCAAGCTTCCAGAAGACAAATTTCCATGAGCTACTAGTTATCTTATCTTATCTTGATATTCGTATGTCAATGACAGCAGATTGAAGATATCCGAAGTCTTGGCAATCTGAACTGCCTTTTCGAACGCTTCGCGCCGTCAACGGCTCAATGTGAAACAACATGAAACAACAAACAGGCGTGGTGAAAGGTCCCGTGGCGTTCGTAGTGCGCATGACAGGAGCATCTCGGAACACGGTCCCCGTGTCAGACATGCTTCACAGGGAGTTCACAAGCGCAAGCAACATTTGCTCGGCTTTCCCTTAGCACCCGCCCTTCAGAATCAGCACATGTCACTGTTGGACTTCTAAGAATCTTTAAGATTAGTTTTTGCAGGTACTGCAAGACATTGGCTATGCCTTTTGAAACTGGCCCAGAGAATAATTTGCCTCAAAGGGCTAGTGCAAATTCGTAAGGCGCACTCTCTTCAGCCTGTTGGGCGCAGCAATCTACACATCCACGTCTGGCCTTCGATTCCACAAATGATATACAGTAATATATATCCGCCGACCCCTGCCGACAGCAGGGGGAGCGCGTCAGAGAAGAGATTACAAGCAACAAGTGTTGTGCAGTGCAAGTGAGGGGCAAGCGAGGGGGGGACAGAAAGGGAAGCCAGGTGCAGAGTAAGAAGCCCAAAAAAGGAAGCGAGAAAGGAGGGGCAGTCTCAGCGAACGTAGCGGGGCAAGCGAGGGGGGGACAGAAAGGGAAGCCAGGTGCAGAGTAAGAAGCTCAAAAAAGGAAGCGAGAAAGGAGGGGCAGTCTCAGCGAACGTAGCAAGCGAAAGAAGCACGAAACAAGAAGTTAGAAGCAAGAATGCAGAAGCAAGAGTAAACGAGCGACAGAAAGTAATGTTTGGCACTCTGGGCTACGGGCCGCGGGCCCAATCCGTCCTTCACTGCCATGGTGTTTTAGCCCTGCGAGGAGGTCCCTTGACCGGAGCTGTGCCGCACGAAAGCCAGCTGTCAGACAATGCAGGCAAGTTGGCAGTTGGCAGTGCAGGAACGCAGGGAAAAGCTAGGTTTGAGCTGCAAGACGACGCAGGCAAAGTGGCAGGGAAAAGCAAGGTTTGAAGCTAGTTTCTAGGCAGTTCAGAAGGCAACGTTTGGCACCGTGGGCTGCCGGCTGCGGGCCCGATCCGTCCTTCAGTGCCATGGTGTTGGGGCCCTGCGGAGGGGTCCTTGGACTCGAGCTGACGGCAAGACACAGCAAGGTTTGAAGCTAGTTTCGACTTGACCGGAGCTGTGCCGCACGAAAGCCAGCTGTCAGACAATGCAGGCAAGTTGGCAGTTGGCAGTGCAGGAACGCAGGGAAAAGCAAAGTTTGAAGCTAGTTTCTAGGCACTGCAGAAAGCAACGTTTGGCAGTATGGGCTGCCGGCCGCGGGCCCGATCCGTCCTTCACTGCCATGGTGTTTGAGGCCTGCGACAGGGTCCTTGGACCCGAGCTGACGCCAGGAAACAGCAAGGTTTGAACCGGCAGACCTGGTCCGTCCCTCAGGGCCCTGCTGTTTGGCTGTGGCGCAGGCGCCGTTTTGGGTCAGACAGCAAGGTTTTCTTGTAGGTTCAGAAAGCAACGTTAGGCACTCACGGCCGTGGCCCGCAGGCCCGAT